ACATAATAAATATATCAAATTGCCACCTTACCTTGCAGGAATGAAGCCACTCTCAGTAACTGCATCTCTGATCTCTGTATAACAATTACAACATGTCACCACTTGTGGTAGTGACATAATAAATATATCAAATTGCCACCTTACCTTGCAGGAATGAAGCCACTCTCAGCAACAGCATCTCTGATCTCTGTATTACAATTACAACATGTCACCACTTGTGGTAGTGACATAATAAATATATCAAATTCCCACCTTACCTTGCAGGAATGAAGCCACTCTCAGCAACTGCATCTCTGATCTCTGTATAACAATTACAACATGTCACCACTTGTGGTAGTGACATAATAAATATATCAAATTGCCACCTTACCTTGCAGGAATGAAGCCACTCTCAGCAACTGCATCTCTGATCTCTGTATTACAATTACAACATGTCACCACTTGTGGTAGTGACATAATAAATATATCAAATTGCCATCTTACCTTGCAGGAATGAAGCCACTCTCAGCAACTGCATCTCTGATCTCTGTATTACAATTACAACATGTCACCACTTGTGGTAGTGACATAATAAATATATCAATTGCCACCTTACCTTGCAGGAATGAAGCCACTCTCAGCAACTGCATCTCTGATCTCTGTATAACAATTACAACATGTCACCACTTGTGGTAGTGACATAATAAATATATCAAATTGCCATCTTACCTTGCAGGAATGAAGCCACTCTCAGCAATTGCATCTCTGATCTCTGTATTACAATTACAACATGTCACCACTTGTGGTAGTGACATAATAAATATATCAAATTGCCACCTTACCTTGCAGGAATGAAGCCACTCTCAGTAACTGCATCTCTGATCTCTGTATAACAATTACAACATGTCACCACTTGTGGTAGTGACATAATAAATATATCAAATTGCCACCTTACCTTGCAGGAATGAAGCCACTCTCAGTAACTGCATCTCTGATCTCTGTATAACAATTACAACATGTCATCACTTGTGGTAGTGACATAATAAATATATCAAATTGCCATCTTACCTTGCAGGAATGAAGCCGCTCTCAGCAACTGCATCTCTGTTCTCTGTATAACAATTACAACTTGTCACCATTTGTGGTAGTGACATAATAAATATATCAAATTGCCACCTTACCTTGCAGGAATGAAGCCACTCTCAGCAACAGCATCTCTGATCTCTGTATAACAATTACAACATGTCACCACTTGTGGTAGTGACATAATAAATATATCAAATTGCCACCTTACATTGCAGGAATGAAGCCACTCTCAGCAACTGCATCTCTGATCTCTGTATAACAATTACAACATGTCACCACTTGTGGTAGTGACATAATAAATATATCAAATTGCCACCTTACCTTGCAGGAATGAAGCCACTCTCAGCAACTGCATCTCTGATCTCTGTATAACAATTACAACATGTCACCACTTGTGGTAGTGACATAATAAATATATCAAATTGCCACCTTACCTTGCAGGAATGAAGCCACTCTCAGCAACTGCATCTCTGATCTCTGTATAACAATTACAACATGTCACCACTTGTGGTAGTGACATAATAAATATATCAAATTGCCATCTTACCTTGCAGGAATGAAGCCAATCTCAGCAACTGCATCTCTGATCTCTGTATAACAATTACAACATGTCACCACTTGTGGTAGTGACATAATAAATATATCAAATTGCCACCTTACCTTGCAGGAATGAAGCCACTCTCAGCAACTGCATCTCTGATCTCTGTATAACAATTACAACTTGTCACCACTTGTGGTAGTGACATAATAAATATATCAAATTGCCACCTTACCTTGCAGGAATGAAGCCACTCTCAGCAACTGCATCTCTGATCTCTGTATAACAATTACAACTTGTCACCACTTGTGGTAGTGACATAATAAATATATCAAATTGCCACCTTACCTTGCAGGAATGAAGCCACTCTCAGCAACAGCATCTCTGATCTCTGTATAACAATTACAACTTGTCACCATTTGTGGTAGTGACATAATAAATATATCAAATTGCCACCTTACCTTGCAGGAATGAAGCCACTCTCAGCAACAGCATCTCTGATCTCTGTATAACAATTACAACATGTCACCACTTGTGGTAGTGACATAATAAATATATCAAATTGCCACCTTACCTTGCAGGAATGAAGCCACTCTCAGTAACTGCATCTCTGATCTCTGTATAACAATTACAACATGTCACCACTTGTGGTAGTGACATAATAAATATATCAAATTGCCACCTTACCTTGCAGGAATGAAGCCACTCTCAGCAACAGCATCTCTGATCTCTGTATTACAATTACAACATGTCACCACTTGTGGTAGTGACATAATAAATATATCAAATTGCCATCTTACCTTGCAGGAATGAAGCCACTCTCAGCAACTGCATCTCTGATCTCTGTATAACAATTACAACTTGTCACCACTTGTGGTAGTGACATAATAAATATATCAAATTGCCACCTTACCTTGCAGGAATGAAGCCACTCTCAGCAACTGCATCTCTGATCTCTGTATTACAATTACAACATGTCACCACTTGTGGTAGTGACATAATAAATATATCAAATTGCCATCTTACCTTGCAGGAATGAAGCCACTCTCAGTAACTGCATCTCTGATCTCTGTATAACAATTACAACATGTCACCACTTGTGGTAGTGACATAATAAATATATCAAATTGCCACCTTACCTTACAAGAATGAAGCCACTCTCAGTAACTGCATCTCTGATCTCTGTATAACAATTACAACATGTCACCACTTGTGGTAGTGACATAGTAAATATATCAAATTGCCACCTTACCTTGCAGGAATGAAGCCACTCTCAGCAACTGGATCTCTGATCTCTGTATTACAATTACAACATGTCACCACTTGTGGTAGTGACATAATAAATATATCAAATTGCCATCTTACCTTGCAGGAATGAAGCCACTCTCAGCAACTGCATCTCTGATCTCTGTATAACAATTACAACATGTCACCACTTGTGGTAGTGACATAATAAATATATCAAATTGCCACCTTACCTTGCAGGAATGAAGCCACTCTCAGCAACTGCATCTCTGATCTCTGTATTACAATTACAACATGTCACCACTTGTGGTAGTGACATAATAAATATATCAAATTGCCACCTTACCTTGCAGGAATGAAGCCACTCTCAGTAACTGCATCTCTGATCTCTGTATAACAATTACAACATGTCACCACTTGTGGTAGTGACATAATAAATATATCAAATTGCCACCTTACATTGCAGGAATGAAGCCACTCTCAGTAACTGCATCTCTGATCTCTGTATAACAATTACAACATGTCACCACTTGTGGTAGTGACATAATAAATATATCAAATTGCCACCTTACCTTGCAGGAATGAAGCCACTCTCAGTAACTGCATCTCTGATCTCTGTATAACAATTACAACATATCACCACTTGTGGTAGTGACATAATAAATATATCAAATTGCCACCTTACCTTGCAGGAATGAAGCCGCTCTCAGCAACTGCATCTCTGTTCTCTGTATAACAATTACAACTTGTCACCATTTGTGGTAGTGACATAATAAATATATCAAATTGCCACCTTACCTTGCAGGAATGAAGCCACTCTCAGCAACTGCATCTCTGATCTCTGTATAACAATTACAACTTGTCACCACTTGTGGTAGTGACATAATAAATATATCAAATTGCCACCTTACCTTGCAGGAATGAAGCCACTCTCAGCAACTGCATCTCTGATCTCTGTATTACAATTACAACATGTCACCACTTGTGGTAGTGACATAATAAATATATCAAATTGCCACCTTACCTTGCAGGAATGAAGCCACTTTCAGCAACTGCATCTCTGATCTCTGTATAACAATTACAACTTGTCACCACTTGTGGTAGTGACATAATAAATATATCAAATTGCCACCTTACCTTGCAGGAATGAAGCCACTCAGTAACAGCATCTCTGATCTCTGTATTACAATTACAACATGTCACCACTTGTGGTAGTGACATAATAAATATATCAAATTGCCACCTTACCTTGCAGGAATGAAGCCACTCTAAGCAACTGCATCTCTGATCTCTGTATAACAATTACAACATGTCACCACTTGTGGTAGTGACATAATAAATATATCAAATTGCCACCTTACCTTGCAGGAATGAAGCCACTCTCAGCAACTGCATCTCTGATCTCTGTATAACAATTACAACATGTCACCACTTGTGGTAGTGACATAATAAATATATCAAATTGCCATCTTACCTTGCAGGAATGAAGCCACTCTCAGCAACTGCATCTCTGATCTCTGTATAACAATTACAACATGTCACCACTTGTGGTAGTGACATAATAAATATATCAAATTGCCATCTTACCTTGCAGTAATGAAGCCACTCTCAGCAACTGCATCTCTGATCTCTGTATAACAATTACAACATGTCACCACTTGTGGTAGTGACATAATAAATATATCAAATTGCCACCTTACCTTGCAGGAATGAAGCCACTCTCAGCAACTGCATCTCTGATCTCTGTATAACAATTACAACATGTCACCACTTGTGGTAGTGACATAATAAATATATCAAATTGCCACCTTACCTTGCAGGAATGAAGCCACTCTCAGCAACTGCATCTCTGATCTCTGTATAACAATTACAACATGTCACCACTTGTGGTAGTGACATAATAAATATATCAAATTGCCACCTTACCTTGCAGGAATGAAACCACTCTCAGCAACTGCATCTCTGATCTCTGTATTACAATTACAACATGTCACCACTTGTGGTAGTGACATAATAAATATATCAAATTGCCACCTTACCTTGCAGGAATGAAGCCACTCTCAGCAACTGCATCTCTGATCTCTGCATAACAATTACAACATGTCACCACTTGTGGTAGTGACATAGTAAATATATCAAATTGCCACCTTACCTTGCAGGAATGAAGCCACTCTCAGTAACTGCATCTCTGATTTCTGTAAGATCTGGGATCCAGTCGGAGTCAGCAGTTGATCTGAAGCAATAGTGATATCTCCAATATAAATGTCTTTAAGGTTGGGGATGTCTTTGATTAATGTCATTAATGCACTTTTTACTATTCCTTTTTTAATATGTTTTTATGGCTTTTTCCTTTGACCAATGTGCTTGCATATCATCAAAATGAATACAGCTTAAAAGCCACTTTTACAAGTTCCAAACTAGATAGTAGGGCCATTGATGCCAATTCTGAAAATTATTTGGAGAAAAAATAAGAAGTCTGACACAAGCATGTACAAAGAAATTATTCTTAAGACATGATTCAAAAGGTTGGTGTACATGTGGTTACTCATATATTTTCACAATTTGAAAGTCATTGTCTTGTTTTATTCCAATAGGATGGTACAAACTACTCACTTTTGCTTCTTAGCTCTAGCAGCTCTGGTTTTCTTGGCCTTGTTTACTGTGTTACCACTGGGTTCATCCACCAAATCATCACTGGGGTCATCAAAGAGATTGTCAGACCTCTGGAACATCCACATGTTCAATTTTATAGTGTCTTATCAAGAGATGCTATCGAATAGGGGGATGCAAGGTTACTTTATTTCCTTATTTTATAATATTACTAGCATACAGTATGAACAGCATTAACATGCAAAATGTCACCACCTGCCGTTTGTTACCACTTGTAGTGGTGACATGACAAACCAAACTAGATCACAGGCATGTGTATTACATATTGTCTTGTTTTACAGCCTTTAGAAAACTTTGGTAGTCAAATTCTAGAAAGGTCAACATTTGTATATTATTTTTGAAGAAAAAATTCATGATCCATCCATAAATCCATATTACAAGAAAGTTTGAACCACGTGCATGTCTTGCCCCTCACGTGCATGTCTTGCCCCTGGTATATTAAAAAGCCTACCTGTGTTTCTGTAGGTCCTTGAAGTATCAATGTAGATGTAGTGCTCAGGTCAGAGTCAGATCTAACAAGGTCAGGCTTGGAAAGTGGCCCATCTGTAGTATCAGCCAATAAATCTGAAACATTGGAATCATATTTTCAATATATTGAATTTAATTAAAATTATGTTATTTTTCACAATAGAAATGTGTTATTTTTCAAAAGAACTATGTTATCAGGCTTAAAATTATAAACTTTATATGTATGATACTGGAACTTTAGATTTAGTGAGTATGTGAGGATTGGTCTTAACAAAGTCCCAAGGGAATTGAAATTATTTTAACATAAATTGTGTTTTTGTTTCAATTCTGTCTTTTGCCACAATCCTGGTTTGTTATTTCACAATCTTCACGAAATAGTACATGTACATGTATAGGAGTATTTTTCAAGATATGGGCCATTTGCTTGAATATGATTCTGGTTAGATCAATGTTCCTTATAGATAGTATTCCAAACCTGAATTCTGTCTGACCATGTTGTAAGGCAGTGTGTCAGTTGTGTTGTCATCTTGAAAGGATGGCTCAATCAATGCAGATACTTTTGCTTTCTTGTTTTCAACAATCTTGTTGCTTTCATGACTTGTAGGTCCTAATTCTTCCTGCTCCCTCAGATCTGCTTCTATCTGTTTAGCCACCTCTTGTCCCGTAGTATGGAGGATATCAGTTAGGGCAGTGTCTAGTTGATCAACCGTCTTAACAGTATTCATGCTTACATTTTTAGGAATCAATTCTTTTGGTCTTTGATTTGTTTTCACATTCTTAATCGATGGTTTTGTTTCAGAGTTAACACTATTTTTCAAGTTTGTGGATTTATTCATTGATTTTTTCATACTTGAAGGTAATGGGCCTATGTTAAAATCCTCATCAGAGTCCACTTTAGATGTATCTAGTGTTTTATCAATCCCGGAGGGTTTCTTAATAAATGTTAAGGGAGTTAGAGTTCTTTTATGATTTGGAGCAGACTTGGGTGTCTCAGAAATAAATGTTTGAGTCTCTTTAAATGTGTTGAAAGCACCAATGAAATCAGTAGATGGGGTTATACCAGGTGACCTCCCTAATGTCTTATGTGTTGAGCTGCCTGGAGTTTCTGCCAAGCTGGAGGGTTTCTCAATAGAGGTCGCACCAGGAGATGTGGGATCTGCCATGCTTTTAACTGGTAGCTTTCCTAAGTCCCCATCAGGAGATGTATCTGTAAAGAGGTTCTTAAAAGTATGTCTCTTGGAGGGAATAACATTGGGAGTTTTAGATGTTGATGTTTGTATATTCTGTTTGGTTGGGTTGTCAAGGTTACTGGAGACTGATGAGGCACTGTCACCATGGTTACCATGTTTACTTGAACCCTCTGTACTGTAACCTTGGTTAAAAGAGACATCAGATGTACATGAAGAATCAGAAGTCGTTGAACTGTAACCTTGGATACTAGAGTCTGATGTCACAGTGTCTGAGCTTGTAGATGATTCTGCAGGTTTAATCTTGCGGCCTTTCATCCTCTCTTTGGTAGCCTGGATCAAGTCCTTGAAATGGGAGTTGTGTTTCTTAACTGGAAATATATTGATTTGATCAAGTAATGTATTCCATTCAAAGGGATATTTTTGAATTAAAATCAATATTTAATTCATAGATGAAATTTAACTGATTCTTCATTTTTTGGTATTTTTAGTTGTCATTCTTAGTTACATATAATGCAAATAATCTGAACATCCCAACATCTCAAAATTCAATGCAAATTCAAATAAATCTTAAAGATTAATTTACAGAATTCATGACAGTGGACAACGAGAATGGAGACCACTTACCATAATTTTTCTGTGCTTTTTCAACAGCATCAGGTGGCGCCCCCTTCTTTATGACCAGACTCTAAAATAATACAATCAGCGATAATATCAGAATGTCATCTAATACCAAACAAGTCTGAGAATTAAAAACAACAACACACTGCATGCAATGATGCAATATTACAATAGCCCCTAAGGAAATTAGAAAAAGTGAAATTGATGAATGAGTAAAAGTTAAAAATAATCAAGTAGTTTCAGAAGAGTTTGGTGTATCACAGTTATATATGACCCCTCATCAGACAAGGCCAAGAGACAAGTAATTTTAATCAGAGCTAACTGATGTCTTCAGCAAGCATAGGAAAATAATAATAATAATAACAACAGGTTCATTATTAAATTTTTACCAGTATGTTTGGAATGGTTAAGACTCAATATACACATTCTAGACTTACATGTGCGTTAACGACCATTGGTTTAAAATTGAGCATCTCATTCCTCTCAACCTCGGCAAGAATGGCAGACACTGAAATCAAAATATGTGAGTTGCTATACATCTCTGTATTCAATTTCAACTGAGTAATGAATGAATTTGCAGAGTTTATATTAATACATTTGTTCATAGTGCACACTAATATAAGATGGTATAAACCTGGTCTTGGTGAAGCAGCGTCGCATTCGCTGTTGTATAGCAAGGTATACTCATGATGCCTCTTTATCATGGCCTTCCTGTCCCCCTGTGTACTGAGACCTTCGTTCTGTAGCCTCTTTTTCAAATCTTTATCCTTAATCAATGTGTATACAAGCTTAGGGAGTCGCTTTCTCTTCGGCATTGGTCTACAGAAAGGGAGGATTGAGTAAGTAAAGTTCAAATGATTTTTACAGAGGCTTACATATTGGTAAAATCCAGTGCATGTACTATGCATGTTTGTTCAGTTTTGATGATCCAAAATATGAGGTAAATGATTTAAATGAAAAGTCATGCATGTAATCTATGGAAGATGAAACACCAAATAGTTAAAATAAAAGTATATCTGGGTCTGGAAATGGTATAGTCATAGTGTAAAAATCCACATATAATTTAAACCTGACCAAAATATAGAACTAGGAACACTAAGAGTATGGCACTGTATATTGGTTATGGTACCCTTCAATTTTGGTGCTGTATAGTGTTTACGTTATCGTATGGCACTGTTTTAGTCTACAGTACTTTGTGGTACCATATTTCATGGTACAGTACAGTAGCCAAATCAGTAACATAGGGTACTATTAGAGATTCGATATGTTCAGAAACTACATTTCAAAATATGTGCTAACTCACGGAGGACTAGGTAAAGAATCTGAGGGATCTTCAGTTGATTTCTTGAGGCAACGGTCTAGATGTATGTTGATGAAACGTTCCTTCACAGGCACACCACAAATTGGACAAGGCACTACAATTAAAATAAAAATATACATTTTCAAGTAACATGTATGCGAAAAGTTGAGACCACTTATACGTGTATATTAGAACTTGGTTACTATGGTGTCCATGTCAACCTAGGCAGATTCAAATTATTTCAGATAACTCAGCTCACATGTAGTTGTAATTGTGATATAAAGAACGGACTGGCAAACCAAAAATGTAATTGATTTCACTTGATCCACTCATGTATTTAGCTTATAGGCTTTCATTTTTTCATGTAGTTGGCCAAGTGTCTGAAGAGACATCTTTTCAAATATGTGGGGTAATTTTCATGTTAATTTTCCATACGAAAGTTACTAACCTTTTGGCAAATTTGGATTGGAGCTAAAGTGTGGAGTCTCTATTGCTGCATCAGATCCAGCCACTGGGGAGACCGACTCAATGGCTTGAGGGCTCCTTAGACTCTGACTATGTGTCACTGAATCACTGTCTGTGGTCTGGTTTATTCCTTGAGTTGACATTGCACTACTAGTATTTGTTGAAGATTGGAATGAATTTGATCCAATATTTGTATCTGCACCAATGGAATGATTGTCTCTTTCAGGTATGGAACTATTGTTTGTATAAGTACTGGTATTGTTTATTGCATGACCACTGACAGGGCCAGTGTGGATGTCCTCTAACCTTGTATCACTGGGAGTAATGTCTATGTCCGTATCTGTCACTGAGGAAGTTAAGGTGTTGGGTGTAGACATGGGGAGGGGGGTGTTGGGCACACTGTCTGCTTCATTGGGCTGAACCATGCTCTGAAATGATATATAGGCATTATAGTTCATTGAACATGTAATTCATTTCAGTTCATGAGGATAAAGAGAAAAAGAGAATTATTCATTGAATTTCTGTTTTATTTGTGGTGTTTGCTAAGTTGTATTTATTAAAAGATGGCATATATGTTCTCATAGTCAGGAAAGCTTTAGTCCATGCAAGGAGGATTGGATCCCAGGATCGAAACTAAATATTTTCCAACAATGAAAATGTTGAAATGTCATTATTTTCTGAAATTATAACCAACTATATATTCAAAACAGTTCAAAAGATTCGGACCAATATCTTGATTATTTCTTGTGAGTTTTGGAATTTTTCGTTAGAAATTAAGACCAAAATTCAGGATTCAAATGTTGAAGTAAACAAAATGGCAGCTGTTTGAATTCAAATTTTGTATCACAACATGCCCGTATATGGAACAAAATATCGATGCTGAACTCTGGGAGCCAATCCTCCTGGAGTCCATGCATGCAGAATGTTGAGCCGTGCATTTGCTTTCCATTTCGATATACATTTGTATTGGAATCATTAACAATGTTAATAGGATGGATCTTCAAAATAATTACTTTGTGGTTATATCATAAAACATTCTTTACATTTAATGAAAAAACAGTAATATACAAGTTTAGGATGTTCACTTTAATAATTCAATATTAAGCTAATAATGAAGTAATAGGGTCAAGATGACCTTAATGTTATCGCTTCCCTCAACACAATGTGTAATATTCATAAGAGAAGTAACATGCATTGAATACAATTCAAGACCAAACATCTTTATACATACCATTAATACTAAATATACTTAAGGTGAGGAATAGAGACGAAAGATATACGAGTATGACCATATGCTCTAGTAAATATGGTAATAAACACAGCCCCACACAAAAGTTAGGCCCTTGTAGATTAATCAGTTGACTATTGAAATCATTTCTGAAAAAAGATCCATAAACCAGATTTTTTCTTTTATCTCAAACAATATCAAATCAGCAAATGAAACAAAATGCCTTAAATTCAAAAAAGAAGAATAGAATGGTATAGCCATGTTGGATTTTGAATTTTAAACAACTGATTCATATTAAAGGGCCTCATAACTTCAAAGGTTGACTTCACCTCCATAGCATCTGTTTATATGCTGGATTGCAGGTTAAATAAAACAGTAGCTATTGAGAATAGAGGAAATAAGCAGTAAACTTAAGTGTTTCAAAAATAATGATGAATCATTGACAAAAATACTGATATAACATTGGATATAGGAGTTAAAAAAATATTCATCTTCATGGTAACAAGTAACATGTCTAGTTTTTCAGCATCAACATTAAAAGTAGCATTACTTTTATTCCTAGCAATATTCATGTTAGCGACATGGCTACTATATCATCAGCTACAACCAGCTGGAAGTCTTTCAAATCGAAGTAACGTGAAAATTGAGAAAATCAACACAAAGAAAATCGATGAAAATGGAAACTACAAACCATTTCCTGGGTATACAGTTATTGCAAAGTGTCGCCAAGACCAGAAGTTAGATATTCTAAAGGACTTCATTGAGAAATCGCATTTGAGAAAATATTATTCCCCGCTGCCAGTGTCATCGTATCACATGTCACTCAGTAGGTTACCGAAGCTAAACAATTCCTTTCATGACGCATCCAATAAAGCGATACATGTACCATTAAAACGAGCGATGGAATTATCAAAGAAAATGTTACCCAAATCCATGAAAGTGAGGTTAAAACTGGACAAGAAAGGAAATCCATCGCGAATACTTCCCAGCATGCTTGTGGAGATCATTGATAAAAAGAAGCAAGACTCAGTGAATAAATTTCAACGTAAATGTAAGGAGGAATTTGGAGTACAGTTAAATTGGTTAGCCAAACATGGATTCCATATTGCCCTCGCATACAGATATAAAGAGATTCCACAAGAAGATAAATGGATTATAGATGGCGAGATACGCAAACTTGGGAAAACTGCATTGAAGTTATTCCCAATTGAACTTGAGCAAGGGGGTGTTTTCACATTTAAAGATATGACAGAATTTATGCCTTATAAAGCATAAACTTGCCTCATACATTGAGCTCAAAGAGTAAAAATGAGTGATGTACGTACAAGCTTGCATGATACAAGATAGTGACTGATCTATGCAAAACATCGTCGTCTTGTGGATGCTTATATTATAGTCTAAATAAATGAACACGGTAAATCCTATATCCTATACAGTACCTGACATTGAGAGAAACATGAGCAAGATTGTAAATAATATTCTACAGTTTTTGACCATTTTGGTTTACGTTTTTTATAACTATACTCAGTGACAAACTACTGTGTTCCAGTTAATAATCAGGGAGTCTTAGGTGCATCACCTTTTTCTGATTTGCTTTTACCTACTTTAAAATAGCAATTAATGTGTAGATTTGAATAGACATTTTTAAAAATTTAAATTGTGTGTGATTTTGATCAAAACATTTTGAGATCATCTTTGAGCACAAAGTAGCATGTGAAGACCAAAAATATCACCCTTGGTACATGCAGTTACCAATAATGTGCTGGGCGGATGTGAAAGCATGACTTTGGCTGTGCCAATAGTTCCTTTTGAACTTTAATAACCTATATCTCACTTCATGTCAACCTTTTTGTCTCATACAGTATTTCAAATGTATGATGCCTTGGAGTGTTTGGAATGCCCCAAGAACTTGCTCATTGTAGTTTGACAGGCACACTCCCAGCCAATGGTTATTTTTGAATTTAAATTACACTTTCTAATTTAAATTCAAAAACACCCATCCCACCCCCAGTCAAACTTTTGAACCCGTCAATTATCAGTAGCTGCGTATACCAATGGTGCTATATGGGTGATAAAAGACCATGATTACTTACAGTTGAACCTGAATCTGTCTTTACAGGTTTTCTGCCATTGTTAAGGTTCTTTAGAAAGAACTCCAGCTTTATCAGGTGATTCCTCTTAGTAATTCCTAAGTCATTAACCATCATCTGAATCAAATATGTGTAAATGTTTAGTCATGTATGGAATATTCAATTACAAATTAATACAAAAGTGTACACGAGGGATGCCCAAGAAGTCAAGCATTTTTGTTCAAACTTTCCCATATACTTTTGTAATGATTTGTCATTATGTTTATACTGTATTAAAACAAACATAAACTTATATTATCATGGACTTGCGCATTATTTATCTCATTATTATGTCAATCTCTTCAAAAGGATTAAATGAACTGCTGCTACTGAAATAATTGAATTGAATACTGACCTCTTTGGTAAGGCTACCAATGGTATCCATGGTGAATCCTGCACCTCGTATTGTGTCATACAGCTCCTGGAGATTGATACTGCTTAGCCACGTAAACATGGGACGATCCTGGTGGTTAAAACATTCAATTAAAACTTCACTATGATATACATTCTACCAAACAGCCTTACTATATATTCATGTCCAGGGTGGACCAATAAAATGAATACCCTTATTATAGTAGTGTCAATCAAAATGGGTAACATTTTTTTGGCCCAGCCAGTAGCATACAAATACTTTTTTGTATTTTTTACGAAAAGAACATCATTTATTTTTCAGTTTTTTTTAAATGATATTTACTTCAATTTTGGCTTAAAAAGAGTGGCAATAAGAAAGTCTTACTTTTTTGTTGTTGTGTTTAGGTGTGTTGCCTGATGTGTGGATTGGTCTCCCAGGCGATGCAAGATCAGGCACTGCCTTGGCTGCTAACACAAGGTTATCCCTACAATGATCAGTTGCATACAATTAATAAATGAACCAAATTAGTGCATCCACATAAAATAATATATCAATTCTTTCGAACTTTAAATGTAGATTTTTTCCCTGCTTTTAAGAAGATTGATAAGAATATCAACAGAGTATACAGAACCATAAGAATATAACCAGTCATAATGATAATAAACCCAAATACAGACTGTACTGCAAAATATGGTCTAAAGTACAATGAAACAATGTCTAACAGTACTACCCTCCCCATCTTTAAGGAACCTTTATCAAATATCGTTGTAGATACTAGTATTAATACAAGATACAGCATTCAGTCTTTAACATATTGAGTACATGTAATAAAATTTTGCAACATTCAGAGATACAACCAATATGTGATTTTGCATCATAATGAGACCTCCATTTTCCATAGAAGTGTGCCACCTTTTTAACATATATAAGTTTATTCTCATATAAGACAGACACATTGATCACAATGTGTATGACCACTGGGACTCTATTGCAATTTTGCAGCTCCTACCTGACTTCTTGATATTTCTTAATGATCTCATCTACCAGTCTGTTGTTCTTTAGTTCTGGGGCAGATACACTCTACAATAAATTGAAATAAATGTACATTTGTGTTTACTCAGAACTTGAAAAAATCAGCCAATGGACTTATTTTAGGTAACTACTACAAAATCACAAGTTATTTTACGCTAAAATAAGTTAGAGTAGCCGGGGACAGCACTAATATAATAATACTTTGCAGATTTCAGTACAGTGCATTAAAGTTTTGGCCAATGCTATACAGAAAATGTATAGTAGTCCAACTTACCACAGAACATGTTGGACATTGTGACTTGTAATTGATGTAGCGGCGTATACATCTTGAGCAGTCTGAAACAATAAGGATAACAAAGGACATAGTGAATAACAATTAGGACCACATAGAACAGTGTGGATAACACAAAAACACAGTGGATAACACAGGGACAGGGAAGATAACATTAGCCAGTTTGAATTCCACCATGATTAAAGCATGAAATCTGGTATGATTGGGTTCAATTCCCAGTTCAGGCAAAAGTATGCATTGTTATCTATGAACAATTGAACATATGTCAGTGTCTGTGTTTTGGTGCAAAATAACACTGAGAACGCTTCAAATCACCAGGTCTGTGAAATGTATGTACCAATGGATTACAGAAAAAGTTACAGAAATACAGCAATATTGAGATAACCCAGACAAAAGTGATGGCAAAAAGTCTACTGATATTGATACAGTGATAAGTTCTGTTGATTTTATTCCATTTTTGTGGAATATAATTGATGAATTGTATTTGTCACATATAGTGACTGAGGTATCATGTCATTTCATAAGAACATTCTATCGTTTTTATGTGGTATTACCATAGCTGTGTTGAAGTATTTAAAACAATCATATTTCAGTATACATGTACATGTATTACCTTGGCATTACATGTATTATATATCATATTTATTACTTACAAGTATGGCTGCACTGTGGTATTACCATAGCTGTGTTGAAGTATTCAAAACAGACAGGACATCTTAACAGGTTGTCAAGATCCTACAATAAAAATTGTAAACAAATTACCACAATTGCAAAAATATTAATTAATCTAACCCAGGCATCCACCATGACCTACATGTATCATGATTCATTGTCGAATCCAGGGTGGGGCCAGAATTTTTTTTAGGGCTCAATTTTCCGTTTTAAGGGCCCAAAATCTTTTCCCCCTTGTGTGGGGACAGAATTTTTTTTTGGGGTTTTAAGGGCCTAAAATTTTTTTCTTGACTTAAAATGTGCCCCCCCCCCCTCTTGTTAGCTTCTCGATCCACCAGTGTGATCTATCATCATATAGGATACAATTGTCGACCTCTCTAGAGGTCAACTGGCAAAACTGTATACCGAGACTGTAAACTGAGAAACTACTGTTGACAGAGACCGAAGGTCAAGGTAGTTTCAAGTAGTAGTTTCAAGGTTTACAGTCAAGGTGTATGACTCTGACGGTTGACCGAATGGAGAGGTCTACAATTGCTTTGTTAGTCAGAATAAACTAATAATACACATATAGACGACAATCATCAATCATGGCTTCATTTCACAATCCTTTCTCCGAACCACGCCAGACAGACAGTGGTAGCTAATCTCTCAGTTTTCGGCACATGACAGCGTACTCACTAGGAAATTAATGTTAATTTTATGTTTATATTTGTATTTTTGCTACACTTGTCATCTAGTAAAGTCAAAATATCACTTTCATCAACGTTTACAATGTCCATCTACCATGTTTTTTCTGTAAACATTATGAGGTCATATTCCCCATAATTCACAAGTGTAGTACAGTAACATACATGGTCAATAATATGATATCCCATGATGAACAGGTAGGGTACAGGCAAAAATGTTGACCGCTAATTGACCAATCAGATGCGAGTATTTACACTGAAGTACTAACTACATCATTTATTCCATAATTATTTTATCATCCTCTGTCATCCATTATTATCACCTTTGTTCACCTACTGTCATATATCATCTATCATCAGCAATAACCATAAATAATCATTTATCATCATCTTTAATAATCTATCACCTCTTGCAGGCCCGAAGCTAGGATTAGCCAAGGGGATTCACTTATTAAATAAAAAATTCCAGGGGGGGTTCACTTTTTGACAACTTTTGCCCAAAAAGGGTCAAAATCACTTGAAAAGTGGCTTCCCCAAATTATTTAACATTTCTATACAAAATTAACTCTAGCTTGGGTAAAATAAGCGTTATTTCATAATGCAATCGATTCTTCATATTACTATTAATATATGATAATAAAAACGCATAATGCTTTCAAGTCAGTAAAGGCAGATTTGAACTTCTGAAAACTTGTAGCTAATTTTGAAAAAAACCTGATGTCAGTCTAAACAGTATTTGCTAAGTTATTGGAAGTTTTTTAAGAATTTGTTACAGACGCCAAGAAGATTTATTACAGACGCCAACCGGGACCACAAAAAAATGGAGACCATAACAATATGTCACCAGCTTTTTGGTGGTGACATAATAATACCCAAACAATCAAAGCAAATTTTAAAGCGAATTTGCGTTATCAATTCATTTCCAAAGAAAGTATCCTTATATCACACCCTGTTCAATCGGGAGTGTATTGGTGTATAAATTGATAATTTATCTACTTTGTAATAGGGGATAATCATTGTCTAATTGTACTTAAGTGTTATAATGAATTATGGACAAATTATATTTCTTTTAATTAACTGCGTCTTTTATATTTAGAATGAAGTGATTACGTTATCATAATCCAAGTAATCTAACCTATCTGTATCAGCATTAATTAGTGTACAATGTACATGTAATATGAAAAAATATTAAAGAAGATATAATAATCCGGTCTCTCATGAAAGCATTTTCTGCCATACTTCTTGACTTTGATAATTATTTAAAAATTAATTCGAGGCTCCAGATGCAAGAAAGTATTCCTATATCCCTGAGAGCAGCTACATGTAAATCAGGCTTAACAAATGCTTACTTCATAAGTTATCGAAAATAATCAGACTTAGGAACTCTAGGGTTAAGAGTCATATACCATTTCATTGATGGATTTTATAGTGTTTTTTAAGTGTATAATTTTCTGCAAAAGCTTTTGAGCACACATTACATGCAAAACGCTTTTCTCCTGTATGTACTTTTAGGTGCGCAACAAGATTACAATTTGTTGCAAATTCTTTAGAGCAAACATCACATTTTAAAGTTTTTTCTCCTGTGTGTAGTCTATAATGTCTTGAGAGAGTATAGGAAACTGCGAAGGTTTTCGAGCAAACATCACATTTGAAATTCTTTTCCCCAGTATGGGTTTTATAGTGCCTTGTAAGAATAGAGGAGGTTGCAAATGTTTTAGAACAAACATCACATTTGTAATCCTTTTCTTCTGTATGTACTTTATAGTGTACTTTGAGGTGATATTTCCGCATAAATGTTTTATAACAGATATTGCATTTGAAGTCCTTTTCTCCAGTATGTATTTTTACATGTTTTGCTAGGTTAGACTTTTGAGCAAATGTTTTAGAGCAAACATCACATTTGAAGTTCTTTATTCCAGTATGGCCTTTATAGTGCTTTAAAAGCTGATAATTCGTTGCAAATGTTTTAGAACAAACATCACATTTGAAATCCTTTGCAGAAGATTTGAAAACACTTTCTCCTGTATGTACTTTGAGATGGGATTCAAGATTAGACTTTCGTGCAAATTTTTTATAACAAACAGTACATTCGATATTCTTTTCTTTAGAATGGCTTTTCATGTGACTAGTAAGATGACACTTTTCTGCAAATCCTTTAGAACAAACATCACATTCAAAGTTCTTTTCTCCTGTATGTATTTTAAGGTGTACTACAAGACAAGATTTCCGTGCAAATGTTTTAGAGCATATATCACATTTAAAATTCTTTTCGCCAGTATGGATTCTATAGTGTCTCGTAAGATGATACCTACGAGCAAATGTTTTTGAACAAACATCACATTTGTGATTCTTTTCTCCTGTATGTACGTTAAGGTTCAAGTTCCCACATTGATTCTGCATATCCATAACAAATCTTTGGTAGAACTATATAAGTAAAATTCCAAGTAATTCAAAGTTCAGCAGTCAGTTGTTAGACTTTCTAAGGGTTTCTCCAGTAGAGTAGATCTAGATGATACTGCATACAATTCATTCAATTGATGTTTGAAGTAAGAGGCAGTGGAAATGTAAGTCCATCAAACCTAGAATAAGTAATCGAAGGAAGACAGTGCAATACTATATGGAAAAATACATTCATATATTACAGTGCTCGCCATAAGTCTAGTTGAAAGCCCATGGCTGAAGTGAGGATTTCCCAAGTTAAAAAGAAGAGAATTTTCAAGAGGCTATACATCAGTGGATGAGAGTATACAAAATGTAAAATAAACAAAACTTAAGGGATGTGTATCTAGACATTATTGGAAAGTATGAAGTCTCAAATTACCATGGTCTGGAAATGGTGATAGAAAATCCAGGTGTTATTTATTCATGGTGAGCACTTTAGACACAATTATTTTGCATATTCCAGATTAGTAGCTTGATGGCAGTAAATCTGTGGCATTTTAGAGCTAACCAAAATTTTCAAAATTGCCTTTGTAAGGTGAACTGGAAGTGAACAGAAAATTTGAAAAATATGCAAGACTGCTTTGATCTTCAGTCAGTTGTACTACTCCCATATATCATCATATATCCCATATATCATATATGGTCATGGTCAAAATGACCCTTACCATGCTGAAATAACTTTTTCAGCCCTCTGAAAATGTAACTGAAAAAAGGTCCGAGTTAGCATTTCGGAAAGGTCACTGACCAGAATATTTTGAATTTTTCAGAAAATGTGCCTAACATATTGCTAAATGGTAAATATTTCTGATAACTACCCGAGACCTAAGTATTATGAGACTATGAGACCTTAGGTAAAGCTGAAAGTGGATTCTAGCAATACTATCCCACATGAATCTATAAATGGATAAACTTGAGTTGTTAGAACTTTTTGTTGGCTCTATTTCAGAATTTTGGATTTTTCAACCTTTATATTTTCTAAAATATAACAAAGAGAAGCTTCAAAATACAAGAAGTCACGCAGTTTTTTGCAAAGCTACAAACATTCTAAAAGCATGTCAAACATTTTGCATCTAAAACAAGTAAAATATGAACATATTTTTCCATATAATATTGCACTGTGGTCAACTGGTTACATATTTTCATGTTATGAACTTACACTTCCACTGCCTTGTACTACACAAGTATTACACTGTATTATCATCTACACAGAAGGGCACTCACTCGGTACATGTAATTTATTGGCATAATGACCTTGTTATTCAAAAGCCCTATTGTACATGTTGTATTGTGAAATCAGTGAGTTGATATTGTACAGTATCACAGGGTGTGTACCAAATTAGCGTGACAGTTAAATGCGCGTGGTAAACAGGCAAACTGATGTTTTTATTGTTTCAGAAAGATCTTGTCTAGTTTCTAGATATTTTTAAATGTAAATGTCTATAATAACATCCTAGACAGTGAACTTGACAGGGAACTTCATAGTTTAACCTACAAAAACTCAAAATGTAGAATGCAGTATAACGCGGGATAAAGGTAAGGTAAAACACAAGGAATTTGATTTTGCTTATACCATATCTCAGGTAAATTGACCTTCGCATTAAACCATATACTATGTTCAATGAATGAGCAGGTTTAATTATAAAATTCACTGTAAAGTTCACTGTCTAGGATGTTGTTGCAGATATTAACATATCAAAATATCCAGAAACTATATCAGATCTTTCTAGAACAATGAAAACATCAGTTTGCTCCAATTTCATCACCCTCATGTTGCACCTAACCCGGCGCGTCCAACTGTCATGGTTAATTTGGTACAGCCCCTGTGAGTATACATCATAACATGACTGCATAATTTGAATATCACAGTCACAGTGTGATAAAAAGCTGATACATTCACTCTAATTCATCTCTTTAATGCGAAAATCTCATCAGTTTTTTAAAAGTTTTTTTTATGTCAAATAAAATTTGCCAGGCATTGTATTTCATACTTTTGAGAGTCGTAACATATACAACAAGCCACAGGGTGAACAGAATCGCACCCTTAAACAGAATACACTTTTTGGGATGGAAAATTCAAAATGGCCACCTTAACATTTATCCAGACTGCCTAAAAACTAATCAGTTCTAAACTTTCCAAAGAAACATCTCTAAAGTTTTAGGATGAATCCATGAAACCTGTAAACAACCCTCAAGAGACACGTTTTAAGGTATTACTTCACAGTGTAACAGCTTTTTTTCTACAATTCAGATTTCCCTGAAAAAAATCCTGGTAAAAGATATACTGATATTTTACAAAATATGTGAAAATCGAAAAGATTGACCGTTTAGTTACTTCTAAAAATAATGTTTTAATTTAACACTGCTCTCAATGGGAAATTCTTTTTTATTTTTTAAAACAAGCCTTCACAAACACCATTTTAGGAAGAAAAATCCAAAAAGGCCGCCTTAACATTTACCAAGAATGCCGAAAAACTAATCAGTTCTAAACTTTTATAGTTAGAAACATCCCTGAGAATTTCAAATGAATCCCTCAAACGGTTTGGCTGGAAACCTGTAGACAAGCCTTGACAGACTAGATTTTAGGACGGAAAATCTAAAATGGCTGCCTTAACATTTACCCAGAATGCCGAAAAAATAATCAGTTCTAAACTTTCATAGGTAGAAACATCCCTGAGAATTTCAAATGAATCCCTCAAACGGTTTGGCTGGACACCTGTAGACAAGATTATTTGGGACACCCGCCCGCCCAACCGCCTGGCAAACTTATTACAATATAGCACCTTAGGGTGCGATAAAAATAGCTTGCATCAATATAGAAACTTAGGAGAATCAGGCTTTTCAAATTACCTCATGTAAATAGTCAGCCAAGTAACACAATAATAACACTTCCTGTCTTTTGCCAGTCAAAATATGTCTTTTTCCAATATCTTAAGAACTGTGTTTGGTAGATATTTCCCACCACCATAATTCATACTCAAGAGCATTTCTCTGTTTGAAACACAAACTGATAAGTCATATATTTGGCATATTTTCTCGAATTTTAACATTTAATGTCCCAAACTACCCCAAACTGCAGAAAAGTGTAAACTGTAAATTATATTTACCAAAATGAGTGCCTCCAAGGCTTCATACCAGCGTATGCAATGCATGATCATGCATTTGTCACGAGTTTGAGCTGAAATTTTGCTGAAATGAAGTGAGGGTCATCTCCACCAGGTTTGTTTATTGTGGTTAGCTTTTAATGGTTAGTGCTAAGAAGCAAATAATTCATGTGCGCAAAATATTCCAATAATCTGATTGGTTTCAACTTAAGTGTGCATGCGCACAATATGTGCCATGATTTTTTCTAGTGATTTCATTTTGTTCCATGGAGTTTGTGTTTCAGTTTCCGCAAAAATGGCAGACCAATGACAGAATTAACAGGTAAAATCACTTCGAAATTTAAGATAACTTTTTACCTATAATAGCAAAACTTTTGTTTAATTTGTGCATAAGATAAGAAGGAGGGGTAAGGTGACTGATTATATTCACCAGGTTATGAAGGTGAAATTCCCCATTCATATCTTCATGGCTATTGCGCATGCGTCTCATATGCGTTACACTTATCACGTGCTAGGACTATAGTCTCACGATCTGATTGGTCCAATTGCAAAATAAGGTGCTCCACTTCTAGAAACCGAATTTTACGATGGTCTTACATATGCAGTATTATCTGGCCGAAATAGCATGGTTGTATGAATCATATTATATATCATTAAGGGTGTTATCTCGGGGTTGTTTGACTGGATAATGAATAATGATGAAAATATCAATATTTGGCTCTTGCTGAGCATGGCCATGTGCTGAGGCAAGAGCCATATCTCACTTGGGTTTAGTAGTAAGTTTAAACATTAGTTTACTAGTAGAAAACCTGATGGGTTATATTTATTGATGAAAATGAGTTAATTCCTCGAGCAAAAGTTTAACCCTAAGGTGTTAGTTAGAGAGGGTTTCAAACGACATATACCCACATTTTACTACAACCACACCATGAACAGTGCGCACTGATTTTCGGCAACATGATTTCCTAAATACGACAGAAATACGAGCGACTTCTTGATTTAGAATTGTGAACAATTTACAGCATTAAAAAAACTCTGAACATTTAACTATTTTATTAATATCTTCGGAGAACGAGAATCAAATTGACCCATCTTCACTTTTTGAAGTTTGGATGTTTTCTAAGAGGTCCAGGTACTCAGACCTTCACAATTTAAAGATCTTAATCCGTTCAAAATGTTTGGATTTCTACTTTTACCGTTAGGTAAATTACAACTGCGTTAAAAGTAAGCTTGGCAATTTACTTAACATAGAAAACACTCTTCTGTAAGGAACACCTGCTTTACAACTCGATACAATTCATTACAACACTGCAAACATCTCCTTCGAGCCTTCATTTTTTTAAAGTGATCTCTTGTTTTCTCTGAAATTACTTTCACGACCTCTTGATCACGGATAGTGGGAAGTCCTCCATATATTACTTATATTATTTCTCAGGTAACGCAGCTTCCATCCAAAATAAAAAATATGTTTTTTTAAAATAAATTATTTGTCTAGTTTTCGTTAAACAAATATCCTGAGACACATAGGGCCTGTAGAAAACACTAAACAGAAAAATAAAAAAAATATTCATACCTCCAAATCTGCTTTATTGGTCAGATAATGCACCAAATCATAATGGTTGTTCAAAATAAAAATTTAAGGGGACGGAGCGCCTATCTCGCGAGAATATCAAATAATATGTACATCATGCTACGATTCATTCTAAAATTGAATCTAGAGGACAGGTGACCATATTTTTTTCATATTTTTTTAATTTTTAGTAGCATTACCTGGTGTATATACAGATGGAGGATATATACTACTTTTTTCAAGGCCTGACTGCGTCGCTAACATGCTAAATATAAGAGTTAGCTGACGTTTGGGAGTCTGACTTACCTTCTAAAGGTTAGAACCCGAATCTTAATGAAACCATATCACCTTTGTTGCGTCGATGATGATGCATAAACATAGCATTTGATAGAAATTAGCGTAAATGCTTTTCCGACTTTTTCATTTTTCATCAATGTTGACTTCCGGGAAGGCGTTGTAGTTATCACGAAATAACGCATTGACTCTAGGGCTGCCATCGAACTCAAATGTCAGTGTCGACAGTCGAACTCTGCTGTCGAAAATATTGTCGACAATCGAACTTTCCAGGGAGAAAAAATCATCGGGAAAAAAAGAAAAATTATTTCTGTGTTGTTGGTTCGTTTTTTCCAAATCTATCGGGGAAAAGCTTCATATAACTTATATTCATATTGGTATGTAATTGCCTAATATTGTTACTAAATGCCAAGTTAATAGAATATTATAGACGAAAATGGGACAAATACCTGCAATGTTTCGACCGGGATTTATTTCGACTGCTCGGGCGAAATCTCGTACAACGTCTCGCAAGAGAGAAGAGAAGTCATGAAGGGAACTTCCGGGTGAATTTATTTTTTGAAAATGAAATGAATGTGAACAATATTTCCGCAGAATACGCGCACATAACACGTTGAAATGTGTATTGAAATGTATTGGGGCCATTTGGATATTTTCAAGTAAGTATTGATATCGTTTGCTGTCGACATGACGGGAATTTTTGTCGACTTCGTTGTCGAACTTGCATTTTGACTGACAAGTCGACGTTCCGACTAATGATGGCAGCCCTACCCTTGAACTTTACTTTGTTGACGTGTCAACCAAGCATGTCTGGTGTGAAAATTAAAAGAATATTAAGCAATGTTCTACATCCGCCAAGCTAAGTGAAGTAGTCAATATTTAAAATTACCAATTTCAAGTGAAGTACGCAACGAACGAAACTGCGTGATCTACACTCCCACTATTGGTCTGAATGAAATGCTACGTAGAAATATGAGCCGTCTGCTGTATTAGTCGATTAATAGAGTAAGACCTGTTGGTGATGCTTTATAATTTAGACCAAAACATTGAAGAACAAACGAACCTGTAAATCGTGAAAACAACGAACAAATATTCGGTTTTCACATATGTTCGGTAATTTTTCGTATTGAAACTTCCGGAACTTACAAGGAAATCATTCATTTTCTCGATCCATGATTTACCTCTTGGATGTTGTGGCAAATGCTCCATGGTTGACGGAACAAAGGTGATATGGTTTCATTAAGATTCGGGTTCTAACCTTTAGAAGGTAAGTCAGACTCCCAAACGTCAGCTAACTCTTATATTTAGCATGTTAGCGACGCAGTCAGGCCTTGAAAAAAGTAGTAGATGGAGGACTTCCCACTATCCGTAGCATTGGACAACCATTTTTTTAAATTAACCCAACCCCATTAAACTATATATTTTCTGAAAGCTTGGAGTTTCAATAAAAAGAAAATCTATAACCGAAATTTTTAGAAAATGCATACTGGCCGTGGCACCCATTTAAAGTAGGTCACCCTCAGGGGGTCCAAAAATCGTTTTTGCTAAAAACTGACCCCAACTTTGAAATTTAATTAAAAATTAACAATAAGGTTTATCTTATCATACCTTATATTTTCTTGTAACTCTAACTTTTATTTAACCAAACAAAAAAAATGAAGGTCTAATATAAGTTCATATTTTCGTAAATTAGAGTCACAGAGTATCACCCATGGGCGTTTTTTGTATTTTTTTTAAAATAAACATTTGCAATGTACAATTTCCTATGTCTCTTTCATTTGGATCAATGGAGAACATTAGTACAAATATTTTTTTATTACTTGAGTAATATTCTTTCCATGTATACAAATAGTGTATCTATAAGCTGACACTACATGTATATCACTAAATTGTTTACCATAATATATAATATACATATGTCCATATGTACATGTATTATAGTTTTCAAAAGTCTTGAGAGAGACCAAAATAAAACTTTCCAAGTCGTTAAAACAAGCATGCTGCATTTAGAGATCAATGGTATGAGACATCAAGTGATTAGTGGTATGGGACATCAACTAACCAATAGTATGGGGCATCAAGTGATCAATGGTATGGGACATCAAGTGATCAACAGTATGGAACATCAAGTGATCAACAGTACTGGATATCAAGTAATCAACAGTCTTGGACAATCAATAATCAATAGTAATTAATAAGTATTAGGGAATAAAATAATTAACAGTGTGGGAAATCAAGTGATCAATGGTATGGGGTAGTAAGTGTTAAATAGTATGGGACATCAAATGATCAATAGTATGGGACATCAAGTGAACAACAGTATGGGACGTCAAGTGATCAATAGTATATCAAAGGAATCAACAGTGTGGGACATCAAGTGATCAATAGTGTGGGACATCAAGTGGTCAATAGTATGGTATACATGTATCAAATGATCAATAGTATGTGACTTCAAGAGATCATTAGTATGGGTCATCAATGATAAACTTTTACAGTATGGGGCATCAAGGGAGGTGAGACTGCAAGTAGTCAAAGTGATTATCCGATGATAATAGATTGGGGCACCTGTAATTACTGAATTATGCATTGGTAATTGTCAAATAATCATACCAACCTATCCACATCGATCCACGTGCTTGATCGCGAGAACAACAACAAACTAATCACGTGACAATAACAATCTTTTAATCTGTGTCTAATAAGTCCAAATTCAACGGACATCGTATGAAGAAGTTTTCAATAGCATATTTGATTTCATAAATATACATTTATTTGAAGTAACAACCATAATTGAACACAGATTAACCAAAATTAACGATTTTATTTTTGCGCAAGACACGCGACCCCGGAAGATAAATATGGCCGCCATCTTGCATGAGAATCGGAAGATTACACCAGCCACTTTAAAAGTTGAATTTCTACATTTGCGCATATATATATCAGTGTAAGTTTTAATTTTTACGATCTGAAGACTTTAAACTTTACAAATAACTGCTAAATCAAAGCGACCAAAAATTATTGAGGGTATAATTAAATGATTTAAACTTTACCTCGTGAAGTTCGTCCTCGCCAAAAACGATTTTCTTCTATTCTTCAGAATGCGCGAAGACTTCATTCAATTATTAAACAGATTTTATAAAGAAATAACAGCAATTCGACTTTTAACATAGTTAAAATGAGCGACCAAAATTGCATATAAAAGCGGGGTCAATTTTTTAGTGAATAAAATTTCCCGCGAAAACGCGCCATCTATTCGTTGTCCATTGCTACTATCCGTGCTCTTGATCCTTGAGGGAAAAAAATAAATCAAATTTTCTAACTTACCCTCATTTGCTGGAAATTTTCTGGCCAGTCAGATGGATCGAATTCCTCAGACATTATAATTTGTTCACTTCTGCCTTCGATTACATTAATTGGTGAATGAAGTGCAATGTATCTTGTAAAATAGTGGAAATGTGGAGATTTTACAAAATTTGCAGTTTGGCGGTAAAATGAGGTCAAGGTCAAACTGGGAATTCCCTGCGCAAACGGAAGTGCGCAGTAAAAAATATGGAAGAATATGCACGTGAACCTTGGTTAGTTTTTCATGTTTTACTACTTTTATAGCGATAAATTTATTCAAAATACGCAAAATTTGTATTTTGTAAGTACATATTATCTTATTTTTCAAATGTTTTAGGGAATCACTGGAACAATGATGTCACAATTCTCGTTCAAATTTCAACCTTCAAAAAATTATCAAACTCACTCAGTCTCAAGTGCAAGTGATTTTGAAATCAAACCATGATGAAATCTCTTGGTTGGAGACCGTAGAAGAGATATACATGTTATATCCTCTACACTCTACCTCTCTCTCTCTAAAACTTTTTTATTCTGGGAACTACTTCATATGGTTAAAACAACGAAATTGTGTGATGTAACCACGTATTTAGAATTGTTTTCATGGCCTGAGTTCGTCGCTAACATGCTAAATATAAGAGTTAGCTGACGTTTGGGAGTCTGACTTACCTTCTAAAGGTTAGAACCCGAATCTTAATGCCATATTGCCTTTGTTCCGTCAACCATGGAGCATTTGCCACAACATCCAAGAGGTAAATCATGGACCGTGAAAATGAATGATTTCCTTGTAAGTTCCGGAAGTTTCAATACGAAAAATTACCGAGCATATGTGAAAACCGAATATTTGTTCGTTGTTTTCACGATTTACAGGTTCGTTTGTTCTTCAATGTTTTGGTCTAAATTATAAAGCATCACCAACAGGTCTTACTTACAGTGTAGATCACGCAGTTACATTTGTTGCGTACTTCACTTGAAATTGGTAATTTTAAATATTGGCTACTTCACTTAGCTTGGCGGATGTAGAACATTGCTTTATATTCTTTTAATTTTCACACCAGACATGCTTGGTTGACATGTCAACAAAGTAAAGTTCAAGGGTCAATGCGTTATTTCGTGATAACTACAACGCCTTCCCGGAAGTCAATATTGATGAAAAATGAAAAAGTAGGAATAAGCATTTACACTAATTTCTATCAAATGCTGTATTTATGCATCATCATCGACGCAACAAAGGTGATATGGTTTCATTAAGATTCGGGTTCTAACCTTTAGAAGGTAAGTCAGACTCCCAAACGTCAGCTAACTCTTATATTTAGCATTTTAGCAACAAACTCAGGCCATGAAAACAATTCTACTTACCAGTATGTTCTATGGCATCCATCGGATTAGGTTACATTTTGGAAGTCAGCCAAACACGTCTTTAGTAGATACCCTTCTAGATACCCTCAGCACACACTCCACTGGGTTCTGAACTAAATTGCCTCTGTATAGTGAACACCTCTCTGTAGTAAACTCCTGTCTTTAGTAAACACTTGTCTTTAGTAGACACCCTTCTCAACACACACTCCACTGGGTTCTGTACAAAATTGCCTCTGTATAGTGAACACCTCTCTGTAGTGAACTCCTGTCTTTAGTGAACACTTGCCTTTAGTAGACCCCCTTCTCAACACACACTCCACTGGGTTCTGTACTAAATTGCCTCTGTATAGTGAACACCTCTCTGTAGTGAACTCCTGTCTTTAGTGAACACTTGTCTTTAGTAGACACCCTTCTCAACACACACTCCACTGGGTTCTGTACAATATTGCCTCTGGATAGTGAACATCTCTCTATAGTGAACACCTGTCTTTAGTGAACACTTGTTAATGAGAAGTTAATGCTCTAGTTACCCATTGAGTATCAGTCATGTATTCTATTTTATTTCCAGCCCTTGGCGGATAGTAGATGATTGCGGAGGAGCATTCTCCATGGGTGCAATAGGGGGCTCTGTCTTCCACTCTATTAAAGGATACAGAAATGCACCAGCGGTAAGGGCAAACATTAGTACAATATATACGTATAATAATCCAGATTTAGTTTTCTTGTTTAACCTATCCCAGTTGAACACTGCTTGGACCAGCTGAAAGTGTTCAGTTTGTGAAATAACCATTCTACAATTCTGACAATCTACACATAAGACCATTGGACCATGAAACCATGGGATATCAAAAATGGAACTGAAAAAATCAAGTCATTTTGGATGAGAATTTATCAATATTCCAATGGATTGTCAATGATTTGCCATGAATCAGTCAGTCATTATAATATTCTTACATGTATTTCTTGTTTTCCAGGGCCACTACAGGAGACTTATAGGGAGTTTAACAGCAGTGAAAACCAGGGCACCGATAACAGGAGGTATGGGTGTTAGTGTTATACTACTATGTAGGAGGATTCATGTCAGTGATAATGAATAGATGCTGAAATATTCTAAAAAAATATTTATTTGTAAATTGAATAAATTATGGGATATTATACAAAGATTTGCCTCAAGGTAAATTTTGATTCATGAAATTAGACTGAAATTTCTGACTGCACCCCAAGGCCCAAATATTGTTTCTATAATAAAAATTATTCCTGCATTTAAGCATGGGAAAATGCTTGAATGTGAGTTTATTTACAAAGTAGCTGAGAGTAGCAAACTTGACAAAATGCTTATGATTAGCTCACATGATGATTTTTATGTCGCCACCAGAAGTGATTACATATTGTTATAGTCTCCAACTATTCTGTGGATTGTATTCAGCCTTTTGGAGTTTGGTGTCTGTGACAATTTGTGTTTGGCGTTTGTAACAATTTGCAATAACTTATAAGGTTGTAACATTTTGTCATATAATGTCTTGTTCTTGCTTCAATGCGAGAATAAAATTACACTTTTAGAATCTGTTACTTAACTTCTCATCTTTCAATTTAGGTAATTTCGCAGTTTGGGGAGGTTTATTTTCTGCAATAGACTGTTCACTTGTGTATGTGCGTAAGAAGGAAGACCCTTGGAACTCTATAACCAGTGGGGCTGCTACTGGCGCTATTCTGTCAGTCAGGAGTGAGTACAGAATTTAACGATTTCCTGTCTTTGTGCCTTCACTCAATTTCCAAATTACACTAAACTTTATTCCCTTAAAGCTAGAGAAAAAGAAAGAAAAGGAGAAGAAATTTCTATTAGGTTTACAACAAGGCTGTATCTATGAGGGTTAGGGAGTATTCATCATTAAATCAACTTGTAAAACTTTCTTCACTTAAAATTCTAATATTTTTGAAACACAGTTGTATACAGGGTGTCCCGAAAGTATGGGGCCCCCCCTAGGCAGACATATACCAGTATCGTCATAGTATGTGTTATATATCATTTGAAAGCTTATCCAAAGTTACATTGATTCGCCAAGTATCATGGTTCCACTCTCAAATGTGAAAAAATTACAGGCATATCAAAATTTAGTGTTTGGTCAAAATTAAGTTCAATTTTACACCAAATCACTAGTCAATGTGTCCTCCTGGGCCATCTTAACAGCAGCAATTATTTTCGGGTCGGGGGGATATTGAGTTGGAAAAAGATAATGGTGAGGGTAGAAACTCTAAGGAAACTCTTCTAAAGTCCCTTAATAGGTTTTAAGAGGGTTATAAAATCCCACTCCCCTATTTGAAGGGCTTTTAAGGTCATGTCTGAAAATAATTGCTGCTGTTAACATGGCCAAGGGGGGACACATTGACTAATAATGTGGTGTAAAATTGAACTTTATTTTGGCAAAACACTAACTTTTAAAATGACTGTAACTTTTTCCCATTTGGGAGTTAAACCATGATACTTGGCAAATCAATGTAACTTTGGATAAGCTTTAAAATGATATATGACACATAGTATGAGGACACTGGTATATGTCTACCTAGGGGGGGCCCCATACTTTCGGGACACCCTGTACATATCAAAATGTATAATTAATTACATTAAACTAAACTTCGTCAAAATACATGTAACTATTTTCTTAGTAATTGAAGACTATTTTTTTTATTTCTATAGATGGCGTTGCTGCAATGGCAGGTTCAGCACTAATAGGTGGCGTACTTCTAGCTTTAATAGAGGGCATAGGAATCATGTTCACCAGATTCTCAGCAGAACAGTTTAAACCAGGTACATTTAAACAAATTTGCTTCAATTTTAGAAACAGCCTAAGATCTCATGAAATGTTGGTGTGGTTTTCAGCTCTGGTAAACCCACTCTATGTAAATAAAAAAATCAAAGAGTAATAGCTCCTTCTTTACATTATGGTGTTAAAAAAATTATAAATCAATTGTTATGAGTACAATTATGTCGGAACAGTGCTAGTGATTCCTTAGAAATTTACATTATTTTGAAAAATACAGCTAAAAATTATTCCGGACATAAAGTATGCCAAATGATTTAATTTTTAATTTTCTGTGTTTCAGTTGATCCTACACAGATGCCCCAGGATCCACAACAATTACCCCCTAAACCTCTATTTGGCGGAGAACAGACTAGTAACTCTTACCAATAACATAGGAGATTTTTAGGAAATTACAATTGACCATGGAGAAAATCTCACGGTGTTCATGTTTTGAAATGTAAAATAAAAGTGGAATGGGCAAGGAATATATTTTACAGGCATGTAGTTAATACTCTAAATTGTATAGAAAAGCAAGAAAATGAAGTAGTTCATTCAGTTTAAGAGAGAAAAACATGGAATAGGCATGATCACTTTGAGTATTTTCTCATGGGAGTGTATAATAGTTTGAATGTGTAACACTGTATACAGTACACGTATAGACAGACTTTGGATATTTATTTGCCTAACGTACATGGAGGCTGAATGAGACGGTGATTTCGTTAGGGATATCAAATTATACATGAAGATACACAGTGTACCTAGTGATTACTATATCGTGGCTGGTATGTGGAGCAGAATATCAGTAGTTGATCAGTCTTGCATTTGCAACACATTAAACACAATAAGCAAGACTAATTATGGAAAATGTTTTATACAATTGATGGATATGATCAGGGTTTTAGTCTGACAATAGAGACAAAGTGGAAAACGGTATTTGTCACATGTATGATTTTTATTTTGTTAAAATGGTAGAATCTGGATTCTGACCTTCCTTTGAAAACAAGCCAGTTATTAAGGACAAAATGAAAGATGCCATGTTTTAGATTCTAGTTATTCTACCAGATAACAATCCTGTATTTTTTGCATTTGATGGTTGATTAGACATGTTTTTAATTATTAGGAACTTGTTTTGTTGGGAAAAAAGTATTTTGAGATTTGTTTGGAAAAAGAGGAAAATGTTAGTCTTTCCTCAAGTTCCATTGAACCAGCATTTACCTAACACTTGATAGGTGTAAAATATCTGAATGTATATAGGTATCTTGTGCTGAATACTTGTAATTACATGTACAAAGCAGTTGATGTATTTAACTTAAGCATAAATATATTGTAAATATATGTAAACTTAAAATTGAAAGCTGACTTTTTGTGCAGATGAATTTAAATCCATTTACCCTTGTAGGGTAAGTGTTTACCCAAAAATAATTTTTATTGCACTTTGAAAAAGTGCCATATTGCTATCGTCTTGTGCAAATGGATATGTTGGCAGGTCCCACATAAATACAATTTTGTCATCCCATGAAAACTGCCTGTTCAACTTTAAATCTTTAGATGTAAGAGCAAATTAGTGTCAAAATCTGATTAGGTTTTGGGCATGCTGCTGGATAAATTACTTGGTGTTACATCACTGTGTCTTGTTTTATGTGCTACTTTCATTATTGATTAACGAGTATAAGCTCTGTGGGCACAGGACATATATTAATTCTCAATATATTCTGCAAAAATAATTACATATTCCTCAATACATCTCAGTGAACTCACATCATAATGCTTTAAGTTTATGTTTAGTTTGTCAAGAGGGAAACAAATCTACATTTGTTTCATCCATATTCAATTTCCCAGTGAATGTAATTTCTTGCACCATGTAGAATATCCAAAAGCGATCTCTCTGCACAAGTTGAAATAAAAGGGCAAATTGGTAAAAAATCAATAATTCAGTTTATTGCAAATATTATACTTCGGTTTTAATAACTGGCAGATGTCAGATGTGCAATAGACATTTAGATGGATTACCTCCACTGTATCCTCTTTCATGTCTTTACCATATTTTTGTTAGAATTGAATAAATACTTAGAGAAAGTAGAAGGATAGACTGACATGAGTTGAGAGTATGTTTCCATGTCACACTTCAAAAAAGTCCTAATAGGTCTGACTTTATTTCGGGCATCCTCCTAAGCAGGTGTCCAGAATCCGTACCCCCCCCCTCCCCCTGCTATAACCAATTTGGAAGTGCCCGATTTAACTGAATCAAATCATCTAATTACGCGCAATGACTTTTACATGATTTCTGTTTCTGTTGGGGTAAAAAAAATATATTCTGGATTTTGAAGCCCTGTGATCGGAGGATGTATTTCAGGATAATCTGAAAATTTCTGCATTTAATATCTACTAAAATTTAAATATAATCAACAGAGAAAAAAGCAAGATCAAGTTTCAATATTTTATTTCTTTTTACAATTACAATACACAATCTATTGCTGTGAAATCGTATTTACACTGTATGCATTAACATTTACAAAATTTCAAAAATACTAAAACTGAACATTCATTTACAAGAGAATGTTAGATCAATTATCACATTTAACAATTACCATTTGGGTTCGTGGCTTAATACAAAATATGTTAAGATAATAACATGGAAGTGGGCCATGTAAAATGGCCATAAAATAAGTAGAAACAGTCATGCCTGTTGGCCTTATTCATTTTAACACACAATGTTTGTTTGTCCATATTTGCTGTAAACTGATGAAAATCAAAATAATGATGGATTTCAACCTAATATGTGCTTCATCATCATCTAAATCTGTTGTACTACGTACAAGAATAAACTATTATAGTTGAGTATTGTATAATTATAAAATATAAACATTTGATTTTAAATATTTACATTAAGTATATAAATCATATATATCTGTACAACTTTTGTGCCCTTGCAGTGCTGTTAATGGAAGGGATGGGTGTTAACTTGAATGTGACAATGAGGTAGTACAAATATACTTTTGACATGTATGATATAACCATATAAGGCTTAAGAGTGATATAACCATATAAGGCTTAGAGTGATATAACCATATAAGGCTTAGAGTGATACAAAGAATGTTCGTGAAAACATAGCAATGCAGTCAACCTGTTTATATCTCAGAAGAGAGACTATTAATATTATGAACTTCACTTATACCATCTTTTATATTGGCCCAAAACCCAGGCCGATAGCCAATCCTCCTTTAACCAAAAGTTTTTTGAAAATCATGCAATTTTTTACTATTCTGAGCAAGTAAATTTGGGAAATATTGCCAAATTTGAACCCGCTTTGCAAATGTTGGCTACGGGCCTGAAAACCTATGTTTTGTATATAGTATCAGATGAATCATATGGTTTGGAAAAATGTGCATCTTTTTATCAATTGACCTTTGAATCCAACCTACTCATGACTTGACTGAACAGGTATTTGTATTTGGATAAATCTTTCTATTTAATCTGGTTTGTGAGACATTGATATATAACTGCCCACTCTTTTCACATAAAATATAAAATAAATTCTATCATTTTTACATCACATAAAATAATCTAATCAAAAATATAAGAATGGTATATATACATGCATATAAAGCACACTCTGACAACATTTACTCCACACAGGGCCTTTAACCCTTTATGAGATCTATGAGAGTATAAAATTATTTTACATGTAATGTTTGAGATACATTCAATTGCTTCTAGTCTGTTAATAGTTCTGTTATATTTATAAATAGTAAGAATCATGCTGTGCATATTTATATTCATTTTATTCATTAGGCTATAAATTAACTAAAAACTGTCACTGTACATGTATAGTACTTACTACACTTGTTATTATAGTAAATTACATATTATTCTAGACTAGTTGATATTCTAGAGATTATATTAGACTAGTCATTATAATAGAATAGTTCCACCAGTTGTTTCTCAACTACAAAGGAATTGTTGATTGAATCAATCAAATCACTTTTACTTATAATACATGCAATATTTTTAAAAATCGGGATAATTTGATGTTTTTCTACTAAAATCATGCAAGGATGTAACGTTTCTGCTGTATGTATGACAATCACAGTGGAATTTCAATTTAAATTAATAGCGCAACATATCTATTCAATTTTAATTTGGCTGTACTATGATGAGTTATTAATGGGCTACATAATACACTGCATTTCTTATCTTAAATGGGAGATAATTCACGCAATGGTACTCATAGAAATAAAGATTCAGCCTATATTTCTAGTACTATACTGATCATACATGAAGTATGTATGTTTTAACTTTTAGGGAGATTATCTATATGAATATATTTGGCAAAGTTTAGCCTATGCTCCTAGTACATTGCCTAATACATATGTATTATACATGCCTTATTTTTACAATAAGGGAGTTTGATTTTGAATCCATGAGTTAAAGTCAGCCTACATGCCTATCGCCCTGTCTCATCATTTGAGTCACCACTCCAGAACTGATCTCTACGTTGTCGCGCCCGATCAAGCACCTCAGAGGCCAAAGAACAACTGGAGGCCACTGACCTGGCAGATACTGATAGGAGGTCATCATCATCATGCAACTCTGCCTGCAGGCCTGGAAAACATGGGGTAAATGGGTTATAGTACATGAGCACTACTAGCAATACAAAATGGGTTATAGTACATGAATAGTACTAGCAATACAAAGTGGGGTAAATGGGTTATAGTACATGAGTAGTATTAGCAATACAAAATGGGGTAAATGGTAGTGGTGCAACTCGCAAGAAAAATGCTACTCGAGTAGAAAGTGTGAAAATGCCACTGTAATCGAGTACCACTCGCAAAAATGAGGGAAAAATTTAAAAAAATAAAAAACTCACCTAGTAAACTGTTTGAAGACGAAATAGATACAATTTCTTCGTTTCTTCTATATGTTATTGATGTTATATATAGTTTGTATCAATTTAGTGAGAATAAATGTAGTTATTCATGCCATAATTGTGTTTGTTTGTTTGTTTTTAAATATTTTCATTTTGTTTCCGGAATCGATACTTTGTTTCGCTCAGTGCATCCAAAAATGATCATTCCCGGGGTATGAGATCGTTGTTTGGGAATTCAATGCCTACTCGAGTTTGAAAAAACATACTCGAGTAACTATCTTGGACAGGTTCAACGAGTGAGTGGCGAGTACTGGCATTCGAGTTGCACCACTAGTAAATGGGTCATTAAGTACATGAGTAGTACTAGCAATACAAATGGAACAGGTGCTATATAGTACATGAATGGTGCTAGGAAATAGCACTACAAATGGAACATTTTAGTACATGAATAGTGCACAGGTAATGCTATTAGATTGTTGTAGTATCAATATTTGCATATGAATGTCTGTGAGGTGATCTTACCTCCAGGCTTGTTGTATGTCTTCCCTATGCCCTCATCCAACCTCTCTAACTGTCTGTTCTGGGGAATAGCAGACATTGGACGGCCATCTTGTTTGCCAGAGTTGGGTCGATCTCTTCGCGCTGTAAATACATGAAATACATTGAATATGTTGTCACTTGTCAGTACGCTTTTAGCAGCTTTATTTCACCTGTCATAGCATGCTGTATAGTATAAAACATGTGAATGATTGACTAAACATTTGAAAATGAAATCTTTCAATCTATAAATTTGAAAGTCGTCATCAGCCATACCTCCAGCACCTGAAGGTCTTGGTTTGCGCTTAGCATTGGGACTGTGTACATATCTGGTCTCTAGTGGTTTATCATAAGGAACCTCATCATCTATGAGTTGGTGGGTGTCCCTGGTTGGCATGCCATACGTAGGTGAAGCTGGCCCCACTGGAATAGCTATTGTCTGCAAGTGAATAGTTATGCAATGTTAGATGGAGTATGGAGCATTATCACATTTATAGAATAATGTTGAATGCATGTGTCATATAGCATTTTATTATGAAGTGACCAATGCTATTTCTTTTACATATTTTTATGAACTTGAATTTACATTTTACTTCTATTTACATTATAGCATTTTATGGCAATTATTTTGTGGAGCATAATAATCATACTGACATTAAAACTCCCTATCAAAGTACTAAAATATTATTAGTTCAATATAGCGTCCACAACTAATAACTATATAATAACAACTGAAAATGATCATGCTCTGGCATTGTCTAGTGACAGAAGTTAAGGGATAGCATAGAGAAACACCCATACAAAACAATGTTAAACTACTACAGGGTTTTACCCATTTTACCAAAATACATAAAACCAAAGATTATATGGTAAAATCTGCAGCTTGGTGCAATATGTTTCAGTAGATGTACCCCTTTTCAATGATAATATGTATATCCCATTACTCCCAAACTCATGCAAAGATGACAACAAACCCCTCACCATTGAGTTATTACCAACAAGGTCATGCATTCATGCAGTCAACTACATATAACAAGTAACAATTAATAGTAACTATATGTAAAAAACCAATGCAGCAGTATCTATATTGTCTAAATTAGACCGAATTGTTTACGAAAACCACTGCAAAGATATTGTGGATGAACAGACTAGACAGACATCTTTGCAATAATTTCAATGCAGTTCCGAGCACCACTAATTTCAAGCAGTACAATAAAGTCCAACACCTAATTATCCTATCTAAGATACCTTAGAGATCTTTACAATGTCTCGCATATTCTCTGCACCACCAGACAGGACGTTATTTACTTCGTGTTCCTCTGCAGAAGTTTCTTTTGCTTTCTCAATGTTAACACCGTCCCTCACACTCTCCGAATCACTGACATTTACCACTAAACTTGGGGATCTAGCTTTTCTAGCTCCGTTAAATTGATCAAGTTTTTGCTTTGTCAATTCACTGTCCTGTACATTACTGGCTATATTATCACCACTTGTAATGTTAGAAGAGGTAGCATTTGAAATGATATGGGGTGGTTCATGATCATCCCGAAGTGAATTACTGGCATTTCTATTGAGTGAGGATTGTGGCCTACAAGTGCAACTTACCTTAGTAGGCTGAATATTTGGTTTAGGCCTTGATCTGGGAGCTACTGAGCTCTGACTGCTACTGCTGTCTGCACTATAACCACCTGCCCTATAGGTGTGACCTATAAACAATATGAAATGCTATGAATTAAATATACAGTATAAGGAGTAATTTTAGCTTTTATACAGGGTGTCAAATAAGTCTGTTCTCCCCACTTAACTTTTTTATCTTTAAATTTATCACACTTTCCCATGTATCATTTTGAAGCTCATTGAAAATGCTGATCACCCTCAAAAAATCAATCATAAACTCCTCCTAATAAAATTGCTACAATGTTTCTTGTAAGGTTGTAGTTGACCTTTGATGACGTCAAAACAAGTAAAATTACCAGGTAAAGTGAATGAAATGTGAAAAGTTGATACTGCAGTGACAATGCCAACATTGGGTGATTTTGATGTTCCTCAATATCATTACAGAGTAAAATGTGTTACATTCAGAGGAGCCTTTGAAGCAGGGGCATCTCTCATCACAAAATAGTTGATAACACCTAAAATTAAACGTACTGAATGATTTATACAGGATCATATCCTCGTAGAATTGAGGTCCTACGGGCTGCTGGGGGAGACATCAGACTATTAAAAAAGTGAAATATGGACATCACTAAAAATACTCTAAAAAAATTGGAATTTAACCAATCACTCTGAAATTTGGTGTGTGATCAGCAAATTAAATTCTTTTTAAGATGATATATACCAATGCTATGTTATCTCTGATTTAAAAAAGTAAAGGGGGGAGAACAGACTTATTTGACGCCCTGTACAAATGATGTACCAAAAGGGCAAAAATTACAACAGCTATACAGTCATATGAGGGTAGAACAATATTCAGACTTTGGATGGAATGTATCTGAGGGAGGGTGGTTCCTGATTCATTATCACAATTTACAAGGCATAAACATGCAAAATGTCAACATCTGCAATTTGTTACAGATGCCAACCGGAATTTGCTACAGATGCTGTTTCAGATGCCAAACACGGTCTACAGAAAAGTTGGAGACCATAGCAATATGTCACCACTTCTGGTGGTTCATTTTTATCACCAATGTGAGTGTCAAAGTATTTAATGTAATTATATGCCATTAGATTTATTTAATAAATGAACCATGACTTCTACCTTTAGTTGGTTGTCGTTTTGCTTTATGTTTTGGTGATGTGAGGAGAGCTCCACCTATAGCAGGTGTGGTAATATCAAGATGGTGGCGGCTGACAACTTCATTCTTTTTTATCTCAGGGGTAGGCGGTCTACCCAGGTCTGAGGTGAGAGTATCATTGTCTGATATATCCTGGGATATTAATGTGCCATCCAAGCTCCTGGCATCTCTGAAATAGATTTTAAGTTCACAACCCTTTAAAACAAGTTTTTGTAATTAGATAGTTAAATCATGTCAAATTGATATTTTAAAATGAAAAGATAATGCTGATAGAATTTAATGTAATGGATAAATCAAATGTCAGTCATTTAGGGGAGAAATGAGATTAGTAAAGCAACTTACGTGGATGATGACCCAATGTTTGATTCAGTTGACATAGAGTGTTTTGGGGTGGAAGACCTATCACTGTTACCCCCCTGGCCCCCTCCCCAGGCTAACTTCCTCCTCACTGGGCTTGGCTCTTTCCTCTTCTGGGTCACTTCTTTTTTATTTGGGCTACTGAAAGAGAAATGTTAGTTTGGTTGTATTTCAAGTCCATATGCATCTTATCATAAATAATTTACATTTCGCCAACAGGGATTGTTTCTTGATATTGATGATTTTAGAAAAGCAATTTTGAAATGTGACTATACAGCATCATATATGAGTGGAAATTCTTTTAAAACAGTGATATATAACTAACCACTAACCAGGCATTTGTGGGCTTTGGACTAATCGCCCAAATAGAAATAACTTGAAGATCTAAGTACTTTAAGACAAGAATTCTATTCAATTCTATGACAGGAAATTGTAGAAAATTCAAATACAACAAACCTTATATCTGACATTGAAGATTCTAGTGACAAAGCTGACAATGAGCTACTATTACTGACATTGTCCCACAGATCTGCCTGCCTTGCCCACAGCTGTGCTAAATGTTCCCGAGAGAAATGTGTTCCCTGAGCCCTACGTCGATACTCATCTGCCTTATTCCTGAGTTCAATGACCTCTTGATACCAGCTACTGAGGGATTTGTCATTCTGTTGCTCACCATCAGATTCCTAATAAGGAGCACATGAAGTATGAATGCAAGCTTCTGGACATGGGATTCTCCAATGAAGAGTCATTTATCATACAAAGTGTGAGAATTAAAATCAAAAAAAGACAAATCCAGTAAAGTAGTGCTGTATTATGTCCATACATAAATTGTTTGGATTCATAAACAAATTAAATGCCCAGTTTTAGACATTTGAATTTTATCTAATCATATGTTAAGTTTAACTTTAAAGTTTTGTTGGTCTTATTGGAGAAATAAAATTTTGATATCAACTCACTTTTCTTGGGTTGACCTGAGGAGGTGCTGCCCCCACCCAGGCACCTTCATTGTAGACAAACTTTGAAGGGGCCTTGAAGTTGGTTTTATACTCAGACCTATACTTCCTGAAAGTAAAACATTACTATTAGATATTGCATTTCTAACTTTCTTTAATTTTTCATTTAAATCAATTCTTCATGTGATAACATAATCAATTCATGTCATAAACAAGACATTACAAATGGTTACAAAAGTGTAACAACTGTTACAGAGATTGAATGCCAACCACCGACCATGAAAAAGAGGCCATAACAATGTAATGAACAATACAAACAAAATAAAGAAAATCCATCAAATCGACACATTATTTCATATCAAGTACTCACTGGTGTTTCCCATGTGGAAAGAAAGGTTTCTGTGGGTTCATGGATTCTCTAAGTAATCTTGGATCCTCTTCATTTGTGACAGCCTCAGTGCCAGCAGCCTTCTTCTTGTCAGGGGTTAGATCTACAGAACAAAGTATAGCATGTTTTGGTCATGTCATTTGGATACTCAGCGCATCTGTCTTGCAAAGAATGTAAGAGGGCTATGATCTCTTACAACGATGAGGTCATATAGAAGTATACAAATATTATGTAACAAATATTAGGTAATGCATTATGTAATGGATAAACAATGAATCTTGGGGATTAGAAAAAATAATGGCCAAGGGGCGAAGCGGCCATTATTTTTCCTAAGACCCAAGACGAATTGTTTATCTAACTTAAACCACACAATGGCATCATGCTTTTATTCAATGATATCTCCAAATAAAACTTGAAATAGAAGCACTTACTTGGTTCACTTTTACTTCTTTTCATCTTTGACTTTTTCTTTGGTGTTTCCCCGTTCTCTCGTATCTGACCAGAAGGCTCATAGCGGACCATGTGCCACGGTTTATACTCTCGCTTGTATTCACTGGTCTTTGGCACATGGTCGGACTTGTAGGCATTCATATGTGGATTGTTGTTGTAGATTACCTACAATGATAACAGTTCATTATTTTATATTAACTGTATAATAGTATTTGCATTTTGAAAAACTTGGATTCATAAATACTATACAGTATTCTTTAACGAAAACGCAGTGTTTAAAAATATCTTAGGTAGATGTCGACTGTCGAGTAAGTTATCTGGATAATTCACTGTTTACTATACATGTACACATATAATTGACATTTCCTAATATAATTTCTTTAAAATGCAAGGATATGTTCTACTGCACCATCTTAATCTTATAACAACACATGCAACTAACAATTCAAGGTTAAATGTTAAATACAACCACATGTCATTTTTTATTGAATAAATAACAAGGGCAAAAGGTGCATATATCAATGTTATTGATAACATTTAATAACTTTAACTATGTCTTAACTATGTACCTTTTCTTCATCTAAGTCCTGTCAAACAACATGAAATGAAAAAGTTAACAGAAGAATGTAACTTCTTGCTATACAATTCATTACAATATTTGAAGTCAGATGTAAATATATTTCATATTTTTCAACATTAAATGCTCCCATTGGTGCTCTTAATAACATTTAGTTAGTTCCCTAAACCTTTTTTTGTCAAATTCACTAGGCTCAATTAAAACATATGGGAATGCATAATTGTTTATGTAACACTATTAGTTCTAACCTGTTCTGCAGCTAATAAAGGCGAATTCTCTGCAGCATTTTTCCAAGCAAATTCTTTCTGATATTCTGAGAGTCGTTTTGGTCCTACTGCCCTCTTAGGGGGTACCCCTGCCCTGTACTGCATAGCATACTGGGGCTGAAATCAAGACCATACATATAGATGGGACTAATGAATAGCTATGAAACTGCATTGAAACTGGGAATGATTGAATGTGAAAAAATAAAAAGTTTAGTATTCATTTGAACAGCCACATGCAACACACAGTAAAACTTGTTTAATTTGAAGGCCACTAAGATCAGCCAAAAGTGTTGGAATTAGTAGGTGTTCACATTTCAAAGTTTTTTAACATGGTAATCTATTCCAGATTTAACAAGGCATTAACATGCAAAATGTCACCACCTGCCATTTGTTACAGACAAAGACCGCCAAACTCCAAACACTAACTGCTGACTGCCACGACAAAAATTGAAGGCTATGACAATATGTCACCACCAGTAAGGACATAAAAACAGAATGAAAAAAATTTCACATTTAGAGGTTTTCAGATTAGAGAGGTGTTCAGATATAAGTACTATATACTAAGTTTACTGTATATGTTTATTCCATTTTAAATTTCAAATATATAGGAATATAAGCTTACTGGAGCCTCTTGTCCTGAGTCCTGGACACCTTGGTCCATATTTGTCTGCACAAACTCATTCATCACTCCTGGTCTCTTGTCTCTCTTGTCCACTGCAGGGACACCATGGGAGAACTTTGACTTTGGAGGAGGCTTTATCTCTGGTTTTGGTAAGGATTTCTCAGCCTGAAATTAAAAATAAACAGTTGATCATGCACTCCAAAACATGTAGTATTACTCAATGTCAGTTATATATGTCAGCTGTATTGATACAAGCAAGTGTTTCAACTACTTAAGATTTTCAAAAGACTTGCCTTGGTGCCCATTTAAACCTCATCTATCTGCACCTATTTAAAACTAGGAAGATCAACATATTTGGCATAAAATTTTGAAGAGGGCTATAATTATAATGCATCCACTTAAAAAGAAATCCTGGAGAACAGTGCATGCTTAAGAGATGTTTTAATAAATTGTTATTACCTTATATGCCTTGGCTAAAGGTGGTTTCACATTTTCCTTCACTCTGTTTTTGTATTTAATACTTGGAGCAAACTTGGTCTGGTTTCCTATTAGCGTATATTCATCATTGTTTGAGTCTGACACAAACTTTGTGGTTGACGTCACAGGGATCTGAATTGGTTTACGCCTACGTTGTAATGGTGGCTCCATTTGGGTGGCTGTAAATAAAGTACTGTAAGTAAAGTACTTTCTGGACGTCTAACACTTGAGTTCCGACTTTATTCCAGAATAATCTTTGGGATTTTAAGAATCTTTAAGATTGAAGATAGCCCTTATTTCATCTTAAATTTCATTTAATAATTGGTTTACTATATTAGATATCTCAATTCTTTACTTTCAGAAATTAAAATTAGGATTATATAACAACCCTGGATAGCAAGTTGCTATTACATCTCAGGTGTGGTGATTTAAGTCTCGTTAGCTCAGTCAGTAGAGGATCACAAGGTGCTGGGTTCAATTCCCGCATAGGGCACTGAATTTAGCACACTCCCTTTCATGCCTGTATCTGGCTTGTTACACTACATCTCCCGGAGATTCCACTACAATTACTTCCAATGTTTACACTCTCTATTATGGGACAAAGCATTTCACTTACCTAGCTTGCCAGAGTTAAGTCCTGCCATTGGACCACTCTGTTCAGGTGAGGGGACGAAAGATGCAGATTTCCTTGAATCTGCCCATTTAAACCTCTCTTTATATTCTGATGAACCCTGGAATATATAAACTAAGAGTCACATCGTTGTTCTATTGTTTGGATCATATCTTTTCAAATAAGATCATTACGAAACGAAGAGAGTGAGCCCATTGAAATCAGATGTAAACATGACTTTAACTTTAACAGTGAAAGTAAAATTTAGGAAGAATATGATTTGAAATCTAATAGTAGAAATTTATACGTCTCTGACATAAGACACACCCTCCAAAACGTGTACCTAGATGACTATCAAGAGTCTTAATTGTTTCACGGATTATAATAATGTGATATTGTATCATTAATCTCAAAACCCAATAGATGTATAGTATAATACAGTGAGTGTACCCATATATAAAAAATTCTCTTCGAGTAAGTGGGGATTCCGGGTAGGGGTGAATTCTAGTTCCCTTGCCTGTAAGTCTTGCCCCTATGAATGTAAGCCTCATTTGATTTTTTCAGGCCCACATTTATTTCTCAGCCTATACGCAGTAGTGGTAAACCATGGTGTAAATGCGGGGGTAAAGGGGACATAGGATGATGGCACATGCTATCTACTGCAAGACTAACGCCTGGTGTAACGGTCACCATGTTATTCAGTGTTTTTAAGTAGCGCAAGGATCCTGCCATGACCTTGGTAGTGTTATCGTGAAAGCCTGGTATAACCGCGACAATGCTGTATTATATTACAATGCCTTCCATGACCGTGGTAGTGTAATTGTGTAAGCCTGGCGCGACCGTAACCTTTATATGACATTTATGACATTCATGTTTCGCCCTTTGCTGTTATTATTTTTTATGGATTTACCTTATAATTGATCATTATAGAAAGTATGTGCTTTCGAATCGAACCTTCTTGAATAAGAGTAGAGATATAGTTTGTTCGCAAATTATGAGTTAAAAATTAGGGTTTCGCTGTGAAATTAATACACATTTTTAGTAGTCTTGATTTAGGGGAAGTGGTCCTAATTATCGCACGGTCCTAATTATCGCACGATTGTCCTAAATAGCTAAAATATGCACCCACCATCTTTTAAACCAGTGTTACGAAAAACAGTTCAACACCATTACTCCCAATCTTCATGATTTATTCATATATTTTGAAATATCTCTTCATTTTTTAAGAATTGTTAACTTCCGCCATTGTCATAAATGCTTTTGCGCAAGAAGTGAAATTCGTCTGACAAATTTTGACCCCCTCCAAATAAAGACAGAAAAGTAAGTGTATAATGTATATTTTGTTGATATTTTACACTAAAACTGATAGAAAAATGATTACAGCATATGTATGTATCTGTTATAAACAGAGAAATGTATACAGTATCGTGAAATGACATCTGAAACATAACTGTGCGATAATTAGGACGACTGTGCGATAATTAGGACCACCGCACATGCGAGTCTAAGGGGTCTTAAAGTGTTAGCGTTCGGAGATTGAGAAATGTCAAACACTACTTAGATTTTAGAGGAAAGGTTGATCTTTCGTCTCATATTCTCAAAGTAAGTTGAAGTTATCATATTTGAAATCGTCAGTAGTTTCCCTGAGTACCCGTGCGATGATAGGACGACTTCCCCTACATATTTACATGTAAGGTAGTTAAACACAAGGAAAATTGTCATTACGGTGTTCTCATGCTACTTTAAATGTTATTTAATACAACCACGGTCATGAGAGGCCTTGCAACTATTGTCACGGTCATATCAGGCTTTAAGCTTACCACGGTCATGACACGTTTTAACATTATCACGGTCATGACAGGCCTTGCAACCATTGTCACGGTCATATGGGTCTAAACATTACCAAAGTCAAGGCAGGCATTGCAATATAATACAGCATTGTCGCGGTTATACCCGGCTTTCACGATAACATTACCACGGTCATGGCAGGATCCTTGCGCTACTTAAAAACACTGAATAACATGGTGATGGTTACGCCAGGCGCAAGTCTTGCAGTGATGGGACTGATTAGATATTTGTTTACTGAATACAACTACTATCCTGGCATCTTTGCTTTCGTAACACAATGGACGACAATGTAATATGTTGGAAGAAAGTAAGCATGCCATGAAAAAAAGAATGCAAATAGATCTAACTCAAGCACAGTAGAGAAGTTCAGATTTTTAGTACATCTCATTTCATACTCACCCTAAAACGCACAGGCATCGCTGGCTCTGTAAAAATTTAATGCTCAGGTAGTATGTTAGACAATCCAAAAGTGATATAAACTATCACATCTTTCACAAGAACAAGAATATTAACATATCTTTCAAGAACAATGTGGAGATTTAAAAAAATAAACAAAACCAGTGAAAAATACTACAACAGTACGCTGCGCATGCGCAACAAACAACGTTAAAATACGGGTATAAAACTGTTCTTTGCGTGCTATTTATAAACATGTTTGTTTAATTTTAACAAACTTATTAGTTTGAAAAATAAATACATATTGATACATTACCTTTATATTGTATAGTGTAAGTAGGAAAAAGTAATTTTATATGATTTTATCATGGAAACTAAATTTTGAATTGAATGCACGATATGTTTGTTTGATAGCCGTGAAATTGTGGGAGAATTTCAAGCTGACGTCATTTGGGAAAACACCTTACCTGTCGTTAGATGGCGCACCTGTAATTATTATTGAAACATGAGAAAAATTCACCATTTATCTTGGTTTTGTTTACTAAATAGAGGACTTTATCACGTAGAACTTTGATGGATTACCAGCCAACTGTATAATCGTTCGATAAAGATCAAATATCCAGTAAAATACCTTTCAAGGAGGGAAATGCAGAGAATAAGTGCCCGATAAGAAAATTAAAAAATCAAAAAATCAATCAGGCTGTTTCTAAGGAAGCAAAGTTGCAGATTTTAGCTGTGCAGTTGTGTAATAATGTAAGTTCTTTATGGTACTAGCAAGTAATAAATAAGGGAATATTCGTCACCTGGCATATGGGGGGCATATGTCAACGTTTCTAGACCATCTCAGAGCTAGAGGGATCATGGGCTGGTGCACAAACAACATTAAAATATGGGTACTCAGAGAGTATCTCCAACTTTGCCACAGTTGCTTGCTGTAAAATGACTAAAATTTTGTATATTTATTTTTTTAGAGGGGTATGATCAGTGATGGAGTTCTTGCATTATTAGACATAAAAGTCAGCTGGGGGGGGGGGGGGGGGGTAGTATGTATCCAACAGACTGACTAAGTCAGTCTGTTAATGATGTACTACTTTCCTGTGGAAATTGCAGTGAAATTTTTTGCACAAAATTATCAATTAGAGGAACCATTTCTTCAATAAAATAAGCATTACAAAATTTCAATTAAGTAGTAAGGTACAATTAAATGCCATAAAAAGTAACACAGCATATTGTCAAGTGGAAATAATGCTAGTTGAAGTAAAAATGTGCAAATTAATTTTACCTAATCGGCCATTTTGAATAGCACTTCCTATGTAAACAAATTTTAAAAATTACCAAACTTTAACATAGGTGCCTTATAGTCTGAATATAAATTCAGACTAAATAGGATATAGTCTAGGGGGGGGGGGGGGGGGTAGAAGATGACTGTATAACCTCCACTTATGACTGATGTAACTAAAATTAAAGGCTCCATAATATTTATAAATATTCATGAAAGGTTGAATAAGCCTTAATATGAGGCAGACATGATTATTATTAAAGAGAACCTGTACAAAACGTGTCCTCTGTCAAGTACATATATTTCGTAAAAATGGCCTTTCTCTGGTTACACCGACAATTCCCAAAAACTTAAACTTATATGGAGCACAAGCACAAGTTCAAATCTAATGAAATGCTCTACTGCTAAGACAATAGTGGATGCAAATCGTGTAACATTGTTTAAAATCCTAATTTTATTTATTGTTGAAAATAAGTAAGATCGAAGAATTTCAGAATGTTTTACTTAAAAAATTACAAGTAAGTCATCTCTGGTCTTTGTTTCCCCTTTAATTAAACTCATTATTATCAGTCAGTTAAGGCAAAGCAATATGTGTATGCAGAGTCATGAAATGTAGAGTTATGAAATTGTAACCGATTTTATCAAGCCCCAGGATTTTATCAAGCCCCAGGTGTTCTAATCATATGACTTGACTCCAGGACTTTTAATTTGTGAGAATTGTTCATTTGCAGATTGTTCATTGTAGAGATTGACCCTTACAATTGAGAATAAATGAGTTTTACATTGAATTAATATCTGCAAGGACTATTTCATTTGGTCATGACAAAAAGCGATATCAGTCTAACTTTAATTTCACGAAATTATTTTTGTATTTTTGTACTTCAGCTATAATAAAATGTTTCCTACTTCAGTGAGAAGCAAGATTAATTGAAGCGTTGTCAAGAGAATTCTTCAATTACACCAGTTACATTGAACCATGTGAACATTTTCCCTGAATCAATAAATCAAATTAAAAGAACACCATCGCCAGTTTCATGTTCTGCACCATCACTATTCTTAATCACTTGCTCAAGGCTGCAAGGTTTAATAAGGACAACTCTTTGCTTCCATACAAAACCCATCAATTTCATTTATATTCTCTGTGTTTCCAAGACACTGAGTTGTAATGTGGACACACAACGGTCTTAGTTGTCTCAGATGTACCTAATGTTACAATAAATCATCACTGAATAATTACAGCTCACATATTATGAATGTCAAGTAAGACTTACGATCAAACGAAACATTTCTGTGGCGTTTTTTCATTTGCAATTTATCAGTCTAATGCAATTTAGCAGCTGAGGATGAAAGATATGATAGAATATAATTCCAGCTTTCAGTTTTAACCTTTACATCATAAGGCTATAATGATCAAAGTCAATCCGCTTGTGTATTGCATGCCAATAAAATCTGACAACATTTGCTATAAGCTACAAAGCCTAGTTCAGTAGCTAGTTATGATAATTCAAGGCTAATGAGCCCTGGGCTCTCTGGGAATCAATGTCCATACTTTGTATTAAATGAATGCAGTTATTTGGTGCAAGAGGACATTTACAAGGTAACTTGGCATTTGGAATGATATTAGATTCCTCACTGACTTAATAAGGATTTAGTGTTAAGTCTCTTGGTTACCTTGGAGAGATATTATGTGAGTCAAGCAGAATAAATACTTCTCGTAACTTGTGATGGAGCTCTAATTTTGTTTTATTAAACCTTGTCCGTAACCAATTTAATTCACATTAATCAAGGGTTTGTTGTTGAAGATCTTAAAAGTGTTTTCTAATGTTGAATAACTTTATCTTGTATCACTGTTCTGAATTAAATTTTAATTTTTAGCACAAATAAAAAATTTTGAGGTCATGGTCATACACATTCAAATTGAGGTCATTTTGAGGTCATGGTCATACAAATTCAAATTGAGGTCATTTTGAGGTCATGGTCATACACATTCAAATTGAGGTCATTTTGAGGTCATGGTCATACACATTCAAATTGAGGTCAAGGTCACTGTAAATTGCATTCCATCAGAAGGAAAATTTCATCATGAAGGAAATTGCATTTCATCAAATAATAAGAAACCAACTACAGTATTATGTAATATAAATTTCTTGTCACATCCTGTTACATCTAGCTGATCTCATTGTCTTGCATCAGTTAATCCCTACTCCATTACATGCATTGATCATAAAATTGATGATGTACAGTAAAACCTGAATAAGTGGAACACCTTTGGTACCTCTAAAAAGTGCTCCACTTGGGAGGCGTTCCACTTACAGAGGTTCATTTAGCAGGACTTTGAAAAGTGTTCCACTTATGGAGGTATTCTACTTATGGAGGTGTTCCACTTGCAGAGGTGTTCCACTTAACAGGTTTTACCATATAAGGGTGGAGACATGAAATGCATTATAATTACAAAGTTACCTTCATTGTGATTCATATAGTACATTCAGGTATTGGCTGTTTCTATGTAGCAATAAATATTATGACTCAAGCATCCTTGTATTAAACAGTTGCACATATAGAACCTGACATTGATTAATAATTATTGCGGAATCTAATAACGGATATATGTCTTACTGATATGTACCTGGAAAATATAGATTTACAATACAGATAAGTTCAGAACTTTGGTCTTCCAGCCATCTCTGAGTTGTTAATGTTTGTTAACAGAGTACCCTTACCCAGCCATATCGAGCGGTTTGTTCACCCCTCCCCCTTGTCATCGAGGTGTTGGCAAAGCACCACCCTAGCTGTATCAAACAGTTATTCAGTACCCCCAACTATATTTAGTGGTTAGCTCAACACTCCCAGCCATATCAAGTGGTAAATTCAATTCCCATCCCCTACCTATATCAATCGGTTGGCTTAACACCCCAGCCATATCAAGTGGTAAACTCAATACCTACCCCCTACCTATATCAAGCGGTTAGCTTAACACCCCCAGCCATATCAAGTAGTAAACTCAATTCCCACCCCCTAGCTATATCAAGCGGTTAGCTCAACACCCCCAGCCATATCAAGCGGTAAACTCAATTCCCACCCCCTAGCTATATCAAGCAGTTAGCTTAACACCCCCAGCCATATCAAGTAGTAAACTCAATTCCCACCCCCTAGCTATATCAAGCGGTTAGCTCAACACCCCAGCCATATCAAGCGGTAAACTCAATTCCCACCCCCTAGCTATATCAAGCGGTTGGCTTAACACCCCTAGCCATAACAAGCGGTAAATTCAATTCCCATCCCCTACCTATATCAAGCAGTTAGCTTAACACCCCCAGCCATATCAAGTAGTAAACTCAATTCCCACCCCCTAGCTATATCAAGCGGTTAGCTCAACACCCCTAGCCATATCAAGCGGTAAACTCAATTCCCACCCCCTAGCTATATCAATCAGTTGGCTTAACACCCCAGCCATATCAAGCGGTAAACTCAATTCCCACCCCCTAGCTATATCAATCAGTTGGCTTAACACCCCTAGCCATATCAAGCGGTAAACTCAATTCCCACCCCCTACCTATATCAATCGGTTGGCTTAACACCCCAGCCATATCAAGTGGTAAACTCAATTCCCACCCCCTAGCTATATCAATCAGTTGGCTTAACACCCCTAGCCATATCAAGCGGTAAACTCAATTCCCACCCCCTAGCTATATCAATCAGTTGGCTTAACACCCCTAGCCATATCAAGCTGAAGCAAGCTTAGCAAAAACAGACATCAATATTATGTATAAGCTCCATAATAAATAACTAATGCTTTGGTTAGTTACATAGAAAACTAATTTAATCTTGATGATCATAATTCTGGTATTCATCTAATACAATTACAAATATATAATGTCTGGTCTGGTCAACATTCTCTTTCACTGTCTACATCCCTGTCATAAAATCAATTATGGACCATAAATATCAAGTTAATATCTTTCTAATTTTTAGATATTCTGTTAGGGAAATTAAACAAATATAGAAATATGAATAATGTTTTCATAATGAATCATATTCTAATCACATCTATTTGTCGCAACGTATTCTGATCTTATATCTGCACTTAGTAAATTAAAAAACTGAATGTATGCTTAGGGGTTTTACATTAGCAGCAGGCCACAGGCGATTTTCACTGGTTGTTTTCACAAAATCGCATGTTGTTTTTAACGTTTCAATGTTAAATTCATGATTTGCATTAATTTTGCCTTTTGTTTTCATTTATTTAGCCTTTTGTGAGAAATTCTAGTGAAAACCTGGTATGCTTGTAATTCAAGTTTTTTAGTCCTTGTCTTTTATTTAATCATCAATCACTGCAAAGTGCATTAAGTCAGTGCAAATACATTACAATGTACTTTCTGCTTAATCTGCTTGTCTGCTTTCCCTAGATCATAAAATACAAATCCATAATTTTGTGCATCATTACATAAAGTAATTTCTTTTGGTGTATATTTAAAGTAAAAAATGTAAAAATAACTTATCAGTACAGCTCATTTGGTTGATGTCAAGATTTACAACTATACATTGCCTTTAAGATTGCTCGATCGAGTTTTACAAATGGATTAGTTTAAGTATTTCCTTCAATGTTCGGCCTTCCTTATTAGGTTGGTGCTAATGTTATTTTTGAGTCATGTTGGAATTAATGCCTGATGGATGATTCGCCCTGAAGAGAGTATTATTTACTGATTCTCCCGCATATAATATTATTTGCTGATGATTTATTCTTTTTGAATGCAATATCATTGATTCTCCCTGAATATTATTTGCTGATGAAGGAGTTTTTAAAGTGAATATCCTTGCCTGATGGCAGATACAATATAATTTTCAAGAAAACGAGAGTGTTGAAATATATTTTCACTTAATTCCCTCATTAACTATACAAAATATATTTAGTTTATAGTAAAACAGAATTACCAGAAAATACATACATCAATATTGTCACTTATCTAAAAAATTCCAAGATCAGGCCATATTATTAAATAATTGAGAAGCAACTGAAATAGGTTATTAGTTTCTGCCAGGTAAGAGGTCTTATGATCACGCGGTAGTATCTCTTCGGGACGTATCGAAACCACTCCGTCCCGAAAAACCGTTAATTTGAATTTAAAACCTACCCCAGTGTTTGAAAATCAAGGATTGTGAGTCTCACACTTCACCGTTTTTCTTCAAACTTGTTCCGTACAAAGCTTCACAGAAATACCTTTCAGTCGATACATTGTTTTCGTGTACAAAGTACCTCGTTTTAGCGGCGTTTTGGTCCCCAGCTGTGAGATAAAGCAAATTTTCATAACTTTCAACTGTAAGTCAAGTTATCTCGTCAGTCTTTTACCCATTCTCGCCCATAATTTCAGAATGGACTCCCATTACAACCTTCCATCGCTACGTCTTGATTTTTGGGCATCAAACGCAGCAGTTTCTAAATCATCCACACATCTCTTCAAATTTGACTAATACGTCCCGTCACCTTCCACTACGCCCCGCCGAGTCTATCTATTAGTGGAAGATGACGGGACGTATTGGTCAAATTTGAAGAGATGTGTGGATGATTTAGAAACTGCTGCGTTTGATGCCCAAAAATCAAGACGTAGCGATGGAAGGTTGTAATGGGAGTCCATTCTGAAATTATGGGCGAGAATGGGTAAAAGACTGACGAGATAACTTGACTTACAGTTGAAAGTTATGAAAATTTGCTTTATCTCACAGCTGGGGACCAAAACGCCGCTAAAACGAGGTACTTTGTACACGAAAACAATGTATCGACTGAAAGGTATTTCTGTGAAGCTTTGTACGGAACAAGTTTGAAGAAAAACGGTGAAGTGTGAGACTCACAATCCTTGATTTTCAAACACTGGGGTAGGTTTTAAATTCAAATTAACGGTTTTTCGGGACGGAGTGGTTTCGATACGTCCCGAAGAGATACTACCGCGTGATGATATAATTTAAAATTGTTGGACTATGCCATCATATATATATGATATATAACTGTATAAATGTAGTTTGTATAATTGTAGTCTGGCCATGCCCTTATAACACAATGGCCGTGCCTTAATAATAAATTCTAAATTCTATATAATCACCACTAATAATTGTTAATATTAGCTGATGCAACATCATTCAAATATTTAATAAAAAGTCCAAGAAAATGAAATTCAGATTCTTCAAAGCACATAGACCTATGAGTAATAGACTATTACCAGCTCATTATATCCAATGGAACAATTGGTAGGAATACAAAGAAGCCATCCAACTATCTTTTTGGGAAGAATAAGATTGCTCTAACCCCAAAATATTGTATATAAAAATCCATTCATCTGTCTGACTTTGTTGGTTACATACCCGCAGAATACTAAAATAGTAGTTGTTGGATTTGGTTTAAATTTTATAGGCTGATGGTTATGCTTATATGCCATAAATCATTGTCCAATATGTGTCAAAAGGAAAATTTCTCAATTCAAAATGGGTGTATAGTTATTGTCAAATGTGTCTACTGACTGATTACAGTCCTGAGTCCAGCAAGAAAGAATCAAAATGATTGATTTGAGGAAAATACAGGGTGTCCAAAAAAACAGGACCGTAAGAAAGTTGAATAACTCAGTCAATTTTGCATAATTTGCCTTGAAATTTTAGAATCATTTAGTTCATTCAATGTGAATTTTGTTCTGAAAGTTTGATGATAATCTGTTTATTGTGTCAAAAACTACAGTACTTTACAAAACATGCTCAAAGTGGGCACTTCTCCTCTCTATGCACAAACGAATCCTGCGAACAAAGTTGTTAATGACCCTGACCCTGACCCTGTGGATGGTAAATATTGGGGTCTTTATTGCCCTCTTAAGATTGTTAGGGGCCTGTCAGTATACACATTGGCTTTGAGAAATCCTCAAAGATAAAAATTTGAGGGATTTAGATCAGGCGAATGAGGTGCCCATATGGTTTGCGTTCTGCAACTGATGAGCTGACCACCAAAGCATTGCCTAAACCATTTCAGCAGATCATTTGCAGTGTTGGGGTGGTATTGGCTTGTTGAAACCACTGCTTAATTATCTCCTTAGATGTCTTTTCTGGTGCTTAGTGACCTCCAAAACTTGGTGAGAACTTACTGGTCCTTGTTCATGGTGATAGCACATCCCCAGTCACCTTCGAACCAAAAGGGACTGATGATTCCATGTTTCCCCATTGCCACCCAGACAGTGCATTGTTCAGAATGCAATGGATGCTGTAACACTTCATCAGGAGGATGTAAGCCCCAGTAGCAATTGTTTTTTGAACAAACTTGTCCATTCAGAAAGACATGTGTGTAGGAGGATCATCAACAACTTTGTTCGCCGGATTGAATTGTGCATAGAGATGAGAGGTGCACATTTGAGGCATGTTTTGTAAGGAGCTGTAGTTTTTGACTCAATTGATAGATTATTATCAAACTTTCACAACAAAATTCACATTGAATGAACTAAATAATTCTGAAATATCAAGGCAAAATATGCAAAATTGACCGAGTTATTCAACTTTCTTACGGTCCTGTTTTTTTTTGGACACCCTGTACTATGTTTGATGGGATCCAATACTCCGAAGAATTGCTGTTTCTCTATTTGACAGTATTAATGAAGGCAATACACTGGAGTATATCCTTGATATGCTGTGTATTTGCGAACAGGATATCAGAGGGGGTAAGAAAGGTGAGAGAACTCAATATGATGACTAACATATGAAAAATCACGTAATTATGTACCCCAGGCAGTATAGGCAGACCAACTTCATCTTCACTGTGTTGTTACAGGTATACAGGATATTATTGAAGGAAGTGCTCCAGGTGGGGTGTATAACCCATGGCTTGCCTCATTATAGTGCAATGCTTCATTGATTAATATAGATCCTTACTGTATTAGAAATCAACCAGTGTGTTGTAATGTATCCCATTATTACCTCTTATATTGTGGCAGATAGGCGCAGCAGCTGACAGATTCAATATCGTTTATTGCAAATTGAATCAAGCAATTACCTATAGAAACATCTGCTGGGAATTGCTGCAGTGTAAAGCAAAATATTAGATAACATTAGATCAGATCAGAAAGAATTAAGCAAACATAATCAAGTGTATGATCGATCTTATTTCCAGGTGAATGGAATTGCGGAATCTGATGGATGGCTTAGGACTGGAGTGAATATACTGTAGGACCACAATTTGCAGCGAAAAGAGCTCAAAATGGCTTCAGCACCAGACAATCGATTTGATTCGGCCACAGTGCTTGCAATTCTACTTGCAGCTACAGAGGATATCTTAACTGGTCCATTTGAGGCTCCTGAGCCACGGGGTCCAGAGTTGCCCCCTGGGGTAACAGCTGGGGGTTACCCTGAGGAAATGTTCCTGGGTCTTGTAGAGGAAGCTAAACACAGAATTGAATGTGGCATATGGTGAGTCAATTGCATTTGTACATTAAGCCACTCAGTTAAATACTAAAATATAAGTTAAAAAATCAATGAGCTCCAAACATATTATGTAAATTGCAAATGTATTAACCCTCTGATACCAATCACGTCTTTCTGTTTTGCAACTTAAGATGCTCTGATTTAATGTGACCACTTTCCTGATCTGAAAATCTGACATGAAACTGTTCTGGAATTCAAATATTAGCTAATATAAAAAAATGATTTCGATAAATTTTATTCTGACTCGTCTCTTTTAATAGTTCCAGTCTATTATATGTTTATCATGAGAATATTGACTCATATTATTGGTAATATTCTCAATAGGATTGTGTGTTGTACAAATATTTGTCACAAACTGATTTTGCATATCTCTGTTTTCATAATTCCAGTTACAACATTCTGAAGAACACTCGTAGATGTAGTAATGAACACAAGTTTTGTACAACATGTATCTATGCCTGGACTACTACAGGGGGCGCTGGCAATGATAAATGTCCAGTATGTCGTACTAAAGGATTCTATGTGAAAGACCCTGCTCTCGATGAACAAATTGGAAAAGAGAGAGTAAAATGTGTAAATGAATCATGTAAGTGGCAAGGACTGTTAAAGGACTTTCAGTACCACAGACATGGATATGACATGCACCCTAAACAGGAGGCTGAAATCAATGCTTTGAATAAAATAGGAGTTGGTTATTTATTAAACAGGCAAAATGACTCAAGGAATACACTGGAGGATATACTAGTCCCAGGATCTCAGTCTAGGCACAGAGCTGATGGGATATCACCATTTGCCTCTGACACTGTGCCAACTGCTGAGGAATCTGATCACGAGGATGATGAAAATGATAATGCTCTCCCTCATATATTTGGATTCCCTCATCTCTCATCAGGGTTTAATCCCCGTGGTGAAGCAGAGCGATCAAATCGTAGAAGACGTCACCAAAGAATGACCCATCAGCTGCAAGAAGGTCGTGAAAGGCTGGCTAATTTGATGGATATTTTCAATCAGCAGTTGTTAGTACGTCGTGCGAATATCCTTGCCTTACAACAAGAGCGAGAGCAACGAAGGAGGCAACAATTAGCTGAAGTGAGGCATATAGGACAGAGGTTGGAAGATGTTTCCAGCAATCTCATGTCTTTGTTAACTGACATGGATGGTCAGTTGGATGATTCACGGGCCTATATCAATAATCAGAGATCTGAGACCCAGCGAGCCAATGATCTGTTGAGGCAGCCACTGCGGCAGTCTTCTTTACGCCGTGATGAAAATTTGACGGCAGAGGAATCTCAGAGACTCAATGAGATTCTAGATGAATCACAAGAATCATCTCCTAGGAATCCATTCAGAATTTCAGTGGATCATACACCCAATCTTAATAGTGGAGCACGGTTTAGAGCATCACAAGCTCAGAATGACACATCCCAAAATCAGAACAGTCCCAGAGGAGGTCATTTAGTCCCATTAAGCAACTCACCCAGGGAACCTACAGGTAATTCACGCGGGTCTCATCCCAGTAGGGTCTCCAGAAGCCCTGTAGCCCCTGCTCCTTTAAGTATGGACAATGCACCAAGCAGCCTTAACACCCCTAATGTTCTGAGGACAGTCAATAGAAATACAGACATTAGAAGTAATACTGAGACATCAAGTATAAATGCTTCAAGATTTCAAGAGAGAATACAAAGGTCTTCACCAGACAATATCATCCATAGGCCCTCAAGTAGATCACGGAGGTCTATAGACTCCAGACCCAGTAGTGCCACACCATCCAGATTGCCAACATCTAATCCCACTAACACTACAAGCTCTCTACCAGGACCACCACCCTCTAGTACTGCCCAGAGGGTGCTGGATACAATGTCTTCACAGGAGCCCCAGTCACCAAGTAGGAACCCATACAGAACTGTCGTAAACAGAGTGCCTTCTGCACGGTCACAAACTGGACAATCTACAGAGATTCATTCTGGTGTCCGAATCCCACCAAACACAGAGAGTTCTTCAAGGCCAACTATGCACGTTGATACAAGCCCCCGACGACGTGTTGTGCTGCCCTCTAGTGACCCATCACAGGTGAATGATCAGCGATTTGGAACATTGTCACGGTCGTTGGACAGGGGTCAATCAGGTGCACGACTTAATGGATCTCAAGACTCCTCAGGTTCTCGCAATCATTCCATGTCGCCTAGGAGACGCCTACGGAGGAGTCAGACAACAAGAAACAATCTACAGGGAAATTAAGAAACTTTTTATATTCCTATGTAAGATGACCACTTGATTTATACAACAAGAGTCATTGCCTTGATAATCTGCATTTGGTTGTGTGATAAAATAGACATTTTCCATAGATTCAGACTTAAGTTGTCTTAAGTTGGGTGTTTTTCTAAGTTGGTGAGGTATAAATCAACATTAGCAGAGCCTGCTTGTAGTAGAGTTCTGGATAGATATAGTTTCAAAACTGTTAATATTATATATATTATAATATTTTTCTATAAATTGTACATTATTTTTTAATTACAACAGGGTTCAGCATTTGATATTACATTTGTTCTTAGCTTTTGTAAATAGATTTATAAGCATTTGTATTGACCAACTATTGATTAATGAATAAGTAATTTTGCCACAGGGAATTCATACAGACACATAATGCCAAATGGACCGTGATTTTGTTTAGCATTATCTATTGGACCTTATGCTCTGGTCTCAGAGGTGTTAAGTCGTGAGCATGACTTCTCTTAAATTGTTCAGTTTTCTGATTTATTTCCCTGTTCCTAGTCTAGCTACAAGCCCCTGTGACCCCCTCCCACTCCTTGACTACACAGGTATGAAAACTTGTCTCTCTGGGAGTTGCGTAGTGGGGGAAGACACAATAGAGGAGTTTCTAAATAGCTTTGAAATCTCGCTAATTCTCGTTTTTACATGAGATTTTAAGAGATTTGCACGTTTTTCCTCTAATGAATTACTTTTCTTTATTTTTGATAGCATATTTGGATTCAGTGTCAATTTTCTCCAATTATAGCTTTGATTTACACAGTTATGTCATTTAAATCATTTTCCATGACATTTAAAAAAAACTTGGGCCAAATCTCCATTGGTGCAATGCTGAAATTCATTAAAACCTTGATTTATTCGTATGACAACCAATATTTTCATGCTTAATCACAATATGTACATTGACAGGGCCATCCAATAGTATTCCATTCAAGTTTCAGACAGATTCAACCAACACCTTTTGATAAATCATGAAATTAAGTGACTGTTGCAAGTTTCTAATATTGAAGTGAGTGGAGATCTGGCCCTAGAAAATCAAAGACAAGCAAGGGTGACATCTATTATGTAAGCATTTTTCAGCTATTTAGAAACTATACAATTAGGCTTGTAGTAAAAAGTGTCCTGTTGCTTTTGCTGAATACACTTTATACTGTTGCATATAGAGATAGACACAAAATATCGTCTATTCGTCTTATATTTGGCTATTAGTCTAATGAGAATTTATATCCAGACTGCGGCCTTATCCCGTATGTTCGAATCATAGTGAAAACAAATCCAAGCCTAAATTGTTTATGTGGCTTAGCAATATGCAGATTAGAATGTAAAGGGATTAGGGGAGGAAGACCTTATCCATGGGTCGGCTTTCTTTATTAAACATAAGATGAATACGGGGCAAATTAATGATTATCCTGGGATTAACATAGGATATTCATGTCAGGGTTGTCTAGCCTATTCTTTTTCATAGGATTAAGCCAGTCTGGGAAATACGCAGTTTTATGTCTGGTAAATTTGTTCACAGACTTTGAAACACCCCTGTGAACATACTTTTCAGGAGCAGTCAAAATGATGGAATCAAAGCATTAATGACATACTGTAATATCTCAAGACAACTTGTCCACATATATGTACAGTGCTTTGAAACATTATGACCAGATTTTATTTAGATCAATACGGGGTACCATCGAATAATTTTGGCAACGTACCGGAGAACGACATTTTACTAAGAAATGGCAATAATTTAGCACAATATATTTTTTAACTAGAGTTCTATTTTGATTTTGACAAAAGTAAGTATTCCATGCAATAACTATTTCATTCATGAGTTTGTAGGAATTCTGTTGGAACCCAGTTCTGATCAAGTACGAAGTTATTGAAATTGGCGCAGACGGACTTTACTCCGAAAGCTGGTTTTTCGATTATAACTTTTTACAACATTTAAGTATAGACTTTTGAAAAAAGTACAGAATAGTCCTTATACTATTGAATAATTCTGTTATTTCTGATTCACACGACTCTGATTTGTTTAATTAAAAAAAAGTTTTAAAAATATTACTTAGGAACGTAACCGGAGCTGGGAACGTAACCGGAGCAGATCAGTTGAATTATATAATTTAAAAAAATAAAATATATGATTTAAAGCATATATATTATTTACAAACACATATGTCAGCTTACTTGGTGTGATAGAATTATAGAACACTGTCTATTAACGACTGAAAAGCAATGTTCTGTAGTTTAACTAGAAAAAATCATTCACTTTCTTACTTGCTTAATGACCCACGCCTAGGTTTATCGAAACAAAGATGGATAACAACTGGTTTTGCATAAAACAATAAACGGGCACTCACTCAAACATCTTACGTTTATATGGAGGGGGGGGGTTAGGTGAAGAATTTCAGAAAGCATATGTTGATTCGATTTGGTCGAGCACATGACAAGTACTTAACCTACGTACTATACCTACGCTATATACAGTTCGTTGTATCCTAACTTTTTTAATAATCTAGCATTTAAATGCTTTTATTTCCCCTGAAAAAGAGAAGTTGTCTTAGAAGTATAATACATGTATGTATAAACAGTATATATATACGAAATTAGTATAACAGAGTGGGTTCTAATAGTTCGCTGAACAAATACAATGGGTGAAATCAAATGGAATTATTTGCTTACTACATTTAATCACTTCATTCTCCATACAATGATTGTTCTATGTTTGATAGCCTTTCTAAGGTAAGTGCACTTATGCATGGTAAATACCAAATTTAATTTTTCACAATGGATAATTTTTTTTCTTTAAATAAAATGTAATAAATACGCATTCGAACAATCCCGTATGTTTTTAAATTAGTATATGTGTTTTAAATCATATATTTTAATTTTTTTGATTAAATAATTCAACTGATCTGCTCCGGTTACGTTCCCAGCTCCGGTTACGTTCCTAAGTAATATTTTTAAAACTTTTTTTTAATTAAACAAATCAGAGTCGTGTGAATCAGAAATAACAGAATTATTCAAAAGTATAAGGACTATTCTGTACTTTTTTCAAAAGTCTATACTTAAATGTTGTGAAAAGTTATAATCGAAAAACCATCTTTCGGAGTAAAGTCCGTCTGCGCCGATTTCAATAACTTCGTACTTGATCAGAACTGGGTTCCAACAGAATTCCTACAAACTCATGAATGAAATAGTCATTGCATGGAATACTTAATTTTGTCAAAATCAAAATAGAACTCTAGTTAAAAAATATATTGTGCTAAATTATTGCCATTTCTTAGTAAAATGTCGTTCTCCGGTACGTTGCCAAAATTATTCGATGGTACCCCGTGATCATTTGTCCACTTTTGAAGCCTTATTTGCCACTCTGTCCGATTAGTTTGAGTGGATAGATGTATGTCACCATGCTTTAAACAACCTTTTAATAATTCAAGTTATTAAATGATGATTTACGACATTTTCTTTCTTTGATCTGTAAAATCAACATCAAAACCTTTTCAGGGGTAAATAAATCACATATACAAACAATGAGTATCTGTATGCCCAAATCATTCGGACTATTAATCAATTAATTTTCCTGAGACCTAATGCTGTGAGGTTATAAACATAAATCTCATTTACTCGCATGGATTATTCCATCAAATCCAGTAGATAAATTAGTACATTGTTCAAGTTGATGCAATTCAAGAGTCACTACAGTAAAACCTGCCTTAGCAGAATACCTTTGGTACCTCTAAAAGGTGTTCCACTTATAGAGGTTCATTATACATTAAGTTGGTCTTGTGACTCTGAAGTGTTGTACTAATAGAGGTGTTCCACTTCTAGAGGTGTTCCACTTTACAGGTTTCACTGATATCTGATTATTCTCTCTCGGCTGCACTTTCACTATTTAGATGTTACACATATGGAAATGTATTATATTATACAGGGTAACCCCTATTGTGGTCACTTAAAATAATTTGGCAATTTTTTGCAACCAATGGAACACAATTGTTGAAAGGGTTGATAAGTCCAAAATTAACTCAAATCACAAAAGCATTTTTTGTTAAATTCTTTTTGGTATTTAATTTTCTCCAAATAGTGGTCACCATGTATGTTGGACAGCATGTCCATATTCCCACATGTTTTTTTTGAGACATGTTTATCTCATCTCAACAAGGTTTCACTTCACAATGTTATATTCCATTTCAAGGTATATCTACATGCATATTCCAAGAGGACATCATTCCTGTGACACCAGTATTAATGAAACATGATTTTGAAGCTACTGAAAATATTGGAACGTTGTAACTCAGCAAGGTTAAATTGCTCTGATACGAAGCGTTCTGGTAAAAATGTTGTGCCTGGATAACACCTCAAACATTCTTCATAATAAAGCTTTTTTGTAAAAATGCTTTGTAATGAAGTAATTAAACAATTGTGTGTTGTGTTAAACATACTGTAATTCTTGATCATTGTTTTATAACAAGTGTATTGTAAAGTGACATTTTTTTTGTTCTAAGAGATGAAATCCTTGATTAATGGCAAGGACCATTCAGGTATGCTATCATTCAATGCTTCAGTTAACTCCATTTACAGTGTAATCTTTGGAGATATATTCACTATATTGTGCAAGATTTACTGATTTGCCAATCAGAGGTTTTACAATTATGTCAACATTTTTAACCTGAAAGCCATTCATTCCCAAGAGTTGAATCATGTTAAAGAAAAGCTATGTGATAAAAGTTTATAAGATAACATTTCTATTTTCATTTATTGTTTAATTTATTCCATATGCACATTGTATCAAAGGTGTAGATATGAGTATAGTATAAAATAAACATTTTCTATGATCTGATATTTAATAGATATTTTTTGTTATTCTTTTCTCAGCGTCTAACATTACAGTAACCATGGTAACAGTTAAACTTATACAGCAGTATCAGGTTATGTGTAATATATGTTTTATTGTTTTAAACAGTGACTGAATTCTGAATTCTTGAATAACTACCTTAACCTCCCCGAGGAAAATAAAGGAAAATATTTCCAATGAGGAAAATTAAATGGGTTCCATATTTAACTTTGATTTTTCTAAAAAATGATTAAGATTTACTGGGAATCATTTTCCTTAATGTTTGGAGCATTTCAAAAATGATCCAGGTAATTTTGATGGAGATACGAGTACATACACTAAATATTCAACTGTGGTATATTTGCTATCTTTAGGGGTAAACATGTAGTTAGTTTGAGATCAAAACAATAATCTTTTCTTCCTTCAATCAAAGACTAAACTTTACATAGATTTATTTTGCCTAATGGTTTTGTACAATATTTGTATCATTGCAATTGCAGAGTGGTTGAAATAGCAAATGGAAATCGAGCTCAACATCTCTACTTTCTTAAATCATGATCACAAGCATTTTATGTTCCAGTCCATCACATCAGGGTTCTATGGGCATATAAAGCCATACATACATACAAATACAATACATGTGTGTCTTCATACATGTACTCCCCCTTTGTATTCAGTATGTGAGGGTCAGTCAAGAGCACCATGAAGATTGCAGATTATTACACTGTAGAGACCTTAGGTTCTACATGTATCTTAATATGACATCATTCATGAGATACATGCCATAATATGACATCATTCATGATACATGCCATAATATGACATCATTCATGAGATAGTGTTTATGAATGTCATTATATGACATCATTCATGAGATACTGTTCATGCATGTCATAATATGACATCATTCATGAGATAGTGTTTAAGTGTGTCATAATATATGACATCATTCATGAGATACTGTTCATGCATGTCATATTTTTGACATCATTCATGAGATTGTGTAAAATGAGTGTCAATATGACATCATTCATGAGATACTGTGTATGCATGTCATAATATGACATCATTCATGGGATAGTGTTTATGAATGTCATATTTTTGACATCATTCATGAGATTGTGTAAAATGAGTGTCATAATATGACATCATTCATGAGATAGTGTTTATGTACATCATCATTGTTGTCCATCTTATATTTGAGGTCTATATCCAGGAATCTGAAACCATAAAACACAAGATCATATACACTGCTTACTTATTACATTAAGCTGTATAAAATTACAGCATGAAACAACACTAACATGGCTTGACATTGATTGTCTCTCTTGACCAATCAAAATACAGTAACAGTGTGTGCATACCTGTACATTCAAAATAACAGGATTTAGAAAAAATTACTCAATGTAAACATACACAAAAAAATCCAATTTAATTCATATAAAATTTTTATTCGACTGGTGACTTGAATATGATTGAATTTTGTCTTTGAAGACGAAGCTTGCCATATTGGCCTACTTACCTGGGGAACTCTGCATTGGGAGTGAGCACAACTGAACCAGTTATTTGCGTATCTTGCTCCACATGTAAAGGATTGTCCACATAGAGCACACTTTGCTGCCAGTGGGTGTCCTCGCAGTACGGGGAAGTTGAGAGTTCTACATCAGCACTAAATTCCACCTTAAACCAGCTTGCAAACCCATGCAGAGTATTGCACCCATAACATTGGAATGTGAATGACTCCTGAAATGTTCATATACATGTATTTGATTTTACAGACCTAGCTATATTTCAATGCAAATCCAAAACGCAGTAAATTTCATTTCAGGTTGACTCCCCTTCCCTAAAATGCAATTGAACATTCATTCTTTTTTTCAAATTAATAATTGTTCATTTTAAAAATCGAAATACATGTGTATGTTACTAAACACTGACATTTATCCCCTCCCCAAAATCTTCACTTATATAAACTGAACATGTTCCTTATTAGTACATGTAAGCCCATGTGATTAAAAGGAATCAATGTTCTAGATGTGTGTTCTCACCCTGTAGTTATTGAGCCTTACCTTCATATGTGAGAGCTGTGAGGTAGTGACTGTATTGAGATCTATATGGGCAATCTTGGAGTACTGTGCCAGAACATTTTCTATAGGTATTGTCTTCACATGGATATGTTCTACAAACAGGATGCACATAATAATGTCTCATGTTATATTTCTTGAATTTGTGTTATATTTTATTACTTTAACATGAACCAACCTGTAAGGCACTTTCTGGCATAAGGAACTAGGGATGACATGTTCACTTTAAATGTTTCCTCGACTTTTTCCCAGAATGTTAATCTCTCTTCATAGAAATCAGTGTGGTTTATCGGGGCCATATAGAGGGTGGCAGAATCTGGGAGAATCAGACCATTCTGCAAAGCATGGAAAAATCTTGTGTTGTCAAGTTTATTTTTAACACTGTAACAGTATTTCACCATTTTTGTCTAAATTATATGAATAAATGTCAAAAGCTATTATTCATGTGGTCATGAGTTTTTCTATGGACATCACCCCTCTGAAATTTTTGATGAGAATTCTATGAACTGCAATTTTCTCGGAATTTGGTTGTCAATCTGTACATGATTTACCTGTTTTAACCAGTTATCTCTGGCATATATAACTGAGGGCAGCATGGTTTCATAAAGGAGGAAATATCCCATCCACTCACTCACAATCACATCTACTTTCTCTGGAAGCTCTGCATCCTGAAATGTATTGGACATACAATATGTCAGCACATGTATGTGTCTCTATCCAACTGGTTTTAAACGAGATACAATCATGAATCTCAAGACTCTACCTAAATGTTAATATGGCTCCCCATATTGAACCCTCAATCTACTCAAGAAAATTTAAAAAGATTCCACATCAAATAAGAAAGTTATTCCAAAACAAGAGGGCTGACTTTTTTGTGGCACCCTGTATTTATTCCTCACCTCATCATGATTCACAGTTTCAACCTCAAATAAGTGCAACAGATGTAAGCTTGTTTAAAATGTTGAACTATATCTAACCTCCATTTTGGACTGGAGCACAATAATCTTTTCCGCCATGTTGTTTCCCTTAGCAACACGTTTGATCTGTTCTGCCATATCACTAGCCTCAACCGCATATACTGTTTTAGCCCCTGCCTGCACACAGAAAGCACTGAGTATACCAGTACCAGCCCCGACATCTAACACCACTTTACCTCGGATCTTCTCAAAGTTACGGAGAATTGCAAGTCTACAAATGCAACCCAAATACATGAAATCTTTAAGGGTCCATACAAATATTTTGCTTGAGTAATGTTATTACATAAATATGAAATGACTCTTTGGAAATGAAGAGAGAGCATGTAAAAATAAGATATTAAGTAAGCATTATGCATTTGAGAAAATTGTGAAGATAATGCTAGCTTACCTGTATGCATTGGTCCTAACACTATCTGCTATCATGTCTTCATGTATACCAATGTCTGAATATGATCTAAAATGTGAAATAAACTACATTCTTACATCTCTCATGCTTCATATATTTCTAAAAAGCCATAGAATTAGCAGATTAAAGAACAATGACTTTTCTCATTCTTATTATATGACTGGCCGGTGAAATGTAGGAGCTTAACTGAATAACAAGCACATGATAAAGATGTTTACTTTAACAGAATTTACTTTATTATTACAGTAGGATTTACCTGAAATATTCAGAATCTTGATCCTTCCCATGGGACATCCTAGCCCTAAAAATGAAATGCAGAATGTATGCCCACAGTCAAGCTTATGAAAGTGAACACTTGGTATTGAAGAAGTTGCCAATATGTTATAGCCTAGAACAGTGCTCTTCCCACATTGAAATCTCTGCGGCACAGCACCTACATATATTCCATAACACCAAAATTACAAAAATCTGAACTAATGCTAAAAAACTACAAAAAATGTTACACAGAAAGTTAAAATATCCTTAAATGTTGCTTTAAAAAAAATCCTTCACAAAAAATCCTGGGAAGCTGCACTGTAAAAGTAGGTACATTCAGGATAAAAAACTATTGCATTTAGTGCAAAATACAAAATGTCACCACGTGCCACTTGCTACAGATGCCAAACACCAACTGCTGAACCAACAAACACAAGTTGGAAACTATAGCAATGTCACCTAAAAGGATGGAATGAAAATACTCACAATCCAAGATATAACTTTCTGAAGTTCACTGCTCTCATAATAAAGTGGATATAGCATAAAGAATTAATAAAGCATAAAGAAACATAACCCCAAACACCTCATACTATGGTCCAGAAACATTGCCTAATGATCATGTTCACTTTCGAACAAAAAACATTCAAAGAGGAAGGGTGGTTTGTGCTGTAACTGTTCCCTTACCTCTTGGGCTGAGCCATATTGTCTATATTGTGTGAATACTGCCTAATTGTCTTGTGTGAATCCATTAAGTGACAACTCCATTATGCGATTCACATTACCTGAAATAAAAAAAACTAGATCTAGATTCTACCCCAGCAGAGCCATACTCTCTAGAAAAGTGGTAGGATCATTAACATGCCATTGGAAATATGAAACTCAGGGCAATGGTCATGAAATAAATGCTGAGTGTGAACATGAAACTGAAAGTCAAACTGAAAAAAATATAAAAAATTATGAAGTCTATAATTTATTAGCTGAAGATCACAGCATTGTGACAACACATTCATTACTTGACACAGGTTTCGCTCAACATATTTACATATGTTAACATTATCATCGAAGCTTGATAAAGTAGATAATTGAAGAAAATAAAAAATAAAATATTCTTCATTTACAAACCGGAAGTTAAATTTGAAGAAGTAATCTAAATGGGTACTTGGTAAAACGAAGATGAAGATCATAAATATAATATTTCAAGACAATTACAGTTGTTGATAGAAATATTCATGTTTAAATTGTAATCCATCTTTTATTGATATTATTATCAATTGAATTGTTGAGTAAATCTGAGGAAACTTATTAAAATATAGTATTTTCGTTCATTTTACCACGTTGCAACATAGAAGACCCGGAAATAAAAAATGAGTATTCTGAGGAAACTTCAGTTTATCTCCAGATTATCTCAGATTTCAAGCTGCAAAGTGGCTCATATTCCACAATGTTGCAGTTCCAGTATAACAGGACACGAGAAGGCGGACAAAGCACTCGAGACTGTGACTGGGGGTAGAATATTTAGCTGGCTACAGGTTTATGAAGATGTTGTTGGCCTCACTGAAGTCAGGGAGGCTCAGGAAAAGGTCATCAAAGTAAGAAAACAATACATTTTTAAAGTGAATGCTACTATACTACTCTAGTATGTAAAATTTATATTGAGCATTTTCTTTGTATACTGTTGTTGTTATTGGAATAATTGGTCAGTTTTTGTGTCACTTTATTTGTCTCTCTGTGCTTGCGGAATCTTGGAGCTCTATTGCCAAGTTCTATGTACTAGGCCTATATTGCGTGGTTTTGATTTACATGTACATAGGTTGGTAAATAAATGTCAGTTACAGCTGATGAGACTCTAAGACACACTCTCTAAGATATACCTTTATGCGTTTTCACTATCGTCTCACACTCTCTTTTGAAAGCCCATGATTGGGATCAGTTTGCATGGCAGGCGGGTATGTTTCCATAGACTCTATCCTCTAAAGTCAGATTCATAATTCCATTGAATACTATCTAAAAGTAAGCAATCAAAGGACCACATTGAAACAACTTGCTATCAAGTGTCGCTACCCTATCCCCCTTTTGAGAAGACCACGCCCTCGTGATCAGCCCTGCTTTCCCTAGCAGTGACTTACCACACACACACAAGTGCAAAGGATACAACCAATGCTTTGATCCCACATATGACACCAATGTAATGACCCGAGGGTGCCCTGGGGAAAGACTAACCAATGAGCATAGTATACCAAGTCAGATAAAGAAATTGAAAGAAAGTGTGTTAAATTCAATACCCCGTGTGAGATTCCAAGCTAGGACCCTTGGATCCAAAGTCTGATGCTCCACCGACTGAGCTATAAGGGCTTAAGCCACCACAGCTGGGCTGTAGTAGCAACTTGCTATCAAGGTCGTTACAAGGCCAAAGTTTTTCTGCACATGATACGTAACTAACTATCTGAAATATACAAAAGTTAGGCCTTGAACATCTGTTTCTATTTTTTTCCATATATTGTTGCAATATGGTCATTTAATTGCTTATTTTTTTAATTCCACAGGCAGGTATCTCAAAATTGTCCGCTGTGATGGAGCATGGTATTTTTCATAAAAACACTAAGAAAACTTCACAATTTATTTTTTTAACTCTTATATTTCTTTATACCAAAGACGATTACCTACTCCATGCAATGGGTATAACATTAGCGGGCAACCTTCCCTACTGTTTGAAGTCAAATAATGCTAGGTGTAAAAACTATTGAAAACAACGCCAGAGCACCTTAAATGTTCTATTTCCTTTTTAATGGGACAATAAAGTGACACAATTATATTTACATATATGTTTTCAGTCTAAATCTGATGGTATTAATAAGATCTGGATGCAGGGTCTTTTGAATTTTTTTCATGAAAATTAATGTTTAAGTTTTTTGTCCGCTGTGACGGAGCAGTTTAAAATGTGAACTGTGTTAAGAAATTAAAAAGACCAAATACACCCAGATCTCACTAATACCGTCAGAGTTATGCTGAAAATATGTGTGAATATTTCCATGTCACTTTATAGTACCATTAAAAAAAAGTAAAGAAAGAAATGGTACATTTTAGCGTATCATACTCTGACGCCGTTCTCTAAGCATTACTCCTAGCGTTATTGGACTTCAAACAGAAATGTAGGTTACCCACAAATGATATTGCATGGAGTAAGTACTTTTCTTTGGGAAAAAGAAACATATGAGCTAAAAATAAATTATGAGTTTACTTAGTGTTTTTATGAAAAATAGCATGCTACATCACAGTGGACAAATTTTTCGATACCTGCCTGTGTCAATTTTGAATTTTGAATCGGACTGTAGTCTGATATATTTTTTTGGTTGGAAATATTCAGACTGAGTTCTTATTAGTCTGTTGGATACATACTATGAGTTTCCCACTTGTTAATTGTCTATGCATTTCCAGGCAAACAGTTTGAAAGGTTGATTTCATTTTTTCAGGTTTCTTAGTATGAAAATCTCGAACTGACACTGCATGTCTGTTAAAGTAAGTCTATGTGTTTCCAGGTGAACTGGATGAAATTCTCATTGTCACATTGATGTTTCTTGTATCAAAATTTCGAACTTGGATATTTTTTGGACACTAGTTAAATGTTAAGGTGGCTATTTTGTACTTTCTGTCCCAAAAATTGTCTATTCTATTCAAGGGTGCGATACTATTCACCTTGTGTCTTGTTTTATATTTCCAGGCAGAACATCAGTTTTTAGATGTACAAGAGATCCGACGTGAAAAACAAAAATTGATGACAGAGATACATGCAGAACTGAAAAACATTGCGAGTGAACTTGACAAAGTGCAACGAGGGGATGACAGATACCTTAAACTGCTTACAGAAGAGCATACAATAATTAAAAAGGAGAATGAACTAAAAGAAGACATTAAGGTATATGAGAAGCAGGAGCTCCATAGCTTCACTGCTCTATCAAATGCTGTAAGGGAAAGCCACGAAAAGGAGCGATCACGAACTGAAAGAACCAAATACTGGTCTGTGATTGGTTCCATAATTGGAGCTGCAATAGGCATAACTGGGACGTCAATTAATAATTACCTCCGAATGAGAGAGCTTCGGGGAATGATCAAAGAATCTACAGCAGGGGGAGTAGATCTGAAGAACATTGTCGCTCAGTTGTCAGATACAATGAAGAACCAACACCACCAGATAACAGGCTTTGTAGGTGATCTTAAGAGTCTATTACTGACAGACCTATCAGCTAAGATAGAAGATCTACCACAAATTGATACAGCAGAACAAACTATAAAGATAGATACCAAGAAGTTGTTAGATACAGTTGGTAGGAACAATGAAGAGATAGCTAATGAGATGAAAGACATCAAGAAGTTGGTTGCAATGCATTCTGCGGAACAATCTGAGAATAATGTCATTTATATAGGGCCAGAGGTAGAAGGCTTATTAAAGAATACAGAATCTAACTTAGAATGGAAAATGAAGATGAATTCTTTGTGGACAGCTACTTTTTTGTATGGAGCTTTTGCTCTGACATTACCTGTGTTGTACCAAATATTCAAGGGTGGATCTTGATAAAGTGACACTTTAACAGTTACAGACCAAAGTTAGTTTCATCATGTGCTTCACTGTATCTGCCAAATGATTTCCTTGATGTTTCTATACTGGAACTTAGGTTACATGTATTTTGATGCTTATTAATTTGATGAAATACCGTCTGATTTTGGCTGATGGTGGTTAGTTACTGCACTTGTTCAATTATTTTCGAAAAAGAGTACATGTACGTTGTATTTGTTTTGTATTCACCATGTCACAAGTAATCAATTAGTCCAAGTTATTGTAGTTTTTGCAAATCAGCACTTTCCTTCTCGAAACAAAATATTAAAAAGATTAGACAACTTGAGGTATGTTTTATGCTCTGGCTTTTAATAGCTGTTATACAATCTGAATCTGTCTAAAGATAGAACCTCAAAATCTTAGATGCCTAGAGGGCTTATTACAAGAAAATGATTTTCAATGTCTCTAGGTGACCCTTGATATTTTGAACATTGAATAGACCACACTCAATGCCAGTGAAAATAAACTTGATTTTCAATGTGGGTTTTTGAGCTGTCTTTGGTGTCAAATGAAAGTTAATGTCAATGAGTATTAATCCATTTTTTGCTGAAGAACACTGAAAAGTATGCATGGAATCAATTCAGTTGATGTGATATTTATTATCCCAACGAACGAAGTCCGGTAGGGATATAGTGAAGCCTTTTGTCCATCCGTCCGTCCATCATCCAGCCTGTCAGTCCGTCCGTCAGTCATTCCGTCTGTCTGGAAGATAACTCGATTACAAGTGGATGGATTTCTTTCATATTTTATGGAAAGATGTATATTGTATATATACATTTTTCAAGATGGATGCCACTTTTAAAATGGTAGGACTTTTTCACAAAAATATTAAGTTTTTCATTTAAACCAAAGTGATAAATATTATTGTTTGAAATGTTGGTAGTATATTCACAACCTCTATCTATTTTACATATTATATTCCTTGTTTTCCATCCTGACCCAGTGGGAAAACAGAAACAACTGTATTATACTCAAATGAAAAGCAATTTAGAGTAGATTGCAAATATTGTATTGTTTTTCTAATTTGAGCCTCTGAAAACTCAAATTGGCTGCCCAATGTGATTTTACGCAATACTTTCCTGATCTATTCAAAGTATGGCTATATTATTATCAAATTGAAGGAGTTTCAGAGTAGATCACAATTATGGTAGTGTTTTTTCTGATTCGTGCCTCAGAAAATTCAAAATGGCTGCCAAGAGTAGGAATTCAGTATTACTCGTAGATCTCTTCAAAGTAAGGTTACATTATACTATATTAGATCTCAAATATTGTATTGTCTTTATGATTAGTGCCTTGAAACTCCTAAATGGTCACCCAAATGCTTAAATCGGTAAAAAATATGATCTCTTAAATATGTCTTTTGATCAAGGGTAGAGTAGATGGTAAATACATGTAATTACTTCGTGACATTACAGATTCATAAATATATATCGTTTGTTGGGATTTGCTACTCCGTGGAGTTGACAATTTCTAGTTTGCATTTGACTTAGCTTCTACACTTTCTAAGAGAAACTTCTGAATTCACCGATCCAGGACATTTTCTAGATATCGTAATTCGCTCTGGACAGTCATTATTTACCCAGTATTGACCAACATTATTTAAACATTATATAAACATGAGACATGTAAGACTGATATATAGTAATATCAGACTGATATTTTTCATTCTGGCCAAATCCCTACTGAGAGTATTTCGATGAGTAGCCATTATTTCAGGTATGCCAAATGTTGTGTGTGTATTAGAGACCACGAAGATGCAGTAATAAAATAAATAACAAAAATACTTCTATCTGTATGTTCAACTCCTGTTTATTCCTCAACAATGTAGTATTTCAAGTACACATTCGCATATATTATTATGCAAACTCAACAAAGCAGTGAAAATAAATCATTCATCTTAAATAACAAAATATTGGCAATTGGCAAATATGGTAGAGTTATCCAAAGAATCTACATTTGTGAAATATCCCCAATGCCTGAACAGATGAAGAAATGTTGGCAAATACAACCAACATGTTGTCCATTTTATTAAAATTTTCTCTAGTATCAAAATTCAATAAATGTTTCACTTTAAAAACATTACATTTATGTTCCAAATGAATTTCTGAATGCTTTTCATAATACTTCATTTGATAGTAAATAGTTGTTCATTCATTCACAAAAAATGAGAGTTCACTCGATCTACATTTTTCAGTCATACATTTCGTTTGCATTGATACTGTAAGTCAACTTAATTTGGTGACCAATTTAATTTGGCGAATTGGAATTGCAAAAATTTGCCAATTCAAATCCTTCGCCAATTTTTTAGAAATTGGGTCAAATTGAGTTGACTTAACAGTATGTGATTTTCATTAATACATAAACAATGTTCAAAAATGTCTCTATCAACACAGCAAAGGACATGTTACATCAGAGATTGACCACCAAAATTAAAATATAACACGAGTAATCATTAATAATACAAAAATAAAGAGCTCCACCACAAAGCTGGAATAAAAAGTATTCCATGTACAAAAGTGCAATCCTAAGGATCATTTCAGTAAATCTAGAAATGCCAGACGTTTACCATAAATGTAAAGGTTTCCTCTCAGGGAGTTAGCTCCATCCCTACCCATGCCCAAAAACAAAACAAATATATACTCTTAAGAAATCTCAGTTCTAGTACCAAAAATACTGTATTTACTTTAAAAAGTGCACAATACACTCCCAAAATTAACATGGAAAAGGGGAAATATAGGAAATTCCAAAAACCAAGAGTAAATCTTTATGTATTTGTCATATGAGGTTGTATTCATGCTCACTACTCTTTATACAATGACCCTGCTCTATTTTTCCAGTTATAAAGGAGTACGCCTGTCATGTCAGGAAATCAAGAATGAAATATAGATGTTAAATAAATAGCTCAATATAAGTGAAAACAAAATACACCAGCAATTCTATTGCACAACTGAGTCACATGCTTCATATTTCAAAGTATGAGAAATAAATAATATACAGAGAATCATACATTTAACTGACTACTTCAACAATGTTACAATTAATAACATTCTTGGAGTTATTTTTTATGAATACGGAGTTCCAAATTTTGTTATCAACTATTTGTTATGATGATTTGATTCTCCATTTAAAAATTTCAATTTTCCATATAAATTTTCATCCAGGGGTTCATTTATCAAAATATGTTCTGAGAAATTCATCCTTGCACTAGAAAATAAATGTCATGATTAAAGATCTACTTGGAATTAGGATTATTTTAAGAAATGTACCCCTGATTGTCTGGTTCATAAGTTGAGGTATTCTGCATAAAGCTTTACGTGAGCATTTAAATACAGCATCTTCTGTAAAACACATCCTTCTCATCTAACCAATGTGGTACATACGCCACAATTAGCTTATGAGTATAGCAAAAACATATGGTTGGGTCCCTAAAGGTAAAGTGTCTGTTTAGCTGGATTCTGATTATACATTAAATGGCGTACCAGATGTACCAGATGTTTGCAAATTCGCCCCAAATACAACCGAATTTCAAAATTTTCCTGGAGGAAAACCCCCACCCCCCTGAATGCTCATTTTTGGATTCACTCAACTCCTGTTCCTGTCGTGGTGGCGTACGCTACGCCCATGACTATGGAGGTGTTTAAATGACCCAACAGACACTGCTATACAGATAATTAATATTCAAGGCCCCAATATAAAGAATGATTTGTACTAGCTGAGTGACTCAAATCCATTGGTGTACATCTCCAGATTCATGCGATGTAGATTGTAGTCTTCAATGATCTGTTCTCCTTCTGCATTTAAATCATAACATATCCACATATTTGAATCAATATGTCATCGTCGAGGTATTTTTGAGATGCTTCACACAAAATCAATTATTGGCAAAATAATAAATTAATCAATAGGTTTTGATTTGGTTAAAATGAAGGTTTATTCAACTATTGAAGGCAACTGATCTTTTGTCTCTGTTTTTTAATCGTGTCTTAGTCCTTGCTTTGAATGCAGCTGCATTGTATAAAGTCTGAAAGAGAAATCAAATGGCATGGTCAAGGCAAAGATCTTATACATCAAAGATTGTATAAAGTCTGAAAGTGAAATCAAATGGCATGGTCAAGGCAAAGATCTTATACATCAAAGATTGTATAGAGTCTGAAAGTGAATCAAATGGCATGGTCAAGGCAAAGATCTTATACATCAAAGATTGTATAAAGTCTGAAAGTGAAATCAAATGGCATGGTCAAGGCAAAGATCTTATACATCAAAGATTGTATAAAGTCTGAAAGTGAAATCAAATGGCATGGTCAAGGCAAAGATCTTATACATCAAAGATTGTATAGAGTCTGAAAGTGAATCAAATGGCATGGTCAAGGCAAAGATCTTATACATCAAAGATTGTATAAAGTCTGAAAGTGAAATCAAATGGCATGGTCAAGGCAAAGATCTTATACATCAAAGATTGTATAAAGTCTGAAAGTGAAATCAAATGGCATGGTCAAGGCAAAGATCTTATACATCAAAGATTGTATAGAGTCTGAAAGTGAATCAAATGGCATGGTCAAGGCAAAGATCTTATACATCAAAGATTGTATAAAGTCTGAAAGTGAAATCAAATGGCATGGTCAAGGCAAAGATATTATACATCAAAGATTGTATAAAGTCTGAAAGTGAAATCAAATGGTATGGACAAGGCAAAAATCTTATACATCAAAGATTGTATAAAGTCAGAAAGTGAATCAAATGGCATTTTCAAGGCGAGGATCATATACATCAAAGATTGTATAAAGTCTGAAAGTGAAATCAAATGGCATGGTCAAGGCAAAGATCGTATACATCAAAGATAAGGAATTCAGTACCATATATCAAAGATAGGCTCAGTTGTCAAAGATCATGATCAGGACATTTATCAAATATCAACCCTACTTTATGGACTTATATTTCTGAGTCTTTATATGGTCTCTTATCTCACATTTTGTAATAAATGATTTCATCAAAACATTTAGTGAGATTATATTTTGTTTGAAACATACAATTTTGGACAGGTCATTACTCACTCTTTCTATTTTACTAGATTTCGATACTGGAGCAGCACCCTGAGGAATTGGTGCACCAAGGCCGAATACATCACGGACGAGATCATTCTCCTACAAGGCAAATCTTAAATCTAATACATGTATAATCAGAACATTTTTGCATCAATAAAGTAAAATGGCAAAAACACTTCGTTTTTATTCACTATTTACATAACATATAACCTACATAGTGGAGACAGTCTTGAAGATTAACTACTGTGTAATGTGTAAAAGCCTCACCTGTAAATGTAGATTCATTCCTGTACCCAGGGCAGAACAGAACATGTCATACTGCTTCTTGCGCACCCAGCTGTAAATTTCTAAGCATTCTCTGCCGAATTTTACACTCATTTCAGGGGCATCAGCTTCCTGTGAATGGAATATAAGAAGTAAATAGATGTTTTCTATTGAAGGTAACTCACTTAATATAATGAAGGTCTTGAAAAAAACACCAAGCTGGTGAATTGGGCAAAATGCAGTGTGCTCCAGTGGCACCCAAGAGAACAGTTGATTATTTCAGCGTGAATTACATCAATTTGATGAAAACTGGTCTATAATCCAATTTGAGCCAGTAGATATTTAAGGAATAAAGACCGAGATTGTATGATTTATAGTGTGATATATGACCGAAAATTTTATTCTGTTCATTGTTAAATCGCGATTGAGGTCTTTGGCAATGACCAGAATAAAATTTGAGGTCGTACATTTGACATAAATCATTAAATCGAGGTCTTTGCATTTGTGAATTTTAGCGGTCATACATACTTCATTATACACCAGTAAATCAATTGTTCTAGCAGCCTGAATATCTATGCTCAGGTGGAAACAAAGGCTAAATCCGGTCTGAATGTAAACAAATCAATTTGCCATACACTGCAGTCAACTGATTGGTCTATTTACCTCTACAGTCCTGAGCACATCTCTAAAGCTAGAGCGCTGTTTCCTCCTGTCAACTTTGGCACGAAATTTGTTGCTATCGGTGGCTAGTTTCTTCAGAATATCACAGAGATTTTCCAAGTCTTCAAACTCAAAGTCCTGAAACATAATGGCAAATTATTGTTGAATTCTGTCTAGATGATAGGCAATCTGAGATTTTGAATTGATGTTGCTGTGAAGTTGTGAAATAGATACAGTTCAGGGATAAAGTACAAAAAAATTTAGAACTCTTATACTCATTACTTTGAAATTTTCAAACAGGTGGCCATCTTGGAAATATTATTTTCATGCGAAACTATTTACCAATTTATATCTTTCACTGAATATGAAGAAAATTAGTAGTTGAGGTATTTTCTGCTCAGAAAGACAGACTGAAGGAGGGCTTTATTATATTTTGGAATAAAAATGAATCTGAACTTGAGTATATGATCAATGTTCCAACTCCATGTGGCTTTGATACACAAGTTTTAGAATCTGGTCAAGCAGAAGCCACCTAGTCTAGTTATGTGAATACAGATAAACTTGTCAACATAAAGAGGCTCTTTGTATTTGAACATAAAGCTTTCTAAAGTGTGTTCTAAAGCTCTGGAAAAGACACAAACCTCATTTTCATCTCTAGCTAGTTCAAACAGCAGGGCTATGGCCTCCCCTGCCTCAATGCGTAACTCTACATTATTACTTGCCAACAGCTCAGGAAGTTTTGGTAAGTGTCTACAAATATAAACAAAAAAATACTGATTTGATGGCCTGTATAGTTATAAAACCATAAAAAGTGGCACAATACTGCTTTGAAGATGATGCGTGATGTAAATATTGAGTTAAGAGTTATAAACAGACATCAGATTTGATCTAAAAATTTTAAGGTCGTTGAGGAGATTGTTTCTGAGATTTGCTGTTACTCACTTTTCTATAATGTCATCCAGGACAGACTGAGGTGCTATAGATACGAGTAACGTCCAAGCTGAAAGGACATGCTCATGTAAAGATGACATCTCTGGACTCAACATGGGGGCGCCACCATCACCTTTCAAGTAAGACCCCTTAAATATGCTCTCAAAGCTTTCCATGACTTTTACAATTTCCTGAAACATGGACATTTCAACAATCATATTTAACATTACATTCAAACATAAAAATTTAGACATGGGCATTAAGTCACTTTCAAGCTCTTAAGACGGAGACATTAAGAGATTTAAAAATATAGATAAAGCGATTGTATGTTCTTTTAAAAATGGATAATTAAGCATGGCCATTTAAAAATAGACAGGTTCTATGGGTTCACATTATTGATGCACATTTTTATTGTGTTGACCTTTGTTTCTTTTGCTTATATGTTTTAAGCAAGAACTGTATGTTACATTTGTTTCACCAGTCATCTCATCTTCAATTTGAGAAAATCTTATTCAAATGGAAGCTCTTGTTTTGTTGAATTAAACATGCATTGTATTGTATTGTATTGTATTGTATTGTATTGTATTGTATTGTATCCCTGTACAAAAAACAAATCAATAAAATTTAACACATGGCTCACCTCTATTTCTCCCCCTGCTATGAAGCTGCACATGGAAAGTGCAATGGCGCACTGTAAGAGAAACATTCACAATTTATTGAATAATTCATATGATTTATAGGTCTTAGGGTTTTGATTATATTTTCAAATACTGCCCTTTGTGCTTTCAAGCATGACAAACAGATGTTGATTTTTGATTTTGATGTTGATAACAGTTATCTTATCCTGATGAGATCACCACATCTACAACTAAAGATAAGTCAGGGTATTTCAGGTGATGTGGTTGAACTCTTGATCTTTATTTCACATATAATTCAAGTCAGTGTCATCGCAAGTAGTTTTTCTATTCAGGGAGCAGAATCCTAATTGTAATGATTTTATTTAAAAGAATTTAAGATCATTATTTCATATTCATTATTTCCATCTGATCTCAAATTCATGATAACTTACATTACTCCTAGCTTTCAGAGGTGCAGAGGCATCCATGATGATTTTAATCAGTATTGGTTTGAGCTCCTGGAAGGCTTCACCAGCCTCGTCACCAGCTCCTAGCTGTAGACAGAGATGTATGGCACACATAGAAGCACTTGAGACTTCCTCTGCTTTGCCTTTCTTCAGACATCTTGCTATAGCATCAGTCACTGTCATCCTCCTGGAATACACAAACAACATGAATGATGAGCTTTTATGAGAAAATGTGAAAACATACATTCTAATGTCTCTAGCTTTAGATGATTTACTTCAGTTTGTACCAATACCATTGGTTACCCTTGGTCAATGGTCTCTTATCAACTGAGGTATTCTAGTTCCTCCCCCAGTTTGAAGTACATCCTGTTCTCACCTCCCAGTCCACTCCCCCGGTTTTAATTGCGCCCAACTAAGTGGAAGCCTTTAAAATTGGCTACAATGAAAGATATGTGGGAATCTAATATGAATATTACAGTGAAAACATGTGAATAATATTATTGAAGAAAACTAAAATTTCAGAGGTGATTTAGAACACAAGAATGGCAAAGGAAATATCAAAACCATATCAAAAACAAATTATTCACAATGAGTAAAATTATCAAAAGTCAATCCAATTAGTATTTTACAAAGCAATATGATGAAGGGACCCCTCAAGAAATGGTTTTGAGGAATAGAATTCAGAATTTTACTTGTAAACAAATATTATGTATGAAATGAAACAAATGTTAACATGGTTAGGGTGTGCTTGGGATAGCCACAATCTTTGATTTATTTCCTCCCAAATACATGTAATAAGGCGTGTTTCAGAAAACAGCTGTCAGTTCTCAATAAACTGATTTGAACGTAGGAAACAGGTGATGTCAACTAACTTGAAATGAGGCTTGAGGCAAAATGGACTTGTGATGTAAATAAGCAATTGGAAGCCCTGGCAAAAATATTAATGACACATTCATTACGTGTTAGCTACATGAAACTAGAGTGAAGCCAAACATATGTGATTAATTAAGTTAAAGATACACATTGACATTTTTGGATTTAAATTGGCTGAGATTGGAACACTGCTTGGACAATAATAAAAAAAACAAGGCATTACCAATGTGAAATGTCACCTCCTGCCATTTGTTACAGAAGCCAAATGCCGAATGCCATCCACAAAAAGTTTGATACTTCTGGACACTGGTGGTGACATAAAAAAATCAAAATCAAAATTTAATTGCTAAAGTCTACCCATTCCTCTAAATACAAGACACTTACCTGTCTACAAAAAAGTCATACAGGTATTTCTTCTTTGAAGCTTGTGCCAAACCTGTTAGACAAGTTGTACGTCCTTTAGCACTGAAATAATAAACACATCCTTTCACATCTTAGAATAGAAAATAAAAGTCGGGGACAGTTTTTTTAAATCATACAATGCTTAGAAAGGCAGTTCTCCTTTTAAAAGCTGCACATTGACTCAAGAGCAATTGCTAAGTTACTATCTCAGACATAGATCATTGATTTAATTTTTTAAAGCCTCTGTACCTCTTCTGTGTACATCCATCAATGCAGTCTTTTAACTTTTCTTCAAAGTCTTCTTGTGAGCTACTTTCATCAACTTCCCCATTCTCCTGGATAGGTGGCGACACAATACCCACAGCTGTAAATGAATGTAACAGTTCTGTGATGCAACTACAGGTAGTATTAGTACATAAACTTGTACTGTCAGACATGTCTACACTAGTCTTGCATCAAGACTGTGGACCGCACCCTTTCTTCTTCATCAATACACCACCCTTCTCCTAGCTAAATACAAAAACAATGTCAATGATAGGAGCTCTAACCGCTGTATTCATTTAATTAGCTTATGTCCTTTAACCAAGTGACAGCGTATTTTCTCAAGCTACTGTAATTGATTACAAAACTACATGTAGATGTTCATGCATGAAGCCATGGGGCAAATAGCATTGTTACAGTAATTAATTAGAGTTTGAAAATTCATAATTTTGCTTAATCATTTTTCTTCTATTAGCTGAAGTCAAAAAATTTAGTTCTAATCAGTAATGTCCATGAGATCTCAATAATCTCAAATGAAACTTTACATTGTTTTAAATGAGAGTTTGATTTTAAAATAAATGTTAGATAGAAAATGCTGTGTTATGATGTCCAGACTATATTTTCTGTATGTACATATAGATCAAAAAATCAGTTGCTCTAGTTTCAAGTGTGTAGAGAATATAACTTACCCTTTAGTTTCAAGTGAGTGGAGAATATAACTTACCCTCTAGTTTCAAGTGAGTGGAGAATATAACTTACCCTCTAGTTTCAAGTGAGTGGAGAATATAACTTACCCCCTAGTTTCAAGTGAGTGGAGAATATAACTTACCCTTTAGTTTCAAGTGAGTGGAGAATATAATTTACCCTTTAATTTCAAGTGAGTGGAGAATACCCTCTAGTTTCAAGTGAGTGGAAAATATAACTTACCCTCTAGTTTCAAGTGAGTGGAGAATATAACTTACCCTCTAGCTTCAAGTGAGTGGAGAATATAACTTACCCTCTAGTTTCAAGTGAGTGGAGAATATAACTTACCCTCTAGTTTCAAGTGAGTGGAGAATATAACTTACCCTCTAGTTTCAAGTGTGTAGAGAATATAACTTACCCTCTAGTATCAAGTGAGTGGAGAATATAACTTACCCTCTAGATCTGCAGCAAAGCTCCCAGCATCTGACAGGTTGCTGACCACACTCATATTATCTGGGGTGTCTACGTCACTAGCCTCACGTGAGCCCCCATTATGCTTCCCACCAGCTCCTGAAATTAATTTGAAAATATATTTTCAACAGAAGAAGGCAAAAGTAAGAGCTGGGAAAAATTGTATAAAAAATTACTAGGCCTATACCCTTTTCTTTCCAATTTAAACCAGAACAACGGCAACGCCAAAGCGTAGCGAATCCCATCGAACAGCCATGGATGGCATTTTTACAAACAAAGTATATAGCAAAAATGGCAGCCATTTTTCAACATGGCAGCCTTCTACCAAAAGTGTCATAAGACCATGTGCCATGCTTATAGTATTCATATACCAAATATGAACAAAATCGCTCCACTACTTTTCAAGTTATAGTAAAAAACGTTAAAATGGCGGCTATTTTTCAAAATGGCCACCTTCTACCAAAAGTGCCATAAGACAGTGTGCCGTGCTTATTGTATTTACAAACCAAATATAAACAAAATCGCTCCACTACTTTTCGAGTTAAAGTAAAATACGTTAAAATGGCGGCCATTTTGAAAAATGACCAAAAGTTTAGACAGTGTGCTATGCTTTCAGTATTCACATACCAAATATGTGGCCGCCTTCTTTCAAAAGTGTCATAGGACAGTGTGTCATGCTTATAGTATTCACATACCAAATATGAACAAAATCGCTCCACTACTTTTCGAGTTATAGTAAAATATGTTAAAATGGCGGCCATTTTGAAAAATGGCCGCCTTCTACCAAAAGTGTCATTACACAGTGTGCCATGCTTATAGTATTCACATACCAAATATGAACAAAATCGCTTCACTACTTTTCGAATTATAGTAAAATACGTTCAAATGGCGGCCATTTTTCAAATTTTTTTTCAAAATGGCTGCCTTCTACCAAAAGTGTCATAGGACAGTGTGTCATGCTTATAGTAGTCACATACCAAATATGAACAAAATCGCTCCACTACTTTTCGAATTATAGTAAAATACGTTAAAATGGTGGCCATTTTTCAAAATGGCCGCCTTCTAGCAAAAGTGTCTTTAGACAGTGTGCAATGTTTATAGTATTCAAATACCAAATATGAACAAAATCGCTCCACTACTTTTCGAGTTACAGCAAAAATCGTAAAATAACGAGTAAAGGCCGCCATTTTTCAAGATGGCTGCCATGTGCTTCTTTAATATCTACATTTCTAGCTTTATTAATGTCCTATATAATTTTTTTACATCTAAAACATATTGCTATTACAGTTTTACATATTGCACCTAAATTACTGTAAATTCGGCACTAAAATGGCCGCCATTTTGAAATGAGCGGCCATTTTGAAAATCGGCTTTCGAGCAGAACTTCTATCCCCATAGGGTATATGTGTACAAAATATGAACAAAATCGGGCCAACAGTATTTGAGTTATTGCCCGGACGGACGGACGGACGTACGTACGGACGGACAGACGTACGGACGGACGGACGGACGGAGGCGTTCCCTATATCCCTCCGAACTTCGTTCGATGGGATAACAACTTGAAAACTTTCTAGTTGTACTTTTATCAATTTTTGCCATATCAAATAAATGAATATGATCCTATACTTATTCCAATATTGTAAAAATATATCAGGGTCGTGAACCATCCTCCGATCACAGGGCTTCAAAATCCAGAATATCTTCTTTCTTTTTACCCCCTGCTATAACCAAGTTGGACGCGCCCGATTAAACTAAATCATGTGATCTTATTATGCGCCGATGACGTATACATGATTTCTGTCGCAGTGTTGCGACAGCCAATCAAATTGCGAGTTCTTAATCGGGGAAATGCTAACTGCTTATAGCAGGGGGAAGAATGAGGTACCGATTCTGGACACCTGCTTAGGAGGATGGTCGTGAACGTGATGACAGAGGAACTTGAACAATAAAAGAATTGAATATAGTGTTAAATCATCAAAACATTTAAAAACACCTTGCCAAAGAGTTTTTAGAAAATTTACCATCTTGACCAATCAGATAGCAGAATTTTGAACCACACCTACTTTTTGCCAGACACTCCAGATTACATTACTAAACTTGGAAAGAAGAAGGTATTAGGTCATGATTTTGGGTTTGCCCAAATTTATCATATTATTCTGGAGACCCTATCTGTTGCAAGACTTATGCCTGGCACAACCGTCACCATGTTATTAAGTGTTTTTAAGTTTCGCAAGGATCCTGCCATGATCGTGGTAGTGTTATCATAATAGCCTGGTATAACCGTGACAATGCTATGGCCTGTCATGACCATGGTAATGTTAAAGCCTGATATGACTGTGAAAATGCTATACTATATTGCAAGGCCTGACATGAACGTGGTGATGTTAAAGCCTGATATGACCGTAACCTAAATGGTTGAAAGGCCTGTCATGACTGTGGTAATGTTAAAGTACAATATGACCGTGACAATGATTATATTAAGTGACATTTAGTAGCATGAGAATACTGTAATTAAAATTTCATTGTTCATCTTCCTTAAATATGTAAATGACTAGACTACGACTATATGAACTAAGTTCAATAATTCATTTCCACAAACTACAATTCTAATCTCATTCAAGATCGTGAACATTGTCACAGTCATATCAGGCTTTAACATTACCATGGTCATGACAGGCCGTACAACCATTGCCACAGTCATATAAGGCTTTAACATTACCACGGTCAGGACAGGCCTTGCAATATAATATAGCATTGTCACGGTCATATCAGGCTTTTACATTACCACGGTCATGACAGGCTTTGCAATATTGTCATTGCCATGACCGTGGTAATGTTATCATAATAGCCTGGTATAACCGTGACAATGCTATGGCCTGTCATGACCATGGTAATGTTAAAGCCTGATATGACTGTGAAAATGCTATACTATATTGCAAGGCCTGACATGAACGTGGTAATGTTAAAGCCTGATATGACCTTGACCTAAATGGTTGCAAGGCCTGTCATGACTGTGGTTATGTTAAAGAGGGACATGGGGTATAAATAGGAGGCAGGCAAATGGAACAGCCAAAATAATTGTATTTTTGATATTTTCACAAAGCTTGTCAATTTTCTCATATTTCACATTGATTGAGAAGATGTATTGGTTCCAATTTTGTTATGTGTATCTTTCAATGTTCTTAAGTTCATATTCTGCAGTTAGATTTCAACTTCATCATTTTGTTTGATTGTGATAAGACATTTAAAACACTGATAACATTTTTCAAATTTAAAAGTCCTCAAGATTAGCCAATTAAAATCAAGTATTTAGCAATGCTGTTAATTAAACTTACTTATTCTGACTATCTGTGCCATGTTAAAGTGTGGATGTAAACTGATATTTTAATGAGAGTTGCTATCAACTTTAAAACCGGCCTTTAAAGTACAATATGACCGCGACAATGGTTATATTAAGTGACATTTAGTAGCAGGAGAATACTGTAATGAAAATTTCATCGTTCATCTACCTTTAATATGTAAATCTAGACTACGATTATATGAACTAAGTTCAATAATTCATTCCCACAAACTACAATTCTTATCTCATTCAAGATCGTGAACATTGTCACGGTCATATCAGGCTTTAACATAACCATGGTCATGACAGGTCTTACAACCATTGCCACAGTCATATAAGGCTTTAACATTACCATGGTCATGACAGGCCTTGCAATATAATATAATATAGCATTGTCACGGTCATATCAGGCTTTAATATTACCACGGTCATGATAGGTCTTGCAATATAATATAGCATTGTCACGGTTATACCAGGCTTTTACAATAACAATACCAAGGTCATGGCAGGATCCTTGCGAAACTTAAAAACACTTAATAACATGGTGACGGTTGTGCCAGGCATAAGTCTTGCAATAGATAGCATGTGTAATTCTGTTCATTATTAGCATTATATCAAAAGAAGGTATCAAGGCCAGAATACACTGGTCAGTATCAAGCAAAGGTAACAACCGTAACCTTCGCATCTAAGATGGCGGACAGAAAGTATCATTTTCGATATTTTTAGTTTTCATAGAATTAAACTACTTAATAGTTGACGTTATGTTTTGATATTTGAACCAAATATCTTTCACCACATGTAAGTGGTGCGATGAGTGATCATCTCCGTGGCCTGTGATGCTCCGTGGGAAAATGATTTCAATGAAGATGCTATTATCTGAGCGTTTTTTAAGCACTATAGAGTATATAGGGGCATACTCGGACATGGGCATTGTCGAGCCATCTTCAATAATTTTCGTTAAGGCTAGAGTACCGACAATATGATATGGTGGCACGCTAGATATGCTGTGTTTACACGCTAGAGGACCGACAAATATTGATTTTCGAATTTTCTGGCGCATGCGCAATGCGCGGGGGGATATTTCAGATATCATACAGATATTTTGGGAACAAGTGCAAAACCCGGGGAGGGCATTAGCCCCGGTTACCTGGGGATTACCAAACCCAGTCAAAAAATGGTAGCCCGGGAACGGGAATGGTAGTAAACGTTGAAAACCCAATAAAAAACATGAACAAGTAAGACATTAGAGAGCTATTAATGCAGAGTAAACGGCTATATATATTCTAAACAGCCAGGATATTTCTCCTGAGCCGATCAGGCGTAGAAAGGGGCGTTTGCTACCCATTAGATAGAAGAAAATAGCTAGAATGTTTTTTATTTGAAGCTTATGGTATGAGGTTCCAAATCCATCCGCCAAAAGGTATGACCCCTATATAGTCCATTTAAAAACCTGTGGTATCATTCTAAATAACCCATAGTTGGCTTCTAGGGTACCTACCTAGTATGCCACTATTTGGTATCAAAATAAAGAGGAGTTCAACTTTCATTTGAATTACGAAAATAGCGATGTAGGTGAAAATAGTTCCGAACGTGAGCATGTTTAGTACGCGTTTGCCCGTCATATCAGAATTGAGGAAGTGGTAGCAAACGCAAGTTACAATAAACGGACGCTGATATCTCAAAAAGTAACCTGACTCCCTATAATTTGATGTAGGTCAATCGAACCCCTATATGGACAGGTGCATTTTGATATATAACACTATGGGGGGTAAGCGTTTCATAGTTGGTCACGAACGCCATATGTGCAAACTATTGTTATGAATTTTCGAATTTGGTGTTGGATTACGGTACTCATACCTTATAGCACAATTTTTGATGGAAGTTGCATTTGGCTCCCTTAGTTAATGGCCACGATTCCATCTCGCATGAGAGAGCTACCAAACGCAAAGTAAACAGTGATATATTCCAAATGAGATATTTCTCCTGTGCCATGGCATAGTAAGGGTAGAGAGCGACGGGGGCGAAAGCATCCCCTCCCCTAACTGTATATATCGACCCATTAGATAGAATAAGAAAAGAGCTTTAAAATGTTTTTTAATTGAAGCTTGTAGGACAATTTTGATGGAAGTTGAATCAATTTTTGTCTAAATAAATTATGGCTCACTACAAGTTAATGCCTGTACGATTCCATACTGCAAAAGAAGCACTATGCCTCCCCCCCTCAAAAGAAAAAAGTAGGTCCTGCCGGGATTCGAACTCGGGACCGAGTGTGTTTGAGTCGTGCTCCCTAACCACTAGGCTACCAGTGATGAGGTTATTGCTAAAGTAAAAGTAGAGCATTTATTTATGAAATTGTCGGCTCTCTAGCAAAAACACATAGCAGCCACTTGCGTACCGACAATTGTCGGTTCTCTATCTGGCACTACTAGGTGACGATAAAGTGCCGACAATTGTCGGTACCCCGGCAAATACCCCTGGACAGTCTCCAGTACCGACAATTGTCGGTCCTGGAGCCACTCCGAATAATTTTTTGTTTTACATGATTTCTTTATTGAAATGTTAAATTTAACACATTGTTTCATCAATATGGTGATATATATTGTAAAGATTCTAACAATGCCTCAGATTTTCACCTGATGCCAAGGGTTTGTCAGGGAATGCCCGATGACTGAGATTAGATCAAAATGTTTGAAGTTTCACAGGAATCTCATAAAAAATATTTTTGGGGCAGTTTCAGAAAGGGCTGCATCCCCCCTTCCCCTTCTGACATCCATGAAAAAGGTAAGTATTGTTCAAGGGCAGTAAGTGCACCCCCCCTTTAACAATTCGAATATACACCACAGAATATAAGAGGGAGGGGTGACCAATACTCCCCGTGGTATTGTGTCAGACTCCAATGTCTCAGGGAAGAAGCAGATGATGTTTTCCCCTGGACAACCGAAAAGACAGAAGAGACTGTCTTGGCACTGGTGAATTAAACTGAAGTTTTGACTTACATCAGATCTCATAACCAAAGGGCCTAAATCTCATAGGGATCATCTAAAAAATGAAGGCCTGTGCCATGGGAGATAAGTAAACCTTTCAAAAAGAAAACTTAGTGTCTAAGCATTCAAATAAGCAATACACTTAGTGTAAAATGACCTATGATTTCTTAGCTCACACCACTAGGGGTAAATATCACAGGCTAGTATCGAAAGATTTGTCCGCTGTGACGGAGCATGCTATTTTTCATAAAAACACTAAGAATGCTTCACGATTTATTTTTTAACTCATATGTTTCGTTATATCAAAGATACTTACTTACTCCATGCAATGGATATATCATTTGCGTGTAACCTTCATTTCTGTTTGAAGTCCAATAACGCTAGGAGTAAAATCTATTGAAAACGGCGCCAGAGTATCAAACTCTAAAATATACCATTTCTTTGTTTAACTTTTTAATGGCATGATATAGTGGCACGATAATATTAACATATGTTTTCAGCATAACTCTGAATGTATTAATGAGATATTAATGCATTGGGTCTTTTTAATTTTTTTATAAAAAATAATATTAATATTTTTTGTCCGCTGTGACGGAGCATTTTCACCATTCACATTTGCAACTGCTCCGTCACAGCGGACAAAAAAATTGAACATTATTTTTTATAAAAGAATTAAAAAGACCAAATACATCAACATCTCATTTATACCTTCATAGTTATGCTGAAACCATGTGTAAATATTATCGTGTCACTATATCGTGCCATTAGAAAGTTAAACAAGAAATGGTAGATTTTGAAGTTTGATACTCCGGCGCCATTTTCAATAGCTTTTCTTCCCAGCGTAATTGGACTTCAAACAGAAGTGAAAGTTACCCGCAAATGATATATCCATTGCATGGAGTAAGTGTAAGTAATTTTGTATGGTATAACGAAAGATATGAGTTAAAAATAAATCGTAAAGTATTCGTAGTGTTTTTATGAAAAATAGCATGCTCCGTCACAGCGGACAAATATTTCGATACCAGCCTGTGAATATGGTGAAATACTTGTTGAATGCTGGATGAATGAATCATTTTTTTTTTCAAAAATAATTTTTTGCGTCGCAGAATCTCACCCTTCGTTTTCTTCTTCCCTCTCGGCATTTTATCCTATTTTCAACTTCCTAAAGACTCTGCTATATCAAATAAATGTTTATATTTCCTTATAGTCCTTTCTGTGAATGAAAATATGGTATATTTTGATAAAGAATGTGATCGGTCGTCATTCATGTTCAACTTCGTGAGAGAACGTGAGTTCGAACTTTTCCTGATTCTCAAAAGTCCGGTTGAAGAAATCGACAATTTTTACAATACAAAAATACCCGCGAAATTCAAATTTTAGGTAGATGGTAAATTATTTTTGAGTATATTAATTTCGAAATAAGAGGAACTAGATCTTTTAGAGCCTAAAATTGTCACGTCAATGAAATGATAGTATAAACAGAAAATTTTATACCCAAAATATAACTAATAAAGAAAATTCTACAAGAATGAGGCATGTTTACGAAAGCAGCTGTACCAGCCATTGAATAAATGGTGACTCTGTATGATAGAATTCTAAAAATAGGTTGGCACGTGATTGAATACGCTGATTTGATTGGTTAGACGTCAAAGAAACGTCTCGATTTCGCAATTCTGTAGAGAAACGTAGCAACCTCGTCATATTGAGTTCAGAACGAAAGAGTGAGGACGGGAAGAATACTAACCAGTTTGAAGCCATAATCTTTGATTATTTGGAGTTAAATCTTTTATTGAAGTATTAAATCGAAAAGAGGATATACAGGTCTTCAATTTGAGACATTTTACGGCCAGATTAAGGAATATTTGACCGAATTTAGGCTAGAACTGTTATCAACTGACTGAATTTTTGGTGGGAAAAACATTATTGATTTTTTGTGGGAGGACTGCATACAAATTAGTGCAACGCCTACAATTATTGTTTCGACGCATTGTGGTATGCAATTACCAAGTATCTTCATGGACAATATGGAAACTATGGAAGGTATAAATATTGAAATGAAATCTCACAGGAGGAGAAGGCGAGGAAAGGGCAAGAAACTGAAGAAAAAGTTGATGAAGAAAATGAAATCCTTTGTTGAAAGTCAGAGTGAAACAGAATCAGAGAATGAACTAGAATATCGTGAAAAAAGAGACTTTAGAGTTAACTCAGGACCTTACAACTACAATCCCAAAGCTCCTATGAACTCAACCCAGTATATAATGGACGATCATGATAATAATCACGAACTATACACAGATTTTGAAGTGTCTTCAATAAAACCTGTTGATATTGCAGTTGCGCCACACCCAGCAGACATACCTTATCATTCTCCTGCTTATGAAGACATTAACTACGAATATGAATCGCCAGATGATGTTAGCGATTCATTTTCATTCATAGAGAAGGACTTTGAAGCCGCATTTCAAAGTGTGAGGGAAGATGAACTCTGGGAAATGCCAAAAAATAAACTTGTGACTGGCTTCATCGATTTAGAAAATAAACTATTGCAATTAGAAAATAGATTAGAGTCATTGGAAAGAGAACAGTTTGAAAAGGAATTTATGACATCAGATTCCGATTCAGACTCAAATCTCGATGAATCGTTTGAGGAAACTGTTCCTATCTCTACATTATTAGAGGAACTACATCAGCTACAAAATGAAAACCAAAAATTAGAAGCTGAACATAACAGTCTAAAAGCTGTATAATTTTATTCCAGGAATGATCGCTTTGCAGAAGTGACAAAATTCTACAATATGACCGACACAATTGCGCAACTAGACAAATCTACCGACAATATACACAGTTGTTACATGATGTATGTGTAACTTTTGTAACTCTGTTACTCATTCTGTATTTAGTATTAAACTAAACTGTTATTGGTTCATCACAGCATTTCATTTTCTTATCGAAACTTTTATTTACCTATGTTGTATCATAAATCAAAGTCAATTAAAACATTATGAAAATGGCATTGACTGACTGACCTTGAAAGCCCATGCTAAGAACAAAGAGAAGATAACCTCAAATCCATAAAATACAAAAACAGTCACTATGTTGTAAAATGTAAATATTGATATTATATATGGACATATTCTGATATATATTTATTTACATACAACTAATGCTTCATACTTATATTCCAGGATGGTGTCTCGACAGTGCCACAGAACGCAACCGTTCAGGCAAAGAGACCCCTTGAATAAATAGCAAAAGGTAATGATGGTACTACTAATCCTCAGACAGTATTGAATGTGTAATATATAATTTAACTACATTGTTTTGTAAATATGGAATACTGTAATATGGCCCACTGGTCATGGTTTGGCTAATTATAATGACAGGATGTCTCATGTTTTTCATTTTAGCCCGAGGTCTATGTTTATGTGATTTACATTTTATATAAAGTAATTAACTAGATGTGTGACATCTATTTATATGAAGTTAGTTACATAAAGATAGATCACGTCTAATTATTTTTTGCTTTAGGGAAATTATAGATTTCTTTGTATTATATAAAATCTGTTTAATTTTAAGCTGGGGCCATACAGCCATAAAAGGTTGCACTCGACTCTTCACCAAAGGGAGAATTCACACAGATGCGGCTAACTGTAAGAACTCAAAGCCATACATCAACATTGGCCACCCCACATATGAAACCATAAAGCTACCTGATTACCAAGGTCAAATCAGCTGATCAGGTACATGCTGCGTGATCGATGTTTTGTGGTTTCTTCATCATAGATACTGAATCAATAAACCTATTGAATCAGGAAATATTGTGAAAGGATCCATCTGATTATGTTTAACCATTTCCTTCATTTTTGTTTGCCTATACTTGTTAATGATTACCCCCATGTCTTTATTCAATTTGTTCCTTTCTAGCTGACAGCTTTGTGCATTATGAATATTTTAAGAAATTTTAATATTTGTTTGAATATAAGAAACAAAAAAGGGTGAAATTGCAATTCTTTATTGTATTTCTGTGTAGCTATCATAAGTTTTATCTTTTTGATTTATATTTTCCGTAATGCCAGTTGCACCAGGAAGATCATAAACCAGAAAATGAGATGTATGTCTGGGTCAGCCTGTACACGCCCCAAGCTTGGTTCAGGTGTACCACAAGGCATTTATGGAAGGATATATATGTGTTAAAGCTTCCTGGTAAGCAGCTGGTAGGTTATGTATTGAATTGGTTGAGAAGTGTGAAATGGTTAATATTGTGAAAATAAAACTTTGTTAAAAAGGGAGGATCTTAATAACAGTACAATAGACAAGACATTTGTGATACAATAAACTGTAAAACTTTCTTTTTATTACGCATTACTAGAACAGAATTATAAAGTTATATACTATTGTTTGTTCTGACTATTTTGACTATTGTGAAATGTAGATTCTATTTTTTGTGAAAAACAAAAAAAAGACTATTGAACGAGTCTACTATTACTCAATAAAGTCTGTCAGTGTTGAATGTTGATTCTTCAAATCTTGCTGCATATTTTTAGTCAGTTGTCAAAAGCTTCTCTTGTATAATAATAATTGATAACTTCCATACATGATAGAAATAAAAATTACCATTGCATGTATGCATATTGTACAAAGTGAATAAAATAAGAATGAACTATTGTTTTAACAAATCAAATTGATGATGTTTTGTATTTTATTGGCAGTGTAGAGTTGAGCCAACTTGACAAAGAGCATTCCATTATATCCCCTTTCATACTACATTCAAGAATGCTTGAATACTTTCCCAGTGATAGTTCAAGGAATGTAGCAGGCTATGAATATATTGATGTATGAGAACAGTAATTTACTAATTAACATTCTTGGGTGGCCACCTCCCCTCAAAATGCAAGTTGGTAAAATTGTGGAATAGTTTTTATGTCACCACCACAAGCTGACAAGTGGTGACATATTGTAATAGTCTCCTTTTTGTGGATCCTGCTCAGTAGTTGCTGAATGTAACGAATGGTAGGTGGTGAAAATTTACAAGTTACCGGATTTTCTCGCATATATGCCCCCCTAAATTTAGGCCCATGGGCCAAAAATCGAATGTAGTACGCTTATACGCCCATAAAAAATGACTATTTATTGATTTTTTCAATAATTTCAAGAGTATTTTGTCACTGGCAGATCGTTCTGTCGTTACTTTGTTTCAACATTAAGGCCAAGGTTGTAGGTGACATTTCCTTTATAATTCTTACAAAACATGCAGTAGGACTACAACAGTAGGTACGGTAGTCTTTGAGGAAGATGGCTGATGTCCACACTCTTCTCACCTTTACGCCCACTGGGCCAAAAATCGAAAGTAGTACACTTATACGCCCATGGGCGAAAAATAAGAGGTAAAATAACAGACGAAATTACCCCTTCTTTCAGTTATACGCCCAGGGCTTATATGCGAGAAAATCCGTTAATTTAATTGATGAATTATGGTATTTTGCGACATTTAAATGGGCCTGCTTGAGAAAAGTGTTTATCACAGATTCTATATTGGGCAGTTTGTTCAGTACTTTTGTGGATTCTCCTGTAGATGTTTAATTTGCCCGGATATTGAAGTAGTTCATCGATGCTGTAAGAAAATACCTTGCTACCAAATGAACTGTTACGGAGATATGTTAAGGATCCTGTTGTCAGTTGTTGTTGCTACCTAAATTCTATACTATATCTGCTACTTTAATTTTGATATTTCTAAACATAACTCTGGATGACTTTTGTTTACATTTTGCCTGTTTTATTACCATAGACAATTATTAATTTATTCATTAAATTAGGCCTATATGAATTATTTTTTTGTAAATGTTAACATGTAATATTTTGACCCAAACTAATGTGATACTTACAACTTCACAAAAATATTTCAAGGATTCTAGAAATGAAATGACAAATGGATCTTTTGCCAGAGAAACCAACAGGAATGAAAATCGGATCAATCATCAATCAATCATTACAATATTTGGCAATGATTATGCACAATTGAGAGGTGAAGGACACAAAGGACATTACAATCCCAATCCAAGTTTACTCAACTTTAAATAATTGAACAAACTGACAGCATTTTGACTACTTGAATATTTTGTGTAAACAATTGTTGACATGTTTATGGTAGAGTGACACTAGTTACAAACATAAACATACAATAACAATTTATTCATAAAATATTTATGTTCCATGTATAAATGCCTCAAAACAAAGATTATTCATGACTGCATCAACTCGAAGGTTAGAGATGAGTGTATGAGTTGATTGCGTGTCATCCAGTCTTTGTCACAACTGAACGAAGTTATTGGTTGAAAATACAAGAGTTGATAAAGTAGTGTAATCAAGTCTTCATCATGACTGTTGTAATATGCTGAAGGTTGAAGCTGCAAGAGTTGATTGTGTGTCATCCAGTCTTTGTCGAGATTCTCCCAATACTGACAGACATTCCTGGAAGCTTGTTGCTGCAGCCTGGCTCACTGACACTGGAATAACAGGAAATCTAAATATGTATATCATACCTGACACATTAAAGTGTACTATATGTACTATAATGTACATGTATTCAAAGAAATACAAGCTACCAAAATGGCTCATAATGTTTTTAGGACTTTAGCAGGAGTGACTGGACAGCTGGAGGGAGACAGTTACTGAGCTTCAGCTTGTAGCATTTAGGTATTTGATGCTGGTCATTCTATTTACACAATCAACACTTACCAAGTTCTCCAACAGATGTTTTACTTTGACCTAGATTTGAAAATGTTGTTTCTGTGGCAGTATTTCTTGATATGATTGTTGAGTAGCTCTCTCGTATGTCACCAAGTCCTTGAAGAAGCTAGAAATATCGTTAAATATATTTAATATTCAGTCAACATCATTTTGGTTTTTTGTTGCCCGCTGCATTCATTTTATAAAGAGAGCTGCTGAATTATGGCATTCTTTAGCTCAGCAATAATGGGTTTATATTGATTAATATGTGGACATGTTAATTTTATTGAATATTACATTAGAACAAACAAGGCAATCAGATGAAAAAATGTTACAACCTGGTCAGTTATTTTAAATTGTTAAAAAAGTGTGACAATTTGTTTTAGACACCCACCATGTTATGATAAAAGTGTGGATATTAACAAAATAAATATCCAAAATAAAACATGATCACATTGATAGAATATTTTGTTTTGCCTTATAAATGAAGAGAAAACAGCTACATTGACCAAAGTGTTCTCTTCAGAAAAGACTGCTACATTCTGTATCAAAAAGTGATTAATATCCAGGCTTCATTTAACACTGCACATGTATAATACTTTCTACTTAGCAATAGCAATTCAGATCAACATGCCATAAACATGTACGAAGATATAATTTTGGATATTGTTCAACATATTTGTATTGATTATACATGTTATACAGTATTCCCCATCTTCAAACACATGAATATTCTCAATAATTTCTCACAGTTTTCAATTGAACCAATTGACTCATGAGTTTGTTTTAACAAATTCAGCTTAACTATTGTGCTCCATTCTAGTATTTACTTACTGCCGTAAATTTTTGTAACATGGAATGTACTCTTTTAAAAGCAGGTCCAAGCTGTGAGAGATTTGGGGGCGTTTTGTTACACCACTGTTTCATCTCATTTTCATAGCAGTAGGAGAAACTGGTTACCAGCTGAGAGAGTTCAGAGAGGACAATACGGAGAGTCTGGCAGACCTTAGACACTGTCCTGGGGTCATCTTGGGGATATGCATGCTGAAATAATAATAGTAGAATACTCTTGAGACTTACTCTGAAATAATGACAGAAACATTCTCTCTTTACACGTACACGCAACAACATTTCTATTTACTCTTAGATACGGCTTAGATGCTTTTTACTCACAAGATGAAGAATGAACAACCTACCAGTTTTGTGATTTCATTTAATACTTCAGTCTGCCTAGCAATATCATCTACCAGCCTAGTAGACTCATCTAATAGTGCTTGGACATCTGGCAGTGGCCTGCAACAGTCAGAATGTACACAAACATAACATTGGAATGTCACCAACTGGTTGCAATTTGTACCCTGGCTGTCAAACCAAACACCATTTCACAGGAAGATGCATTTGTATTAAAATTAATTGAATTTGAATACTTAATTATACTTTGATTCCTTCAAGTTCAAATTGTTATAGAATAAAGAAATTTTGGCAAAATGACATTTTTGTGGCAGAGTTATTTGTAATCATTCGTAACTGTACAACCAGGCTGCTTGGATGCAATTCTAGGAATGTTTATCATTGCGTTCCAGTTACAAATTACAGTTTGTGGCCATATTGTATTTCTGCAGGTTCTATAAGGCATCAGACTATAAGTTGAACCTAATCCATCAACCAGGTTTTTAAACTCATGTACTCAGTTTACATCTTTCACACCTCGTGTACTCAGTTTATATCTTGTCACACCACATGTACTCAGTTTACATCGTGTCACACCACATGTACTCAGTTTACATCATTGTCACACCTCATGTACTCAGTTTACATCTTGTCACACCACATGTACTCAGTTTACATCTTGTCACACCACATGTAATCAGTTTACATCTTGTCACACCACATGTACTCAGTTTACATATTGTTACACATATGTACTACATTTACATATTGGCACACTATATGCACTTACTTTATATCATGTGAAGATATTCCCTTAGCCTGCCACTGCCTGTGTACGAGTGTAGAGAGGTCATGGGGGAGGAGGGCCACTCTGCTGGAGAATACATTGTCCAAGTCCTGTGTTGCGAGAGAATCGACATACCAGCAGTCCTTCTCAAACTGACTGTCTACCGACATAGCATCGCTGAAAGAGTTAATTGAAAATCATGAGTACATGTATTATTAGAGTATTCTGAGTATTCCTATATTCCAAAATGTATGCGAGATATTAAGTTGCGGAATGTTGACAAGATTAGAAGGATACTGGACAATGATGACATTTAGACTCTCTATGTGGCCACCTCAGCCACACAGGTTGACCTTGATTGGCCAAGATGTTAAAGCACATGTACTCATATTTAACAATACATGTTCAATATTCCTCATATCACACTCTGGTTGATAAATACCCAGCCCAAATCATTCCTTCCACATTCCAAAATGTACCAATCATTAGTTCAAGAAATATGAAACACAGTTCACCTTGATAGTTAAATAAAATAAGTTAATTTACCTGATTAGTCCAGGTGACATCATGGCTTGTTTAGAGGGGTTGTCAGCAGCATCTTGTACGGCAACTAGATCTATCAGTTGCTCCATGAAGGAGATTTGTTTCTTCTTCGATGATACACCCTGAAACATATGAGGGGTGATCAATAAGTAATGGACTTTTTTGCGCACACTCTTAATATATCCCTTTTCGCAGATGATGCATCTTAACAAATATATATATCAAATCTTAATTCTGAAGACAAAGTCAAGAATTTTGATAGACTCTTTATTTCCATTTCTTGTTGATCAATCCTTGTAGATAAACAATTCAAAGACCTGCTCATGGATGCAATTAGTTATAACAGCTAGATGCTAGTCCAATAATACTAAATCATGTTAAAGGGATAGTGTTATTATATAAGACACATACAAAACCTGTGTATCTGGACATCTCTCTCTCTCAAAGGAACATTTCATTGTGAACACTTTTTTGAGTTAAGTTTTTGATATTTAAAAACATGCCATCAAATGAAAAAGGTGTGAAAGGGGAGATATGTATATTAAAGGGCCGCGCCTGGAGAGCCTTAAAATTTAAGGCTCTCTAGCCAAATGGGTTACCAAAATGCTAAAGAGCCTTAAATTTTAAGGTTCTTTAGCATTTCGGCTAAAGAGCCTTAAATTTTAAGGCTCTTTAGCATTTTGAAAGCCAATTCTGCTAGAGAGCCTTAAAGGAATTCCAGGCGACAGAAATGACGAAATATTGCTTCTGGGACAAGATCAAACGACTTTGACATATTCTATACCCAACCTATTTTGTAATTTAACAAATCAGCACACATATACATACCATATTACATGTATTAGCAGATATGGGACAAATTCAAAAAGAAATATTTTTTGATCGATAAAATCACTGATTATTAAACCGGAAGTGTCTTCTCTGAGGTCCGCGAAGATGAAGAAGAAAACATATAAAGATTTCAGTCATTTCATTTTTGCCGTCGATTTGATTCATATCGTTTTGAATGATCTTCTTATGCTTACTATGACTTATATTAGTACTGTTTTGACTTCCCCACTTCATAAAAAAAACATTATCACTTTTTGCTCGACTCATAAATTTACTTCCGGTCTTCCGTGAGAAATAAAAGTTCTTAGAACTTTTTCAATCCTAAGTCTAAATTTGGCTTTTTAAAGGTTCAAACATCGATTTTGAACGAAGAGTTCATGCATATATATCGAAAATATATGTCTCTGGTTCTCCAGAGAAGGTATACCAGGCAAATCACGTATATAGCCAGAAAATGTTATTTTTACCATTTTATCCACTATAAATCGCAACGTCCGTTTAGTAAAGATTTAAATTAACGACATTTATTGATGGATTGGAGGCTAGGATAAAAATGTTGTTGTTGTGTAAGCCGCTGTTTGTCTATGTCAATAATCTGCAAAAGGCTAATAAGCCCATATAAAGCAGATATTTCCTCGGCAGTTCACCTCTTCTACTGTAAATTTTCTTTGTGCTCTCTCATGTGCTTAATTCTCACTTGTGAGGAAAAATTATGCACAAAAATAGTCGTCACGTGATTAATTCTAAAAAACAGCATTGAAATCTAATGGGCAATAGATTTGGAAGTGTAGTCTGTGATGTCCCTGGGCTGATGTCCCTGCATTCACGATAAGCTGCGTCAAGATGTGCTGTATCTAGAAGAAACAAGATCCTTTTTCATCCCCAGGTCTTCATCATACTTTTTGCCATCTTAAAATGGGATTCCCTGTATTCTCGTGACTATAGCAAAGCCAATACAAGTGATTTATTTCATTAAACATTGATGATTGAGCGATGGAGCAAGCCCAAGAATTCTCGAAAAAAACTTCCAGCTTGTTATTCAAAATAAAAAAGCGCTCCGTCGGGGAATCGAACCCATGGCGCAGAAGTGAAAAGCGAGCTCCCACTATACTAGAGTATTTGTCCATGAATGGACTAACTTTATTGCAACTCTATAGTGATATACATGTGTGAAATTTTTAAGTGGCATTCTGGGTTGAAAAACTTTCGAGAGTGTTGTTTTATTGTTTAGATGACGAAAACTTCAATAAAAAACAATATAAACACGGATTATAAACACAAAGGCTCTCTAGCCAAAACACTATGTTCACAGCTAAATAGCCTTAAATTTTAAGGCTCTTTAGCATTTTGGCTAAAGAGCCTTAAATTTTAAGGTACTCCAGACACTTCGATATTAAGTATATTTTGTACAGTACTTACACGAATTATATCAACATCATCGTATCTGCAAAGCCCTATCATTGAAGCAACATATAGTAAACCTGTAACCAAAGAAATGCATTTCTCAGTCCTTGAAATGATTTGACATTTTCCCTGATTACTAAATAATTAATATTTTCACCTTTATACTGTCTACAACATCATCGTCTCATTTCTCACATGCTTTTTATTCTTTAAAGGTTAATAATTGTTTGCACAAATGAGATCATACATCTACAAGTAATGAAATGAAAAAATGTCACCACAATGTATATTGCAATGGTTATGAAACTTATGAAAGTATTACTTAAAAGTGTGTTCCAGATGCGGAACTGGCAGTCACTAAAATGGTGACTTTAACAACATTTTGCCACTTCTTGGAGATAACATAAAAATTGCAAATACATGTAAGTGGTTAATGTCTGTTTATATATAGGTTTGTAATGTGGTTCTTTGTGACTTACGTTGGATTCTAGAATCCATTTTGGAGTCCCGAGAGGCATATTGGGGATCCAGTAGGTCAGCCAGCTTTGTGTCGAACCTGCATGAAAATTCAGAGTTCGCAATAATAAGAAACATAATTCTGCAGTCTTATACAATCATATAGAATATTAAATCTACATTAAAAGAATCTCTATATAAAATGTAAACCACTAAGATACTTTACTACAGTAAAACCTGTCTTAGTGAACACCTCTCTCTAGTGAACACCCTTCCACCGCACATTCTGTGCTCTACTGACTTCTGTATAAATTACCCTCTCTGTAGTGAAAATGTTCAATATACAAAGGTTTTGCTAACCACCTTCTCTATTTCAATTGTACTGCACTCGCTGTTACTGAAACGTATCCATTTCTGTAACAAGGTGACTATGGTTCCAGTTAGAAAGTTCAGTAAGATTGTTCTTTTTCCTTGATTTCTTGAGATATAGCATAAACCATCCCAACCTTTTTGGCACAAACAAGTGCAAGCATCAAATGTTTCTGGAAATCCAAGTGATATCTCAATAATAGTTCGTGAGATGACAGAATCTTCACTATTACTACATAAATGGTAAAGGTTGGCAGGTTTAACTCATTCTGTTGATGTTATAATAGTGAGGTATTAAATCAATGAATCTGTTGGTAGATTTTCTTAAACATATGATACTGACACAAGCAAATGTTGTGGGAATTCTGCCAACAACTCGTGAAATGAGGAAAAAAGAAAAATTGTACCTTCTAGGTTCAGACATTTTGTAACTGAAACAGATCCTTTTTGGTAACTAGTTTGAAGAGTAGTACAGGTGCAATGACTACACACAACAATTTTGTTTGTTTGGTATTTGTAATCATAGAGTGCACAATCTTTTTTCAAACATAAATTCTCACTTCCAGGGACCGGAGATGGTTGGGTGCAATTAAATGTAGAATTTGGTACAAACTTCAGAAATAGCGCTAAATACAAAAAGCCTACATGCCCTAAACCAACAGTGTCAAGATATAGGGACAGAAAATATTGGCATTTTGAAAGTTACCTTTTTTTCGTCTCTATTACAACACACAATTCGAAGACAATTTATGGGGGAAAGAAAAGTTGAAAAATGGTCAGAGTACATTTGAAAAAGCACTACTTTGGACTTAGTCATTTTTACTGGTCTTTAACATTTCTACACAAACCTTAATGTACTGCAATGGATGATTTTTATATAACCATTTTCAAAACACGTTACTTTGCCTTAAAATCGTAACTTTATCGAACTTTAACTTTTATCAAGAAGAATGAATGACTTTTTAGGTAGGTATTTTCAAAACTTGTTACTTTGCCTTAAAAACGTAACTTTATTGGACTTTAAGGTTCAGCTGGAAAGTAACATTTTGGTAAAAAATTGCTATACCTGCACATGTTATTTTCTGGTACAAAATTGAGTATGAAGTCATGTGTGTATTTCCTTGCTTTTTTCAGGAAAGTATCATTACACTGTTTACTTTTAGAATATCTGGAAACAGGTCAATGGTAGCTCCTGTGTTGTCTGGAAACTTTGAAAGAAAATTTGGAAAAATAGAAAGTGTGAAATATCAGAATTTCCTGGAGTTCCCATTGAACCCCTACCAGATATTCTAAAAGAAGACAATGTAATGATACTTTCCTGAAAAAAGCAAGGAAAGTGACACATGCCTTCATACTTTATTTTGTACCAGAAAATAACATGTGCAGGTATAGCAATTTTTTACCAAAATGTTACTTTCCAGCTGTACCTAACTTATCATTATTTAGTGATATTAGCATTATTTCTAACTTTGAAAACAGCCATTGTAAAAGCCTGATCCTGGCCTCTCCTGCTTTGAATACAAGTTCTAGAATCCAGGTTTCTTCAACGCCATCTGTGAATGGACAACCTAAAGCCTGCAAGAGAACAAGAAACATTTGCAGCTCTACACACAGTTTTATTGAGATAGTAATTTCGGAGATATTTTAGAACATCAAAATGCAGATTTAGACTAACCTGGATTTGTTACAAGCTCCTAGTCATTGAGTGCAAATTCATTTGATAAAAACAACAAGATCGGTGAAAAAATAAAAAATTGGCTTTTCAAAAAGTTGATTTTCACAAAATACACAAATATTTGGAAGAACTAGATATCAGAAATCACTCGAATCGTTATCTGTGTTCGTATTTAATATATAAGCGACATTTTAGAGTAGCAGACACTTTACTTACGTCAAGTTTAACCTTGAAAGAATGAGCTAAATATTTTTCATTTGAAATCGCCGCCATATTGTAAATATCTAATCCGGACTGAATAGAATAATTCAATTTGATTGGTCAAAAGATTTTTGATCTATTTTCATTTTCACTTTCGATATGACATGTAAGATAAAAAACTGGTAATGCCGAACTTCTTACAGGAATAGGATTTGTGTCTCATGAATATATGTGCGAATCAGAAAATCTTTTTGAGGGGAGGAATGAACTCTCATCAAAATTCCAAATGAGACAAATGCAAATGGTGTACAGGTATTGTATTTGCCAAAAACATGGATAAGAAAATGTTAAACTGATGATTTTTACAATTGTGAACTCTGATCATGTCATTCTTGTCAGAAACAACAATCAATTCCAGCTGCATTCTTTCGGATATATTTTCTCATGAAGAAAAAGTGTATTATATTCGGGTTTCACCTTTCCAAAACAATTATTCAACAAACACAATCATATATTTTTCAATAATTTATTGCTATCAACACAAGATAATCTAACACTTGTACTAGCAAAGTTTGTTTATCTAAACAACAGCAATTCAAACATGTCAAATAATATCATTCACCAGACATGTAGTAGACTTGGGTATAAACCAAACTACAATTTGTAGTTATTTGTAGTTATTTACTAACAGGTTCAACATGTGTGTATTTATCAAAACTTTATTTATTTCACATAATTTCATTATAGTCTGAGTAAAGAGGTTTTGTTTTAAACTTTGGTGCAGATAATGAATTAGTATAAATACAATAAAACATGTGGTGATTGCATTGTGGTTTTCAAGGCTTTTACTATCCCAAGAAGAGGGCAGAGCCTGTAGAAATAAAACAGTTTCTCATGCCTATAATAGGGAAACCAAACATGAAAATGTTGGAGACTTGACAAAAATAAAAAAAACAACAACAATCACTTGGTTAAAACCTCTGATGTTGACAATATTATGCATGTTTGCACAAATTTTATTTACACAATTCCAAAATACTTTAAAATATAACATGTGAACTTTACAATAACATTATTTCTGTAATTACAATTTACCTTTAAAAATATACTCAATTCATAGGTAAAAATAGATTTACATTATATATTTCAAACCAGGATACCATATTTCAAGATTTGAATATCACATATATTTCAAATCTAGTAACATGCTAATGCAGGAGTGAGTGTTCCTAACTTCCTATAATATCTGAATATAGGTTAACTGTAGCTATAATACAGACCAAAGAGTAGTATAATACAGATAAAGTGCATAAATATATTGTAGGCCAAATGCACCTGTAATGCAGGCCAAGAATACATGCAAAGTAGGTCAAGTGTATCCCTAATGTAGGCCAGGCGTACATATAACATAGGCCAAGTATACTTATAATGTACATATTTACTATCTCCTACTTGTAAATACAAGGCATTAACATGCAAAATGTCACCACCTGCCAAAAACCCACCAAAAACCATTCACAAAAAAGTTGGAGACTATAACAATATGTCACTTCATGTGGTGGTGACAAAAAACAAAACTACCAGGTATTTGTTGCATAATTCGCACAAGTAGGTATAAATAATAACCCTGATTTTCTGCATGTAAAGTTTCATACACACTAGCATTCTCTCTCTCTTTTTTTATTTTTTCAAACATTTTTTCATTATCAAATCATAGGAATCAGAAATCAAAACTTCCTTTATCTATCTGAATAGTTAAGGTTAACTAAAAGATTTTGCGTTTAATAATATCGCAAGGAATTTGATTTCTGAGACCAACAATTCCAGGAACAACCATTTCCAACTGGTCTTCAGACCTGACCCTCCCTGCACCAGGGTTATGGGTTTAGTCGTCATATACGCATACATAATGCACCATTGGATACAGTTGTTATAGTAACAATTTCATATCCCACTGTTGCCATAGAAACCACCATAGATTTTCAAGATTACGGCACCGAACAAAGCACAAATACAAGAACAAGAATGTCTTCACACTATTTATCAGCTCATGATTCATACACGATTGTTGTCGCAGAGCTGTTTCCACGTCTGTTTGATTATAAGTCAAATCTGTAGTCAATATATTTGTGTAATGAATGTCCAATATCATTTCTCCTCTATGTTGTGATGTGGTTTCTATGGTGACAACAGTGGGTTTAACCTCAGCAACCTGCTGCTTTCACATCTCCTCCTGAACTCTTAGTGACAGACAGTGTGGTGAACACCTGCAACAAAAAGGTATGAATGCATTATAAAATTTGAATGTATTTTGTGCACTTTCAAAATAACTCAGAAATAAATTAATAAATATTTTTTCCTAATTTTCGTTTGTGTTCTAAAAGGGGGTTCGATTCCATAGACCAAGTTTCAATTCTAAAATGTGAAACATGACAAAATTGTATGGTAGCACTAAGTCACAAGGTTTATTTACCTCTGAGCAAGTTGGATGGATTCCTATAGTGTTGTCAAAGTCGTCCTTTGTCGCTCCTAATTTCATTGCTAAAGCATAACCCTGAGTGATTTCCCCAGCATTGGGCCCCAGTACATGAAAGCCTATCACCCTTTGCTGAAAAATAAAGACCAATTTATAATGAAATAAGCCCCATAACAAGGCCATAATAATTCACTGAACATACAAAAACAACATGGGTGGTCCTACTTTAAAAATGATTATTATGAACAAACTATTTTTGCAATACACATATTGTATTTTATTTCAAACAGAGATCTCATTTTGTCAGATGGCCCCTGTGCACTTGGTGATGTCATCAGTAGTTGCCTAGCAACCAGAATCTGAGGACAAATATGACACATTCATACCTATCCCAGGGTGCAACTCATCATTCAAATATCTGAATACATACAAGTAAACATTATCATCTCCACTCTTAAAGGGATCCAACACCTTGCAAAACTTCTTAACGGAGAGGAATAAGGGAAAATGCTTGCCGGATTCTGAATCTGTGTATTTTTTAATGATTTTTCACCGTCTTAGAATTTCAATTTTTTTCCTTTGAAAAAATGAGATTTGCATTGTTTTCCAATTAGACAAATGAGTAAACATGAATAGCTCGAAATCTAACGGTGAGATTTTGTTTTAAAAAATCATGGATATCAAGGCTAAATATAGCTATACAATAAACATAAAAAGCAATGCTTGGACTCTTAATATTCACACAAAAAATTAATTAGTAAATGAGGTTTGATATTTGTGAGAATAAGTTGTACGAGTCGCAATGCTCTACAAACACCAGACTACAGGGTGGATTAGGATCAATGACACACATAAAAATTAATTTAAAAACATTTCATGATAATTATCTCAAACAAAAGCAGTTAGCGAAGGATACATTTCATTACACTCAATAAATAGTTATCACTTTTGACTATATATACATATCTCATGGGAATGTATTTCCATCTGCTCAAGATATCATATTTTAGCTTCGAAAATTACATTCGTTGGATAATACATTTGTCTCAGAATGATAGGCCACCCTGTGGCAATGTAGCTTTCACTTGAAGTGTACCCTTGAGAATAATGAACTTACTTTCAAATTGGTCTTGCTTTTGTGGTGTATGTGGCTTTTTAGCAAATCTGCCACGCTCATTTCTTTCCAGAACCATCTTGTTCACATGTAACACTAGGCTATACGCGCATGTATAGACAGATGACATAGATATACATTTAAATTATATATTGCACCTGTATTTACTTACATGGGAATATTCCCTTTGGAAAAATGCAAATGCATGAACATATATTTTCATCTTATATATGACTTTAAGCTAACATATTATTTCATATTTATATTTTCATAGTTAGTCTAACATAAATAATAGATCCATGAGAACAATATTCTTTGTTTTCTTAAAAATTGATGGGTTTACTGTGAATTCAATAAATTACAATTTGCAAGGGGTAAGTATACTGTATGACCTTAGTTGCAAAGTACTGTTTATATATGCAGCTCAATAGCATAAAATATGTGAAATGAAGCATATGGTATGGATTAGTCGTGTGACACACAAACTGACCAATACATGAGGGTATTAGCTACTTTTCACAGAAACCAAAGGAGGACAGTGCTTTTATTTCAACTGGGAGCTTACCTCCACACGACTGATCATGTGACCATGGTGTTGGGTCCCTTTAAATTCAATATTTTTGTTTGGTCTTTTTTGAAAATATTTTTATTGTTATATACGTGAACATACATTGTCAGTCTTGAGGCAGATAAGTTTCCCGTAGCATACATTCTCCTCTCTGTGGGCCACTGTGTATTCTAGGGGTTGGAAGTTAGTGTGGTACACCTGAAAGTAGAATACAACATGTAGATTACAATAGAAAACATTCTCCTCTCTGTGGACCACTGTGTATTCTAGGGGTTGAAATAAGTTAGTGTGGTACACCTGAAAGTAGAATACAATAGTTAGATGACAATAGAATACATTATCCTCTCTGTGGGCCACTGTGTATTCTAGAGACTGGCAGTTTGTGTGGTACACCTGCAAAAATATTACAATATATAGATCACAATAACTTGGGACAGATCCAAAGGCATTCAGAAGTTTTTACCTTTTCATACACAAAGTCTCATTATATTTAGATAATAGAATATTTCATCCAAAATCACACTTCTACCAGACATGAATTGCCATTTTATGTGTCCTACATACCTCTAAGTTATCTTGTCCAAACTGTGCTATGGCATCCTCTTCTGCCAAACCTATACAACCATACTCTAGAGGGGTGAACACTGTTGTTGCTACATTGGTGTAGTCTACCTAGAAACACATAAACAACTTCATTCATTTCTCCTTGAAATCCACAGTAATCCATTGAACAAAGCACATGGTGACCAACAATATTGTAACTTAATATTGAAAGTGACTGCCTTTACCGAGCACCCAAAATCTAATTTAAATATCTATACCAAGAAACATTTTTAAAGATTTCAAATCAATCTAACTGTACGATACATGTACTGTATGTTATATGTACTGTTTGAAACTTGAACTATATGTTATATGAACAGCATGCTATATGTGCTGTTTCTTACCTGTTTGGTGGAGCCATTAAAGAGTCTTTCTGCCAGCAGTTTTCCTGCCTGGATGGCAACCGGGGTCAATTCTGGTTTTTCATCTAATACATCACCGATGGCATACACATTTGATATGTTTGTTTGTTCATTTGTCGCAAATAATTTACCATTTCTGAAAGCAAGATCAAAATATTTATTACATGAAATAAAACACATATACTCAAATATCACCTACAAGGTACATTTTATGATGAAATTCCTGTACTACAAAACCATTTTTGAATTTTTGGGAACAATTTTGAAACAGTATAGGAAAACCATTTACACACAGAGCAAGTTTCAGAATTAGTCAGATGAAGCACCACAGCACACAAACAGCACACCACATCACACAAACACCACACCACACAAACAGCACACCACATCACACAAACAGCACACCACAGCACACAAACAGCTTTGGCAGTGAGAGCATCACTATTTACTTATAACTTACTTTGTATTATATCGCACTCCTATATTATCTAGACCTATATTTTCTGTACATGCATCCCTCCCAACAGCAAACAGAACCTGAAATATAGAGTCTGGATAAAGAAGTTTTCACAAATGGATGAGACAAAGGTTTGACACCATGATAAGAGAGTCAAATCATGAATGAGTTCAGAAAATATAAACACCGTAAAAAGGAAAAAACTTCAGACCATGAAAAAGATTTCATTCCACCAATAAGAAATTTTACACTATGGATTAATATATCTTTCTTCTTGTTGACTCCTAAGCAAGTTGCCAAGGAAGGTATTAGCTCGACCCCCTCAGACAAAATCAAGCAGTTGTCATCACTTTGGCACTTTTCAAGTTTTTAGGAATTTTTGACCCCTCTGGCAAAAGCTGGCTACAGACCTGCCTTCCCTAATACCTCTCCTTGAATATCTCACTTACTGTGTTGTATTCACCAGTGATTGAATCACTTTCTGCCCCACTGGTTGGTTTAGCAGTAACTTTCAGTAGCCCTGGGGTCCCTTCCTGCAGTCTCTCCACCTAGATGGTAGAATAAAGGGCTATCATTACAAGCCTAAGTCTCATGTCGTTTAATTTTTCAATCAGATGGTAGAATGTATGTCTTCACATTCAACTCATTCTTATAAGCAAATATTTGAAATGCAATCAACTGCATTTTCATTACATAAAATTATTTCAACATGAACTGCTGAGACTTCATTTCCTATTAATATGCAGAATTTGAAGTTCAAAATTAATAAAAGCAATTGTATATTTTAAGTCAGATGGCCCCTGTGCACTTGGTGATGTCATCAATAATTGCCTAGCAACCAGAATCTGAGGACAAATATGACACATTCATACCTATCCCAGGGTGCAACTCATCATCCTTGCAAATGCTATGAAAGATATAATCTATCACTTCTATTCCAAATACATCATGTAGAGAAATAGGTGTGAACAGATTAGGTTTGCTAACATCAAAATATAAACTTACTTTCAATGGGACATATTGCCTGAGGAACTTTACACCATGGTTCTCCATATAGTCTCCAATCTTCTCTGCCATCTGTTGGTCAAAACCCCTCAGCAGTATGGAACGTACCATCAATGTTACATCCAGCCCTAGACCTGGAGTGAGAGTGGCCTTTCAATATCTAACTTTTTGTTTTTCAAAAGTTCACCCATACAATAGTTGATTTCCACAATGAGCTCAATTTCAACAATCATGTTTAAATTTTTTCAAAAATACTACATTCTATGCTTTATTTCGTTATCATAGTGTATTATTTTGAACATAAGTTATATTGTAACTCTGCAAGTCTCTAAGATATTTTGATTTCATAGTATAGTATATTACAGTAAGTGGCCCTGAAGCTGTTTTTACAATACACCTCGACATACCTGCTAGAAAGCCTGCACACTCAAGAGCGACATAAGATGCACCAATCACAAGAGTTTTTCCGGGGCAATATGGTAATGAGAACAGATCATCACTGGAAACAAAATGTGAAAATAAATGAATCTATAACATTACAATTACATCATCTAACTTGGCTTCTAAATACATATTTTTCATTCAAGCCAACTTCAATGTGTATTGATCCTTTTCTTTATATTTAATTGTTTGATGAGTATGAGATGACCGCCAATACAGACTGTGACACAAGGCATTGAGGCTCTCCTACCTTGATATGCCAAACTCTTTGGCCCCGGGAATGTCAGGTATTCTGGGTCGACCACCAGTTGCTATGACAAAGTTGGCAGATGTAACTTCAGTTACCTTGCCTCGTTTGTTTGTTGCCTGCAATGTAAACATTTGTAAACAAGTGGTTGGCAATAGTGGCGTACAGGAAAACGTGAGGCTTGCGTCTGATGACAAGTGACATGTTTTCCTGAAATTAAACAATAAGTAACTAGAAAACTGCAACTCCACAAGGTAGCTAATCCGAAGGAGCAAAATATTCATGAATCTACAGGAAAACATGAGGCTTACATCTGATCACAAGGGACAGGTTTTCTTGACAATCAAACAATAATTGACCATGTATCAACTATAATGAAGATGTTAATTGTATTTTGCCATTAATATTGTTTATACAAGTTCAACATAATGTCATGTTTACAACTTACCTTTATTTTATGTTGATCAACAAATGTTCCATATGCATTTAAATACTGCACAGTTTTATCTCTAAGTTGTACTCTGTATCCCCAGTTGAGGGATCCTATGTGGTCCTGTACACTGTCTTTCATCTTCTCCCAGTTGTGTTTTGCTGAAATAGAAGGTAACGCAAATCTCTTAATTGTCACTTAAACAGAATTTTTCCAGATGCATGCTCACTTTTTACCAGTGTTATTTTTCCTATCAAGCAAAATGAAGGATATCTACTATGAACTGCCTATTTTCACAAAACAGAAATACAGAATTCTGCCAGACGCATGCTCACTTTTTCTCAGTGTTTTTATTTTTCCTATCAAGCAAAATGAAGGATATCTACTATGAACTGCCTATTTTCACAAAACAGAAATACAGAAAATTGTTTCCAGATTGAATACATTATAGAGTTCTGTATCTTTATTATTATTACATGTAGGCATCTATTGAGATCAGATTGATTAAGTTCTAACATTTCTGAATTTACTATCTCATCTCACTTATTCTGAATCATCAGAAAGTTGAAATTGATTTTGATCAACACTTCTTTAGGACAGCACGCATCATTCAATTGATGTACTGTAGTAATAACTAGAGCAAAACTTATTTTTCAAAATAATGAAGTAATTATTTGTCATACTACAATATATGAATATCTGTTCACAAGAAACATCATTAACGTTACAAAACATAAAGTCTAACAATTCAACAATAAAATAAGGCAACAAATTGTTGAGATATAACACAATATAATTTTGATACCACCTTCTACTTTAACATAGTCATGCTCTTTTACTCCAGTGTAGCCATCTTAAACAATACAACAATAAAATATTTTCGCCTTACAGCAAGTAGAGGGGATAAGCCATAGTTCATAGTTGACTTCGCAATTACTTTTTAAAATGTGTGTAATTTTTCTACATTCAGTAATATTACAAAATAAACACCAAAAATATGATCTGATTTAAAATGGAGAGATATGGCAAAAGAAAGCAAAATGCAAAAATCAAACATATTCTGGTATTCAAGATGTTGATGATGTATTATTGAATTTGAACTTCACTACACCTCATTCCAATACGTACATATAGCCATGTGTGCTTATTCACTCTTACATGTACATATTAAGTTCACTTACCCGTTTCTTCCTGAAGTTGCCAACCATAATTTTTTGCATCTTCTAAACTGTGCCCTGAAATAATATGGAAAAAGAAAATAAGAAATTTAGAAAAGAAAATAGAAATTTAAATCTCTATCTTATAAATATAACAGTTCTAACAGTTCTGGAACAGTGCAGATGGTGAATAATACTGTAGCTAAAAATAATTAGTCTTGATTTTTATACCCCAAAAATCGCTGAAAGTTTCAAACAATCGGTCAAACATTTTTTCTGGAAGTAGGAAAATGAGACACCATTGCCTACCAAAGTGACAATAAAACAGTACCTTATGTTGGTTAAAAAGAACTTCGGTAAATGACATTTGATTTTCTTTGTGCTTGAAGTTGATTTCGCAAAAATTGGCAATGTAACGAACAAGATACTTTTCCCCTCTCCTTCACAGAATCAATTTAGCACCATCCTTACAGTATCAAGATTTTGAAAATTTTGGAAAATATGTGACTAGGAAAATGGAACCAATGATTCTAAAATAATGAAGATTGGAAAATATTGTGTTATACATATAAAATATATGACAGTCATTCAAAGAATGATACTAACACATGAGACAATACATTAGATACAATAATGAATGTTATACATAGAGACTGATCTGCCTTTGAGCTTCATCATTACATTAATCACATGAGAATTAAATGCCAACTCTACTGGGATACAAATCAGGCAATAAATCGTGGTATTATATTCCGAGAGGTGAACAACTTCAAATGAATGCTCAAAGCTTAAACAAGATCAGTAATAATGCCCTTCCGAATACTGTAAATAACTTGCGATGTTTCATGATTATAAACTCACGGCTCAGCAAATATGAGTTACCTTGATGGATATTAATCTATTCAATGCAGGATTGCAAAATTCTCAAATGATCCAATATACTCAATATAAGGTAAGAACTGTCCAAAAAAACTAGTCATTCAATAAGCAGTAAAAAAACTGTTATGTGGAACACCTCCGTAAGTCACCCTTGGTATACGCAGCTAACGAAAATTGACCGGTACGGGTCAAAAGCGGACATGCTATTTACATCTTGTGAGTTTCAATGACGTGCGTTTGATTTTTAGCATTTTTAGCATGTCATTTACATCATACCTTGATGGGGAAAAATAGATCTTATATGTTAGAAGTACTAAATAAAAGTTATCGTGAAAATGAGACAGTCGTTCTCGAGAGCATAAATGCGCATTTAGAGAGTTTTGGTCCGTTTAAAAATCTGTAAAAAATTGGGGTACTTAAAAGCATCGGGAGGCATCATATATTTCAAATTAGACACGAGGAAGTCAATATTGAGCAAGTTATGGCTATTTTAAATTCAAATAAAGCCGTTAACCCGTACCGGTCCAGCTTTTGTAAGTGGAGCACTTTTCACGTCCCAAGTCCTATTGGCTTTATTTTAAAGAACCTCTATAAGAGGAACACCTCTGCCACTATTTTAGGAGGGACATTATTTTAGGTCTTTGCTCCATCCCATAAGTGATATATAGTCCATGCACAGAGTCAGAGTGTTATTGATTGACACCATGTAGGATGGAGGATATTTCTCAAAATTACAATCAGTTAATATTTCCTCAATATTTCTATTTTATATAATTGTATAATATGTAACTGTCTAATTACAGACACAACTAAATAATACAGCGGAAAGTCGAGAAGATAAATAACTGATGTGGTGTCATTGAGTTAAATGAGAACATCACTGATACAAAAAAAATTGTTATAGAAATATATAGAAATTGGATGTACAGCTAGCTGCACAAACATTTCAACTGAAAAATTCAGACACAACAGACTACTTTTTGACATTTCTTTTTGTAAATATGTTAGAAAAGGAAACAATATAGCACAGTTCGATAAAAATAAACGAATGCATTTTAGATCAAGTTAGATTTGATCAGTGATTTATGTCCAATTTTTTAAGTCATAAAATCGGTCATAAAATTGCTTTGGGTAAATATTGCAAATCCTGTAGCGTAATTGAAGTATCTTAGAAGTAGAATACAGTTATATTGTGGTTATTATACTATTTTGCTCGCAGATTTATGTATTTTGCATTTACCTAGGAGAGCAGCTTGGTGCATGAGTTTCTTTGGTATACAACCAACATTGACACAAGTTCCTCCCAGGCCCCAAGTGGTTCCTTGTGGACTCGGCTTCACAAAGTCCAACACTGCAACACGCTTACCAAGGTCAGCCGCAGCCTGGAAAGAAAACAAAATAGTTATTTTAATAATACACAGGCAGTTCACGGGCTTTTAATTACTAACAGATTGATACAGTGATGCCTCAGGGGACTTTCCTAAATGCCAGCTGAGATTCAATTGAATTACATCTAAATATAGATTTATATATTAACTACTGTATATAAAATGGCTGCCTATTAGCCAAATTGTCATTAGACAGTGTTTATATTATAATGTAAAATGTATAATGGATAATGTGAATAACACACATAAATTTTTTTTTTTAAATGGCAGCCTATTCACCAAATTATCATTAGACAGTATAATATTTGAAGTATTTACATATAAAATTTCAAAAAATGCTCCACTACTTTTTCAGTTGCAACAAATAGGTAAAATAACACACATGGATGAATGTACAGAAAGATGAAACCATTCTCTATATCCTCTAAAACTTTGTTCGATGGGATTACAAAATGAGAATTGTGACAAGTCAATTACTCAAACTGAAAACGTGTCTGAAACTGTGTTTAAAGAACCTTGATTCATCAGGGATCAATTTACCAATGGTATGATGATATTATTCGAAAATACTTCAATCAAGAAGAGGACATATTGATTGCTTCTCATGAAAGTACAATGATAAAGCTTTTACTTTTATATACATTGATCTATCATTCATGAATTATAGGAGGCTTGGTAATCAAGGAAAAGAGACATGACTGGCATTAATAGTCAGTACAAAGGTTTCTCATAGGTCACCATAATTACTGTAATAGGACAAAAGTAATTGTTTCGTAATATGGACAATCATGTAAGTTTGCAGTCTAAGGTGACGCTCCGTTTTCCAATAAAATAAAATAATTAGGCCTAATTTGAAAATTATTTCATATGAGAAAAACTTGCACACACTCTGTGAGAGTGCTAGTTTTTCGACAAACTACTGCAGCGGGTAAATCTTTCATCGTAAGGATGGCATCTTCAAATAATAATAAACAGTTGACATGATTGGTACTTGTTTCACATTCTTGCCCATGATGTGAAATTCAGACAATTTGATTGGTTGGATTTGCGCATATTAACCGATAAACACAATTTTGGTACAATTATCAGAAATGACAGTCAGAAGGAACATATTATAAGATATAAATTCATTATTGCTACTGATACCACTCACTATAATAGAGGCCTTTTTTCAGTTATAAAACCTGCTCAATGTTCTAGTTTTGCTTGCTCATGATGAGTAGTATGTAACTTTTCAACCAAGTGGAGATTTTGCAATGGTGTCATATTAAGTTCTTCTTTCAAGCTTTTTTGAAATCTGTCACAGACTTATTACATTGAGTGATTTATCTTGTATGTAATTCAATCACTAGAATCCTTTTATTCAAATGAAATGACTTTAATATAGATGAAAGACTTACACTTTTGTGTAAGGTGTCACTGTAATTCAAAAGAACTTTTGTACCTTATAAAAATAAGAGAACCTGAATACTGAATATACCGAAGAGTAGACAAGGCATTAACAAGACAATATATGAGAATTTGTTATATAAGCTGAATCCTGAATGCCCACCGCCAAACATTGTCTACAAAAAAAGTTGGTGACTATAATAATACTTCTGGCAGTGACATAAAAAACAATTAAAATTGAGACGGAATAAGAGAAAACACTTTCATTTTCACTTTTCTATGAAATATTCTAAAACACAATCAATACCAGTAGAATATTACAAATTCAATACATGTGTATACCTTAGAGCAAGCCAGACCGCCAGATCCACCACCTATCACCACAAGGTCGTAATCATATTCTTCCTCCTCTCCGTTGATCATCTTCAGCAGTCGGCCCTCAGTGTTGGCCTGTATAGTTGCGTCACACCCTCCTGAAGCCACAAACATATATACGTAATACGTAATAATAGGTTATCCAAGTCCAAGCATATTATATTACCTATGATGCTGTATAGAGGCCTCAGATATTATTGACTGAATGGTGATAGAGTAATTAAAGAGGCAGTGTCTGGAAGGAGCACACTTGCAGTACCTCTTGATATTTTTGCATTAGGAGATGTAAAACAAATTCATCCATAATATACTTGTCAGATAATGACTCTTACATTTAGGGTCTCAATTTCATGATTTTACGCAGAAAAGCCTTGTTCACTAAACCAAACCGTTAGAAATTCGAAAATATAGTAACAAGACCTAAATTTGATTCACTGCCTGGATTAAAGTCACATGATGATGCTCATGCCAAGCAAAGAAGAATTCTCTGCGTTCAATTTTGAGTTGGTCTCTCTGTTGATTTTCTTAATATATTGGCAATACAGTGCCCTTAAGATGGTCTCAAGATAAATCTAACTTACTGAGCAATGATAAGTGACATCATTGATTGTTTGGGGAAGTAACCTAAGAGACAATGCATCTTTAAAGCGGAAATAATGTCAGGTATTCTAATCATCATTATATGTAGTTACAATACTACTGAATAAAATGCAATAAGTTGAAAATCTTGTTATGTGTTAGTTTTTGTATAATATTGAAAATAAAAATTATAAATTGACCCAGTGACCCAGTTGTCTGTTAAACGGGGCTCGCCATATTTCCCTCAGAGACCCGGATGTAGACCGGAAGTGTGACGTTTCTGCGACCTGAGCCGCCATCTTGAAAGCATTTACAACAAAGGAAAATGCCTATGTGTTGTGCGGTAAATTGTTCAAATATTTCCACTGAGAGAGCTAGACTTGGGATAAGGACTTTAAAAGAAATGCCTGAACGACAGTACGACAGTCGGCTGGTGACGGTAGAATTAAAATCTGTCGACAGTTCAAACCAGCTGTCGTTGTCGTGGACCGAATCCCCGGGGAATAGAACACATTTAAAACAGTGTCACTTACTATAGTTTCTGAAAAGTTTCATGCACGGCTTTTAACAATCAAAGATTCCTACTTATTATTGTCTTGTTTGTCGTCCTATATCTATCCTGGGGTTGTGTTTTTTCTCCCCAATACGGGAAAACATTTTGAATAAAGAATTTTCCAATTCCGCCATCGAATAAGTAGGGTAATCTGCAGCAGTTTCGTTTTTGCTTCAACTCTTCACGCATGCCTAGTAGTTTGAAATAATTTACAAGTGCGCATGTGTTTTTGGAATTAAGCCAATCAAATTATTCATTCTAATGCGCATGAACTAGATTCCGAATCAAGAGGAACTGGCGCAGATTGCCTCAAATGCTGAAATCGCTCTTCAAAAGCTCTTCAAAATAGATTGGTGAATAAAAATGAATAACTGAAGTTAGAGTGGTTTATTTAGTTCGATGTCAGGATATTTCAAGTAAGTATTGATTATATAGACGCTATAGTGATGATGGTTCTAGACACGCGGGGCAAGTTGTTTTAGCTGATTTTCTCCTCGAACGGCGTAGATTGAACACAATTTTACTTCCGGGTTTACCCACGACAGTTTGCTATCGGTTGAACAGAAATAACACTGTCGTTATCGACAATGGAATCTCACTGTCGTTCGGGCAGTTGCCATACCATACATATTCTCTCACAAGAAACCAAAGAAAACGGATTCAAGGCAAGCAATCCGGTCCCAAAAAGAGAACTGAACCAGGCCATGTGCCGGTTAGGTCGACGCCATTTTGAAAAAACTTTTTGAATTGTATCGTATCGTATCGTATGTCTTTAATAGCTTTATAACTTAATACCATATTTGTGAAATAAATATAACATACTAGGTCTACGAGCCTCTAAATTGTTTGTTGTCTACTGTAAATACAACAGAAATACACCTCCATGGTGATCGAAATGACGAACCTTGCGTCATCGATCGCGATCATTCATGACAGGGAATACATTATCAGTTCTGCCTTATATTTATAACAGAGTGTCAAAAATCCAATTAATATCTGCCATTCGTCATTTTATTAAATAAAAGATCCGAATATGTTTAATCTTCAAGCAAAACGATCGAGAGATAATTGATTGTCAACATAAAATTAACGCATTTTCCTGTCATGTCGGTAACCAACGTTCACGAGTTGGTCAGTTTTTGGTTTTGATTGGCACTTTGGGAGTTAATTCTATGAATTGTAAGTATTGATGTGAACATGGTCATGTTTTTCTCGAAAAGGTGATATCATATTATAGTATGTCAATATGCCAAATACATCGTCAAAATCTTCAAATTGCTCCATTTTCTTGTTAAGAAGTTCGTAATATTTTTCAATGTGGCCGCCCCGCTACAATTGCGCATGCGCATTTTTCGGGCCAATCAAAATGCTGGAATTTGTCGAGTCGCAGTGACGCCGCTCATGAATATTCATAGGTAGGTTATGGCGACCTCCATAATCCAGGTGAAGATCCAATACCTCAAAATTAATTCCAATATATCTGCCGATGCATTAGAAGATCGTCGCTCATACCCGGGTCATGTTTTTGATTATAGACTTATTATTCTGATGAATTATAGTTTTTACTTGAGGTTATTATCCCTTTAAGGTATGCTATAATAGATGACATTTATTGTCTCTGATCAGCTGCAGTTAAGTTAATATGCTCAGGGGTGTACCGTTAGGGTAAATAATTAACCAGAAATATGCCATTCATTGTCAGTATTGTCTGAGTATAAACGTCTAAACACAAGTTATGTCTTTCTATATATTTTACGAACTAAGTTTATTACATAGAAGAATATCACCCAGAATGCCTGGCAGGATTTCCTACTCGACTTTACAATTTACAATGTTATATACATATATAATAAGATGTCAATTTTATACGCCTATGTTTAACAATAACAAAAAACTTCAGTCTCACCATGTTATGGTGATCTCCTTCAATCATATTCATCTCAGTCATCTGACCCTTATCATAGAGTTTAAAAAGATTTGTATAGTAAAATAACCTTTCCTTAATTTTTTATACAGCATGAACATGTATCTATGTCCATGTGATGTCATCCTGTAAATTGATCTGAAGGAGGTGAGACATATAGCTGCATATGCCCATGGGAGCTTTCTACAGCTGCTCTGTGTTGAGAACAATATTGAACAAAAGTACATGAAACAGAATATTAAGACAGTGTCATGTTTGTTTCAATCAATGAGACCTGGGGTATTACAGGGTGTCAAATAAGTCCCGTCCCCCCCTCTACAGCCAAAACCAAGATATTTGGTACCAAGTGTGATATATCATTGGAAAGGTCTTCCAAAGTTAAGTTGATTGGCATATATCTGACACATGTCAATCGATCTCACAAATTTTTACATTATATCAATTGAGGTGACCATATGCCTAGAAACATGGCAATTTGGCGTATTTGGCAGGATTTTAAGAATCGGGTATAAGAAAGGTCAAGGGACCAAAAGATGACTAAATATGTTTATGGCGATGAATTTAACCAATTTCTGGATAGGGTTAGATGAGTAGAAAATAGAGGTGCAAGGAAAGTGTTGAAAACCTTTTTGTAACAAGTGGAATGCGAAAAAGATTAACTTTTGACATATTTCTGAGGTCATATCCTTGTCATTTTGACGCAAAAAAGTTACTTAAAGGAGGGCACGTTAACTATAAAAGACATCATAAAAATATAGATAAATTTCATCCAAAATATTTGAAAGTTGGTGAGTTAACATAACTTTGGATGATCTTTCCAATGGTATATCACACTAGGTACCGTCTGTTCAGGTTTTAGCTGTAGCAGGGGGGACGGGACTTATTTGACACCCTGTATATCTCCAACAAGCCATTGAGGAGCCAGCAAGAGACAAACTAATCGCAAAGTTTACTTTGTGCTTACTATTCAAATATATCAACTGCATAGTCCATGCTCCATTGCTTTGTATAACATTTTCAATAGTGAAAGATTATAAATGAAACTACCTTTATAACTGGTTGCCCTGAGGAAAGATATGATGGAAATGAGCTTAAAAGACTTGTTCATACATAAAGAGACAAGCAGATCTCTATTGATTTATTCTATGCTAACATCAATTACTTTTCCTATTTGCAATTCTTGCTGCAATTATATTTATCATGTTGCTACATCAAATATTTCAGTCCAGCTATCAGTCAAGCTGTCAGACCCTTTGTACCACTATGAACATGTATATGTTCATGAGATTGAAGTAAATGGTCACTCCTTTTTGGGCTGTGGTCAGTTTGAGGACAAATCTGGCAAGTTAGAGCTATGGGACAACAAAATCTTCATCCAAGTTATAAATGTTGGTACATGTTTGACACTTTACAAACAACGAGGATGTGAAAAATCATGATGTCATTCTGCATAATGTAAATACTGTATGTATTGCGCAACTTAAGGACAGGTCAGCCTAACTTTACGAGAATCAAGACATCAATCACTGACCAGAAAATGCGTAATGCCACCATTAAAAAGATTTAAAACATAACACTGGCCAGAATTCTTTTACAATTACAATATATCATACTAAATACATTGGTCTGTCTTATCCAAACACAGCATTCCAAGGCAATTCAAGGAAAGACATTTCTATTATGTACGAGTCTCCCAGATATAGTAGACCATAGAACACACCATTTACTGGATAGATTGTTGAGAGTATACCAGGGCTTGCATTAACGGCGTCCCGTACATGTTAAGGACTCAAAAATAATTTGGAGGACGCAAAAATTGAAAATATTTCCGTTTTTTGGACGCAAATTTTTTTTAGGTCGTACTACAATGTGTTTACAACGATACCTAACAAAAACAAATAATTATGATCTCTCACCTTTATTTGAATCATAAATAAGGTTCAACATGTTGAATATTTACAAATAATCATGATTCTCTCCAATTTTTTCGACTTTGTTTATTTTTAGATTTGAAACCATGACACGCCACAGTTTTTCCTATTCAGAAACAAATATTAGGTTATTCATGAAATAAAATGTATTCATTGTCGAATGAACGAACATGCATTTATTCACTCCGTACTTAACGTTTACTTCCGTTTTAAATTCGCGGCAAGAAATCAATAAATGAAAGGTGTTTTGGTAAAAAATGCTTTTAAAATAAAGTTATACCTCAAAACAGGCTAGAAATAGGGGACACACTTTTTTTTCAAAGGACACACTTTTTAAAAATGAAGGACCCACAGTCCTATGCTCACACAGTTTGGAACCTTCAGAGGAATTTATATCCTGACTTTCAAACAAAAATATTGATTTGGATTTGTAGTCTCGAACTTTGAGAAACTTAGATTGCATAGTTATGTGACCTAGTTTGATGACCTTTGACCTTGAAAATTTTACTTATTCAGAGCTCAGTAAGGTATTTTGTGATTAAGCTGACCAAAATTTACATCCAAAAATCAATTTGAAAAATCAACTTTTTTGACCTTTCGAAGGTCACTAAAGGTCAAGTAAAGGTCAAATCCTAAAACTAATGTCAGATTTGAACTCCTGGCAACTTGTAGATGATTTTCAAAAAAAAATTTGGTCATTATAGAGTAAACACCAAAAACCGTAATTCCAAGAGCTTTGAAATCTTCAGAGGACATTAGTTGCATATGCACCAACTACTAAAAGTTATTTGAAAGTTCTACTTCAACAAAGTGTCTAGTATTTACAGAAAAGTTGACTTTTTGACGTCAAAATCCGCAATTTCTCGGAAACCGGTCAAACTTGGGAAATGGCGATGATAGGTCAAATAGGCATTATGGATATGCATAAAATGAATGTGGATATGACTCAATCCGAATAGCAGTTTTAATTTGTGCGGCCAATGTTGACGGACGGACGGACCAACGGACGGACGGACGGACCAACGGACGGACGGACGCCTGGTCAATCCCATAGGCTCACTGTGTGAGCCAAAAATTGCGTCATTGGGACTCACAAATTTTCTAACCTAATGCAAGCGCTGGAGTATACGTAGTCCACACTAATTTAACTTATTATCATATACCTATCATACAATTCATATTCTGACTTGACTGTATAGCGATTCCCAGAGGATGAGAAAGAACCAATTTTCTTCCTCAAATATTGACCACTGATGTAACAATCATACACAGGGGTTTCATTAGCAGCAGGCAACAGGTCATTTTCATTTGCCTGTTGTGAGAAATTCTAGTAAAATCCTTGCATATATTACTATTATAAATGCAGGGGTTTCATAAGCAGCATTACCGGTTGTTTTCACAAAATCGCCTGTTATTTTTGGGGACTTTTAACTTTTCCATGTTAAATTTATAATTTCCATTAATTGTTAGAAATTCTCGTGAAACCCCTGTAAATGTATCCCCATTCCATATCTTTATTCAAAATATAACCATTCCCAAAGAGAGGCTACACAATAACAAATGCTCAGAATGAATGATTTGGATTAAAAGTTTACTTACCCAAATGTTTACCATTTATGAAGACATTGGGGACAGTTCTTTGCCCTGATAGCTCAAGCAACTGTTGTTGAACATCACTGCCATTTGCTGAAGGTAGAATTTTACATGGGGGTCAATGTGTTGCATCATACAAAACTGCACAATTATATACAGTACATGTATAAAATATATATGTACTCCACTAATCAGATTACAGATTACTAGAAAAGACCTATAGACAGAGCCATCTCTATATCCCCATGAACTACATTCAATGGGATAACTAGATTTATCTACCCTGCACGCAGAGTCTAACCGAAGTTTTATTTTAGTTTGAAAGAGTGAAGACGAAGCTCTCTTTTAAGAAGTGAAGTCAAACGAATGCAAAGGGTAAAATTTATCCTATGCCAAGTAGAGTTTTAGGGAGATAAGATATAGCCTGTATCCTGATTTTGAGGTTTTGATATCTAGAAGCTCCATATCTCCCGGCATATCCATCAAGGGCATGTCTTCCCGCTTTGAAAAAAATGTTGATTTTTTTTTGGAAAACTCCACTGGGTATAGGATAAGGCAGTTATGTATGGCCAGTTAGGATATGGGGTTTATCCCTCGTGAGATATGCACATCTACCTTCGGTCCCTCAGGTAGATATGCATATATCCCTTTGGATAAACCCCATATCCGAAACCTCCCAGTACATAACCCTTATATATGATCGATATATGATGGTTTCCTCCTCCATCCTATAACATAATAATAAGAATAGGTTTGTATTCAAGTATTGACACCATATGAGCCGATGAGGACACCTAATATGTTTGACATAATTGTTCCCTTAATACCTTGCAAAAGGTCATCAAGAAAGAAAACATCAACAAATTGTATTTACAAACATATGTACACCATAAAATGAGATCTTGAAACCCAGAGGCAAATATATCAGTAAATCATATGTGTACATGTACCATGTACCATGTATACATAATAAAGCATGCACAGTATATAAAATCAACATCATATGACTTAAAATCATCACATTATCTTCTTGAAAGTGTATCAGTTTGAATATTGAATCGTATGTACTATGAATGACACTCATGTTTTACATACAATGATGGCAACCGAGGTCATGACCAAAGGAGGACAACTTGAATGAATTTTAAGAATGTCAAAATTTTTGATCTCACATGGTGAGTCTATTCATTCAATGCAATGTACGAAATTTTGAAGAAAAAAGGCTGGTTCGTTAAAAACAAGGTAAAAGTAAGAGCCGGAATGGTGTAAATACCAATTTGGGTATGATAGCCGTAACTTCTTATTCCATCCAGTGAATAAAGAAGACTTCTTCTTTGCAAGATTATAGATAAACCACTTACATATTTGATCAAGTTCCAAAGCATAGTATTCCACTTTTAATGACTGGAGCAACTCTTTGACCTGAAATAAATAGAAAAAAAAAATATTAGGCAGGATAACAATAACAGATTATCTTCATGGGTGTCTGTTCCAGCCAGCGTGGTAGGGCTAGAAATGGTGTTTAAAAATAATTGAATAACTTGCCTTTTTTCGTAACACCTGATGACAATGTGGCCTAATATTGTATAACTTGAAATTAAAGCAGAGAAATTTTGGATTGATATGCGCTTCCTTGCGCTCAAAGTACTTGTAGATGCGCATTGGTAAAAGTGTTGCAAAAATGTCATGTGACTAGACTAATCAATGTGGTAAATCCTGATGAAATTTATTTTCATCCTCAACTTTCTCATTTTACAGATATAGTAATCGATTTATAAATCTTTAAAATTAATTTGGATTTAAAAATACCTTATTTTTACCTTTATATTAGAGCCATTTATAAAATCGAAGAGAACCTTTATTTTAGCTACAGCGAGTTATGATCATAGTGACTCCTGATAATTTGTATGTGATTTTCATTCACTTTCAAACTTTTAATACTGTTACAAAACAGTGAAGGTAAAAAATAAGGTAACATTTATCGATAAATCATTTATATATTAATTGTAAATCAAAGTTTCTTCAACCTTATTACGCACATTATCAAACATATAAATGGTTCATTAAGCTAACCAGCCTAATCGAGTGAATCAACAGTGTCTTATCATATGAAAATTTTGAATGTAAATTGCATCCATATTTAGGTCTCGCAAAATCTTGTGACTTTTGAAAGTAAACATTTTCTACAAAATAATTAGCGTTAGCTAAATATGAACAGTCACATGACATTTTGACGACAATGTGCATTCTCATGTAACGTACAGTGCGCAAGAAATTCAAATCTGAAAATGTCATGTCACATCTCATCAAGGAGCTGAGCCGCTTCGGTTTTAATTAATGATTTATTTATCTGGCGATTTTTAAAATATTCAATAAATTTATGACACGGCGGCCAGCTTTTTTCAAATGGAGTTCACAGTATTCCAGATGAAGTCACTTCTAGCCAAGTATTGGCTAGACTCGAGTAACCTTCGCCCTAGATCTATCGGTTACCTGTATTTTACAGGTGGGCAGGCGACCCAGGTGGGCACTTTTATTTTTTTCATAGGGGTGGTAGGATCCCGGGGGGTTCACTCTAAATAATTTGGGTAGGTATGTGCAGCAGGGGCAATTATGGCTCAGGGCATAAACCATGGAAACCGGCCAATCTGAGAGGAAAAAAACATGGAAAATTTACGAAGAGAGAGCCTTTTTAAGTCAAAAATCAGTTTTTCTACAAATAATGGTAATAAATCAGTAAAATTAGTTAGCGAGGTCTGGGATAAATCAACTAAAAAGTGGATTCTATAAGCTTAGTTATACACCAATATTTCAGGAAATTTACTCCTTTTTATAAGTCCGAGAGGAAGTATACATGGAAACATTCAATCTTGAGAGGAAATTAACATGGAAAAAATCACAGTCAGAGAGAATGTTTCTGGCGAAAGGAAATTCTGGGATTTCAAACACTTGAAGTTGGGAAACCGGAATGGCTTACCTTTTTTAATTCCCGGATCTCTCCGAAATTAGCTCATCTTGGTGACTGTAAATTGCACAGCTGTATTCAATGGAGTCTTGTCATATTCAATCAGCCTCAATTTTAAAGTGTATATTTTATTTTTAAAGTGATTTCATCGTTTTTTGTCGACTGGTAAGAATACGCGGGGCAAATGGCAAGATGGATGACTTTTGACCTGACCTACACCGATGGCAGTGACGTCATCAATTTTATCTATACAAATTCTATTTGGTCACGTGACCTTGTGCCAGAAGTCCGAATTTTTGGTCAGTCGACCTGTTCAAAGTACATTTAGTAATAATTATCGCTTTTCAGAACAATTTAGGAAACAATATTTTTTATCTACGTCGATTACAAAGCATCTAAGGTACGTAAATTTATATGAACTTACCTTCTTCTAAGGCCACTGTATCGTGGCCTTCCAGTACAGATATATTCCCGCATGAACAACTGGTCATGTCGTAATCATAAAATTTGAAATCATATGTCCGCCATTTTTCCACATCACAATTTGAATTGTGAGTTTTGGTCTTATTACCTCACCAAAAATTCCAAAACACACATAAAGTGATCAGTGTATTAGTTCACATCTTCTGGATCGCTAACTTAGAATTTACAGCCAGTTCCCTTACGGAAAATTATTGCTGCGACAGCGCTGTCACAGCGCTGTCGCAGCGCTGTGACAGCATATAGGCTTAAAATGATGGCTGGATCAATTTCAGAAACAATCTTCTCACATCCATACGCTGCGAGAACGCTGTGAGAGCGCTGTCACAGCATTATATTTCCATCCATCGCTGCGAGAGGGATGTGACAGTAATTAAGTGGCTGAATCAATTACAGCAACATGCTCTCTTAGCCACAGTTTGTGGCAGCGCTCTCACAGCACTCTCACAGCCCTCTCACAGCAGGAAGTACCAATGCATTGTGGGTTAAAAAATTCAAACTAAAAATCAGTTAGAGCAGGAATTTTGTAGGAGGAAAGAACAAAGGAGTTATGCTGAAATGGCCATCATATCATTACTAATTTACAAAGCATATGTAAGGTATTGTACTACTGATTATTTATAGATACCTTTTGAATGTTCTAGTGATCTAAGAAAAAGGATCAAATGAAATGAATTTTGTGCAAGTTAGTACATACTGCATGGTTAAACTAAAGGTATGGAATATCAATGTATTAGCATGCACATATAGTGCATCATAAAGGATAAAATTGATACAATTGGGGCAATTTGCATGTACATGTACAATAACAGCTATCTTTCAAACTGAACAATGGAATTCAAGGCAAAAACCAAATAAGGAGTGTAGATATATAAGCTGGCTTTAATCCATAAAGTAAGTTTCTAATTAAATGCAAACTTGATCTAGGGTGCAAATATATAGTCATCAGTTGGATGGAAATGCAGGGTCTGGGTAGCTAAATGTTTTCTGATATCCCTTATCTTCTTGTCTTGTTGCTATAGGTAACTAAAATTTATGTGTAGGAAGGAAGGATGCATAATCAATGCCATATATGGCAATGCTGTGAGAGCGCTGTCGCAGCCTCATTTGCATGGTACATTCCGATGGGCTGTCACAGCGCTGTGAGAGCACTGTCGCAGCGCTGTGAGAGCGCTGTCGCAGCGCTGTGAGAGCGCTGTCGCAGCGCTGTGACAGCGGGCTGTGAGAGCGCTGTGACAGCGGGCTGTGAGAGCGCTGTGACAGCGGGCTGTGAGAGCGCTGTGACAGCGGGCTGTGACAGCCAGTAAATTTGTATACTAATGTCAGACGTTAACGACATTTCGTCCAGTTTTCGAACATCGCCATTTTTCTTGGAGCCATTTTGTTTTAATTTTAGATGAAATCCTGATGAAATCATGTCATATCTCATCAAGGAGCCGAGCTGGGTCCGGTTTGATTAATGATTTATTTTTCTGGCGATTTTTAAAATATTCAATAAATTTATGACACCCCGGCCAGCTTTTTTCAAATAGAGTTCACAGTATTCCAGATGAAACCCCCTCTAGCCAAGTATTGGCTAGAGACTCGAGTAAATATGAACAACTGAGTCAATAGGGATAAATAGCCCAACGAGAGTCGGCGGTCTTGAAAAATACTTGGATCTGGATGCCAGTCCTGTTATTGATATAATTCCAGGGCAGTTCGAAGAACGTATTTGATGTCCGTGGAAAAAATGCTCAAAAAGGGGGTCTTTGACGCGGCACATACAGGTAGGTATTAAGAGGTATATTGGAGTGAACCCCCGGGGGTAGGATCAAAAACACATTCAGATCTATCATCATTTGTGAACTGTAGATTATTTCTATCAAGAAATCTTGATTGATTGTCTTACCTTGGCACAGAATGGGCAGGTCGTCTTGCTGAATACCATAACCTTGTGACAGTTTATTGTGTTTTGGACCCATTCTTTCAAATCCCCACTAAAGGCAACAGGCGGCATTCTTTTAACTTTTTCTGGACACTGTCCGGAGTTTGAAGTCTGATTAAATCGCTTAATGTTTGTTGATTTGTCTTAAAACTGTATTTGTAAATTGTTCATATAGATCATCGATCCTATATATCTTGTTTTGTCCCTTCTTTATTCCTAGAAACTTCCAGAAAAGCTAAATGTTATATAAAAGTTGCAAACTCACGATTGATTCGTGAGGATAATCACCTCGGTTAATAGAGTACGGCAAGTAGGTGGCTGAACGGACCAATGAGGTACATGGTAACTAATTACTATTGAGGGATCGATCATTTTCTGTTGTATACGAGACTTTTGATACAATCAATTAATAGGGGATATGAGTTTTTTCCAGTCCATTTATAAAAGTCCATACAGAAATACAAGTGAAGAGCAATGAAATGGGTTGAACTAATAAACTGTAACCCAAGATGAGTATGGATGGTGGGGGGGGGGGGCACACATGAATTCACTGCATGATTTGATAGATGGAAAAGTGTCAGTTACTGTACATTCCTCAGAGTTGAACCTGAAAAATAAGAAATCTAAAGACTATTGTGCCATAATATCTAAAAAATATATTCATATTGCACACGACTTATTGCGCAGACTTATCAGACTTATTGCGCTAAACACTAAATAATCTGAAAAATACAAATGTCATATCTATTGTCGCAGGAGCTTGGTGTAGCCAGACATTTGTGAAATATCTCCAAAACGACACACATTAAAATTTGCAATGAGAGATATTGATGAACTTTATAAAAACATGACTCTTTCTACTATTTCACTTGCAGCCCCACAGTTATTTGAAGCCCTCACTGCTTCAATTATGTGACCATATACAGTAAAATCTGTCTTTCGAACACCTGTCTCTAGTAGACACCCTTCCTCTGCACATACTCTACTGACTTCCGATTAAATGAAGTGAACACCTCCCAACACTGAATATTTTTTCTTGGCAAAAAAATGTTCAACATACACAGGTTTTACTGTAATTAAATAATGCGCAGCTAGTCAACAATGGGGGAGAGGAACAGAATGGATGATGTCTGGACCCCTGTGTCTGAATGATGTTTATATATGGTCATATTACTGATATGAGACATGAATATATGGTCAGAGCATCAATCTTTGCACTTATAATTGTTTGTTTCTTTTGTGTCACACTGGTGTCACACTGGATAGCTAATGCCAAGGGTACATTCTTAAAAACAATAGTCCGTCCATATAGCTCAGCGGTAGCACAGGTACCTCTTACACAATAGATCCCGGATTCGATCTCCAGTTCAGACAAGACTTAATAAGCTGTTTGCGTAAAGTACTTCAGGGTGTTTGACTGAGTGGTCAACAACTTGTACAAAAGGCTGTGGTGTGTACTTCTATGTACGCATAAAAGATCACAGGTCTCCTTTGAGGAGGGATTTCTGGGTCTATCTTCCAGGCTAATTACGTTAATTATGAACATATATATATAGGATATACCCAAGAGGTATTGCTCACCTTCATTGGTGGTAAACAAAATATAATACAATAGAAAATAATGCACTCCTCTTTGTAATAGCTGGGTATTCTTAAAAATAAAATACAGTTCACTCTATTGTGGTTGCTACCCAAGTGTGGTTTTAAGTTAAATAAAACACAACTGCAGCTGATTGGCTAATTCATTTATTTATCATACGTTCTTATGAGTTAATCTGAGTATAACTTGAACAAAATGCTTAGAATATATCTGTGAAAAGTTGAACTTGAATAAAAATGTCATAATTGACTGCATTTCTGGTGTCATGTAAAATAAATCATTTTACTCAACTTTATTCATATCATGTATTCATAGACAGAAAGCAACTTTAAAATGTCAATGTGCATCACACTTCCTGCACATCCTTGTAAATGTTGATGTATCTAATGTTCTTGAGTTAGAAAATTGAATAAATAAAAAAAGTAAAAAAGTTTTAAACTATGGCTAACATACTGTGAATATTACAAGTTTGTCCCAAAACATAATTAATTATAATTAATGTCGACCTCCTTTCTCACCCATCAACAATATAATTGAACACAATGTTTTTTTCAAATTAGAAATCTATTTTTAGAGAAAACCAATGTATGTACTCATCAAATGAAATGAATTTCCGCAAAACATAATCAAGTACATGTATGTTTGTGAGCATACAACAATAGCCTATAATGTCATTGTCTTCATAAAAACAATCTTTCCAACAAGTAATTCTGATCATTCAATGTGAAGTACTTTCACTTTCTCCAGATTTGCTAAGTACATTCACCCCAGTTAATCCTGACACAACAAAACTTGGCAAAGGTAATTCTAAAAACTCTGATAATGAAGTTGATTATAGCTGCCTCTACATTGATTGCACATAGTTTATAAACTTTATATAAAGCATTGATCCAGTCTTCAAGAATGTTTTGGTATTTGCTGATTTCTGTTAATCTAGTGATTGCTGTTTTGTGCCACTTGTTTGGTGAGTCTACAATCTTCATGTCAATGAGGTATAAGTCCCGCTCCAGTATAATTAACATAACATTAGGTGGAAGCATGTTATAATCTAATGATTGCTGTTTTGTGCCACTTGTTTGGTGAGTCTACAATCTTTATGTCAATGAGGTATATAAGTCCCGCTCCAGTATAATTAACATAACATTAGGTGGAAGCATGTTATAATCTAATGATTGCTATTTTGTGCCACTTGTTTGGTGAGTCTACAATCTTTATGTCAATGAGGTATAAGTCCCGCTCCAGTATAATTAACATAACATTAGGTGGAAGCATGTTATAATCTAATGATTGCTGTTTTGTGCCACTTGTTTGGTGAGTCTACAATCTTTATGTCAATGAGGTATAAGTCCTGCTCCAGTATAATAAACATTATCTTCATGAGAAATCCATGTTTTATGATGCACTACATTCCAGTTTCTGATACATTTCCTGGAGTTTATATAACACTCCCAATAGGTGGAAGCACTTGTCTTGAAGTGTTGAATTCTGGGATGCTTGTTTTAATGCAACTGCATACATGGCCTTGTAGTCGTCCTTGTGCACTCCATCTGATTTACTGGAAATACAATTTCATATGGTTACTGATTTGATAATTGATTTTGAACTCATTTAACATTTCTCAATGGTGATATTTTAGTCTTTATAGTGTTCGGCATAAGTTAGTAGAGATATATCAATTGGCATGATTTTAACAAAAGTTTTGTAATTCAATACAAACGCTCATGATTCCTTGACTTATTCATGGACTTATTTAAGTTTGATCAATTACTGGCAAAAAGTAAAATATCTCACTTTTTCTTTGCATTCGCAGCACTGTTTTTGACTAGATTAAGCAGCACAAATTGTAGGCGAGATTCCAGTATTCCCAGTAACTTTTCAGTCTCCCCCACATAACCTTCAAATTCAGGTTGAGCTGTGTGTTTATCAGAAAGTTGTTTGTGTATGGAATCTATAGATCCCCTTGAGTCTATGATGTAGCCTAGCATTACTAATAGAAGCTTCTGCTTTGTTGATACGTTGGTGAGACCTGGAAGGAAACATTATAATACGATGAAAAACTTGTTGACGAATGTTGATTTTATGACCGAACGATAACATTGCTGCCATCATTCTTTAAATTATAAGATATTAATACCTCCATATAGAAAACAAGTCAATGGTTTGATAACAGATCTCTGAAAATCTTGTGAATCTGAGGTTTCAGATTTTGCAAAAGCATTAATAGTTCCATTTACAATGTTTAAACTGAAATGAAATGGTGTGTTAGACTGCCCATTTAAAGCAAAATCATTTTAATAAAAAAAGTTTCAATGGGTTTACCTGTCAGCTGGTATTCCTCCAAGGCAACCCGCTCTAACTGTACTCTCAACAGTTCACAAGGAGTGTCAACATATTTGAAATAAGCAGACGTCTTCCCATAATGCAACTCTGCCAACTGTCGAAGATGTTTCTTCTTAATACTGTCATTCTGTAAACAAAATAGCACATTGCTACTCACAACATAATTTGGTACATACAAAAGTTTATAAAATACTACCCCCAAATAGGTTTGAAATTCAGATATCCCCAGTGCATCCCATGTGGCCCCATGTTAAAGCCAGTTGTTATGTTTATGTCTTTACTTTTGTTTCTCCATCATAGAAGGTTGTAATTAAAGACTGGTGAGTTTGATAAATTCAACATAAAAAGGTTTAAACACATGGTCCAACCTGCAAAAGGGCACTTCCAGTTGCCAGAGTTTTGGAGGGGAGTGTAAGTACATGTATACTTACATGTGCCCTGAAGGCATTATGGTAGAGAGATGCCAGTCTGTGGTGAATGCTAGCTGCCCTGTACTGACACATGATCTGACGAGACTGCTCACTATTCACGTCACAATACTTCAATGCTTTGGTCATTAATTCTGTCACCTCTTTTTCCACCTAATGGATAATAAAGGAGCATTTCAAATCAAAGCGGGGAAAGACATTTCTCTGTGTTCCATACCAAGAACCAATATCTTGTAAGTGAAGTCAGAACTTGCTTATTCCTTTTGAAGTCAAACAAATTCTAATCTTTAGAGATTATCTGTAGTTCTATGTGATAGACATATTCAAGTCTCAATGACCAAATATCAAAACCATTTCAAGAAAAAGCGGCTGCATCAATTTTATGAATTCTATCACTGAATGCCGATTAGACAAATTACTTGCACACATTTTAAGCGTTTACTTTACAGATATACACAACTATACTAGATGTACCTGGTCTTTGGCCATATGTGATAGAGGAGCGTGGTCCTGCATTAGAGTGGCCATGTTGAAGTAAACTGTGGAGAGTTCCCAGGTTACAGAGTCCCAGATCTCAGCATGTTGAGCTCCTCTTCTCTCAAGTACACTCAGAGCCTTCTTGTAATGGTCAGCTGCCTGTATATATCATTTACATATAAAAGATGTACAAACTGTTAACTGCATGTAGGTTAAGTATACGAATTTTAAATGCAATACAACAGTGTAACATCAATGTATCAATAACCAGATGGACAGACTAATGAACTGATGGCTTCTCTTCTCTATATTCAGAATTGTTTGTACCTGCAGATAGTAATGTTTCTCTTGCTGGCTAAACTCTTCCCTAGAACCATCATCAATCTGTTTCACGCTTGACTTGGCACACAATCTCATCAGCCTGCCATAGTTAGAGTATAATAGTGCCGTGTTTGTCTTGTCGCGGATCAACTCAAATGCCTCTATTCCCTGCCTAAAACAGCAACCTCCTTGCTTACACAGCTCTATCACCTTTGCAGCATTATCTGGAATGAATAAATAGTGTGTCAGATGATGATTAACAGATTTTGAGTTTATACTTTTGTTGAGTTCAAAATAATGTGCTTTATAACTTCCAGATTCAATTTTTGGAATTTCAATTTTATTCCAACTTGTATTTAGCATTTATTCTGCAAAGAGTTTCTGTGTCATCTCTAAACACATTTCAGCAATTTCTTATATTTCTGGAATTTTGTGCAGTTGGAAACTTACCACTTTTAGACGACCATGTTATAAAGTTTTCACACTTTGGAATCTGAGGCTGAAATCGAGCAGCTTCAATAATCGAGCGAGAATTCCCTCACTTCAGCAACCAGGATGTTATTACAAGGCAACCAAGTGAATTAATGTCCATAAAATTCACCATATAACATCATGGTTGCTGAAGAGAGGGAATTCTCACTCAATTATTGAAGCTCTCGATATATTTGCTTGTGACTGACTAGCTTTTTATAGGGACAAAATTTCTTAGTTCGTGAAATCCCATGCACCAATCAATTGATTTGTTTTTCGGAGAGAAAAAAAGTCATCTGATACCAGTGTGATTAAAAATCAAATTGGTAAATGTGTGTGACACTAACTGGCAAAATTCAAACTTAAACAACACTATGTGTTTGAAGTGTTTGAAATGATTTTGGATACAACAATAATCCCTGACTGCCATACCTGCACAATTACATACCTGCACAATTCGACGCCTGGTTCATATAGAAGACTCCTAGCTCATTGTGAACATTGCCAAACCTCTTCTGTATGTTCCTCCATGCATCTTTATCTCTTACATGCACATATTGCAGTGCCAGTTCATAGCACATGGCACACCTCACAAGGCTCCGTTCTACATCACTGCTCACCTCACATACCCACATGTACTCTAGCAGAAACAAACATGCAATTAAATAGACTGAATATTTTTTAATATTTTAATAAACATAACGATTTCAGATAGGTACAATCGATATATAGATTTCTATGAAAGATTTGATTCTTCTTGAATTTTAACAATGAAAGTTTGATTAAGAGAAAAGGTTATGTTAGAACATCCAATATCTGATATATCTGTTGGATTGACTTCTGACATTAATGTTCATAAATAATTACCAAATTCAGTGAGTTCTTTCTCTGCACTCTCTAGGATGGCAAGGTCTATATCAGTAACATTGTCCATGTCTTCAATGTGTCCCTTGATATCTGAGCTGTGAATCAACATCAGACGTATATCTGCTGCAGAAGCAAGAATTTCCCCCAAAAGCTTAGAGTTTTCAGTGAACTTTGCAGGCAGCAAAACTCTCATTGTCTCTGCAATAGTTAAACAATAGGAAATCAACATTACAGGGGAATCAAAGAATATGTACCAAAAAGGGAACTTTAGTTTTAATTTCAAAATCATATGGTCTTTTTCAATTGTCTGGAAAACAAGTCAGTATAAACAAAACACATAGGGACTAAGTTATAGATTGATTTAATGTTAATATAATGGTTTAGGGAAGTATGCAGGACTATAGATTTAGTTTGAAGTTTCATCAGTTTATGAATCGTTGTGATACATGAATGTGTACCATTCAGATTTAATAACTCACCCAAGCATTTCAGTGAAATCTTTAAATATTTCATAGCCTGTCCATATTCATGTATGGCCAACTTAGAATCCACTACTCCATAATACGCAAGCACAGCTTTCTTCAAGAGCAAGAACTTGGACAGAGTATGCCAGGAATTGTGCGGTAGAGACAAGAGATGTAATTTAGAGACTGCATGACTGCTTAAATCCTCATGTCCTGCTCTTGTAGATATCTCATTATCCACTGAACTACCCCTATGATTGGCTAATCTCGCACCATCTGGATCATCCTTAGATTTTACAGTCATTTTGTTAATTGGTTCATAGTGCATTGGGATTGCCTCATATGGGTTACACTTCGCCTGCTCTTCTGGCTCTATATGTGTTGTGCATTTAGTGGCACTGGTGTCTAAACACTGAAGGCCAGCTAGGATGTGTTTCAGTGCCTCTCTACATCTGTCCTCCTTGTTACCACACACAGCTGGGTATCTTTGCAGTTGGCTGCCTGGCTCTTTTATCTTCTCTGCTAGACATAGTGCCTGTACCTCTACTGATGTGGTAGACTTTCTACAACTCTCATCTTCCTCCTACAGATAGAAATAGTAATGAGAAAAAATACCAAAATAAATAATTTTTGTCTATCTATTATTAGGAAGGCTAAGTTAGCATTGTTTTGAAGAATGTGTACATGAAACATGTAAAATTATGGTCCCCTATGGACTACTTTCACCTCATTGGCCTTTATTTGCCCGATTGAGTATCAGGTGTGAGGAAAATAGTTTTACCTAGATCCCCCTTTCAACCATTTCAGAAGTGGACAACAATTCATGCGGATCATTATATTACTCATTTATGTTCTAGTTCTCCCAAATATGTGTAGCTTCAAGCAGATATGAAATGGTATGTAAAATTGACCAAAAGGAATGAATAGAATTTTTTGATAAGTGTATTTGGACATGTTTTCTCATCAGTATTGAGAAAATTATTTCACTCTAACAATCGTTATAGCTTAATTTTACAAACTACTAGTAGTATACACATATAATAATCTAAATGAAAATAACTTGAGGAAAATATAAGATGACAATGAAATGTCTACTAGGTTCACCTCACTTGTTATGGGGAAAAGGTTCCAATTGAGGCAACTATGCTTGTGAGGTTCACATTGATGCCCACTACATACCTCAGCCTGGTCTTGCTCCTGTTCAACATACTCCTCATCTTCAGACTCTGAACTGACATCACTCTCAACACTTGAGATGTCATCTGGTACATACAGGTCTGACATCAGATAGTTCGCTGATGTCACAACCTGAAAAGAAACATGAACTTTTACAATAACATAAATATTTTCTCCTATACACTTGTAGATTGAACTTCATAAATGCTTTAACTAAAATTATTCAGAGAATTTTAATAATAAATGACTTGCAAAAAATCAGTTTTGTTGTAAAAAACATTTTTAAATTCACCTGTGCATGTTCTTCTTTGTCAAGCAACATTAAGCAGTTTTTTAGTAAAGTTCTGATAGTTCCAGATTTCTTCTTTCCCGATGTTTTACTGAGGTTTCTAGCCACCCTGTACAGCAGTATACCAACTGGGATTGAGAATGGGTTGTCTGTAGGGCCATCCATATTGTCGGCACATAGTGTAGTCAGGTCATAGAGTTTTACAACATCATCGTTACTACCTGAAGGAATAAATCAAAAATAGAACTCTGACAAAATATTAACACCTTGTCACTTCACTGTAAAAACACCAAATAATTTTGCAATACAAAGCAAAGGAAATAGCACCTTGAGGAAATAGAACCTTGATACAGAAATATATTTTTAAATTATTTAATTTGCTTGACCACACAGGTCTTTCACTTGTATTATAATTAGACTGTTATTAAAGTCATGATTGTAGAGAACATAATGTATACCCTTAAACAGCCAGTAAGTGTGTCCCTCCTGTGTAGCATTGGTCTTGAGAAATGAGAGGATGTTCTGAGCAACATCCTTGATAACATTGGGAGAGAACTTTGAGCCTTCTATATTTGGGATATCAGCAGTCTTCAGCAGCTCATAACCCTAAAGGGTAAACATAAATACAAAGTTTGTTGTACAACTATAAGTTTTGATTTATATAATATTGAAGGGTAGATTGTGCAAGGTGCATGGCTCGTGTAAATCTACCAGTGATTTATATCTAAATGCGTCTCAAATATTATGTAGTATAGTATATGAAGCATAATTCTAGCTCCTACCTCTACTATTCCATTGAGATGGTAGCACATTGCTATCTCAGGTACATTGCACATTAGATTGTCCAACCAGTAGTCTATCCCAGTCAGTACATTGATAGGCTTGCTGTTGTCTCTGTAAAACAATTAATAATAAACAGTCATTTGGCATAAAACAATTATTATACATAAAACAATCATTAGTTGGGGTGAGACGACAACCCGATGAGTCGAGGACTCGCGGGTTTGGGGCTTCGAGTCGAGTCGAATCGAGTCGAAGTTGAAGAATCGAATCATTTTCGAGTTGAGAAAAAAATTCGAAAAAATAAAAAGATTCAGAAAAATACTGTGAATATGCATGTTTTTACTCGATATTGCGTTGAATATATAAGTTTCAATGACTTGGATATGCTTGTATTAAATTATTATATTGTATGTACACATAAATGAAAGAATATAATGTAATAAAATCAGAATAAACTTACGACGAATTGTGTTTGTTTATATTTCCGGCTTTCCACCATTGACGCATTAAAAATACGAACGGTCAAAAGCGATGTTGTTCGCACTTTATCTGACTCGAAACGGATTCGAAACTCGAATCGTCATTTTCTGACTCGAATCGGATTCGACTCGAATCAGATTTTTTCGACTCGTCTCACCCCTAATCATTAGGTATAAAACAATCACTAGCCATAAATGTGACATAAAACAATCATTTGACATAAAACAATCATTTGACATAAAACAACTATTAACCATAAAACACTTATTAGCCATGAGGTGACACACTTTACAACGAGAGTCATCATGTTTAAGTTAACAAAACGATTGTCTTAAATGTTTTCAGAGTTGCAATCTGTATTATATAACATAAGTTACAGTAGACCTACTGTAGACGCAAGCTGACACATGGGTGAGTCCCACCTCCAAATATGGGCAAATCGGTGCCAAGCAACATTCGGATGTCCTCGAAATTCCACAGTAATTCTCGTTGGTAGTAACTGGAACCTTGCTAAAACAGAGAATTAGTCATTTTTGTCAAAACAGCACTGAAATTTTTGTCATATTTTGATACTGAATCAGGGAATAACACTAAATATCTGTAGATATCATTAGAGTGGACATATTCTATAACAGAGTGTGCCTGAATGTGGTTCCCTTATATGAAAAGACAACTGAACATCATGCTGAAATTTACCTGGGGTTTCTCAGGTTCTGGTATTGCTTGCTTAGTCTGGTTCATAGACTGATGGTCATTCTGTGAGACACTGCTGGGATCTGCCTCCAGGCTGAACTCTGCGTCTTCCCCTATGCTGCAATAACAGACAGGCACGTGACATATGATTGTGGCAGGGGAGGGATCTACAGGGGCGTCTTACTGAACTTTTACTCAAAGAATAATGTTGAAGTTCAGTTATATTACTAATTGCACTGTTTAGTGACACTAATATAAAGTCCTACCTGTAATAGAGGAACTTTGACAACATGTTTCTGTTCTGCAGCACATCCCTGCTCCTGTTCTTCTTATTAATCCACTTCTCCTGTATAGAAAAATGGAGATACAAGTGTATGGTTAACTGAGAAATAATGCACACAAAACATACATTTTGGAGGGTGTACTATATTCTAGTATTGTGGACATGTAGTACAGTGTTCTTTGGGGTCTTTTGTTCTTTACATTCTGACTCAGATATGTAAAAATTCCAGGTCAAATCATGCTGATTTTTCATGTTTTGGGATTTTCCACACCTTCGACTGGGTGAGGTTTTCAAAACGGTACTTTTCAATTCAACTCTCAATGGAGATGAAGCTAGATACAACAGGGATAACTGCAGTATATTAGTATAGAAATAAATGAAATTAAAAAAATAATGATGGTTGTTTGAAAATTTTATGCACTAATTAAATCCTTTCAGATTTGTCAAACTGATATAAGGATTTGATGTGAAACATTACCATGCTCTAAAAAAATGAAATCGAACACTCTCGCCAGTTCTTTTATTAGCTAGTGTGCAAATTAAAAGAAGATATTTTTTACATTGCAAGGACAAGAAGCTTAATAGATTAAGGGTCTTTTAAACTATGTATGTAGCCCCAAGGCCAATAACATGTTTTAGTTTCTATGATTGTAAATGTTTTAAATATATAAGCTCATACCTTATCTTGACTCATATTCTGAAGTATTGTCTCGTAGTAAAACTTCCTCAGCCAACGCCAGTCATCCTGGATAAAACAAAGAAATGTTAAAAATAACAAATATCGGGTGAATATAATATAAAGAATTATGATATACTGAATATGTTTGAAGACAAATAGCCAAGTATTTTATCATTATAATGTATAAATTAATTTTTGCTGTAGGCTAGAATACAACAATTATGTGTTTAAGGTAAGGCTAGAATACAATATAATTAACTGAACATTTGATGAGGGTTAGCGCAATCAAAGAAATTAATTATTTCAAATTAATCATGACCAAAGGCTCTAAACCAATCAGATGTTGATTCCATATATTTTGATACTCTAACATTCAGACATTAAGATGAATATTATGCCATTTATGAAATACTAAAAATACCTGTTGTTTCCGAAGCAGGTGTCTGTGAATATCAAACTCATCAAGTAAAAGAGTCTTTCCAACTCTGTGAACCATCATTGAGATGTGGTTTCCCTTGCTGTATGGGATCTTCAAAAGTTTCTTGATATTCTTGGAGTCTGACACCACATCTACATTCTCTCCTATTAACTCGGGAGACCCATTCGCCATATTGAAGCTACAAAGAGAATTTAACAAATCATTTTAGAGCATTCAAAATTAATTTTACATCATTATACACAATAACCATCAATTGTAAAACTAAAATGGGCCAAACTGTTTCATGTTAGATAACAGTCAAAATTATTTTTAGAGTTCTTCATACCTGACACAGGCAATAAAAGGACCACAAATATAAATACATGTAGTGGTTATTCATATTTCAAATATTCAATCTTTTACATTTCAAATCATTTGTGGTTTGGCGACCAAATTTACTAAAATCAGAATGGGGAAACAATTGTAGAATTTTCCTTCTGTGTTACATTTCCTTATTTTTCTAAAAAAAGAAACTTTAATGAATTTGCAGGGAAGAATGTTTCACACTGTAATTACCTTGGAAAGTCATCGTGATTAACTTTGCCTGAGGCCATGTTTTGTATCTTTGGGTCCCCTCGTAGCCAGTTTGCGGGTGGTAGCTTCAAGTCAGTCTTAGGCTGGAGCTGTAAGAACTTGGCAGGTGGCTCCAGTGCTGCATACTTAACAACTGCCTGGGATTTTATACCCTCACCAGTCTATAACATAATCAAAAAATATCTCATTGTTGGTCTGATTATCTCCGTCAACACCATGAAACTTATTGTCACCAAATTCGGAAAAATACATCACCTATTTTTTCAGAGCCCATACGATAGGATACTTGGTATTAGTTTTATTGAGCGTAAGGATGCCCAAAGAAATCAAAAGAGGGCCACAATGGGACTTGATACTTGTGATTTCAAACTCAAGTTTCTCAGGCTTTCCTTTCTGCAATGCAATGCTCAGAGACCCAATCTATTGCAAGACTTACGCCTGCCACAACCATCACCATGTAATCCAGTGTTTTTAAGTATCGCAAGGATCCTGCTATGACCGTGGTAGTTTTATCTTGAAAGCCTGGTATAACCGTGACAGCCTGGTATAACCGTGACAATGCTGTATTATATTGCAATGCCAGCTGGTAGTGTTATATTGTAAGCCTGGCGCGACTGTAGCCTTTATATGGCATTTATGACTTATTTCATGTTTCTCCCGTTTCTACTATTAGTTTTTTTTATGGATTAACCTTAGCAATTGATCGTTATGGAAAGTATGTGTTTTCGAGTCAAACCTTCTTGAATGATAGAAATATAGTTTGTTCGCAAATTATTTATGAGTAAAAAATTAGTTTCGTTGTGAAATTAAATTAATATACATTTTTATGTATCAATGAACATGAGTACCATTGTACATGTGTAGTGGTCTTGATTTACATATTTAAGTTAGTTAAACACGAGGAAAGTTATCATTATTCTCATGCTACTTTAAATGTTATTCAATACAACCATGGTCATAAGAGGCCTTGCAACTATTGTCACGGTCATATCAGGCTTTAACCTACCACGGTCATGACAGGCTTTACATTCTCACTGTCATGACAGGCTTTACATTCTCACGGTCATGACAGGCTTTAACATTATCACAGTCATGACAGGCCTTGCAAGCATTGTCACGGTCATATCAGGCTTTAACATTACCATGGTCATGACAGGCCTTCATGGAACGTGGGAAGTCCTCCATCTAGGAGGTATATACACCAGGTAATGCGACTAAAAATTAAAAAAATATGAAAAAAATATGGTCACCTGTCCTCTAGATTCAATTTTTGAATGAATCGTAGCATAATGTACAGATTATTTGATATCATGCTATTCTTGAAACATTTATACGCAAAAATAACTGGGTCGCTCACCTCTTATGCCTATATGTGTTCAATAATCATCAATTCTCGTGAGTAAAATTTCTCCAGGCCATTGAAAGTTCCGCTCAGTAAATTGACAATTTCTACTGCGCATGTGTGAAACACTGGACGAAATGGTTTGGTAAATTTCAAGCTATTTGATTGGTCGAAAAAATCACGCGCCTTTGCATGATTTGCTTTATTCTCGCAAGATAAGGCGCTCCGTCCCCTTAAATTTTTATTTTGAACAACCATTATGATTTGGTGCATTATCTGACCAATAAAGCAGATTTGGAGGTATGAATATTTTTTTAATTTTTCTGTTAAGTGTTTTCTACAGGCCCTATGTGTCTCAGGATATTTGTTTTAACGAAAAATAGACAAATAATTTATTTTAAAAATACATATTTTTTATTTTTGATGGAAGCTGCGTAAACTGACAAATAATATATGGAGGACTTCCCATAACCGTGCAGGCCTTGCAATATAATACAGCATCGTCACGGTTATACCAGGCTTACACGATAACACTACCACGGTCATGACCGTTGACTGGTCATGGCAGGATCATTGCGATACTTAAAAACACTGAATAACATGGTGACGGTTGTGGCAGGCGTAGGTCTTGCAATAGCATGATACTCAGATTAGGCAGTGCAAAGAAAACATGAAATTGAGAATAATGGTCCATTTTGTTGAATATTGAGTTGACTTACCTTCAATTGATGCTCCATATTTCATCAAACTTTTTCAATTCATCTAGGAATATATAAATATCTGTTGAAAAAGGTCTATCGAGCTACAAATGAGTAATAACACATATTTTCTGGATATTTCTGAAATTTTCTGGAAGGCCATGATAATGCGTATAATATGCGAACAACTAAATATTCAGGATGAAAATTTGTTCGTTATTTTTATTATGGAAAATGTAATATCTATCTTATCAATTTAAGATAATAATAAATTATATATGTTAGGCCATAAGAAGTAGATTCTTTGTTTTGCGTCCTGGCAAATTCCAAATCATGCAAGGGTACAAGGAAAACAAACACGAACCCAAGAAAAAACACAAACTTGTTTGCTGAGGAATGTATACATTTTATGGGCATAAAAGGGGATGACAAACCAATTTGCAGTGATAACAAACACATATCTATACATTTTTTAAGATATATTTAAACATAGGTATTATTCAAGGATAAAAAATAAGAAAATACACAATGTATGCCAAAGTAATCAATAACGCTGTCAATTTTGACGCACGCCAAATTATCCGCTATTTTGTCTGATTCTGATTCAGACCCTTGTGATTGGTATTTGAATGTGTTTGTTTTTTCTGATTTACTCCAAATCGTGCAAGCAAGGGGACGCAAAACAAAGAATTTACTTCTTATGGCCTTAGTACCAATTAGCTGTATATTATATAATCGGTATTTTGTATCTTACTCTGTCATTGATCCCTTAGTGCTAAATTATGCGAACGCCTCAAATATCATATTGTTCATAATTTTACAGACTGTGAAAATTTATAAACTTTTCAAAAGTTTTTGTGACTATGTTTAGAGAGCAAATACGGATATGTTATACACCCCGAGTCAAAGTAGAGATGCATTTAGAATCAAGAATGATTCTCAGTTCGAAAGCATGCCACTATATACTCATTTGTAGTAAGTACACTTTCAATTCTAAGAACTTGAAATTACAGATAATCATTCAAATCATCACAAGACATTTTTCTGCTGAGTTTGCACATGATTGAAATCTTGAAAACAGTATTATCACGCGGTACTAACTTCGACCGTTAATTTGAATTTTTGACCTACCGGATGTTTGGAAATCAAGGATTACGAGTCTCATAATGCACCGTTTTTCTTCAAACTTGTTCCATTCAAAGCATAACAAAAATCCCTTTCTGTTGGTACATTATTCTTCTAAACAGAGTCCCTTCTTCCAGCGGCATTTTGGTCCCCAGCTGTAAGTAGGCCTTCTAACAGCTGGGGACCAAAACACTGCTAGAACGAGGAACTCTTTACAATAAAGTAATGCACGGGTCGAAGTTAGTACCGCGTGATTATGTGAGGAATATGCACATTACCAAAATGTGTTGTTCTGAAAAGAAAAAGTGGTGTTAGATCTACTTTTACGTAGTACTGTTCTTTCCCATCTTCATTCTTCCAAGGCTTCTTCTTTATCCAATTCCGGTGACAGGCTGTCTCCCTATGGGTATGGCTGTCTCCAGATCCATTCCAGATCCAGCCTTGTGCCTGGGGCCTTGTGGTGTCAGCTATGAAGCAGTTGCTAATGCATTCATTAGTTTGTGATTGTATTCTTATTTGCTCACTATTTATGAACAGAACTATGACATAAGTAAATCACTACGCAAATTAATCCATAGTGAAATTCGTAAAGAACATGAGCGCTACATCAACAATCTCCTCGACATTGATGAAAGCGAAATCATGAATGAGAATGTTCAGCACAAAGGCATTACCAAATGCTTCTGGAGCTACATAAAGTCAAAATGCAAAGATGCATCAGGTATTAGCATGCTTGGGCATGCTTCATAACAAAGATGGTGACTAAATAACAGATGCCGTCCTGAAAGCAAACATCCTCAATGACCAATACAATACTGTATTCACAGATGAGGATGCTACTCTTCCAACAATGGTGCCTAGTCAAATTCCTGAAATGCCAAATTATCAAAACTTCAACAAAAGGAATTCACAAATTGCTAACTGGCCTAAATCCATCAAAAGCCACTGGACCCAATCTTATTCCAACTAGGGTCCTGAAGGAATGCAGTGACAGCATATCACCATTCCTTCAAATTATTTTCCAACAGTCTACTGATGAAGGCTTAGTGCCTATAGCCTGGAAACATGCTAATGTTACTGCTATCTATATTTTATTCCATCAAGTTATGGCCCACTTTGACCTCTATGAAATTCTAGTAAACTTCCAACATGGATTCAGGTCAAAGCTTGTAGGAAGATCACAACAGGCAGACAGGTAGTACTCGATGGTGAATCAAGTGAACTCCAGTAAAATCAGGAGTTCCTCAAGGAACAGTTCTTGGACCACTCTGTTTCCTTGATTATATCAATGATATGGGCAATAACCTATCATCCTCATCTTCAACATGCCAAATGAAATTTAATCCATCAAAATGCTATGTGCTAAATATTCATAAAGGCACATGTAAATCCCCTATCATTCACAATTACACCGTGCTAGGGGAAAACCTTAATAGGTCGGTATTTGCATATACCTAGGTATTGACATCACCAATAACCTACGCTGGACTACACATATTCAAACTATTGTATCCAAAGCCAATAAGGTGCTTGGATTCCTCAGGCGCAACCTCCATCAATGCCCTGAAAAAGTGAAGGCTCAGGCGTATAAGTCACTTGTCTGGCCTAATTTAGAATATGCCAGTTCATCATGGGATCCATTCCGACAAAAAGATATTGATATGTTGGAACAGGTACAGAGAAGAGCAGCCAGGTTTGTAACCAAATGTCACTCAAGGGAACCAGGCTGCATCACCTAAGCTCTTCAAGACCTATAGTGGGAGTCACTGAAGGGGCATCGAGAGACTGCTAGAGTTTTCCTTTTTTACAAAGCAAAGCAGAACCTAGCAGCCATTGACGTGACTCTATACTTCCACCAACAGATCAATAGCAACACTAGGTTGTATTTCCTTCTAAGTTCATACAACCATCAACTTGAATGGATGCATACAAATTTAACTGGCTATTAAATTCATAAAAACGATCCCCCCCCAAAAAAAAATCAGAATTTGGCATCTGTAACAAATGGCAGGTGGTGAGATTGTGCATGTTAATTGCCATGTTGGTCTGAGACCACCATCAATATGCCATCTATTCATTCACAAGTACGCTAAAACCATAGGTTCTATGGTTAAAACTGCTGATCTATTCAACTTATTGATAATTGAGTTAAATGCTGAATACCCCAAAAAACTGAAGATATGAAATATACTTAAATAAGTTGAAGTTTTCCCCTTTCCTGTAAGTTTCAACGCTTTATCCTTTTCCTGACCACCCATGTTACATTCCCGGGTGAATGTAACCCCCTATATAGCCACCATTTTTGAGACTTGTGTTTGTTGACTAGGTGATGACATATTTTGTCATACATATTAATGCCTTGTTTTACAATGGATGCTATTACATAAGTTAGTGCATCAACATGTTATATAAACAAACATTCTTGTATCTTCAGGTGCATGCAGTCACTAGGTATTCATACTACAGCTCATGGGGAGGTTTTTCAGAATCGATCTACAAACACTATAGGAAACTACATTTCACCGTGCAGGCTCCTGGAGATGAACATATTTGGCCTGCTTGAAAATGAAGTCTTCATGCACTGAGACGGTATCTAGCACAATATGTAGGCTCTCTAGGGAGGTCGTAGAATGGATCCAAGAACGTGTGCATTGAGGAGCGTCTAATGATTGATTGTGTCAGAGATATATCCTTTCTTCACAGGATTACCCATAGTCTTCTAAGATGCTCCAGGGAAGAACATGTTATCCTGAAATCAGAACAATAAAGCATTACCTTTCACCCTTTGGAGTATAGGAAAAGGTATGTATTTGTTCATTGATTTTTTGTAGTAAAAACAATGCAGATTTTATCACTTTGTGTGAAAAGGTGAAGAAAGGGCTGTGTTTGGAACTGTAGAAAGTAAAATGTAAAATTATGATGGAAACATTATGTACATGTACCGCTGCATAACAGAAGAATTATACATTAGTTACATAATTCATAAAATTACATAATACATGTACGCGAATGTAACTAAGTTTATCAGTGCTATTCTTTGATAGATGTCTCTGCACAAAGGTAAATCTTTTCAAAGATTATTGAACATTCCATTTTTGCTAGTTTTAAGTTGTAAACTTTTATATTGAAAAAGTAAATATGAACTAGGATAATCATAAACCATTGCTATTATATCATGTACATGTATACCTCATATTCTTTATTCATTTTTTAGAAATGTAATATGATGATTGCTATGATAAACATGTATCATGATGTACTCATCTCTTTGTTGCTATGACAAACATGTATCATGATGTACTCATCTCTTTGTTGCTATGACAAACATATATCATGATGTACTCATCTCTTTGTTGCTATGAGAAATATGTATCATGATATACTCATCTCTTTTGCGATGACAAATATGTATCATGATGTACTCATCGTTTTGTTGCTATGACAAATATGTATCATGATGTACGACAAATATGTATCATGATGTACTCATCTTTTTGTTGCTATGACAAATATGTATCATGATGTACTCATCTCTTTGTTGCTATGACATACATATCTCATGATGTACTCATCTCTTTGTTGCTATGAAAAATATGTATCATGATATACTCACCTCTTAGTTTCCATGACAAATATGTCTCATGATGTACTCATCGTTTTGTTGCTATGACAAATATGTATCATGATGTACGACAAATATGTATCATGATGTACTCATCTTTTTGTTGCTATGACAAATATGTATTATGATGTACTCATCTCTTTGTTGCTATGACATACATATCTCATGATGTACTCATCTCTTTGTTGCTATGAAAAATATGTATCATGATATACTCACCTCTTAGTTTCCATGACAAACATGTATCATGATGTACTCATCTCTTTGTTACTATGACAAATATATATCATGATGTACTCATCTCTTTGTTGCTATGACAAATATGTATCATGATATACTCATTTCTTTGTTTCTATGACAAACATTATCATGATGTACTCATCGCTGTGACATATACATCTCATGATATACTCATTTCTTTGTGGCTACATCACGATTATCATGATATACTCAACTTTATATTGCTATGACAAACACATCTCATGATGAATTCATTTCTTTGTTATTATGACGAATGTGTATCTTAATGATCTAATCTTTATGTTGCTATGACAAACATTTATCTCGATGTACTCATCTTTTTGTTGCTATGATATTATATCTATAACACACACATCCAAGGAATCATACGAAGTTTCTACTTTCATGTATAATATTAGTTTAAACAGCCTATGATAGAACAAATTACCTCAAATAACCCTGAAAAGTAATAAATTAATCTATATATTATATTATTTAATTAATAAGACATTTCTGTTGCACCACATCATGATGTCCAATATAACAAAAGTCATAGAAATATCATCTCCATGGACCACTATCCGGACCTTAGTTTCTTGAATTATTTATTTCAACTTCATAATTATTTGCGCTAATTACTTCCTTCATATTGATTTTTTCAGATTAGTTTTCTGTGAGAAGACTGAGAAACTTATAACTAAGGTGTTGAAATAGATTTCACTGCTAGGGAATAGCTTCATTGGCGATTACAAACTACCAATTATACGTCATTAGGAATGATTATTTACTGGAGAATTTAGATTGGATTATCAAGTCATCAATATATCTGCCACGATAAGACAATATCTATTTTGCTGATCTTAGGAAATATGCAGTATTAAGGTTAATGTGTTATTTCATGATTGTTGGATTATACATTTATTTTACATTGATGGTAAGTATGGTAATATAATATACAATTTATATGTGTTTAATATGTACTTCAATATTTCAAAATGGAACAAATAAAAGGCAAGGTCAGTTTTCTTCGATAAGAATAATTATTTGGAAATATGTTAATCTGGAATCTTTGTGTTAGTACAATGAATTATGTCTGTTGTCTCTTTTGTCATTATCTTTTCTCAATATCCATAAAAAATTCCATTACTTGTAATCATAGACTTCAAGAAATGTCAAATTATATATTATCAACAAAAATTTCTTGAAAAATTCTTCTGGTTTATGTAGATAAAATATTGATATTGCGACATAAAAGTGGCCAGTTTATCTTTAAAATGCTTATTGTCTTCATCGATCCAATTGCTATTTTTTCTTTAGATTCATAATTGATCAATTATAGGTACAAGTATTTGTCATAAGATAGGGTACTTGGGATGTTGAATTATTCTGCTTGATAGAAAATCGTTACTTCTTATATCTATAAGAACCTTAAGTATAAGCTCAGGTTTTAAAATACAGGAAATGTTTGCTTTTTTTAAATATATTGATGATAAGATCAAAGTTTATATTGCTTGTGGTATAATACTTGAAACAATCACTAGTACCTCATTGATTTTTTATCTAAAACTATCTCAATAGACTAGATACCATTAGGAATAATCATAATTTTCATTTAGATATTCAAAATTTAATCAAAGGGATATCATATTTGAAATCTATGTATAAAATTACATCTCAAATCTTTGTCACATTTTAAAGAAAATATGAATAAACTTTCTCCATATGATCAATGCCCAAAGCATTTTTTAGGAAAGATATATAATGAAATTAAAAAATAAGATGCATGATTGATGCTTTTAAAATTGATTGTTTTATAATTTGAATGTTATAGTATGTAATTTTAATATGCAATATGCCACACTGGGACCTAAGGACCCATGTGCCACTGTTGTAAAAGTGTGTAAATAAATAAATAAAAATAAAATAAAAATATAAAAACATTCCATTTCTATACACGGCTGTAATTGGATTCCTTTATATAAAAGAATTCAAAAAGCATAAAAACATATTAAGTCAATGTCTCTTATTTTAAAGTGCTCATTAAAAATTATAGGACTTAGACTAAAAAAACTTTTGTTTGTATCTGCAAATCCTAAATATTGCAATTTTAGTTTCATATATTTTTAATTTATATTTTATTTATTATTCACAATTTAGCTTGTGTAAACATGTTATACATAATTTGAGAAGCATATCTATTTGCTTAGTACTATCATAATAAAAACAGTATAATAAGAACAGTATTATTAAAACAAGCACTTTGAAATGAACCATTGTTTTTTAATGTTTATTCATTAGACTTTGAGTCAACATTAAGTATGATAATGAAGGTTTGTTTTAGCGATATAGTGTTAAGTTGCATTTTATCTTGTGTGAAGAAACTTAAGTTACTATTGATTGGCAGGTTACATTACCTGGCCAGTGTGTGTAGTTGCTACGCATAGACCAGACTGCCGTATTACATCTATCAATCATCATCTAGCGATGGAATCAACAAAGACGAGACCACAATCTCGTGTAATAAGTGAAACTTAAAACATGCACCAAATGCTGTCAGTGGAAAAGGCTACACATGATCATTTGTCAATAATATATCAGAATTTCTTTTTGATCTCATTTTTAGACGTTTACGCACTTTATATTCAGGCTCCAAGAGAGACAAATTGAAATATTTTTGATTGATATAGTTTTTACTAATGAAAAAGGAATTCAAAAGTTTTGAATAATATCGGATCAAACAATTGAACATGCCAAGAGGTAAGTTCTATGAAGTTTGTATTTATGTAAATAAAGATAAGATTTACTCTCAATAAAAAAATAAACAAATGGTAGATGCTTAACCCTGTAGAACACACAAAATCAATTGCTTAGTTGTTTGATATAGTATGGTATCATATACTGAAAGACCTCGTAACAATGGTGAAATGTTTAGTAATGTATAGGTCTGTCATTATACTGCAGAGGTTTTAACCTTGGGTAATAGTAAACTTGTAGTTGAGTATATCAATAGAGGAACAGTCAAGAACAATCAGGTATCATATTTATTTAATTGATATTCATGTGTTAATGTTTGGTATACCTTTACGTCATTAATTGATTGGTTCGTAAAAAAACATATTAGGTCAGTATTGATGGGGGCCTTTGATATGATCTGTCAAAGTTTGAGTCTCAGGTTCTAAATCAATTCTGTCAGATTTTTTCGCAACAAATTCTCATTTTATTTACAAAGTTTTCTGTTTCAATATAATAGAAGTGATCGAATGAGGTATTCCTAGATAGTACCACGAATGCTGTCCAAAAGATTTCCCAAAGGGGGGGGGGGGGGCGACTTTTGCACACAGATGGAGCCACTGACACACCTATGCATAGCCTCTATGGTGTGTAGCGCCCCAAGCCAAAGGGGGTACTCTCCTGTACAGTCTGGGAAAATCTGAGAGCCATATTTGCATCATTTAAATACGAATTTATATATTTTTGGAAGGGGGGGGGGTCGCCCCAATGCCCCTCTCCTTTAGACAGGCTTGTTAATATACTCATTTAATTATTAAGAGCTGAGTGGTATCCTTACATGTGACCTCTTGCATGGTTAATAGCTGACAAGAGGAATTGCTGCCAATATTTGAGGAATTCCAAATTAATCAAGAAGTGATGAATAATAGATTGATGTACTACATTTCATAACAAGAGTGTCAAGATATAGGGACACACAACAGCTGCAAAACTGTATAGACTTAGAATCTAACTTTGCATCATTAAAGAATCGTTGACATCAAAGAATCCTCCAGTCCATCCAATATTAATTGAATCTATGTTTGTGTGTCAGATGTTTCATAAGAAGTTATGACAACAGGTAGTTTGAATGAAAACAGCAGGCAAAGTTATTGAAAATGGAAACAGTCGCAGAATTCATTGAAACAACTTTTAAAATTTTTTTTAAAACAACCGGAGAAACAATGCCTTTGTATATTCTGTAATTGATAAATCCACTCTTGGCAGTTTGTTTTAAGAATATATAATCTCATATGTTCCTTCATTTCAGGATGACGTACATGTTACATAACTAAGGATGGGTACAGGAGCATCTAGAGATGGTGAGGTGGAGGTGGGCCAAGCCAGTGGCCGTGCCAGTGTGGCCAGCAATGGGAGTAGACCACAATCCCGAGCTATGGGGCTCGGTGCAGGGGCCAGTCAGAGTATTGTCACCAGTGGATTAATAAAGAGTCAAGCTGCATTGTCGCAGACAGGAATGTCGTCACAGGGGGCCAGGGTTGGCTGGGCACACGTGAGGCAGGCCAATAGAGCCCTAGTGGCCTTGCAGAGGAGACAGAGAGGTGAGTGTGTGGGGGAGGCATCTTGTGGGCGTCAGCCGGCAGGGGACCTTTTTGAATCATGTAATACCCAGAGGTCATCAGGTAGGGTGGGTACTTACTGATCTCCCCAGGGTTTTGTCAACAAGATGCAAACCCTATAGTGACCCATATGTCGGAGAGACTGACATACATAAGAGTCAATAAAAGAATATATAAAATATCTCAATAGTTCATCATTTTGACAGAATAACCTAGATGCGAGTAGAAATAATCTTGATTTACGTCATTAAAAATTCAAAATTCAGTCAAAGTAATATCATATTTGAAATCTACATCTAAAATTACATCTAGAAATGTGGTTTTAAAAACTGTTAATCAACTTTGAAAAATTAATTTTCTTTGAAAATGTGACTTCTAGCTCGGGGAGATTCCCCATAGACCCCATGCTATAAAATCACTAAAAATGAAATATCTTTTCTTTTAGTGGACAGATAATATATTGCTTTACTGGACATATTTTCATTAGTATAAGTATCAGACGCATAAGGGTTATATGAAAATTGAGCCACTTAAGTTGATAATATTCAAGTTTAAGGGAACTTTCTTGTATACCTGCCATGTTAATTGACCCGAATCAGCCACCTGGTGGTGAAACTGGTAACTACCTACTCGCATTTGGGTAATTGGAGTAGTCTTTCTACAGGGTGTACCTGGTTTCTCTAATACTGGGAGATCACTGTATTTAATTATATTCACATGTTCAATGATAGCTTACTTACAATGGGAACTTACTTGCCTAAATTTTGATGTTGCATCACATTCTCACTGCTTTACACAGCTATTTAGTATAATATTCCATTTTTCTATTTATTCCATCCATTTTTACATAAACTAAGAAATTCTAGGGATTGTTTATTGACAGACTGAATAATTATCCATTAAATTATTTGTCTTGCAGAATTGAATTAAGTTACCAATTGTAAAATACTAAGGAGAAAAATTATGATATGATATATAAATGAACTAATGATATTGTTAAAGTGAGCCAACTTCCATTTTAGCCATGACCTTAATAAAATCATGGCTCTTCTAGAATCCCAATAATATAGCTTTCTTCAAAAATGTCTTGCCATGATGAAATGGTAGATTATTTTCATAATGGTACTAATACTTTATGTAATTGATCAGAACAAAGCTATATTGCTAAGTTTATCTGATAAAAACTGAATCTTGATAATTCCATTAAATACTAATAGACTAATGCAATCATTCCAGTGAACACAAATTGATGTGTTTGCTTTCCTTAATTTCATCATTTCTTGATCTGAACTGGCAATGATAGAAAATACTGTATTTATGGTCTGATTATTTCATCATTAAAATTGATGAGGATTTTTTATTTGTAATTGATTGAAGAAACTAGTTCCTATGTTGCAATAAAGTTAATAAGAGATGCACAGTGGAACCTGTGGTTTAAACACTTGTGAATCAATGTTCCTGACTAAGAGCTTAACTGCTCCTTTAGGAGACAATGGGAGATGTTAGTGTTGTTACATTGTCACACAAACCTTGTTATTTTGCTTTTAACTTTACTGAGAGTTAATTAACATTGATTTTATAAAGGTCAACATTTTAGAAGTCCAAGGTACGTCAATTGACAGCATGTTCAAACAGTTTTACTTGTGAGTAACCCATTAGTGTGAAGTAAGACTGGAGCTTTTGTCATTTGCAACCTACCATAAATAATAATGTAGAAGCCAATAATGGATCCTAAATGTCAATGTTATATTATTCCATGATCATAAACAGAAATCTCTTCCAACTTTAGACAAAGAAATGAATGAAACGTGCTATATCTCTGTGATGTTGATGGAGCACATTGATTAACTGTCTGACCATTATTCATTTAATGGTGCCTTTTTAAAATGATTTTTCCAATAATCTTTTTTCTATATAAACAGAGATTACAAAAGATACCCGAGTTCTCATTGCTTGAGGATGTATTTACTGTATTTATGCCAATGTTGGTAAATATTAATAAACCAAGATTGTAATTATGTAGAACCAATTCTGAGATACTTTTGTATTTTTTTAGTGAGATTTAGCAAAATATTTTTATTGGAAATGTTGAATGTGTATCTTATGATTCTTAGAAATATAATACACGATAAGGTTTATTATCAAACAAACATCATGTGTTTATGTTAAGGAAAGAACCATGAAAATTAAAAATGTTTAACATTGATTTTAGTATGACATCAAAATGGTTTACTTAGCATCATTTGTTCTACTTATGTCACAGTTTTTATTGCGAGACCTTCAATCATACATTCATTAATACAAATACAGTACTTGAACGGAAGATGCTATTTTCAGGTCAAACTAACCCTTTGTGGCTGACACTTAAAGAATAAGATATAATGTTGAAGCTGTGAGAGTAATTGTCTGTCTGACATCAACTGACATTTTATATAATTCATGAAATCAATTTTATGTTTCACATTTCTAAGATTTGAATTGATTTTTTGATTATTTTCTTGATGGGACTATAGATAAATGAGATTAGAAATGTTTAAATGATGACAGATGGACCATTTGATGGGATTATTACAATGCACAATGTGGTTCAGGGATAAAGACAATAATGACACAACTTTTTTTTTTATTTGTTCATGGATTTCAATGAAATTTGCAGGGATTATAGTTTTAACATATTTAATTTTACTATTGTAGTTTCAGCTACAAGAGATTTGATTGGTTGATTCTGTGGTTGTTACAGCAACGTGAGTAGTGCCATTTTGAAATTTGAAATAAAAATGGATTGTGACTGATTGGTATTTATCTATGACAAACAGCAAAAAATCCTGGAAAATCCCATTGAATATCATTAAAAAGCAATTGTTTGACTTCAAAACAAAACAATAGAAGAATGTTGTTATGGAGATGCACCAGGAAAGCTACAATTATGGAGTGAAAATATGAATATCATGCCAAATATAACACAGAAACTATATTACAGTTGTTCAACTTGCCCAGCCTTAGCGTTGCTGTGACAACCACAGAATTGACCAATCGAATCCCTTGAAGCTGAAACTTCAAAAATAAATTGTTGAAACTTTAGGGTGATCATTCTGAGAATCGATCTGCCATTTCAATATTTTTCAACCAATTAACTTGATATTTTCAGCAAATGTACATTTTTTATAATGTTTTATAATTTAACTAGAATATCATTCTTTTCTTTTGAAAATGTCAGTTTTACATATTATCTGCACAAGTACAAGATTGATTGCCATGTTTATATTTTACTGTTTTTTTTTTATGTTTTATAATGTTTAGTGTCAGCTGATTTGAACATCATGAGACAGTAGTTTGAACTAAATTTTCATTTTCAAATAAATGTTGGATTATTTTAGACTTCAACAAGATGATCAGTGAGCAGAGCAAGTTTACTAGATATATGGGTGAGCTGGTGTGACCCTGTAGGCTTTTATGTGTGATCCTATAGATTATATGTGATCTTGTAGGTCTATTCTGTATGTGTAATAATGCTGTTGGTCTGTATTTGTGACTAACATGTATAACCCAGTATATGTGTGATATAGTGTAGTAGGGACTATATAATGTGACCCAGTAGGTTCATATACGTGACCCATTTTGTCCATATGTGTGACCCAATAACTCTTTATGTGTGACTTGATAATTCTCTATGATTGACTCTATGTGTGATCCCTACTAATATACAAGTATATTTTATTTTGTTGTTTTCCTTACATCTTTATTAGAAATAAATGGTTCTTGCTTTATCAATCTATCTATATAACTTCCTGTATATCCGACTATATCATGACAGAGTATTATAATATATGTCATAATAATGCTTTGAATAGTTTTTTATTTCAATTTACTTTTTTGTAAACACAGGCTGGTATCGAAACATTTGTCTGCTGTGACGGAGCATGTTATTTTTTTTATAAAAACACTAAGAATACTTCACAATTTATTTTTTAACTCACATGTTTCGTTATATCAAAGAAAATTACTCCATGTGATGGATATATCATTTGCGGATAACCTTCACTTCTGTTTGAAGTGCCATGACGCCAAGAGGAAAAGCTATTGGAAATGGCGCCGGAGTATCATACTCCTAAATATACCATTTCTTTTTTAACTTCTTAATGGCACGATATAGTGACATTATAATATTTACATATGTTTTCAGCAAAACTCTGAGGATATTAATGAAATATTGATGTATTGGGTATTTGTATATATTGTATATTTTTAACGTTTAATTTTTTGTCTGCTGTGATGGAGCAGTTGCAAATATGAACTGTGAAATTGCTCCATCACAGCGGACAAAATATTTGAACATAATTTTTTATAAAATAAATTAAAAAGACATAATACATCCAGATCTCATTAATACATTCAGATTTATGCTGAAAACAAATGTAAATATTATCGTGTCACTACATCAGGCCATTAAACAATTAATAAAGAAATGGTACATTTTAGAGTATGATACTCTGGCGCCGTTTTCAATAGATTTTACTCCTAGCGTTATTGGACTTCAAACAGAATTGAAGGTTACGCACAAATGATATATCCATTGCATGGCGTAAGTAATTTTCACTGATATAACGAAACATATGAGTTAAAAAATAAATTGTGAAGTATTCTTAGTGTTTTTATAAAAAATAATATGCTCTGTCACAGCGGACAAATGTTTCGATACCAGCCTGTGGTAAAGCTTAAGCTTGACAAGTTTAGATCTGAATATTGTGCCCCTGCCCTCACATAATACAGGCCTGTCTGTATTATGTATATACATTTCAGCTTTGTGTTTATGTAACTCTATCTATGTTAGTGTCTTTGAAATGTTGGTAATTGAACATTGGGATTTGACAGTCAGATTGTGTTTACCCTCAAATAGCTTAGGTGTGGTACAAATTGTTTAGCATACAAGGTGTGGTGCAGTCACTCTAGTTGTGTTACAGATTGTGTGGTATCCCAAGGTTAGTACAAACTGCGTGGCACTCTATGTGTTGTACAGACTTTACAGCACTTTAGGTGTGGTACAGACTGTGTGGTACTCCAAGTGTGAACCAGACTGTGTTTTCTTCTGTCTGTTGTTCAGCTACTAACTTTACTAATTATTCAAACACATGTGTCGCTAACATTTGTGAATTACAATAGTGATACTAGATTCAAGGATGAGAGAGAATCTCTGTTTTTCTCTAAATTTACACTTTATAATCTTAGTATTATTGTATGAATTATCTTTCATATGTTTTTTTTATGTCACCACCAAAATTTGTGACATTGTTTTTTTGTGACAGCACTTTGTGATCGGAAGTTGGCATTTGTAACAAATGGCGGTGTCATTTTGCATGTTAATGCCTTGTATTGGCATGCTTGTATTAATTAATACTGCATGCACTTTGAATTAAAGTTTTAATAAATATTTACAAGAGAACTGTTAAAACATGAATGTATTTAGTTATGTACCAGAAATACCCTCTTTACATTGGTTATATTCACTAAAAGCGTAATATTTAGAGGTTATGTCACTATAGCGTGAAATAGGCCTGAGTTCTCTCAATATAGGCTGACCTGGGGAGGCTCTATATTTGGGCAAAAACGAAGGCATATTTCACATCATAGTGACATAACTGATGTATTATACCTTTATTCCCATGGCTACTTTGTTTCAGTGACATCAGTCACATAACTGTATGAGAGTAAAATTTGAAATGACACATGACGTCATGATATTGTCATGGTTATCGTGCTATATCGGTGTAATTTGGCAATATCGGTAGATATAGTCTGCTTATTTTCCCATTGACTTCAATACAAAGTATGCTTCGCTAGATACGTGTATGGTTTACACAGGAACATATGTTTTTAATTTTTTTTAATTAGACACAAGGTATTTGCTTAAAGATTTCATCTGAAGGTCAATGTACATGTATATATGTTTATGGATTGCTTTCATCATTTTTGATGTTATGAATTGATTGTTTTGCAGAAAGGAACTCTTTCACCAAAGTGCTTATTGGGAGAGGAGGTTTCTCAGAGCAGAATGTGGCAGTAACTGAGGGGCAGGTAAGAGATATTTGTGTTATCCTATATGAGGTAAGAGATATTGATGTTATCCTATAAGAGATTTTGATAAATACAAATGTAGGTTTGTTTGATGAATATGTTCATAAACAGACAGATAAAGTTCCATTGATACCATATAATTGACTGTTGCACCCAATGTGTACAAAATTTTACAAAATCTCTTCATAATCGAAAACACTTCTGATTTTGATTAAATTGCTCCATTTAATGTTCTATGAAATGTTCTAGGTGGTAGTGTTCCTCTGGAACGACCCAACCTGTAATGCTGGCTTCAATGTCGTTCAGGTATGTGATTGACATTTATCAAAACAGTCTAAACATGTAGTCAGTATAGTCCTGTAGACTAGGTGTATAGTCCAGGACAGGTAGTCCAGGTGTATGGTCCAGAAACAGGTGTTTTGTACACGTATATACTTTCAGACTGCATCCTTCCAACATGTAATTGGTGTCGTACTATGATGTCAGGTACTTGGTATGATTACTTCAGACTAAATATTATATTGTTTCTGTAGGTTGTGCATGATGGAGAAAAGTTTACCCCTGTGATTGGAGGTTACAATAGTGGCTCGCCCTGTAAGAAAGGATTCTTTGAGGTCCAGTTTAACATGGAGGGCGAATTCAAGTTTGTCAGGTAGGAATATAACATCTATTGCAATATTTGATAAATGATGTTGGGTACATTGCCTGGAGGTTTTTCACAAAGGGATTGCATGTTAATTCTCCATTTCGCTGTTCGCTCTTTGAATCAGAACGTTCGCATATATGGTGCATATATGTACTCAAAAAGGACAAAATTTGATTGGTCAATATTTTTCAACGATGCATTTCGTGTAGCTATTTGTGAGACCCGAAAGTTCTAAATCAAATTAATTACGCAATTTTGTTTTTACACCCGCAAGCTAAATAAAAAAATGACACCATCGGAATTCTTCTTCTTTGTCATTGAATTAATAGTCAGTATACCAGATTTAATCAATAAAAGATTATACAATTAACAACAAAATTCGGAAACGAGTATGTAAGATTTGCTTTCGAACCACTAAACTTGACCTAGATAATAGCGACGTGTCTTCTTTGGTCAAATGCTCAGTTGTTTGTGGGTTTTCAACGTAACTCTATAATGTAATATGAAGATGAGTACTTTTATTCAGTTGTTGCATCGATGTTACAGTTTGTAGTGCGGTAATATTGGCATGAACGTGTTGAAAGTCGAATGGAATTGCTTTTTCCAATATGGCGACTAGTCACGTGACTTCTTCTCTTCCGGAATATACTCCCATTTTCAATCATTGTTTTCACCCCGTTAGGAGCCAATAAAATGAAAAAAAATATATGTTATATAAAGATTATTAAAAGACTAATTGTTTCTGATAGTTTGTTTTCTCCGATCGCATGGAGATTCGATCGAAAATATCGCTTGAAAAATGGGTATGAAAATCCCCATGTTAAACCAACGGGGAAAAACAAGGTAGAAAAATTTTGTTCCCCCGCGAACTGCATCATGGGAAATATTTTGACCTTATAAGGAAAAACTTTCGCGCCATCTTTATTAGAGATTCAATACTACCGAATCCGCGATTTTAAGAATTGTCATCCTGAAGTAAAATACAAGTTAAAGTTGGAACCTTTTTGAGTTAGAAAGATGGGAGGTTCTTTGACAAACATTTTCATATGCTTGATTGGGACTTGGGACTAATAAACATATGTGTCATATAGACTAATATGTATGTTTTCATATATCCAATTTATATATAACAGTAGAACCCTTGTAAGTGGAACACCCTTGAGACCACTAAAAAGTGTTCCACCTGGGAGGTGTTCCACTTTCAGAGGTTCATTAACATGGGACTTTAAACACATGGTTCCACTTGAGGGGTTCCATTTACAGAGGTGTTCCACTTACCAGGTTCTTCTGTATTCACATTCAGTCTGTGATTTTAGTTCTGGCCTCCGCTGTACGCCACTTACCATCAATGTAGGGGCTAAACAGGACATTAAGGCAGAGGTGACTGACACAGGATTTTCACCCCGTGTGATCCACATAGATGAACGTCATGCTATCAAGTGGACGTGGGCAAAGTGTGATGTCCCGCACACTGTCTACGAGGTGAAACACTGCAATAGACACTCTGGACTACTCAAGGTTGAGAACAAGAAAGACGCGTAAGTTATTCATGTTACCATATAGTTTATGGATCTTTTATAGGTACACTGTACAACATAAGTAGGAGATCATGAATTAATAAGGAAGTGCTCTGATGCTCTAACTTTAATTACAAACAAAATAGATTAACACATATTGTATAAAATGTATGAGCCAAGTGATATGGTTAACTTTGGATGATTTAAATGGAGTTATTCAGGTACCATTGAAATCCCAAAAGTACATTCAACATCTTTTTAAGCTATTCTGCTGATAGTGATAGATGTATTATAAAGTATTGTTAAATATTTAATTATTGGAAAATTTCTAATTGAACATATTGGTTATATGTTGATTGTCCAAGAGCATGCAAATCAGGTCTCTGTGGGGGAAATGTCTACATGTATACTTACAATTACTTAATATTTCTGCTCATTCTATTTTTTATTCAAGGCTCACATATAATCATTCAAGTATATTTATCTAAAACCGTCATGCAGTAATTACACATTTGGAGCTGGGGGGGGGGGGGGGGGGGGGGTTAAACAATGACGGTTCTTTAAAATATTTATTTTCATCTTCATGAAATATGTAATGTCTTCTATGTTTCAATTTTCAAGAACATTCAAGATGAGAGCATAATAACCTGATATTTTATGATTCATTTATTGGTCTGTTCTCCATACACGCTGGGATGTGTGTTTACTGTAATTTGAATCTTCCATTTCATGCTCCTTTCTTCTGAGGTGTAAATTATTTATTTGAAGAGGAGTTTCCATGCAATGCAACAATGACCTATTTGTGCCAAGCTGAATTTCTCTATTTATGTGGAATGCTCAATGACTTGAAATCACGAATACTTTTATTCATCACAACAATCGTATCGCCATGGTAATAACATTTTATTATTTTATGGTTATTAAAGTGGAATTTGTCTCACAGTAACTTGGAGATAAGCAATGATTTGTTTTTACTTGCAGGATAGCTACACAATCTGGAAGCTTCAGGCATGAGTTCAGGTAGGTTTTAATCTGAGTCTAATCCCTGGGGCCCTGGCCCTGGGGTTTATTCTGTTCTAGATAATCCAAGTCTAATCCCCTGAGTATATACTTATTAAAAGAGTATCCAGTTCTACTGTTCCAGTCCCCAAGGTATATTATATGTATATTTAGAATTATACAATTTTGTCATAATTAGATCCAGAATTTCTATGATTTTAATGTCGCAGTATATTTAACAATTCTACAACTATATTCTGTTAAATTCTATAGTTATATGCCCTTCAATTCTATAGCTATATTCTGTCCAGTTCTATAGCTATATGTCCTTCAATTTTATCCATATTCCCTTCAATTCTATAGCTATATGCCCTTCAATTCTATAGCTACATCCTGTTAAATTTTATGTTTATATGCCCTTCAATGCTATAGCTATATTCTGTTAAATTCTATAGTTATATGCCCTTCAATTCTATAGCTATATTCTGTCCAGTTCTATGGCTATATGCCCTTCAATTTTATCCATATTTGCTTCAATTCTAAAGCTATATACCTTTCAATTCTATAGCTACAATGGATATGCCCTTCAATTCTATAGCTACTTCCTGTTAAATTCTATGTTTATATGCCCTTCAATTCTATAGCTATATTCTGTTAAATTCTATAGTTATATGCCCTTTAATTCTATAGCTGCATTCTGTTAAATTCTATAGTTATATGCCCTTCAATTCTATAGCTATATTCTGTTAAATTCTATGTTTATATGCCCTTCAATTCTATAGCTATATTCTGTTAAATTCTATAGTTATATGCCCTTCAATTCTATAGCTATATTCTGTTAAATTCTATAGTTATATGCCCTTCAATTCTATAGCTATACTCTATTAAATTCTATAGTTATATACCCTTCAATTCTATAGCTACATTCTGTTAAATTCTATGTTTATATGCCCTTCAATTCTATAGCTATATTCTGTTAAATTCTATAGTTATATGCCCTTCAATTCTATAGCTATATTCTGTTAAATACTATGTTTATATGCCCTTCAATTCTATAGCTATATTCTGTTAAATTCTATAGTTATATGCCCTTCAATTCTATAGCTACATTCTGTTAAATTCTATGTTTATATGCCCTTCAATTCTATAGCTATATTCTGTTAAATTCTATAGTTATATGCCCTTCAATTCTATAGCTATATTCTGTTAAATTCTATGTTTATATGCCCTTCAATTCTATAGCTATATTCTGTTAAATTCTAAAGTTATATGCCCTTCAATTCTATAGCTATATTCTGTTAAATTCTATAGTTATATGCCCTTCAATTCTATAGCTATACTCTATTAAATTCTATATTTATATGCCCTTCAATTCTATAACTATATTCTGTTAAATTCTATAGTTATATGCCCTTCAATTCTATAGCTATACTCTTTTAAATTCTATATTTATATGCCCTTCAATTCTATAACTATATTCTGTTAAATTCTATATTTATATTCCCTTGTGTTAAATTCTATATTTATATTCCCTTCTGTTAAATTCTATGGTTATATGCCCTTCAATTCTATAGCTATACTCTGTCCAGTTCTATAGCTATATGTCCTTCAATTTTATCCATATTCCCTTCAATTCTATAGCTATATGCCTTCAATTCTATAGTTATTTTTCCCTCTTTCCCTTCAGTTCCTCTCGATATAGTATACCTATTTGCTGTTCAGTTCTGTAGCTGCAATGTTTATATAACGTTTGAGGTGAATATGTTATTTACTCCTCAAATTCAGAATAACATTTCTGATAAAATAATCTCATCTACTTATATTTTCAGACAATCTGGTATTTATTACATGCAAACTGAGGGTTTGATGATGGGGGAGACGCACTTATGTGTGGTGCACGTGAGAGAATGCCCTAGGTATGTACTAGCTAGTATGTAACACATGTAATGAAGTAAAATAACTAGAATTGTTATAATGACTCAGACTTAGTAAATGAATATGAGTTTGAGCTAAACCAGTATTAAATTGTACATGCATTTTGAAAACTGAATTTTCTGAGAGCCTTGTGTAAACATATACATTTAAGTTAAGGTAAAGCTTCAATGTCCATTGCACAGTCAGTCCGTGCATCTCCGATGCCAAAAACGAAAAAAATGAATAAAACATCAATTTGAGCACTGGGTTTTGAATGAGTTTTAAATTTTATACCCCGAGAAACCTGACATAATCTAATTTTTTTCATTTTTTAACCATGCACAATACATTTTCTTGATCTCGTATCATATGACACACTGTTGATCTATCAAGACATTATTGTGCAATATGAGTCATTAGAATAATAATATTTCTCTACTGATTCATAATATTCAAAGTCATAAGACAAGTTTTCTCTCAAGATCTGGCTGGTGAATTTTCATAAATATTGTCAAATTAATTTTCATTTCATAGAATGATCAAAATTTTCTTTAATTTTAACATATTTTGTATTCATCAGTATACCTTTTACCTACACAGTTTTCAAGAAAATCTGAATTGTAGGTTGAGATACTGGATCATACAGTTAACCTAATGATTCAAACTGTTGAATGGAGAAGTCAAATTGACCATGTATTACGACTGTGAATGTTCTATATTTCAGAGAGCATCAGGTTGAGATATTGGATCGTACATTTAACCCAATGATTCTGCTCATAGATGAGGGAGACCGAGTATGGTTCCAGTGGGACAAAGTAAAGGTAAGAATATTTATAAAATATATACTGCATAACTCACTGGTCAGTTAAGTGAAGGTAACGGCTGGAACCTTTGCATCTAAGATGGCGGACAGTAATTGTCGATTTCGATATTTTTTGTTTTCATTGAATTAAACAATCTTATAGTTGACGTTATACTTTGATATTTGAGCTGAATCAGGCTTATATGACATGGGAACTATGGAGTATGATAATTTGTTCATATATTGTGTGTGGCCGCCACAATTCAACAATATCTCCCACCGCTTAAGGGAAGGTAACTGAAAATAATATGGTCATGTTACTTTTCAATACGTGGTGACTACATCTTATCTCTCCATTATTAACTTCATAACATTACCGCATTACCGCATCACAGCATATCAGTTATCTTATCTGTAAAAACAAAATACCAGTTACCTCCCCTTAAGCGATGGAAGATATCTTTGAACCATGTTGCCTACGCATGGTATATGAACAAATGGTCATGCTACAGAGTTTCCATGTCATATAAGCCTGATATAGTTCAAATATCAATGCATTATGTCAAAGATAATTTGGTTTAATTCAATGAAGACAAAAAATATTGAAATCAACACTTACCGTCCGCCATCTTATATGCGAAGGTTACAGCCGTTAGTTTCTCTTGACCAGTGATAACTAATTGGAGTGAATCAAGATATTTTAGGTCATGTTGAGTAATGACATCAATCAGAGGGGATGGTGAAGTTAACTCTTATGAGTTCCAATTGATGCTGCTTTAATTGAACCCATTAACTAGTTTTTGACTAGACCCAGGTAAAACTGGAGGGCCAGTTCAACTGCAGCTTGAGATGTCTTGTATAAACCTTTCCAAACAGAATGATGTGATTTCCCAGCTTATGGATCACCTGACCTGACTGTAATTATGAATATATATAGGGTGTCTCAAAAAATGTACCCAAAAGTATATCAACACCATAGACAAACCAATCAATATTTTCAGACATTTTTTGCATGGTCTTGTAGATAAAAGATGAAAGTTTTTTTCCCCTATACACAGTTTTTAATTCAGTTTTGCCTTTTTGATACTTTAACCCGTTACCTTTTACACCACATATTCAATGTAATGTCATATTTCGATGACAGTCTGCATCCTTACTACTACATTGTTCATCACATTTGATATTTCTGGTGGAATGTTTTGATTTCTGTTCGGATGCTGGTCTTAAGTTGTTCTAGGTCTCTTAGCTTGGGTTTAGCATAAAAATGGTCCTTCAAATAGCCTCAGAGAAAAAGCATGGGCCGTCGAATATGGTGAATAGGGAGGCCCTCACAATGTCTTATAGCCCCCTTATACAGAGAGGTCAGAGGTTCAAGAAACTGCATTGGTTGGGATTCTAGTGTAGCTTTTGTTGTGTGTATCAATTTGAGACCACTGTGTTATCATTTGGATATCATTTGGTCTCTAGGCTAGCCTGCCTAACTCTGGAAGGTAACTCCTGAATCATTTGCCGATAATTGACCTGATTATCTGTGTTTGTTCTGCCATCGTCATCCTCAAACATCTTTCTCTGTGGCTATTTGAAGGAGTGTTTTAATGCTCATTCCAAGCAAAAAGACGTATAACAACTTAAGGGCAACATCCAAAGGGAAATCTAAAACATTTCACCGGAATTATTATCAAATGTGATGAACAATGTAGCAGTAAGTATACAGGCTGTCATCAAAATATGAGGTTACATCGATTTTGTGATGTAAAAGGTAAAGGGTTAAAGCATCAAAAATACAAGACTGAAATAAAAATGGTGTATTGGGGAGAAAACTTTCATGTTTTGGCTACATGACCATGCAAAAAATGTCTGAAAATATTGATTGGTTTATCTGTGCTCTTGATATACTTTTGGGTACATTTTTTTGAGACACCCTGTATATGAATACTTTTCCATATTTTATAGTGTAAGAAGCCCCACAACCCTTACCAGATCCATCACCCAAGTATGGAGCATGATGACGATGTCGCCTACTTGCCTGTCAAAGATGGCTTCAAGTGGACACAACCAACGTAAGAAGAAAATGCTATGTCACATAATTTAAGGAATTACTCTCATGAAATAATGTCCCTGGTTATTGATTTCGATATTGAATAGGGATACTTAAAGCTACCTTATCCTTCATTATTTTGCCTTATTGTGGTTACATTCGTTTTGTTGTTATAGTCCCCTTTGAATCCTCAGTTTAAGCTTTCATCGTATGATCTGTAAAATGAAGCCTTCTGATTGGTCAGTTCTTGTGCTGTACCGATCTGTATTGCTACTGAGATTGTCCCCATTGATCATCTCCGTCGCAATACAGAAAATATTGGTACGGAGGGGACATTCTCAGTGGCAATACAGATGATCACACGATAAAAACATTATTGAATGATTTGAAGTGCAGCACAGGATATATTTTGCTCTTGATATTCTGTATTGGCACTCGACTTTGTCTCGAGCAGAATATATCATGTATTGCACTTAAAATCATTCAATAACTTATAGTATTTATATCAAATAGTTATAAATGTTTTTTCTAATTTTTTAGGAAATGTGGGTTGTTATCCAAAGAATTCTTTGAACCAGGTGTGTACTTTTTCTCAGACCAGAACTTCCAAGAAGCTGCTGAGTACATAGGAACCATCTTGGTGAAACCTAAACAGAAGGACCATTTTATTGACCTGAAGTTAGAGGGATTCTCAAAAGGTAGGCTAGGGCAAGAGATATAAAACATTGTGCTTATTGCATTCATAACTTTTATAGATTCGTGTGTTTTGTATTACTATATTTGTAGATCTGTATTTATTGTATCCTACATTTGGAAATCTTCATTCACTTGGTTTCCATCAGTGAAGACCAAGCATGCGAAGATGACATTTTTAGATTCGTGCTTTTTAGCTCACATGGTGAGCTTTTGCAATCATTTCATTCCTGGATTTGTAGATATGTTAGCTGCTGAGACTGGGGATCGTGTCTGGTGGACGTGGAACCCTGGCAACATGGATCCAGCATTCAGTATCATGGAAATGGAGAGGTGTCTCACTCCTACTGTTAAACCAGGAACAGAATTTGATTGTGATGGTTAGTAGGTTCATATGTAGAGGCAAAAATCATAGAACAACTTTTCCTGAAATTGTGTGTGTCAGTTTCTTTTGATGTATGTGAGCCAAATTACTGTGTTTCATGTGAGTCATATTACTGTGTTTAATTTCAAAATAAATTGTTCCATCTCCCTTACAGACCAGTGTACCTTCCTAGAGGGAGATGCCGCCAAGCAGTGTACACTGGTGGGTCTTGCTGCCGCTCAGGTCAACTCTATTGGGGTCTACCATTACAGAGTGGCTGACAGCCCTAACACTTTAAGCACTTGCTCAATCATTGTCAATTCAGGATCAAAAGTAGGTACCTTTTTCTCAGTCTCAATTATTTTCATTTTTTCACCTTATGATAAGATAAAACTAAATATGTACTACAATCAGTACAATTCATGTTAGGGAAAGCATCACTGATGTAGTTTCACCTATGGAATCATCATATTTCAGAACTTTACAATCCATGTAACAGAGAAAGGCTTCCAGCCCAAGGTGGTCACTGTGCACCCCTCAGACAGAGTCTGGTGGGTCTGGCAGGAGGGTAAGAAGCAACACAACATAATGCAGGTACACACTCTTGTATTTCTGAAACATTCTGCTTTATAAAGTTGACTATCATTAGATTCTAATGATTTCATGCCACACAACTGGGTAATTATTTACTTGATTATACTATACTATACTATTAAAAATTATTGATACAAGAACAGCTATACATAATATCACAGACTTGAAGAAATTGGAGAGAGTCTATTCTCAGTAAAAGCTGAAAGTATGTCAGATACAAAATCTTTTTCACCATACCGGCTTTTATTTAGTCAATTTCTCTACAATTGCACAGTTAGTCAGGGACACTATTTCTTGTTTTCTATTGATTTCAAGTCTCAACAATCACAGTGTATTAATAATATATTTTTAAATAATTTCTGTCACTCTGTTTCTATAAATACTTCCTATGAATTTTGTTTGAAATCTAACTATTTCTTAAGGTTGTTCCACACTTCAAATACATATTCTTTCTTAGGTCTCACATGAGGGTAACAGGATAGATGATGGATTTTGCAGTGGCGCCCCATTGGATCCCCCCTCAGCCTTCATGCACCAGTTCACTAAACCTGGTGTATACTATTACATTACTCAGGCTCTGCCCAAACTGTTTGGTGCCATTGTTGTGACATCCCAACCCAAGGTACATTTACTACTCCATATGTCTTTATACTGTTTATATTTTTTATGTCACCACCAGAAGTGGTGACACATTGTCTCCAACTCTTTGTGGATGATGTGCATTGTTAGGAGTTCAGTGTCTGTAACAATTTGCAATAACTTAAAAGGTGGTCATGTTAATGCCTTTTCTCGAAGGTTAAGTATCTAGATATTAATGCTATCAGTTGTAAGTTGCTTCAAAAAGTTTAACTAAAAAATACTTGTAGGTCCATCCAACAGAGATCGTTTTACTGAATAGTGAAATCACTCAAGTATTGTTACATGTATTTAAAAATACACACTGATACTATAACAATACACAAAAAGAGTGTTGATATTTCTTAGTACATGTATATAGAATATGAAGTGATTCAGATGTAAGTATATTATACACTATGAATGTGTTTCTTCCACACAGGTGCATGAAGTTGCAGTTATATCCAACCAGATTACACCCGATCCTGTCAATATTAACATAAACGATTTGGTCTGTTGGACGTTTAAAGGATTGAGGCAGTATGATGTTACTGAGATAGAATCAGTTGACCAACTTATTGGAGTAGAGTCCTCTGGTGCTCTCTTACCAAGGTGAGTGGTTTAAGCATAAGGGGAGGACCTGGGAGGGTCATATGACAAATAATGTTTGACAGTTGTCTCAGGATATGATGTGAGGAATAAAGAGCCTGAACCCTATTTTTTGTTCTTGCTCTAGCATTGTGGCAAAACCCATTTAATTTTGTCATTTCATGTTCTCATTTCATGTTGTGTTTAAAGCATCTTCTCCTCCATCTTATCTTCCAACTAGTCCCTGGGTTGTTTGCTGGGTTCCTTTGTCAGTTTTATGTCAGCAATAGAAGTGTTGACATATTGCTATTATATAGTCTCCAACATTTTTGTTCAGTGGTTGGTGTTTGGTGGTTGATATTCGGTGGTCTCCGTCTGTCACAAATGTAAGGTGGTTACATTTTCCATGTTAATGCCTTGTTTGTTGGTTTCAGTTAATATTTCATTATTTTGTCTATTGACATTACTCATATAGAAAGTATTTTCATTGTCAATATGTGAAATATTTGGTTGAAGATGAAGTTTCAAAACTTGGGTAAGGGGGTCGTTCCTATATCGCCAAATTCAACTGTTACCAAAGGTGGCAGCACCTTATAGTCCATAAAAAAAGAAATCCATCTAAGGATTCACAAAACTTCAATTGAATATTCCTATACTTTGCATGTCTTGATGTTACCATGGTAACACAGAATAAATAATAAATGATCTAATCAAGTCCAGATTGCATCAATTGTTTTAGTATGAAAGTAACATTACAATGCCAGGCAAGTTTCTATTGTATATAGATGAGAAAGTTTGATTCCATAGCTAGACGAACTCTCTTAAATACAGGATGTTTTGCTAATGATGGCATTAATATCTGGTAAGTGTTGGTGCTATTTCTGATGTTTAATCGAGGCTTGGTGTGATTATATCATATTATTATAACAGTTTCATGACATGATATAATTCTCAAAGGACCCCACCTCAGACTTATGGCTCAGATTCTGCTTCAAGGTTTGCTTTATGGCTTTATTTACAGAATAAACTTGAGGAAAACCGAATGAGTTTAATAGCTAATGAAATTAGATTTAATTTTTATGTATGTTTTGCATTTATTGACAGTATTTATTTATTTATATGCAATTTATTGTAGACAACTAGGAAACATTGCAATTTAAAATTCAATGTTATCATCACAGTGGTGCATTATATGCGCAATGTACCAATGTGTGAGTTTATTTTTCAAAAGCATAAGAAGGTATTATATGCTACATAAGGAACCTGGCTGAATATAATACAATTGTATTTCAAGAAGAAAAGTAATTTGAGAAGTAATGAATAATTTATTAGAAATACAACATCAGAATCCATCTTCTCTGTATTGGATCAAACATATGAAGAGAATGTCATTTTTATATCATCACCACAACTGGTGACATATTGTTATATGATGTCACTTGCCCTACTTACGCTGATGACATGGTTTTAATTTCCACTGAACTTGATAACATGAACATTCTACTTAACGCAGTCTATGACCACAGTGTAAAATGGCGATACGACATTCACAAAGGAAAATGCAAGACTCTTAAGTTCGGAAAGAAAAGTAGAGCTGCAAACTGTCAACCCACCCAGAATATTGTGAAAATAAATGGCACTCCTATTGAGGCAGTAAACACTACAATACATGTTGGAATTCCGCTATCGGTCTCTGGTAACATTACCGAATACATTGAAGACAGTCTTTCTAAGGGCTGTAGAAAGTATTATTCACTACTAGGCCTCGGATCGGGAGTCGGTGGTATGCGACCTTTAACCCTGTCGAAGCTTTATAACACTTTCGCCACCCCATCAATGACGTATGGTGCTAGCGTTATCCCTTATTCATCAAAAGATATCAATAAACTCGAAACGGCGCAGCGAAAAATTGGCAGGAAAATACAATCCTTTCCCGAATGGGCGGAATGCCCCGTAGCCTACGAGCCACTTGGATGGGAAGGTATAGAATACCAGATCGATACAGCAAAACTAATGTTCATATGGATGTTACTGAGTTTGCCTTGCAACAACATATACAAAAGACTGTTGATTTTACGAATGACACTCATGGAATTTGACTTTAAAGGAATTAAAATGACATCCCCCATCGCACACATGTGGTGCACGGCCAGAAAATACGATCTTTCGGAAATTGTAAAATTAATGTTAGATGGACAAATGATCTCCAAAAGTAGTTGGAAACGTCTAGTAAAGTGTAGAATTCGAGACCTACAAGAATCAATGTTTCGAATAAGATGCATGTTATACGAAGGTTTATCTTATTTTATCAATGGTCACTCATGTCTAATTCCAAATAGCTGGTATGTTTTGTGTCAAAGGATGCCACGATTGAAAAAACAATTTACAACTGTTGTGAAGTTAATGACGGGTCAATTAGGTCTAAACGGTCACAAAAAGTGGGATATCACAAAAGAAAATGGTCGATTGTGCAATGTCTGCAACTTAAATGAAATTGAATCAATCGAACATTTTCTTTGTCATTGTGAGTTGTATGTTGAAGAAAGGTTAGCACTAAACGAAATCTATGAATATAACGATACAAGTAGTGTTAAAGATCGCATCAATCTGATCTTAAATTGTACAAACAACGATCTTGCATTGCAAACTGTCTTAATAATTCATTCAATGTATATCAAGAGACAAGCAACGCTCACAACTTCGCTCATTTCATAAACATGAGCAAATAATTTATCTATTTTCATATTTATGTATTAACTCCCAATTAATGTACAATTGTAACTCTCTTATATAAGAGGTAAATAAAGAATACAATACAATACTATAGTCTCCAACTTTTTGTGGTGGCAGTTGTTTTTCGTAGTTGGTGTTTGGAGTGTGGCATTCAGCATATGCAACAAATGGCAAGATGTGACATTTTGCATGTTAATGCCTTGTTATTATTTACTTCAAAGAAATCATGAAATTATGTAATATCAATGTCTGACTTAACCTTATCTTTTGTTTCAGACGATGTATGAACAGAGCGTTTGGGGAGGCTGGAGTTTTCCACTTCAGCAGCAAGTCTTTCTCTAAAAGGAAAGAGTCCAAGAAAGAAGGGGTAAGTACAACGTCCTTGCAACATATTGACAGTAATACATAAATGAATAAACCATGACAGAATAAAATTTCAAAATGGTGGGCCTACACCAATTACTGCAGTAATAGTGCTATTAAAAGTCAGACATTTGGTCAAAGTTATTTCAAGATGACTGTTATAATGTTATTGTTTCTCTAAAATTTGATCTCAAAATGATCATCATCATTTACTGATTTGGCTCTAAAATGAATCATTATGTTCAGGTTAGTTTCAGACACTGTAAATATTAATAATGGCTCTTGAAGGGTAAGAAATGATATGCTGTTTTCCAGCCTAGAGAACCAGATGAGAGTAAACTAAGTAGTGTGTTGGTGGATGAGATGCATGACTCCATGGTGGTCAGGGTAGATTCTGCAGGCTTCCATCCAAAGGCAATCAATATCATCAAGGTATGAAATATCAATATCATCAAAGTACAAAATATCAATATCATCAAGGTATAAAATATCAATATCATCAAGGTATGAAATATCAATATGATCAAGGTATAAAATATCAATATCATCAAGGTATGAAATATCAATATGATCAAGGTATAAAATATCAATATCATCAAGGTATGAAATATCAATATGATCAAGGTATAAAATATCAATATCATCAAGGTATGAAATATCAATATCATCAAAGTACAAAATATCAATATCATCAAGGTATGAAATATTAATATCATCAAAGAACAAAATATCAGTACTAGTATCATTAAGGTATGAAATATCAATATCATCTATGTACAAAATATCAGTATCATCAAGGTATGAAATATCAATATCATCAAGGTATAAAATATCAATATCATCAAGGTATGAAAAATCAATATCATCTATGTACAAAATATCAGTATCATCCATGTAAGATTGTATTATCAAATGAAGATATAATGTCATCAAGGTACAAATCAATCTATAATATCAATATCATTACTTGAGGGAGAACATCATACTCGTTTCCAAGTTTGATTTTCAATTATGAAAATATCATACCTTGGAAATCCAAGATGGGAGAACATTGTTATGTTTAAGAGTTATTACACAAATTACAGGGAGAGAGTATCCTCTGGACTTGGAAAGATTCTAATGATGAAGCTCACAATGTCATTCGTGTTAATGCCCCAGATAGTGAGGTAAGTTTTGTCATTTAATGTAAGAGAGTTTAACTGTTAACAGAATTCTCACCAACAGAATCAGTGATATAGCCCCTTTGCCTGCCACTTAAAGTAATCTGATTTTGATTTCAAACAAAACATAATTATTGTTTGAAAATCTCTCAAGATTCCATATCTGTCTATCTATTATTGTAGACCCCTCTCAGTGCCATGCAGGGAGGGAAATCATTTAACAGTGGGCGTCCCATGCCCAACAACAGCTTTCTCTACACATTTGATGAGGAGGGAACGTTCTGTGTGGCATCCCAGGGTGCACCTGGCTTTTGTGGTATCATCAACATTATGTCTGTTGATAGTGAGTACATACAATACAAACTTCAAATAAACAATCAACATACGATTTGAAAAAAACAGACTGTAGACCCCTAAATAACCTACAGACGAGAAAGGCTAATTATTGTCAAATCATGCATAGCAATAATTATATATGAATAAATCATAGTTTACAACATTGTAAATGTTTAAATGAATATGAATGTTCCATACCATATGTATTGTACCATTACTTTCCATGTCAGCGCTGAGGACTGATGTACCATACATTGAGTCAGATCAGAATGGTGGCACAGTGGAGAAGAACACTGTAGTTTATCTTGCATGTGACACTGCCCAGTCCTCCATATATTACACCTTAGATGGGTCTACACCTGAAGTACATAGGAAATCATCTAAGGTATGTATATACGCATTAAGTTCACATAAAGCACATATTAGCTCTTAGAGATGTGATTTCGTACTGTTTTTATACATGGATTAACACATGTGTCTCTGCCAAATGTAAGAGATATGTTTAAAATACATAGTTTCAAGGGATAAACAAAGTGAAGTATAACAGACCCCTGCCCTATTACAAATGTTACAAATCTTAGTTTGTATTATTAAAGTTATGATTTTAAATCGATCAGTTGCTTTGGCTACTTAATATTGTTAACAGCTCAACATTTATATTTCAGTTGTACAAGCCTGACAAAGGGGTAGTTCTAAAGGAGTCTGGATTGTGCTTCCTGCGGGCGCTTGCAACCAGTCCCACTCAGTTAATCAGTGACGTGTACACATCTAAGAGGTTCTGGGTCCTCCGTGGCCCAGTGGAAGAGACCCCTCCCTCCTCACCTGAACCTGTGGACGATGGGCCTAGTGCTGTGAGTAGGACAATATCTGATAATAATGATAATAACTTTGTCTTACCAGTCTCACATATACATGTATGCTTATTTTTTTGCATGTCAAAGTGATATATGTTGATACATCTGCCTTTACATTCAATACTTAATTATGGTACATGTGAGTACATAGTGTAAATATTACAATACTCTATTGTATCGTATTGTATCACATGTTTATAGGAAGAAACCCAGAAATGGTGGCGTTGTATACCATCTCTCCAGGGATTGTTTACTGGGCCAGGGGTCATGGAGCTCTTCTGGGAGTCACCAGGACCAGAATGTTTAGAGCTCATCAGAGGATACCAGGTGAGTGATAATTCAGCTTAAGGCGTATTAGTTGAATAAGATTTACCTATCTTAGATTATAAATATTTTGATACTCATGATAACTTCATTGTTGTGTTTTATATTAAGAGTTTTCATTTTATCAATTTTAGGTCATTTTTGGTTACAAACTTTTCATTCTTGATAATGTTTAAATCTCTGAGCAGTCATTACAGTCAAAAATATCAAGAACAGTAGACTGTTGAGCAAAATATAAAAAAGTAATTTATATGTTCTTTATTTCAGATCTTCATCAATGATATGACATTCTGCGAAGTGTTCCCAGCCAACCACAACAGCGTCAATGTGGCAGGTCTAGCAGGGGGCAGAGTCTATGATATCCTGCTTGATGTTTACCCAGAGAATGACAAGTTTCTTCCACACAAGTCAAACAAATTGGTAGGATCTTTATTGATGATGTTTATCTGATTATATATTTATTGTTTAACTTTATGAAGCCTGTGTAAGTACCAACACCTGTGGTATTTCGAAATAATGTTTAACTCATGGAGGTGTTCCATTTTACAGGTTTTAATGTGTAGTAAAATTGTGAATTTATCCCACAAGCCTCAATTTGCACTTTACTTTTAGTAGAAGGTGACACCATAAACACAATCTTATATAGATATGATAAATATAGTAAAAGGATTTAGATTTATGAACTGAAGGAATCAAAGGCATTGAAAAGGAGTTTGATATTTTGTCATTTTGCAACAATCTGATTGGCTTTGTAGCAGTTCATTGGTGTTTTATGCAATATGTCAACAGCTGCTTGCAAAACATTGCCATTTTGTTCACTAAAATAATGCTACAATTCTGTATATTTACAGATGTTGAAATGTCCTGAGACTACAGAGACTGGAGGTCCAGTTATCTCCCTAGAAGTGCCAGACAATGAAGACACAATGGCAATTGTGTGGAAGTCCATCTCAACATCACAGAACCCTATCTTAGGTTATAGGTTATATCTCAATGGACAGCAATGTGGGGATACAGTAAGTTGTTTTGTGTTTGTATTTTGTTTACCACCAATGAAGGTGAACAATACCTCTGGGATATAGATATCCTGTATATGTACGGTCTTAATTAACTTAAATAATCCTGAAAAACCCTTCCTTGAAGGAGTCATGGGTGCTTTAATGTGCACTCATAAATAGACATCCAAGTACACAACACCGCCTTTTTACGTGTCGTGGACCACTCAGTCAAACACCCTGAAGTACTTTATGCAAACAAGCAAATTAAGTCTTGCCTGAATTGAGGATCAAATCCAGGACCAATGCATAATGGATGTGATTGTATTAATACAGTAAACAACCTTGTGTCACATATAGTGAGCTTTAAAATCATACTATACAAAAATATTCCTGTACAGACTACATAGTGCTATTAGCAATTCATAATCAATTATAACTTCATGAATTCCTCCACAAGGTTACACCCAATGAAGCCAGCAATAGATGTCGCTGTGTCATAGAAGGATGTCAGCTAGATGTCATATACAGAGTGGTTGTCATGGCATTACCAGAAGGTAAATATACTTTGTACTACTTCTAAACATTTTTCAAAGGCATTCTTAAAAGATTCCTTAAACATTAGCTAGTAATTAGCATTACCTTCAATAATAACAACAACTGACTGATAATTTCAGTTTTATTATGTTACCACAACAAGTGATGATATATTGTTATAATCCCCAACTTTTTTTGCACATTTGACATGTTGTTCGGCAGTTGGCATCTGTAACAAATGGCATGTGGTGACATTTGCATGTTAATGCCGTGTGAATATTTATATTGTTCTCGATCAGGTGGGTCAAAGCCAAAAATGTCTAATGAGTTGGAGGTATCATTGCCATTGGATACCTCACAGATAGTGCTGCCCCCTGCTGAGCTGCGAGGTGATGACGAGGATATCTATAAAGACTATATAGAGGTCTCTGAAGGTTCTGGGTACATGCCTGGCATGGATGAAGGTATGAACAATGTAATGTTATACTTGAAATAACCTCATGTATAAGATCAAGGATATATGCTTTTGTAATGTTGATACAATAAAGTGCAATTTATAATTCAGTACATTATAGTGTAATATAATAATACAATGTGATACATTATATTGTTGTGTTTTAAACAAATGAGAAATGTTGATTTTTAGCCCCTGAACTTGATATTACTGAGAGAGATGATGCTGAGAATGGTATAGAAGATGAGAATAATGGATATGAAGATAATATCCTTGATGGTGATCAGAGGCTTAGATATGAAGGTTAGCATACCAAACATCAACCTTTTGATGTTAGATCTGAAACAGTCTTGTTCAGTATTGTTATTCTCTTAAAATGTGGTTTCATTATTTCTACTTCCAATTAATAAACTTCATTGCGGAGTCCACCTCATTTAAATAATTTCAGATGTGTATGCAAAAATTAAAAGCCATTAATTTTGAATTCAAGTTTTGAAATTCTCAAAATGGTTAGTCATGATCCAAATAATGAACAATTTATGATGGTACAATTATACTCATATTGATATTAAAACTAGCTACACAAAATGATAGTTTACATGTAATCACAATATTGATTTGACATTGAAGGAGAGGGAGAGGAAGATTCAGAACATGGATTGACACCAGAGCAACAATCAGAGTTACCACAGCAACCATCTGTGTCGCCACAGCAACCATCAGACCAGGGAATAAGTGTTGATAGAGGTAACCAACTACATTTATTATAATTAAAAATATTCATAATTTGTATCAAGTAATATCCTTAGACATGTCGTCGCGTGAGAATAACTTTGTACTAACTGCCATTTTCAAAAAAATTGAGATAGACATGGAATTTTACTATTTGAAACACAGGCTTTCATCTCAGATACATGCCCCATCTCAATTCCCTCTTATTAAGCTAGAATTCAGTGTGAAATTGTACCATCTCCAGACAAACAGCTTATTTCTAATTTCAAATTGTCATATCTGATATCAACTGTTTCAACCAATCAACTCTCTAAGAATTGGTCATGTGACTTGCAAAACTTGGAGTTATAACAATCTTATATTAAAACGAAGTATGCCAATATGCATGTTATTGTATCTAGAATGAAATAATGTTTTGTAACACAATACCATGCCTGGCCTTTCATGTTTTAGTTTTAGAACTATTACAAGTAGATCAAAAAAATAAAATGATACAGTTTGTGTAATCCCATGCATATTCAAATTATATGCCCTCAATTACTCTTTGTATTATGGATGCTCATTGGATTATTCATGGCCACATGATATGAAATAGAATTACTAATTTCCTCGAAAACCCAAATCCTTGCTACCAGGGAAGATGAAAAGTACAAATGACCAGTTAATTAGATCATGTGAGCAGTCAAAAGTACCCTTTATCTTCCCTGCTACCAGGTCTTATTAATAGGGGTTTGAATGGCCAAATGCAATAGAAATGCATATACGAAGCTGTCATCATTAAATGTTGAAAATGAAAGACTACTTATTTGTTTCTTCAAATAGAGTACATAATAATAGGTTATATACTAGATATAGTAATCAAAACAAATAGTAACTGTCATATTTTGCACTACATTGCTCAAAGGCAATCACTGTCTGTATACTATTGAAATCTCTTTCAAAATGATGTTTTATAGTTTGTGGAAAAAAGCTAAATCTATTTAAACTAGCTTGAACTTTTACTGACCATACACTATATCAATAAGGAGTTATCTTTATGTTAGTATAAGTCCCTTAAAACACTTATTTTATTTTCTCTTCATCTATGATTTACTATGCGCTTTTCACTGAACATCTGGGATCTTTTTAGTTATTTTATTACTAGTATGTTTTCCAGATTTGTCCTTTCTTTTGCATTTTTGGGATCATTGTTTTTAGATCATCTACATTTTATTTTGGAAAAGTAACAAATTGGTTCCATTTCTTTACAAAGAGCCACTCTTAGTCTCCACTTCTACAATTGCTTCAATTCCCAATTGTACTCCACAGAGTAGCAAACAACAGAAAATGATTGGATAATGATAGCTGCATCCCAATGAACAAAATGTGATTACCTAAATCGAGGTTTCATCACTTTCATTAATCTAAAATGAATTAGAAATTATTTTCAAATTTCTTCCATGTGCATGTAATAAAAATTGGTTATGTCTTAGGCCCTAAGGATCTGAAACCTGCTGGTCAAAATGGAATTACGGACCAGTTGCAATGTTATTCTCCTATACCCAGTGAAAAAATCAACTGGTCTGTATCAAAAATAACCTGATAATGACCAGCGGACCGGCCCTTAGGGGCTACATTGTAATGTGCTGGGAGGTTTAGGCTACAGGGTTTATACCGAGGGAAATATGTGGGGGACCGTATTGGCATCATTGGTTTCAATGCATTGTACTTCTGCCTTAGTTTCAAAGGCAATAAATTCTTTTTGAAGGGTGTCCTGAGATTCCAAAATTAAGAAATAATTGTACTTATTTGAGAAAATGATTTTAAAGTTTTATAAATTGAATTTTCTTTATTTTATTAAATAATATTCTTTGGTTTTTGAAGATTTTTTTACAAAGCAAAACATTATTTTTCATTCTAGATACAATAACATGCATATTGGCATACTTGGTTTTAATATAAGATTGTTATAACTCCAAGTTTTGCAAGTCACATGACCAATTCTTAGAGAGTTGATTGGTTGAAACAGTTGATATCAGATATGACAATTTGAAATTAGAAATAAGCTGTTATTCCGGTGGGAAATTGTATCAACTCCTTTTCCATAGTTTTAAAAAAGGATCTTGTAAATTGTTTCAAGGTATGATATTTCATATAAGATATCTCTAGGGTGAGACCAGGTGACATACAAAAAATCAAGTTTCACATAGCAATACTAAGTAAGATACAGACCTCTAAACTTTCAAACCTTGATTTCTCAGTTCCGTAAAAATGTGAGATAGTACAAAGTTATTCTCATGCGACGATGTACCAATTACTGTTAATTGACTCTCATGTTCTTTAAATCAATGACTAATAATTTGGGTTGTGTTATTTTACTTGGTTCTTTGGAAATAGGGCCAGGTCTTGGTGGCTGGGAGTTGGTGAGGCACATACTTACGATCTCACATTGCCTCAGTGCCTCTGAGGTGAAGCCCTCTAAAGCCAGGAGTAAAGCATCTAAGCTTGCGGAGATGAGGTATCTTGCAAAGGAATTGAAGTATTATCAACTGGACCCGAGGTTTAATGCAGAGAAAATCAGAGATGAGACTATTAGAAGGTTTGGCAGAACAAAACCTGAACTTCCTAGTAGGCTTGACATCAGAGATACTTTGGGTATACCTACACCTGATGTTGTTACAAGTCCACCCCCAAGATCAACATCTGACCAAGGTCCAAGGAGGCTCTCACTGCCACAAGGAGGACGACGTTCCAGCAGCCCTATGGCTAGAAGGCCCCCTAAGTCACCTAACAGGCGTATGACAGTGGGACCCAACCAGGGGCAAATATTCAATCCTGGGCAGAGGAGAATGTCTAACGCTGAAGCCCAGCAGATGCTGCTGCCACCTGGTGGGCTCCCTAAGAAAGGTGGACTACACGCTAGCAACAGTACAAGCTATAGAACAAGTGATGGCTTCAAGAATATTGCATCAAAAGCTATGGCTTTGTCTAAGGTTGCAAATGTTTTCAAGAAGATGCAAGGAGGTGAGAAATCTATCCTTGGTGTGTCAGTCTCCCAACAGGAGACACGAGAGACATCTCCAAGCCCTTCGTCACCTAGTAGTCCCTCATTGTCTCCTAAATCGCCAAGATCTCCACAAAGCCCCAGGAAGAGCTCAATCACAGAGTCCCGAGAAAGTAGAAGCAAACAGAGGGCCAGGACATTGGGCACTGAGCTTTTGCTACTTGGGGGTGTTAAAAGGCTGGGGGATTCTGGGAGTCCAAGGATGTCTGTGCAGTCTAAGCTGGAGAGGATGTGGGAAATGGGAGAACAAGGTACCATAGGAACAAAGTAACATCACGTCTAATCACAGAATGAAAACTTTCACAAATTCAGAAAACACCACATACGTATGGCATATTTCAATAGCTGAACAAATCACACAACACATGGACTTTTCACTTTAACAATTTCTTTACTCTCATTTGGGGTGCAAACTCCACTGGGAGAAATTTATGTTTTCATTGATCACTTTTCACATATATTATGTATTATGTTATATGACCTCATCTAAGTATTTCAGATAGTCATCTTTATCTAACCCTCTTATTCATTTCCTTACATGTATTTTTAATGTAATACTGTATGTATCCTTGCTTTTCCTTGTTTTATTACATTTTTGTTATTTTTGTAACCTACAGTAATAGAAAACACGTTAAATACAGTTGTGGCATAATTTTCCGAATTCCAGGTTTTTCTTTTATCTCTGTTTGATTTATTTCTTTATCATGTTGTTTGTATGATTAAAGCTGTATTTCAGGTAGTTATATATTTCACATTCATGCTGTTTATATGTTGATTATACAATGAATGAACAATGAACATTGATGTGACTTTAATAGAGGAGTTGCAATATAGATGGATCTAAAGATGTCATTAGAAAGTTTGGTCAGGCCAGAATACTTTTTGATTAAATATATGGAGACACCTGACAAAAGTCTCTTGATTTAACATTGACATTTTGATCCTTAAAAGAATAAATTAACTTTCAAAGATTTTTAACTTTGTATCATTAAATCTCATTAAAATGAAACAATAGCAAAACCTCTATTGTAAAAGACAGCCTTGGTAAAGCATCCAACAATTTTTAATATTACAGAGAGTGAGCATGGAAGGTCCATACATGATGAAGAGACCAGGACCAATGGAGGAGACACTATGGAAGCAGATATTGTTGGAGGCAGTTCACGATCTGATGATCCCAACCAGGAACAGGTTTGTTTCTAATACACCTTTCACATGAAATGTTTCTCCTATAAAACTGTGAATTAAACCAAGTTCTTTCTTTCATGATAGATTATTTAGTATTACGTTTTTAGAGTAATATTATGTGATGTTTTTTTGTATATCAAATGCTAATCTACGACCAATCACAAGTTTGACATCTATTGACACATAGCCACTTCTCTTGTTATCTGATTTCATTATACAGCTCAATTTAATGTAACGCAACGAATGTTTGCAATTAGTAATGTCATAAATATTTAAAAAGATACAAATGAGTTACGAATTCGTAAATTTGCGAATGGACCATTTTTGTATGCTTTCGTAAGTCATTCCTAATTGTTTAGTATTTTACATCCAACTTGTTTGAGTTGTTTTAAAGAATATAAATTGAAACTTCATTTTTTGCAGACTGCTCAGATAAGTGTAGATGAGACTGCTGAATATGATGAAGGTGTTGCATCAGCTTCCGACCAATCAGGTGATGAATATCAGTCACATGACCATAGAGTATCCAATCAGGTGGCAGAAGAGCCTGGCTTGGAGATTGATGGTACTAGACAACCCTGGCGTAATAAGATGAAGGATACTGCCAAACTGGGCATGCACTTGTCAAGAGGAAGGCACAGGAAGAAATCAGTTGAGGAGAAAATAGAACAAACAGAAGTAGATAATAGTCCTCAAACTAATTACGAGGTAAAATAATTTATTCCCACTAATTCATTTCATTGAAAGCTTTTTGAGTGTAAGTGAAAGTTATATATAAATATGAATGTGGTTATATTTAAACCTATGTATGAATCAAACCCAAATCTGAAGCAAAAATGCTCAAATTCCATTTTATATGAACTAGTAATTAAATGGACAGAACACATAATCCAAGATAACTATTCAGCAAATCCCAATTTATTGGCCTTGTAGGTGGAGATGCAAGATGAGGTCCCGTCCCAGTCCAGACCAGAAAGTGTGTCTAGCATGGGGTCTGGGAAGAGACGTCGTAGGAAGAAGAGAGAACGAAGAGACAGAGACAATGTGGTAGAAGTGGAAGAGAGTGTAGATCTCACTCTGCCTAGTAATGACACACAGGTAATATTAATGACACACATGTAAAATTAATGACACACAGGTAATGTTAATGACACACATGTAAAATTAATGACACACAGGTAATGTTGATGACACACAGGTAATATCAAAGATTCACAGGTAACATTTTTAATAGTTTTATAGTTTATTTCATAATATAACATATTAGAACATACAAGGCATTTGCATTAAAACATTGATGGCTAAAATTACTATTGATGAAGTTCACATTTTAACAGGGCATGCTTTCAATGCCCATGGTCAGGGTTTACAGGAGTGGTTGTTTCGAAGATGTCACATGCCCAGCTATTCTTGTACATGTACTGTGTGGCATTTATAGATCTCTAAATATATTATAACATATCATAATTTATCGAAAAGAAAAATGTATAGGCGAATAATGTGATTATTTTCTTATATATATATTTCAGACTCCCAGTGATAAACAACCTTTTAGTCCAACATCAGTTGTCAGCACTGTTCCCCTTATGGCTGCCATGGACCTCAACAATCAGGTAAAAAGTCATTATATTGGTCACAAATGATGAAACACAAGGTCATGCATCTCAAACAAGATATCCTTGCGATGATATACCTTTTTCAGTTTGCTACCAATTACATTTCCTTCTGTAGTGTAGAAAAATGATATCAAATGTGTGTTTGATTTGACCTTTATTTAATGCAGGATGACTTCTTACCTGTTCCCATGGTAACAGTCGATCACCAGGGTCCAGAGAGTGTTCTGGTTAGATGGAAGTTACCACGGCAACCAGAGCCCTCGTACAGATTATTGGTGTATGTAGTGAATGTGATAGGAATCAAGTTCCAGTCTGAGGTCAACAGTGATATAAGGTAATATATTTATACAGCATAAAAAGGGATATACTTAATATACAAGTATTTATACAGCATAAAATAGGCATATATTCTTCCAATCCTTACCCAAAGAAGGTGGGCTCTAAAGAAGTTAGGCTCATATATTTTTTCCATTTAAATTATGACTCAAGTAGGCATTTCTCAAGTTTAAGTCAAACCTTTAAGAAATATAACATTGCTTTAAATATTTGAACACTCATCAAACATTTCTTAGCATGTACATTTTCCTCTCCCCTGTCAAATGTTTTTGTCCTAAAACCTCACGAGATAAGAGGTAGGTATTAATGAACATGTAGAGGAAAGGTGTTAATGAACATGTAGTGGAAAGGTAACATGTAGAGGAAAGGTATTAATGAACACATAGAGGAAAGGTAACATGTAGAGGAAAGGTATTAATGAACATTATTAATTAACATGTAGAGGAAAGGTATTAATGAACGTGTAGAGGAAAGGTATTAATTAACATGTAGAGGAAAGGTAACATGTAGAGGAAAGGTATTAATGAATATGTAGAGGAAAGGTAACATGTAGAGGAAAGGTAACATGTAGAGGAAAGGTATTAATGAACATGTAGAGGAAAGGTAACATGTAGAGGAAAGGTATTAATGAACATGTAGAGGAAAGGTATTAATTAACATGTAGAGGAAAGGTATTAATTAACATGTAGAGGAAAGGTATTAATGAACATGTAGAGGAAAAGCCCATCTGTAACACAAACTGTTTCCAAGAGAGGTTGTAGCATTTTAAGTTATTTACAAAGGAATCAAAGTAAATTGCATTTCTCAGAGATTTTCACTAATCCATATATATTCATAGAAGAGTCATTCACACACTTAATATTAAAACAGATATACACATATACTAAAAGTGCTTTGGCATAGAATGCATGTACACATTGAATTCTCTTTAATATGCACACAATTCTGATGACCACACATGTGACTTTTATGTTGAATATGGTGTCAAGAAAACACAAAGTTTGATTGATCTTTTGTATGAGTGCTAGTTGGAATCTCTCAATATCATACAACTTTAAGTTTCAATTTAGAAACTGCACTGTGCATTTGTTAGAGAGAATATGGTACACTTGTTGGATTATCACACTATCTTATCTTTTGGCCATCATTTGGTTTTAGTGAAGACATCCCCATGTACAATATATTTTGGGTTCACTTATTAAAACAGCTGTTGCTCTCAGTTGTTATTAAAAATAGTTAATTTGTACACCATAAATATTATATCCTCCTTTGTGTAAAATGAATCCTTCAAGAGAAACTGTACAGGGTGGGCCAATAAAAGTTGGAACATTTTTCTTTTTATTCAATTTTCTTTATTGTTGCAGATCAGTTCACAAAAATTCATATAATGGTAAAATTATTATTTGTGAAAATGTTAAAGATACAAATATGTGTGTATGATTTTTATGGTTTGTCATGGTCATGATCTGTATACTGTGTGCGTCATGAAAAATTTCCAAATTTTTCTCTGCTTGAGACATCATTGCTGTAAATACAGTATCTCATACCATACAATATATGCCCTTCAAATGGTCTCAGCACAATTTCCATCAATTAAAACATATGTAGTTATCTCTAAGAGAAGCTAGACATGTCTCCCTTGGATAATATAGCTTAACTGACCTCAGCTTTTATCAAAACTGGCACAATATGTCTCAAAACCTGTCATTTAAGCCATGCGTGACTGTCAAATACAGCTCAGACTGATTGTTCAAGTCGGTGGAGGACATGTTCAGTAATTAAATGTTGAGCTTGTATGTTCATATTTGTACAAGCTGTTGACAATTAATTGTTTTTCAACTTCCTAAAGTATTGAAGATAATACATGACTAAAAGAAAAGTTACAATTGATGGAAAAATGTTCCAATTTTTTTACTTAATGCAAGGGTTTCCTTAACATGTCCTTCGCTCACCTGAACAATCAATCTTAGCTGTATTTGACAGTTATGCATGGCTTAAATCACAGGTTTTGAGACATATTGTGCCAATTTTTAAAAAAGCTGAGGTCAGTTAAGCTATATTATCCAAGGGAGACATGTCTTGCTTCCCCTAGAGATAACTACATATGTTTTGATTGATGAAATTTGTGTTGAGACCATCTGAAGGGTACATATTGTATGGTATGAAAGATACTGTATTTTCAGCAGTGATGTCTTAAGCAGTGAAAATTTTGAAATTTTTCATGACACACACAGAATACAGATCAAGACCATGACAAGCCAAAAATAATCATACATACATATTTTTATCTTTAAGATTTTCACAAATAATCATTTTACCATAATCTGAATTTTCATGGATTGAACTGCAAAAATAAAGACAACTGAATAAAAAGTTCCAATTTTTGTTCCAATTTTTATTGGCCCACCCTGTATGTCTGTTTTACATAGGCCATTATTTGTTTTCTAATTTATAGGTTTTATAAGGACATCCATTCCCGTTGTCATGCAATAGCTTTTGCTGCATTGTTTATATAACATCTCAGGCATGCAGAGTCTCTGTAGGCCTGGGCTAGGTGGAGCCACTGCATCGGCTCTTATATCACACTGGGTACAATCGTTGTACCACCAACCACCTCCTTCTAATTCATCTGCACAGTTAAGTGTAGCTGACATGTCATTGTCCGAGTCTGTTGTCGTGAACTTCATACCTCTCCAGGCCTGGGCAGGGTCAATCGTAGAAGCGATAGCTATGTCAGGATCTGTATCACATGTGTTGCCAAGACAGGTGAAATCAACCATTGATCCGAGTGTCAGTTTGTATTTCTCTGTCTCGTTAGCAACATATATGCTATCATACGTGTAGACATAATCTGTTGCAAAAAGATCATTCTGGGGATTCACAATAATCTTTACCTGATAATCAGTGTGAGACGTTATCTGATGAAACACTTCCAAGCCTAAGAATTGTCCAAATTCTGCTGTAAAATATCCGCGTTTGTATCCTTCCCAATCTGTGTATATATCTGGGTCATGTCCCAATTTGGACCTCTTTCGGTATATCATTGTCCACTTGTCTGTACAGCGCACCTGTATAGGGGTGGGTACACCAGGAGGATGGGTGAGGTACATACTGTTTGGATCCCCAAGGATGGTGACCACCTCTTCACAATCTGCAAGAACATATAAGTCATTTATTGACATGTTACTGGTGCATATTTTTGGGGGGAAGAAGCTGCTGATCTGCTGAGGTTTGCAGTCAATTGGTCGCACATTTTTCAGCCTTAATTTAGGATCAAGTGTCACATTATCATTATCATTATGAGGTTCCATATCCATCCGCCAAAAGGTATGACCCCTATATAGTCCATTTAAAAACTGTGGTTTTGTTCTAAATAACGCCATAGTTGGCTTCTAGGGTACCTAGTATGCCACTATTTGGTATCAAAATAAAGAGGAGGAGTTCAACTTTCATTTGAATTACGAAAATAGCGATGTAGGTCAAAATAGTTCCGACGTGAGCATGTTTACTACGCGTTTGGGATTTGGGCGAGGATTTGAGTAAATGGTAGCAAACGCGAGTTACAATAAATGGACGCTGATATCTCAAAAAGTAACCTGACTCCCTATGATTTGATGTAGATCAATCGAACCCCTATATGAACAGGTACATTTTGATATATAACACTATGGGGGGTAAGCGTTTTATATCACGAACGCCATATGTGCAAAGTATTGTTCTGAATTTTCGAATTTGGCGTTGGATTACGGTACTCATACCATGAATAAACATTTATCCCTTTTACATGAAATCACTAACTCCTATAGAACTTATGAAAACAATCATGTCCTGGTTATTGTTGCGTATATATTTGCGTGTGATTTCTGTCAAGTTTCATTGTAAATAAAAAATATTTGACGTCTCCAGTAATAGATGTAGTCTCCACATTGAGCTTAAAAAATAATGAAATTGATTCCCCAATCAATAGAGCCATTGGTATCATTCAGAACATGAAAAGCGTTTACTTTATTTCATGATCAAAGAATTGTTCAGTTTCTGGATTTCGTTAAGTTTTTGAGTGAATGCAATTCAACATTTGAACAAAAACATTTAACAGTATGACATAATTGCTAAAGAAAAATTGGAAATGATTTTTGAAGTAGCAACTAAATGCGACATGAGAAGGTTCTATTCAAAATGGAACATTGAGCAATGATGACAATTTAAATCACGCATGTTACAATTAGTGGTGCAAATATGAGAGAAAACTATTATTATGCCATAAAAGCATGTTTTCCCTGGGAAAATAACAGGGAATAAAATTGGTATTCAAAAAATCCTGTATCAGCCAAAATCCCGTATTGGATCCCATATCAGAACTATTCCCAGTAATTTCTAATTTCTGAAAATATTATATGATAAATTGTATCATTTTATGTCACAATCATTGGGTGATGTCATACAAAAATTAAAAATAAATAAGTTTTAGAAAATCTATATAGAATAAATAGGTTATTGATGGTCGTGATGCAATATGAATTTTTTCCTTGACAAAATATGATATTGGCCTTGGAAAATATCATATTGACACGTGGGCTATCACCCTCGCCCCCTTTTCCCTCTGAATAAAATTCATATTCCATCCATTCCATTAAATAACCTCTATATATATAATGAATCTTGTGAAAAGCAGAACCTGAAATCAACAAATATCATTAGATTCTTTAAATTTAAAAATGAATAAAAATGAAATTGGCTTGGGTTATTATCAAATAATAACCCAAGCACTAAAATTATATATAACTTTCATATTTTTATTTGCTATTTTCATGGCTGCAAAATATTCATTACATTAATAAGTTTCCATATTTATTGCTCACATGGGATCGATCATTCAACTCTACAACTATATCATTCACCATTGGATACAAGGCACATAGAACAACATCACTCAAACAAGTCCATCAATTGAACAATATAAAACCTTTCAGTTCTGAGGTTGATGATTTGTATCACAAAAGAGATGTTAATTTGAACTGAAGAAGTAAATTGATTTTTAGCTGAAATGGTGAATATGTTAGTTTAGATTTTTCTTAAAACATATGGGAGCACAGAATTCATAAATATGTAAATTCTACAAGAAGTTTTGTTTTGCTCTAAGGGGTATGAATAACTAGCATTATTTACAATATCACTCCAGCATTGTATACAATATCTTTCTACTTTTGTACCAGTATTATATAAAACATCAATCCTATATTTACCAGTATTGTATACAATACCACTTTTATTCCTAGCCATAACTTTGTATACAATACCATTCTTGATTGCACGAGTATTGTATACAATATCTCACTTATTCATAATAATATAACTCTTCTTTCTAGCTTGCAGCAGTATATACAACATCACTTTAATTTACTTCACTTTAGATTTCTGTATAATCAAATTACCTTTCACAATGTGTTGACACTCATCACCATAGTAACCTGCAACACAGTGACATTTTCCCGGACTCTTGGTTGCTCCATTCTGGCAGTTTAGATCTAAATGAGAAGTAATCAAAATATATGGCAATCGAGAAAATCAAAAATGGTTATAGAACACAGCATAAAATGAAACATCTAAGAGATTTGAGACAATGAAAACAAACCCAACTATCCCAAATCATATTCCATCGTGAAAAGAAAAAGTATTTTATACCTTCTCTCTTAACCATTCATTTATGAAATATAAATATGATTATATAGCAATGTGACGAAGTTGAAAATGAGATATCCCATGTTATTTTCCAATAGGGAAAACTCCATGCTGTCTATTGTTTTCAGGCTTATTTTGGTCACCAATATTGGATATCTTAATAATTTGGATTGCTATACAATTGTCCCTCTCAGTGGAGAATGAGAAGAATGAGATCTTTGTACAATGAGGAAAAAGTTTTGAAAAACGTAGGCTGCTAATCCATTATCTATTGGTATTATCCAAATGACATTGCTATTATTTTTCTGTGCTTAAGTTGAGGATAACATATTGTACAAATCTAAAATGAGAAATGTGTGGTCTAACGATAATCCCAGTCAAAAATAAAACTGTCTGAGGGAACTAATGAATAATATGAATCTGACTTTGTCCAATATTCACTATTCTTTGTTGTTCAACTTTGTGCAGATCAGTTCTCTTTAATATCCAATAATAATACAGAAATCAGGGGCGTAGTCAGCAATTGTCAAGGAGGGGGGGTGCAATTTTTGGGTTTGCATAAATGCGAGTGAAGGGAGCCCAAAAAAGGGTACAGGGGTTCACCACTGGAAATTTTTTAAAATTTACATTGTACCATATATGGTGTATTCTAAGCATTTCAAACTATAATTTGTTAATGTTTTTTCAACAAATTTTTCAAAATTGCTTATTTTCTTTATTGTGGGGGTTGGGGAGAGGTGCGACCTGGTTAGGCCTTTGGAAATTGAACTGCCAAAGTTTTATTTACAAGCACTAGTTTTGAATGTCAACTAAAAAACAGTCGCAAGAATATTGGCTTCAACAGTATGTCACATCTTCCGCAGTATTGTCTTTAAACTTACATTTTGTGAAGTGGTCGACTCCTGGTGTGTTGAGATTAGGTTCACTTGAGAGTGAAGCTCCATTTATCTCACACATCACATTGCCATTGCTGAAGTACTTTACGTTATAACTCTTGCATCCACCATCAGCCGAAACACAATCCAAGCTGCACTGGCTGGCATACTTCCTCTCTATTGCTCTCACTGTATTATTTCTGGAAGCGCCAGATATTTTCTCAAACAGTTGATGGCACTCAAAAATATGTATAAAAACTCCAGGAATTAATATCAAGCGAAAAAGTTCAAAAAACATTCTCTTCGCTGGATTGCTATGTTAGTTAATGTGATTTCGAGCATTTGGATTCCTGATAGAAAAGTCATTATTAATTGATAAACTCATCAAATCTACCATTACAGTGATCACGCAGAGTGCATGGAAACTCCATTATTTTCTAATTACAGCTTTTTAGAAGTGAGCTCCCAGGTTGATGTGATGTTAATGGCATATTAAGTGTGTATTTGCTAGCAGTGTTGTTTATTGCATGTATATGATATATACTTTTGTGATGCATCAACTGAGCATGTTCTAAATGTCTAAGCACATGTGCCAAAGGGAAAGGGCCAACAGTTGTAATGGTAACCCAGCATGAAAAATAAAACATCTAACTGTAGACCAGTCATAAGGAAAATAAACCCCAGCTATCTCAAACCATAATCCAACATGAAAGAACAGTATGTCACATCCCCCCCCCCCTTTTACCATCCAAGTCCCATTATCAGCTTTTTGTAAAAACATTGAAAGTTTGGTCTTACATTAGTCCTCACTGTTAGTATCTGCTTACCAACAAGGGTAACAATAGCAATATCATTGTTCAATGTGTTCTTATCAAAACTTTCATGAATGGTTACACTCTTAATTGTTCGCGATTAAACCAATCTTATCAACATTAGGGAATGAACTCTGTTCAAATAAAATGATTATTGGATGGGTAATCATTTTTTCAACTGAAGATGCTGTCTCTGTGGATATAACAAAAAACACACTAAATCACATTACATATCAGTTGAGAAAAATTAACTGTTTCAATATTAATTTTGTGACATCATGAATAAAAGTTTTTACAGCTATACGTGTAATACATATTTTTTTTAATTCTTGAGGTCACATTTTATTGTTTCCTGTAAACAGGTACATTTCCTCTATACATGTATGTTTCCTTTATAGAGGCATTTTTTTTCTTCTAATGAATAGGTTTAATAAGGATCATCATTCCTGTTGTCATACAATAGCTGTAACTGCATTGTTTATATAACATCTCAGGCATACAGAGTCTTTCTAGGCCTGGGCTAGGTGGTACCACTGATGTGGCTGTTATACCACACTGGGTACAATCATTGTACCACCAACCACCTCCTTCTAATTCATCTGCACAGTTTAGTGTAGCTGACATGTCATTGTCCGAATCTGTTGTTGTGAACTTCATCCCTCTCCAGGCCTGGGCAGGGTCAATCGTAGAAGCAATAGCTATATCAGGATCTGTATCACATGTGTTGCCAAGACAGGTGAAATCAACCATTGATCCGAGTGTCAGTTTGTATTTCTCTGTCTCGTTAGCAACATATATGCTATCATATGTGTAGACATAATCTGTCCCAAATAGATCATTCTGGGGATTCACTTTGAGTTTTACTTGATAATTGGAGTTAGATGTTATCAGATGAAGCATGTCCAAGCCCAAGAATTGTCCAAATTCTGCTGTAAAATATCCAAATTTGTATCCTTCCCAATCTGTGTATATATCCGGGTCATATCCAGTCTGAGACCTCTTTTGGTAGATCATTGTCCACTTGTCTGTACAGCGCACCTCTATAGGGGAGGGTACACCAGGAGGATGGGTGAGGTACATCCTGTTTGAACCCCCAAGGATGGTGACCACCTCTTCACAATCTGTAAAAGATCACATGTACCAAGTGCAATTTATTGAGGTTAAAAGCAGTGGCTGCCTGTGCTCAAAGTAATCATTTTGATGATTATATACCAAACTGCAATGGTAGTAGAGTGATTTTGATAGATATGTAAAGCTAAAAGAATAAATTTGCTGGTACCAATGATTGTTCGCAAAAATGAATTATTAACTGTACAGTCAGAAAATCAAAAAGAAATTAAAAACCTGGACTGAATCTGATCGTGTAAGGAATTGTGTATGGTTTAAAATTGTTTGGCATGATTCTTGTCAGGTTTCAGTGTGAATGGTATATACACAATGAGGGAGGAAGTAAGGAAACTGATCCCCCAATCAATAGAGCCTTCGGAAAGTTGATAATTTTATTTCATGATTAAGAATGGTTAAGTTACCACATGAACTTATAAATATTTTGTCCATTTTTACTGGCTTGATTTTCCTTGATATCAATTATTCTTTATTCATGTTATTATGGGTATGTTATCTGATAGAACCAGATTCATTTTCTGGTTGTCTGAAAATGTTTGATGTAAGAATAATTTTATTAAAGGGAGAATCATATCTACATCCTTCAACACACCGTCAGATTTCACCATTGAACCGATCAGTGCATGATTGATTCTCCCAAATCGTCGATCGATGCACAGAATTGGATGCGCCGATGCACCGGTCGATGCACCCAAGTTCTGCGCTGTGATGCACCTTAGTGTGAATTGGTGAAGGAAAAAACTAGGAAAAATCTTTAAATCCTTCAAAATGATAAATCCAATTCATAGAAAAACAATTGTATTATCGGAAAAATCTTTAGTTTTTCTGAAATAAAGCACTTTTGGGACATGACAAGGAAGCATATGAGCCAAAAATAGTCTAAAATTGAATCAATTTTGTTTAGCTAGTTGCTAGATTTGACTCTCCCTTTAAGAGGCACTAGACCAATAACTGGGTAGATTTGGCAACCCTGAGAATGTTTACTATTGTCCAACCTAACAGATTTTCATTATTTAATTACACAGATTGAAATGAGATATGACCTGATCATGATGCTCCCAAGATACCAAAACCCAATCCCTCATAGATGTAGCTGAATTTTATACGTTGACACATCGTCAAAATGACTGTTTGATGACAAGTTATATTTTTCTTGAAATTGCATGTCTCAATGATACATCAAGACCTAAAACAAGAGTGTTAACTGTTATTTGTATCAAAAGATTGCCCATTTGTGTGTCATTTGAATGTTGTTCATCAATGTAGATTAATAGATTGAATATGGTTGTCAACATTTAAAATCATATAATTCAAGATTTGTGTATATTAAATTACCTTTTACAATGTGTTGACACTCATCACCATAGTAACCCACCACACAGTGACATTTTCCTGGACTCTTAGTGGCTCCATTCTGGCAGTTAAGATCTAAATGAGATGTAATAAAATATATGAGTGAATCTGCACTGTCTCAGATTCTGTTGTGTCCCATTTCAGTCTAAGGGAACCTATGCATAATTTGAAACATTGACTTTGTCCAATATTCTTTTTTGCTCAACTTTGTTTCGATCAATACCCTTTAATGTACAACAATTGTACAGAATTTGATACAGCAGAAAATGCAAAAAGCCATTAACATGACAGAATGTCACGAAATGGTTATGGTTTATTGACAAACAAAAATGATGAATTTCAATTAAAAAATGTCAGGCGCAAGAATATTGGCTTAAGCAGTATGTCACATCTTTGTGGTGACATAAAAATCAAATCCTTTAATATTTTAAAACAGTTAGGTACACTGAAATCTGAAGCTTTATTATACCATCATGGGTCTTTAAACTTACATTTTGTGAAGTGGTCGACTCCTGGTGTGTTGAGATTAGGTTCACTAGAGAGTGAAGCTCCATTTATCTCACACATCACATTGCCATTATTGAAGTACTTGACGTTATAACTCTTGCATCCACCATTAGCCAGAACACAATCCAAGCTGCACTGGCTGGCATACTTCCTCTCTATTGCTCTCACTGTATTATTTCTAGAAGCGCCAGATATTTTCTCAAACAGTTGATGGCACTCAAAAACTTGTATAAAAACTCCAGGAATTAATATCAAATTTACAAGTTCAAAAAACATCATCTCCGGATTGTGATGTTGGTTAATGAGATCTGAAGCAGTTTCATAAATGATTGTCTCGCTTATAGAAAAATCATTATTTATTGAAGAACTCATCAATTCTTTCCATGGAGAAATAGACCCGAACAAATGCCAATTGCATTTCCATTATATCATCAATGCTTTTTAGTTTAAAGTTGATGAAAGTTCTATTGGAATATTGAATATCACTTATGGTTCAAGCGTAGAAACTTGTTAAGTTGCCAATAATATAATAAATATTTATTATTTCATTCTGTAGGTCACATTTTGTTGTTTTTTGATGGAGGCACCGGAAATTGAAATAAAAATCAATCAGCAGCAGTCAATACTGTATCAATAACATGACATATATATATGTGGGTACATATTTAATGATTTTTCACTTGGCACCTTTGTTTTTCAATTGTAACCTTCAAGGGGGATCTTGGCAATGGCATCGGTGAATTGATGTTTTATAGATAATGGAATAGACATTTTGCTGATGGATGTTTACCTTTCGATAGTTTAATTGACCTTGAGACTTTTTGTTTGTTTCACATCATTCACATTATTTGAGACTGAATACTCTTGTGTAAAGAGTAATATATACACCTAATTTTGATGTCAAGTTTATTTTTTTTCAAATTGAATTTATTCTTCATCTTGAATTGTGCCAGTATGAATGACATATCCCATGTTCTTATGGTGTTGGATTGTGATACGTATGATAAATGCATTTTGAGACAATATGGTTATTGTTATTGTGTTTCAGCTTTGAGTGCCTACAGGAGGAGAATGGGGAGAGTATAGCTGCTGTGCAACATTGCTGGAACCTCACTGACTCCACTAGATGCTTGGTAGAGGGGCTCAGTCCAAGTACACTTTACAGGTCAGTCATGCTTGGTAGAGGGCTCAGTCCAAGTACACTTTACAGGTCAGTCATGCTTGGTAGAGGGCTCAGTCCAAGTACACTTTACAGGTCAGTCATGCTTGGTAGAGGGGCTCAGTCCAAGTACACTTTACAGGCCATTCATACTTGGTAGAGGGGCTCAGTCCAAATAACATTTACAGGTCAGTCATGCTTGGTAGAGGGGCTCAGTCCAAGTACACTTTACAGGTCAGTCATGCTTGGTAGAGGGGCTCAGTCCAAGTACACTTTACAGGTCAGTCATGCTTGGTAGAGGGGTTCAGTCCAAGTACACTTTACAGGTCAGTCATGCTTGGTAGAGGGCTCAGTCCAAGTACACTTTACAGGTCAGTCATGGTTGGTAGAGGGGCTCAGTCCAAGTACACTTTACAGATCAGTCATGCTTGGTAGAGGGCTCAGTCCAAGTACACTTTACAGGTCAGTCATGCTTGGTAGAGGGGCTCAGTCCAAGTACACTTTACAGGTTAGTCATGCTTGGTAGAGGGGCTCAGTCCAAGTACACTTTACAGGTCAGTCATGCTTGGTAGAGGGGCTCAGTCCAAGTACACTTTACAGGTCAGTCATGCTTGGTAGAGGGGTTCAGTCCAAGTACCCTTTACAGGTCAGTCATGCTTGGTAGAGGGGCTCAGTCCAAGTACACTTTACAGGCCATTCATACTTGGTAGAGGGGCTCAGTCCAAATAACATTTACAGGTTAGTCATGCTTAGTAGAGGGGCTCAGTCCAAATAATCTTTGCAGGTCAGTCATGGTTGGTAGTAAGGGTTAGTCCAAGTACACTTTACGGGTCAGTCATGCTTGGTAGAGGGGCTCAGTCCAAATAACCTTTGCAGGTCAGTCATGGTTGGTAGAAAGGGTCAGTCCAAGTACACTTTACAGGTCAGTCATGCTTGGTAGAGGTACATTTTACAGGTCAGTCATGCTTGGTAGAGGGGCTCAGTCTAAGTACACTTTACAGGTCAGTCATGCTTGGTAGAGGAGCTCAGTCCAAGTATACTTTACAGATCAGTCATGCTTGGTAGAGGGGCTCAGTCCAAGTACACTTTACAGGTCAGTCATGCTTGGTAGAGGGGCTCAGTCCAAGTACACTTTACAGATCAGTCATGCTTGGTAGAGGGGCTCAGTCCAAGTACACTATACAGTTCAGTCATGCTTGGTAGAGGGCTCAGTCCAAGTATACTTTACGGTTCAGTCATGTTTGGTAGAGGGGCCTAGTCCAAATACACTTTACAGAATTACAATTGATCACAATCAATTTTGTTTCTATTTTGTTTCTGTCACTGGAGTAAGACCATATTGAGATGCATTGGGTTTGATTTCCCTTTGACTGGTTTGGCTTTTAGCTGATATTTCGTTTGACAGTGCTTTGTTGAAATAGCACTTGATCTTTTCTCTTTTGGCACTTGTGATAAATATCTAATTACTGGTGCGAAAGGGAAAGGACCAAAAGTTGTAGCCCAGCATGAAAAAGCAAACTTTAACTATATACCAGTCACAAGAAAAACAAACCCCAGATATCCCAAAACAATGATCTAATGTGAAAAGAAGCAATGTCTTTGACCCCCTTTCTCCCACATAACATATTTCAATAAGATATGTATTTTTAGGATATTTGTTGTTGCCAACTACAGTGTAATCCATGCTGGTCAGCCCTGTGAGATCCAGGCCACCTCCACTGTGATACACTACACCTCTCTAGGAGCACCTCAACCCCCCACTCTCTCAGTAACTAGTCTACAGCTTAGACAGGTATATTTATGTTAACATCTTATTCGAATTCAATTACGTATGTAAAATATCATCCTTTAAATCATCGTTAGTGACTCTGAGACATGACAGGTTCTATTAACTTCATATACCCAAGCAGTTTCTGATTTTGAATCTATTATTGATTTACCTTGTGTGTTTACCTTGCAGGTTACATTAAGCTGGGAGGCTGGAGAATGCCACAGGGATGTGGAGATATCTGGCTACAAAGTCTATGTTGACAACAAACTGTTGGGTGACAAACTCAGTGCTAAAACTACTCAAACAACAATTGATAACATTCAGCCTGGTAGGTGGTTTCTGATATTAAGAAATCTATATAGGGATTTTATCAATTTATTATTGGATCTGAAACAAAGGAGCACGTAAGGTATCGCAACAGATTCCAGACAGTCATATGTTGGATATTGGGTAGTTTCCGGAAATGTTGTCCTGATTTTCAGTCTTATTAAAGCAAAATAGGATTCATGCAGGGCTTTTAAAGATATCAATTATGGGTGACAAAAATGAAAACAATGGATTGCATGAGTTTTCCCTATTGGAAAACAACATGGGAAATATTGTTTTTCAATTTATCCCAAATGAATCCATTTTCCTTTTAAGAGGTTAACTATGTCTCAAAACGCAACATATAGATGCATCAAACATTGAAAAAACAGGGGTGGAAAGGGTCGAAAATCAGGACAACATTTCAGTAAAAAACGTGCTGGTGGGGTGTTTGCACCTTTCTTGTCTCAAAGTCCAAATTATTTTATCACCTCTATTAATGCTTGTCCTGGAGTTAAAGCATTAGCCTAACATATGCACCTGTTCAAATCCTCATAAAATAGCAAAAAATCCAACATATGACTGTCTGAAATCTGTGGCAATACCTTACGTTGTCCTTTGATCGATATACAGTGCTTCATCAATCTCAATGGAATTTGACCATTATTGTTAATGTTAAAGTTAATATTAAGATAAAACCCTTTAAAGCCATCTTAGTATTTATTTTTTCCATGTGTATGTATTGTTGTCTTAAAGCAACAATTTTTGTGTATCCAGTCAATCTTATTTACCAACAGCCTCCACAGTGTCCTCTCCTCTATCCAGTCAATGTAAGAGTTGACCTTGGTGAATATTCCTGGTTCCTCACCACAAGTGCCACCTCTAGACACAATCGCCATCTGGACATATCTCTCATCCTCCTTGTCATAGCATACCACAGGGCTGCCAGAATCCCCCTCCATGATACTTTATTCATTACCTTGTATTGTGATTAATATGACTATTGGTCACTGCTTGTTTATATATCAAATAACTGGTTGCGATAATGAAGTTTTTTTACCTTGTAAATGCTTGTCCTCTTTGATGTTCTGTCTTCTACCATATTTCTTAGATAGAAATTGTGTTTACCAATTTTGACATTGTGATAGGCAGAAAGCTTTAGTATATTTTTTGTGAGATGAATTCATATTTTCCAAAGGCTCTCTGAATTCTTAATATGTATTGATACACAGACAATCTCCAACAGCACAACTATTAACTGTTTAAGTGCATTTTGTTTATGCTGCGAGTTTATCTTATGGTATAAATGTAACATTTAACGGGAATTAAACATTAATAAAAATAATGTTCACGGCTTCAGTCCATAATAGTATTACTAAACATAAAATTTGTGTAGATGACACAACTTCTAAGTTTATTTTATCTTCCTAGCTACATTTTGCATAATCTTTTTTTCATCTCAAGCACTGTTATATATATTATCTGTATCTCAAAATTGTTCTTTTAACAAGCTGAAATAGTTCCTCCTGTTTAAACCGCAGTTGTCTGACCACTCAACTATATTAGTTTAAACATATTCTTATGGAAACTCTGTGTCATTCCTTATGAAGCTAAAAGCTAATCTTCGTGTTTAACTATATATCCATGTTGGATAGCATCTTCCAAAGTTTGTATAACATTTTCAAAAGCTTAAAGCTACTATACTTTCAAAATCACATCTTCATGATTATAACATTGTCTTAGGAAAATTGTATGGTATTTCTAAAAGCTAAAAGCTATCCTATTCAAAATCACATCTCTGATTGTAACATTGTCCTAAGAAGCTTGTGTGATATTCTTTAAAGAAAAACTATCATCTTCTTGATTATAACATTGTCCTAAGAACTTGTATGGTATTTTTAAAAGCTATCCTATTCAAAATCACATCTTCATGATGATTATATTGTCCTAAGAAGCTTGTATGATATTTTTTTTAAAGCTAAAAGCTATTCTGTTATTTAAAAGTCATACATCAGTATATATACAGTTCTTGGAGTTCTTGGAATAAGGGCGGATCTCAATTTGAACAGGTTGATCCGATTTTTGGGGACAGTTTAATTTATGGGGCAATACCCTTGCCTCTCCTGTAACCACATGTCTGCATTGGCAAACAAAGGAATGTGTACATTGATCACTTTAATCGCTGCAGTAAGGGGGGGGGTGAATATAATCTATTCCTGTGGTCAGAAATAAATGTTTCTCCAGGAACTGTCGATACACATGAGATCAAAGTTAGTTACAACATCTAATTACATTTACATGGTTAATAAACAATGCATATTCAAGCAATTAAAAGTTGCTACCCTACAACATTTGAGACTGAATGTTCTATTTTGTATAAGTACTTGTATCTACAACTTTTCTTGATGTTATGAGTATTGGCTATATCCATTTTTGATTTTTTCTTTACCGTGTGTCGTAATTATCTCAGTAAGAATGAAATGTCTCTTGGTTTTCCTAAGTCTTAAATTGTGATATTGATTTGCTAAATTGAGTGAAATGGTTTCATTATATCTCATATTAAGTCTATTTAATCTGGTTGTTTATGTATAGATGGTTAGAATAGATTCTATGGATTTGTTGCAGTGTTAATTGTTTTATTGAATAACAGTTGATATTATGTCATATTTATTTATTGTCTTAATATTAAAGTTACAATTTCTTTTTGTCAATATTTTTCTCCATCAGCCTGCAAAGTGTCCTCTATCCAGTCAATGTAAGAGTTGACCTTGGTGAATATTCCTGGTTCCTCACCACAAGTGCCACCTCGAGACACTATCCCCATCTGGACATATCTCTCATCCTCCTTGTCATAGCATACCACAGGGCTGCCAGAATCCCCCTACATGATACAACAAATACAAATTATGTAATTTAGCTGAGAAAAAGTTTCTTCCTTTCTGTAAACTGTCTGAATTCCTGAATTGTTTTGATACACAGATAATCTCCTACAGTACAACTGGACATTTTGTTTATGCTGTGGATTGATCTTTGGGCATAACAACTTATGGAAATGATATACATGTATAATTGTACTATTAGTACTCACTTGACAGGTTCCTATGGTTGCTTCTGCATTAAAACAGATTTCATCCTTGTATATTGTCAAATTATATTCCCCATATATGGTTGTATTACACACATCAGGTTTGACTATTGGAAGTTTTGCATGTTGTAATACATCTGAGGGCAAACTTCCATCTAGGAAAAAAACAATTGTAAATTGAGATGAAACTTGTTTTGGCGGATAAGTTAGAATTTCCAATATAATAAATCATTAAATGGGAAAAGTCTTAAGGTCCCTAAGTTGTATGTGATCTTGTGTACAATGAATGTACAGACTTGGGACTTTTGTTGTCTAGGCTACTATATCTTAGCAATAGAAAACCTTTGTTGAATTTTACTTACTTCTGTACTTCCTATCCTTTGTCCATCCCCATCCTGCCACCATGCAGTGTCTCCCAGGTTGAACTTTGTCAAGGTCTGCCTCATCAGGCAAACACACAACATTTACATTCTCAGTCAGTGTTGTTGGGTAACTTAGCTTCACCAAAGCTATGTCAATGACAGGTGTGATGAGGAAGTCTTCGAAAATGAAATTATTAAATATGTTTAAGATCTGTTACCTATACCTGTTGGGATAACATGATACCATAGGTCATAGTTTGGAATTTTAAGGGGTTCTTTTCTTATTGATGATTTTTCTATTGAACAGTTTTGCTCTTGATGATTCTTTTTCACCTGTGCTTACATGAATCTAATTGCAGCATATAGATAGATGTAGATTCCTATATAGCTGATCAGTCTATTGTTTACTCAGATACACTGTACAATGATACAGAACATTTTGGAAACTTAGATATTATTAAAACTTACTGGTCCAATTAGGATGAAGATATATTTTCTCAACTGGAACATCAACATGTGTGGCATTATCATCTAACATGTTGTGTTCCCCTATTCTCATCATCCAGTGTTCAGGGTGGCTGGTATCAAAATCACCAAGGTTATCTCCCTCCAAGCCCCTGGGAATGAAAATGGGAAGATAATCAATGATGCAGTGTCTTCAATAATAATGGTGTAAGAAAAGCAATGATACCAAAGGTGTGCTTATGACTGTTCATCTTAATTGTGTCTAAGAATCAATATTTACTTGAGCTTTGACATTTCGTCAGAGTGGGTGATATTAAAGAAAGTTGCTGCAGAGTGCTGGAAGAGCAACCAGTAACACTGCTTCACTACATTTAGGGAATAAATCAAAATCTTGAAAATGTTTTCAAGTAATATTTGTATTTGTAAGTGGCATAACCAAGGCCTGCAGCCAGGGGGTTCGCATGATTTTGAAAGAATTTTTGGCCAGGGGGTTCGAGGTGTTCCTGGAATTTTTCTGAAAACTGGCAAAAGATGTCTACAGATGTCTAAAGATGTCTGAGGCCTGTCGCCGCGTAGGTATTCATTCGTATGAAAAAAATCACTTACCAAAAGCAGTGAGCTGCAGTTAGCACCCACTGTGGATGGATCAATGAACCCCCACACCCGTACATATATGGCATTGAAGAGTTGTATGTTGATGAGTTGAACACTACTTGTCTTCTCATGTTAATCAACCAGGGCCATTCACCAAAACGAGAGCTCTCTCCACCGACTATGCGCTTTTGTCGCTTTCCATATTTACTACGTCCACAATGAGATGGAATAGGTATTTCTTTTTGTCCTATATGGAAAAGATTAATTTACATTTGACACAACTCACAACCTCTCACAGTATTTGTCTCGTAGGATTTCATGGTTTGTTTCTTCGTGAACTGAACAGACCCGGGTGAACAGACCCCTTGGAACAGACCTTATTTTCTAAAGTTAAGAGTATGTTCTCAATGTGTATACTGTATAAAAAGAGGATGGTTGATAGTAAGAAAACATACCTTTGTTCTCTTTGGTTGGTTCCACAAACTTTTCTTTCACATTAACCTTATCATCGTATTTACTTTTCAAATCTGCTTTGAAAATGTTATTCCATGTTGGCTGGAACATGAACAAATTAATTATAAACCTGGTGCTTTTCAGTTCATGGGATGTAGAGTATGCCTCTGTCCATCAGTCTATCCATTTGTCTTTCTTTGTAATAACTCTTTTAACAGTTGTCAGATTTAATTCAAATTTCAAAGACTTGTAGTTCTACCTTGTCCCAGCTATTGGCACAAGATTTCTACTTAAAAGCAGTGACCACCATTTTCATATATTTTTGGCTGTATCTTGAATGCCTCTTTAGCTGGGGTCATAGATGAGATTTGACAGAATTATAGGTTTATAAGAGAGTCTGAATTCTATAAAATGGAATACTGTGTTACTTTAGTATAATTTATATCTGTAGAGAAAATCTATATTCTTTATAAATGTGAACCTTTTCTTCAATTTTCCATTTTTCATAAATGATTGATACATATGTGCTGCTTAACCAACTCGGGTCATGTATTTTAAAAAGTATTGCAGCCCATGGTATAAGTTTACATCTTTGTTCAAGATGGAATCATTATAATGGCCATATATATCATCCCTCATTAATACAATACTATAACTAAACAGTGCAATTATAGGTTTAATGACCTTGAATTTGACAGAAATAGGGTAAATGGCAATCAGGCGACTAGTTCTAATTTGGCACTTTTCCGTTTGTTTATTTATATTTGAATATAAAGTGGGTTACATACAGTACATGTATGCATACATTTTCAATAATCCTTCAACACTCTACTATACCCTAGAAATGCATAAGATACTCTGTTTGTCTAATTGCATTGTTTAGTATATTTTTGAAAGTACCTTATTAACATCTAACAGTCATCCGATAAACCATTAATAAGAAACAGACAAATAAAAACAAATAACATAATGGGTTGCTCATGAACACCAAATGCAAGGTGTTTCAAATGTTGTTTTTTTAAATTAGTCCTTGACATGGGAGAAATAGTTGATAAATGATGTATTTGTCGATATATGGGCATCATAATTTGATGATGCATTAAGAGGTGGAACATCGCTAAAAGGTCAGAGTTAAAAAAAGTTGTTTTCACTTGTGATTTCATTGTCCTTCAAGATCTACTGGTATTAACAAATATGACTAACTGAAAATATACAGCCATCAGGATAAAATTTAAAGCAATAACTTTTTTACACATTCATTGTTCTCGGATGCTTCAAATAGTAGTACCAGATTGACATCTTATACAGTCAGTCAGAGAGAAATGATGTGTATGTGCATTGCTTGTACAGTATTGTTCTGGCTTATGGTATTTATGCTGGAGAAATAGGGATCGAAACCAACCATAGTTCTCTCCTGGTGACCATTGCAAAATATTAGGTTTTATGGTCCCTTTGATACGCTTATGGACTTTCAGATTGGTTTCTGTCTATCCCACATCATTTCAGACTGATTGCTCTATCTTGTATCTTCTATCTTGTAACTATTTCAGATGTTATGAGTATTGGCTATTAATTTTAAATTTGTTTTTCAACATGTATTGTAATGAATTCAGTATGAGGGAAATGTATTGGTCTTGGTGTTATGGTCCCGGATGGTGATATTACTACTTGAATGGTGTAGAAGAGGGCTGTTAGATACTGTTTCTTTTCATGTTGGATTATTATTTGGGATAGTTTGAGCTAGTCGATATCGAGAAAAGCAGAACTGTAGGCCAAATTCTGGTTGAAAGTTCTGGTTGACTGGCCTGGAAGATAGCAAAGTATTAATCTCGTCTTAATTTTTTTTTTTTAAACAAGTTCTTTAATATGTGGGCTCAGTCAAGCATCATACTGAACAAGATCTTGTAAGAGTTTTCCCTATCCAGGCAGATTTCTCCAAATCACATTCTTTATGACCCCATTATATTCTGAAAATAATTTTAGAATATACTGAACACCATACCCAATGTGTATCTCTGATATGTCAATCTGGCACTATAATTTAAAGAGGCTCTATGCCATAGGATAGCAAAATCAAGACCCCTCTGGACCTTTTTGCATATTGAGTTTCACCACATATTCACCCATCTGCTTACCAGAAAAGAAATCCCAAAATCCCCCTCTTTCAGTGTAAATTGTGCTGGCCAATCTAATTATTTTCGCGGAAATTAATTCAATCTTAAGTTTGAATATACCGGGAAAGTCCTCCTGTTATCTGATTGGACATTGAATTTGTTTATCATGAACCTGATTGGGTTCCTGGTTCAAGGCGCTTGTGTGACTCAATGGGGATCCCCCTCGTTAGCCAAGGAATCAATTGTGTTTAATTCTGGAGGTTGGTTGTTCTCTTGATTATTTCAATATTTTGGCAATAATATGCCCAAAAGTTATTCTCAAGATATATCTACGGTATGTGAGATATTATATGAGCAATAACAATAGGACATCATTGATTGCCTGGGGGAGAAATCTATGGTATAGTGAATCTTTAAGGCATAGCTAATATCAGGGATGTTTGGCGCAGATAATGCCAGCAGGCTCTGCAAGTGAAGGAAATTTATATCTGAGGAGCATAATACTGCTGCTTGGAAGATTTCTTCTAGATGGTAGAACGCATGCTAAAAATAAAGAATGTGGACATGGATTTTTTTTGGCCGATCCTGTTTGTAGTATTGATTTGAAATTGTAACCTTCATTATAGAATAGCAGCAATCTATGAAAATCATTATTAAGATAGTCAAATCACGGACTTCAGTACAATATAGCTAGAAATGTGTGTTCATCGAAAAGAATGACATATGAATAATGCAAATGTCTGAATGAATGGAAGTAGAACTTCATTTGAGAAATTAACAAACAATATCAGCATTTTACCAATTATCTGTAAAAGGGTTCATCTCCAGTAGTAATTGTTTTTTCATCAAATGTCATGATGTCTGCCTTAACCCAGTCATCAAGAGAGCTTTATGCATAGATGCAAACAATAGAAAAACTATTTATATTCCGAAATGAATATCATGTCTGTTCTAATGCTCATATTAGAAAGTTTAGAACTAAGTTATTCAGAATTATATATCCACTTACCCATGCCGCCACAGTGGAAACTGTTATTAGGACGATTAGTGAGGTGACTAGATTCATATTCATCTGGAATATATTTATCATTCCTTAAATTATGAAACTTATTTTGGTTCGTTAAAAAGTAGCAAATGAAAGTATTATTTCCCCTTTAAAATACATTGCTTTCTCCCTTGGTACGTTATATAATACTTATAAATTATATTGTTATATCTTCATGAAATATTTTCGCTACAATAGTTTATGAAATATTACTTACATTTCTGTTCTAAGTGCCCGAATAGCCACATTGAGAGAACGATAAATATCAGTACGCACTCGGATGTTATTCCAAAATGATGATAATTTATATGAAAAGAGGTTTTGGATGATTTATCATTTATAAACAGATAACAATTGCTTTGAGAATTTCTTTGAAACAACAACTCGTAACTGGCACTCATTAACACGATAATTATAGGATTCTGACAAGTATAATGACTTGGAATTTATACTTGTATTTTAATATTTGGATTTATGATACACAGTTCATGGCAATGAACATCAATGAAACTGGGGAAATTAAAATAAGCATTAAACTAGATATGTCATGAGTCAGTGTTTGATATTTATAGGAACATATTTCATGAGAGTAGGTTGTGACTAACTTCATATGTATTTTATTTCCGGCAGTCCTATTGGCCAATAATTCATTAGAGAAAGATGGATTACATGTATTACATACCTCATTTATATGAGTGAATGATAATTTAATTAGTCCAAACAATTTTCTAATTTGCATCTTAAAAAATGATAATATGCATGTATGCTTTGTGTCATTTTAGGCAAAACAATCAGAGTGAAAGTGATCACACTTACAGAACACAGAGTTGGAAACAGTGGGCCCTCTAACATTGTTAAAGTGAGCTGCCCCAACTGCCCTCCCCCTCCCAACATCTCGCAACAACCCTCCTACAAGAGAGGTCTTGTCATTATAGCCTGGGAGAAACCTGAAAGCATTGGAGGCTCTGACAAGAGAGAAGATATTCTATATTACAAGTTAGTAGTTTAAGCAAGTTGCAGTTCTTCCAAAGTTTCATTTGTTTGAATGGATAAAGAAAGCTCAGTCTGTTTTTATGGTCTCGACCACATTTCTAGGGTACTACATCTATCCTAAAAAAATATTAAATTTAATCTTTTTCCAAAGTAATTTTAATATGCTGATATTTACCTCATGGTGTCACCTTGTATAACATGTACATGTAGTTTTTTTAGGTTCATTTTTATAAACAAATTAAGTGTACTCATTTATATTCACCTTATAATATTTAAGATTTTATTTGTGTAACCTGTTTGATTCCTTTTTCAGTATATACTTGGATGGGGCGTGGCATGGTGAAATCATGGCAACCACACAAGCCAATAAGAATGGTTACCAATATCACATGACAGACCTGACTCCTGGACAGTCCTACGATATTCAGATGAAGGTGAACATTTTACGATCAATTTAATGCCTAGGCGTAGGCCCTGTACTACTGTTTTGTATGACATATTATCATGAAATAAAGAAAACATAATTTATGATCACTGTACATTTAAAAATAATCTGTATAATAAATACTAAAAGGTTATACACACAGGAGATTCATTTCATGATTGAAATGTTATTAATATTATTATTCAAGGCCTATGCGGGTGACAAGAGAACAGAAGGGAACCATGTGTACTGTCTGAGTGAATCTATTATGTCCAACAGTCTCCCTGTGATGTGCCCTGCACCACCCAAGTCCCCTTGTTTGACAATAGAGGGCATACATGATGGTGGAATTGACGTCACGTGGCAGAGTCCACAACAATATGGTGATGCTGTCGTCTCGGTCAGTTAATTAAACAGTCAAGTAACAGTTTCCAGCTGATTTAAGTGCTTTCATTATTAAGAAGACTATTTATCATTTGAATTTTTGCTGTATCCAAAAGTGACGTTAGCATTTCAAATTATATTCCTCAAAAATTGTATTTAATTTGCTGCTAAAGTGACTTTTGCATAAAGTTATTATTTTAATTTTATTTTTATTCTATTAATTGTGTCAAAAATGTTTGGATGCATTTTTGAAATCATTCCCATTGATGGTCATGCTGTGTTGTCGATTTCTAGGGCTACCAACTGCTTAAAGACAACAAACTGTATGGGTCAACTATACCCCCAGATGTCCTCAGCCTGCGCATCAAGGACGTCTCACTGGGGGAGAAGGTGACCCTACAACTTGTGGCCCTCACAGAACATGCAGTTGGTAAGCTAGAGGGCACCAGAGTGATAGGGCACCATGAGATCAGACATACTAATGCATCTACTGATGGGGACTCTGGAATAGGAAGATCAAGCTACTATGAAAAAGAGGAGAAAGGTGAGTGTCACGCAACATTGCGATGAATCAACACACAAACTCATGACCTCATGGTTTCACTAACAGTGGTAGCCTAGCAGGTTTATTTTATGGTTACATATTCACAGAGTAGAAAGAAAACCAGTGTCACTGAATATTATGAGACAGTTATAGCTCAATTTATATATCAGTCATAACAATGACTTACTTGTGTATTAAGGTGGCTCAAAGGATAAGAGTTTTAATTACATACATGTATTTCATAATACTCATACAATCATACATTAATACTGTGTTTGAGTATTCTTGTACTGCATCAGAAATTAGCAATAATGTTGGTGTGTACGAGTAAAATACTTTATATAGTGATTTAAATCTATTCACTTTAGAAATCAATCAGCTCTTGGGAGAGAAATATTCAGCATGTGTGCCAGGTCCAAGGTTGACCATACATTATACAGGACTTGTGATGGCACCAACCAAAGTATGGTGTGAGACAGTCACAGGGCACTCTGCCATGGTGGTCTGGAATAAAGGTAGTTTGATTTACTGTCCATTGTATTGTGGGTTAAGATTCACACAGAATATAACATCAATTGTTTTTATGTCACTACCACAAATGGTGTTTTAGTCTCCAAATTCTTGGTGGTATTCGTCAGCGGTTGGTGTACGGTGTCTGTAACAAATACCAGGTGGTGACAGTTTGCTTGTGAATGCCTTGTTTAATTTTATTATTTGTATAACTTAGTTATTTTTTACATTTTTAACAAGAATATTCTGGATTCCTCTAATTAATCACAAGAAAATTAGTATTGATTATTCTATTTATTTAAATTTGAGTCCTAAAGAATCTCACTGAGAGCAATCGTTTTGCAATATTTCAATGGAATCTTGAAAATGGTTGACACTTTTAAATGCTACTTTCTGTAACAATGGGATTTGAAATTTCCAAATAATGCATAAAATAAGAGATGAATGAAATAATAAAGTTTTGATAGCAAATATCATCATTAACTGTACTGTAAACTGGCTGTAAACAACCCAATGACACACCGAATTAAGGCAATATTTATTTTATTTTCAATTGAAAATTTGGTTTTATTGTAAATATTTCACAATAAGATTAGTGACCCTAATAATGGAGTGCTTAACCTGTTGCTGGCCATTGATGGATTATTGTATTGTAACATATTGTGTTAGATCAAGGTAAATGATACCCTTTGTTAGGGCCCTTGCAAAAGTTGTGAAGACCCTTGCTAAAGTTTTGTTATTTTATTGTAAGAATCTGATATAATGCAATTAAAAATATTTTGTAACATTTGGTATTTTGGAATATTAAAATAATGTTTGAATTTAAAGAATTATTTAGTTTTTCTCTCATGCCTGTGATTTTCCAAAGATAAGACTAAGATCATTTTAGCAAGGGTTTGAAAATGGATAAATAGAGAATTTGTATAAAGTGTACAGGTATTGATCATGTAAATTTTAACGTATAATGTATCTTTGAAACACATGTAGAATTTTCTGATCAGTAAAAATATTTCTGTCAAGTATACTGATATAATTTTGTATGGAACTTAAGGTAATGTGTTAAATCTTCATTTTTTATAAAAAGCAGTTAACAAACAACATTACAAAGAGACTCATTGTGTACTTATCCCGAATCAAACATTTTGAATGCTCTTTGGTTTGTTTTTGCTTGAACGTATTTGAATTCTGAATAGGTTTCTGTCACACATTGAATACAGGGTATATAGTTTAAGTCAAATCATTTACAACGAAATAATATTTTTATATTTATTCATCATCATATGTGTATCATATCATTTTGTTTATAGCAACAAGTGTACTATAGCTAAAGAAAAATCACATTTCTTAGTTCTTGATAGTTATTAATAATACTGGTATAGTAGGTTATACAGTTTATATTTTATTTTTGATTTATAGGGGCAAAGTTTTCAATTCATTTTAAGTTATTCACGTTCAGTAATATGGAAAACTTGGTAAATAAAAATCGTTGGTTTATACATAGTTCTATACAGTGTATGACTCCTCATGTGTTTTACTATTTTAGAATTGTGTTATATTTAACAGGGGAAAAAGTGAAGCCTCACTATGTACTCCCAGATAGTTACCAAGTGACCTGGTGGCCAGGAGATATTTTAAAATTGTGTTATATTTAACAGGGGAAAAAGTGAAGCCTCACTATGTACTCCCAGATAGTTACCAAGTGACATGGTGGCCAGGAGATAAACCTGAAGAGAACATCAACAGTCAGGCATCTAGAGGTAAGATCACAAGTATTATTTTGGAAAACCTTAACACTTAATTATCTCCATTTTTGGAATATTCATACCTTATGATTTGATCACAAGTCATTGCTCATCCAAAAGTAGACGATGGTTTTTCTCAGAATTGTACAGTCATACCAAAACGAAGCTCTATATAGTAGGAACTAAATGAATGTTCTGGTGATGCTTGTGAAACCTATACATACTCAGTGATAAAGTTTGAATTTAAAATCAGAATATTGGCAAATTTGAGGCACATGTGTTTTGCAGATGACCACCTGAACATTGAAGGCCTAGATGCCAACACCACCTACACTGTAATTGTTGAAGCAAGGAAATTACAGTCCTATACACAGACACAAGAAGGTAGGGAACTTATATAACCCACCCTGCTTTAGTTAAATTAAGAATATACACTTGTTAAGCTTAGAATTAACACATTTAATATTTATTTCCTTTAAGCTTATTACATTTTCAGTATTGATACTATGTGTATTATGAATCTTTTAGAGCAGTTTAAGATTCAATTTTATATAAAATTAATTGTATAAAATGAAAACATTAATATGTGTTAACAGTATGTAAGATAGATATGTACTGAAGCACTTAATCATTATAATGATGTTAAAACTAATTAAGTTTATAAGTGTAATTTGAATTACTAATCAAGCTTTGATTAAGATCTACTAACCTTCATGTTTTCGGTGCAGATCTAGAGAGTGATGAAATTCGACACAGTTTTATCCTGACTAGTAAATCTGAGCATATAAAATTGACAACAGCGCAACCTCCGGATCCACCAACAAATCTTGGTATTTTATCGTCGACTTGTAACAGCATCAGTGTCGCATGGGATCCTCCTAGAGAACATGGTGTTGAAGTAATTGGTGAGTTAGAGATAAAATGTATTGTGACAGAACTCATAACTTTCAATACTTCATGTGCAGTCTTTCATGTTTAATTGTATATTAAATACTTCTCAATCCACTGAACAGTCCATCTTGCTGTTATAGGCAGTTTTTCGGTACAGATCTGGAGAGTGATGAAATTTGGCACAGTTTTATCCTGACTCGTAAATCTGAGCATATAAAATTGACAAATCCGATATTTATTTTCTGAATTAGTCTTGATTGTTTTTTTATGTATACTTTTTCTTTGCAGGTATCCGTGTAGATTGTGTTCCACTTCGTGCCCATAGCAACCAGCACCGATGTCTAGAGTTAATGCCTGACAGCACATGTGCAGTCTTGGAGAATCTCCTCGAGAGCACTGAATATCACATCACAGTTACTGCACTTACTGAGGAGTTCTTTGATCAACTTCCTGCTAAAGACAAAACTAAGAAATCACGAACATTACCAAAGGATATAATAGTTCAGAAAGCAAGCCCATGGTTACCAAGTTCTAGTATAATCAGTATGACATCAGGAACTAAACCTCCCTGTGATGTCACAGTGGTGGACACAGGGATGGACTGGGTGTCGATACGCTGGCTACCTGCACAAGTTAATGGCACCAACTGGATGCAAGGAACTATAGTACGCTGGGCAGAGGTGAAGCCAAAAAGTCAGAAAAATGAAACCACACTAGCTAATCATGCAGAGTTAATGCCAGGAGATACAACATTGAAAATCCAGGATCTTCAGCCTGGTGTGCAATATAAGATTGTAGTGGAGGCTGTTGTTAGTGTTAAAACTACTATTAAACCTGGTGAAGGCCCAGACACAGTCAGTGATAAGACTAGGGAGGGTGCTAACAGGAGAACTGCTCATGTTATGTCCTCAGCTGTATATGTAAGGACTAAAGCCCCTAGTGAACCCCCTGTTGTGTTAGTAACTGGTTTCACTAATGACTCCATACACCTCTACTGGGAGAAACCCTCTATGTTTACAATACTCCACAAAGAAGGTGATGAAACACCTCAGTATATACGGAGGTGTCTGGAAGGTTATAAACTAGAGATTAATGGTAAGCTTCATATGAAGCTTGGGTCAGCTGCTCAGAGTTGCACATTGACAAAATGTAGAGCAGGCAGGACATATAATATTGTGTTAATTGCTCTTACATGTACTGAAGATGTGAAGAAAGAGCGGAGGGCTAAGAAGAAAGCGCTGCTGGAGAGTAGTAGCTCTCTGGGGAGTATGTCCGGTGGATACAACAGCCCAGATCTTGATGAGGAGAATGATGAGTCAAGATCTGAAACTGTTTGGGTTGTTCTACCAAGAACTCAGGAAGGTATGTACAGTGTAGCTCTAATATTCAAATAAGATTTTTAGCATGGGAAAAACAAGTGGATTAAATTTCAAAAACAAAACAACGGGAATCCCTATAAATTATTTATGTACATTTTTCATTTTAGTCAATAGAGTAAGCCACATCATATAGATATATCAGTGTGAACTTAGGTTTTCATTAGACAGTAAAGTGTGTATGCAGAAGTGCCAAAGGGAGAGGATAAAAATTGTCTTAGAGCCCAGCAAGAAAAAGAAAACATTTTAAGTGTACACCAGTCATAAGGAAAACAAACCCCAACTATCCCAAACCATAACCCGACATGAAAAGATTTAGTATTTACAGAACCTAACCTTCCTCAAAACCATTACTAACAAGTACTTGTTGATTAACATTGGTTTTCTAAAAATACATTGTTCTTGAACTCTTGTGGATTGCTGTAATGTTTTGTGGAATTAGAATTTCATTTCATCATTAAAGACTGGTTTTGAGTTGTGGCTTTATCTTTTGATATATCAAGTGCATTATTTCCTGCTAACATTTCTTTCATGTATCAACACTACATGCATATTAATATATTTTTGTATACCAATTAGTTTATATTACTTCCAGGTAATGTTGAGAGTGTGCTAGGCACATACAACAGTGACCACGATGAGATGAGACTTGTTTGGACAGTAGTAGAAGATTCCTACATGATCAACCAGTTCAATGTGGTCTACTTCAACACAACAGAGCCTGGTATAGAGAGGAAGTGTGTCAATGCTGATACAAGGGCTTGTACTTTGCCAGTTAAAACATTCAAGTACGTTTGAAATAGTTTGCAACCATGTTTTTGTATCTCATTTTTTTCTCACAGATATACAGTGTGTCCCAAAAAAAAGGAAACCGGCAATAGATTGCTTATTTCTCAAATATGAATAATAATAGGAAAATGTCACAGCTACCATCTGATAGGTTATGATGTCCTTTTTCATATGATACCAAAGGTGTTTATTTTTCTTCACGGATGACTGAGTTATAAGGGATTTAAGTGACCATGTCAGAAATTGGTTTGTGCCACTTTTTCTGTCATGAATGGCTGAACAATGAGGGATTAAAATGGCTATGCAAGACATTGTCTTATTCGAAATACACATTTCTGAACAAGCATTCAACATAGCAAGTTCATGCAGCTGACCCAAGATCAAAGAGTATTTGTAGTGCTCCTCCTCATCGTCGGATTATCGTTCGGGACAGATTAAGGGCGCTGTTCAAAAGAAGAGTGATTGCCTTGAACCACAAGATTGAGTTCATCGAGATCCCCAGACCTGACACCCTGCGACTTCTTCATTTGGGGTTATCTCAAGGGTAAAGTATTTACAACACCACCAAGAGACGTTGATGATTTAAGGGCCAGGATTGTCGCAGCAGTGGAGGATTTAAGGGGACAGAGAGACATCATCAGGGATGCCGTACGTGCGATGAGATCAAGGGCAGACATTTGCATTGAAAGGAATGGGGGTCATGTTGAAGGACATTGGGGTTAAAACAACTTTGAATGGACATTGGGATTTAAAAGGGGTGTTAAACATGATATGTGTAATTTTAATTGGAATAAATGAGTAAAAGAGTGATATCCTGATGTTTGTTGTTACTTATCACTTTGTTATGATGGTGAAATTGACTTGGCTGAAAGTGGTACAAACTCATTTCTGACATGGTCACTTAGATCCCTTATAACTCAGTCATCCGTGAAGGAAAATAGACAACTTTGATATCATAAGAAAGAGGACATCATAATCTATCAGATGGTAGCTGTGAAATTTTCCTATCATTATTCATATTTGAGAAATAAGCAATCTATTGCCGGTTTCCTTTTTTTTGGGACACACTGTACAGTATTTAACTTGATGAGTTTGTTGAGGTATGATATAAATTACACATATTCATTTATGTTCACACACAAAAGTGCAAAATACTTCATAGCCCATAATTCAAACACAACATTGTTACACATGTTCCAGGACTGTTTATGAAGTGGCCATAGAACCTGTATATGACAATGATAACATCAGACAGCAACCACAACATGTACATATTCAGGTTCCTGGGGCCCCTGATGCTCCAAATATATTTGCCAGAAGCATTGATCAAGAGGAGTTTGTCATAGAGTGGGGCGAACCAAGAACTTATGGAAATGTCAAAATAAAGGGATATCAGGTAATATGTCTTTCAAGATTCTAAGTGATTGACTTGAAAAGAGGTTGAGCTGGTGGCTTGTGGTCTATTTTGGCATCACTTATCATCCCAAATAAAATCAGATATTAGCCTGAGTGATGTAGAGATGACTGAAGGAGCAGGTTCATTTATGTACAGTGTACCTAAGCCAGATAATCAGAAAGCATGCTGGGTATGTTATAAGAATATGAACTCAGAACAAACAGTATGACATAGATTGTTGTTTCACCACTTTCTCTTCACAAATTACTGCATATCTAATATTATTGTCACTTTGCATATATATGTACTTCTTGATTTCTATATATCTACTTTTTAGGTGTACATGAATGATAAGAAAGTAGGCAATATGTTAAGTGCTTCCCACAGAAAGGCTGTAATTCCTTGTAGGCCAAACAGGTATGTTGTAAAATTCCATCAATCAAATGAAAATGCAGCTTCCTTTGATTTTTATTATTGTACATTGATTTTAGGGATTGAGATTGAATCATAGTACATGTTTTCTTAAAAGGTTTTAGAAGCCCTTGGCTAAGGGAACTATATTGAGTTCCCATTTCATTAATTTGATTTGCTGGATTATCTGGTTTAATTCAATAGTTATTGGTTGAAATTAGAGAGGGCAAATGTAAAACAGCCTATGTATAAAATAAATACTGGTTATCTGTTATCTTATTGACTACTATACCTTTTGTCAACTGCAGGCATTACAAGATTAACCTAACTGCTGTAACTGCTGTGAGAAGATTTGCTGAGACTTCCAAGTCAAACGCGCTACACATTAACACATCTAGTGGAATAGGTGGATTATTTACTCCAGGTATATGAGTCAACATATTATATGTCTTCTGTTATGATTAAAACTAAAATGTCTTTGTGTGCGTCTTTGCATTTATACAGTTCTGTATGAAAGAAAATCCCAATTTTGTTTACCTTCCTCATTTGTAGTGAGCTGAAAAATGATTAAAATTGAATTTTTGTGAATTATTCTTTGATAACTCTGCATGATCTAATAGGTTCACAATCATTGAGCCCAGATGGCTTGCAATCTACAATGGATTCTACACACATGGGAAATGTTAGTGATGAGATATCCCTCAAGGTGGTAAAGGTGACTGATTCTACCATACACCTGGACTGGAGTGCCTGGCTGGAGGTGGATGGCCTACTCTGCTTTAAGATACAATGGAGCAGTGTAGCTGTTCCAGCTGTAAGTCATATTTGATATTCAAATCGAAGATAATATGTACAGTCTTTAACATTCTAGTTTATCAATACCGTAGTTTGTAGTTTCATCCTTTTGACTTGTCTTTGAATGTAACATTATGTGCTGCTTTCTGATTTTATTTGAAGCAGTAGGATTTCTCAATCACAATATCTTGTATTTGTAAAGCACATGAGATAAATTATATTTCTTTTGCAGCAAAGAGAGGTGAAGATTGCCAGTAAAGAAAGAAGCTGTATTCTACAGAACTGCTATCCAGGGACCAATCATTTTGTACGTATCCTGGCACTTGGGGATAGAGATGAGGTATTGGATAAGTCAAGACAACTAACAGTTCAAACTTCTGCATCTCCTGATACTCCGGTTCTTACTCTCAGGTATATGAGCATTTATTTTCTAATAATGAAGTCATTGTCACATGAAACAATTGGTGTATTGTTGATTTTATATTTTTCATATTGAATGTGTGTTTACAACTTTGTGTTATTTTGATATAAAAGAGTTGCCCTTTGTGCAGTTGCATCATCATCTATTTTGTTAGTAATTCTCAAAATTTCCAGAACCCTTATAATCTTAGATTCTACTTCCAGGGCTTGTAACTTCAAGTACATAGCAGTGCAGTGGGAGGCCCCCAAGACGTATGGTGATGCCCTGGTGGCTGGCTACAAAGTGTATGTAAATGGTGTTGTTGAGACCATACTAGGACCAGACCAGTACACCTATGCTTTCACTCATGGCCAATGGTGTCACGAGTATGCCTTCCAAATTCAGGTAAGAATCATCCACTCATTGAGTTTCAAGGCTTTATATATAAATGCTTCCCAGTTAAAATCAAAGTATGACAACAAATAGACTGATACACAATATAAAATTGAACTTGAAGCATAAAATTATATGAATAAATACTTATTTTCTTTATAGGCTCTTTCCACTATTGAGAAACTCCATAGCAAACCATCGGAGCCTTTTTTAGTTGAGTGGCCAGGTGTAAGAGCTCCAGTATTATCCAGGGCTCTCACAGTGTCTAGCAACTCTATCAAGATAGTATGGGATACTCCCTATGCAAGTGAAGGAGTCAAACTGAAAATGTACAAGGTAAAATAGTCACTATTCAATTGTCCATAAATAAATAGTGATAATGCAAATCCTGGATAACACAAATACAAAAAAGATATTTTGGTTGGTTTTCGTATATATCCTCTTGACTGTCGTAGTACTCTGTATACTGTACAACATAAGTGTACAGTATGTGGTAAAATTAGAAGGTATAGCAGAGGTGTGCTTTAAATTCACCTTAAATTTCCTCCAATTTTCAGCTGCTCTGCATTTATGAGGAAAGTAATGAGATATCACAAACTGTTAGTCCAATTCATCCAGAAACAAAGGAGGCAGAAGTCCATAATATGAAACCGGGCTCATATCTGGTCCATCTTGAAGTACATGTAAGTCAACAAGAACCGTATATGTTAAATATATCTGAGAATAATAAATTAAACACTACCTTCTTTAAAATATCGCTTTTCTTCATCATCAAGTTACATGTAAGTTAGAGTCATTCTAAGTGAATATATAAAGGGAAAGGACCAAAAGTTGTAATGGAACTCAGCAAGAAAAAGCAAACTCTAAGTGCATACCAGTCAAGAAAAACAAACCCCATATATCCCAAAACCATGATCTAATGTGAAAAGAAACAATGTCTAATACCCCATTCCCCCACCATTCAAGAACCAATATCACAATCCAAGACCAGAAGATCAAGGGACATTTCATTCATACTGAAGTCATTACAATACATGTTGAAGGAAAAATTTGAAATTGATAGCCAATTGAGGCGGTTTTCTTTAAATTACTCCAATATCTGGGTTCTTTGGCCGTTTTCTTGTGACTGTTTACAATAATGACTTTATTAGTTTGCACGGCGAAACATTTGGACTCCAGATTCAACTTAGTTTAGCTGAATTCGGAGGTTTATCGAAAACAAAAGAATTTTGGCCACCATGTTGAATGATACTAACTGCAGTAAGAATCATCCAGCTGTGGAACAATGCCAAAGACATTATGAGCACTCAAGGCTTATTTGACTCCATTTGTAGGTGCATGGAAGTAATCATGTTGTGCGGTCAGAGTCGGTGAGAGTCCAACCTACGGTGACACCGGACCCCCCACACATCACAGTCACTGTGGTTGGCCTAGAGGAAAGGAGACAAATACAGAAAGTTACTGCTAATCTGCTCAATAAGAGAGACAAGTAAGATTAATTATTACTATTATACTGTTATTGAGGCATGGTTCCAGACCAAAAAAGAAAGTTCTATTTTAATGCTCAAATCAATAATGATGTATTAATAGTTAAATAATTAATGTATGTAAATTGAAGTAAGTGATGTGCTACCTGTACATGTAGACTGAACTTGTATGAAACCTGCTTTTTAGATTACTGTCTATGATACCTGGTAGACCTCCCAGTCCGATGAGGATGTCACATGAATCTCAAGTAAGTGTTGAATACTCGTTATTGTAGCCATTCAGATCCCAAAAATATGATCCTCACCAGGGGAGCACAATAAACTAGACATAGCAGTTTTTGTACGTTATACTGACAAAAAAATAAATAAAAAATAAATAATATGATATTAAAACCTCAAAAATAGAAACTAGAATAATTTCTGAATTGAAAAATTGAACATTCGATCGCTGCAAATTCAGATTTGAATTCTGACCAGACGAAGGGGCGGATTTCGGAGGAATATTCATGGAATATTTATGCCCAGTCATGTTATTGTACGAAAAATATTCATAAGAACATTTTTTCATGAGCCAGGCCACTGTATCTTCCCTTTGGGAAAATTTTATCCAGATTCATTCAGTAGTTATTGAGATATTAATTATTTAGTCCAGGCATATCATTTATTGCACTCTTTGAAAAAGAAGCCAGTTGCGTGGGATATATTTGCTGAAATAAGGCAGCATGGTAAAGGTTTAAGCAATATAAACAAACATTTAACATGTTACTGATGAAAGTTCTTATAATTCATTTTTTCTCTGTTTACCAGATTTACCTCAAGGTGTCTGAAACTCTACAGCAAGTGGAGGAGATGCTAGATGACTGTTTCTCCTCTCTGTCACACTATACTGGGAACCTTCTTGCACATGTTAGCTGGCAATGTCCCCAGAGCAATCCCCATGTAACTATCTGTGGCTTCAAGGTTCTCATTGATGGCAAACAGTATGGTTCAACATTGCATTCTGGCGTAAAGAATGTTAGAATTAAGGTACATGTAGGGCTGCATTGTATGTATTTCCCAACTTATTTGTGACAGAATTTATCCTTATTAACCTACCTGGAACTCTCAAATACTCTGATATTCAAATATTCCATTACTGTATGTTCACTTGACCTCACCACCATACCCTCAACTATGTGTAACCTTTTCTTAATCTTACTTACAGCTTGGTCTTGACAAACTTGTACATAAATTGACTATGGTAGCTGTGTCAGAGAAACCACGAACCAGTAGTGTCCCATCTAATATAGTAGAGCTCCTAACAGACCCTTTCCAACCCTACACATTCTTTTGTTTCCACACAATACATTCAAATAATGCAAAGTAAGTACCCATATGCTTTGTCATGTTTTGTTTTTATCAAACATCAATTTTCTTGCTGCATTTTACAGTCTGATAATTTAGATTTTTGAAACCTACAATGTATCTCAGAAATAAACATGATCTTCAATGAAAACCAACCAGACCAATGGCATGTCTATAATGTTGTTAATTGTTTTAGATGGCCAAATCTTGGATGCTGTCAATACATAGATACACTGGAGTATGAGCGACGGTTTCCTACAAGGTCATACAACAATGGGCTTATGCAGCACAATATTCCTCCACCATCTTGCCATGTAATGGATGTCTTCGATGGAGAGTTCAATCCACTGCTGCCACCTAGTGGGCCGGATTGCCCAACTGTACTATTCTTCTGGACTAGATGGTATTATTAATTACATGTATTCTACTTATTATGTTAATTTAAAATAAGCAGTACCTATCACTATGTATACCAAGAGCATACCTATTTTGTATTATGATTAAAATAAATAGTAAATACAGGAATATGCACGGTTTATTAATGAAATTCAGACTTCAAGGTAACATAAATAAATTGTACATTTTTCTTAGGTGCCGCACATCCCAGTATGCTATGGCAAACTTTGTGAGGTTTACCCGAGAGTTTCCTAGGGAGTATGATTACATAGCTGTGTCGTGTGTGGATAAAGAGAAATACCCCTGGGAGAGGCAAGAATTGACACACTATCTCACTGAAAATACTTTGAGGGATGAGACAATCAGACATTGCTTGAATATCAGTGCATCTTCTGCTTATGTGGCAGGCAGCCTGCTGAAGAAAGGGATGCTTGGTAGGCACATAGTGTGACTTTTGCCATTATAGTGGGAGTTTTGTTAATTGTCTCATTGTCTGATATTGAAAATATTTATTTGCATTTAAACCTCTAGAAACCAATATGATATGAGTAAGGTCACTACAAATTAATATGTGACAAGAATGTATTCTGTTTAATGGCATTAAAAAATGACAAAAATCCTAAAAAAGACGAAATGGCTCTAGACCCATGAGGTTTTGGGATTCAGTTAGGTATTGTGCTTAACAGTCAATTTGTTTTAATGGCCTATAAATATCTTTGCTTACCATTTTGATTTTTTAAGTAACTTTAATAACACTAAATTCACAGTAGACATGGTACCATTATCAAAGCTATGAGGCTAAGTGCCTTGAAAGTCATTTATTGATCGATTAATGGATTAAAAAGCAGAGAGAAGCATTACTTATATCTTTGGGGAATAGAGCCAAGTTGATCACTTACTTAATTTAACATTTATCTTGCAAATGGCAGCCAAACATTTATTTACATCATGTTGAATAAATACCGAATAAGTAATTATTAAGACGTGTTATTGGGAATTTCCGATTGCTATGCTTCTATGGTTGCCCAAAAGTAATTGCAAATATTATGTATATGGCTTCAAGAATTTCTGTTATTGACTTTCAGCAAAGCATGGCAAGCATGATAGAGCGATGAGTGATAAGGGGGTCTATGGTGATATCAATGATTTGTTTAATGTGATAGGAGTGCCTACAGTTGTCATTATACACCCAGATGGTAAGAGCAACTTCTTCACTAAAAGAGCAGCTATTTGCACATATGTATAAGTTGTGGGACATTGGACATTGTTGACATCAACACCCACTTTATTAAAACCAGTTCTTACAGGTACACAGTCAGTTGAAATGACAATTCATTTCCGAAGTCTGTTTCAAGTGAGATATAGCACCTGTTGCAGCTGCGCAGGGCTGAATTGCTTCGTAATGAAGGATTGTGTGTCTGTTTCACCTCAAAAGTCCAAAGTCACAAAGCTTTTTGTCAAAGTGCTTTGTAAGGAAGCAATTTACCCTGCTTTAACCTATATCTACATACATGTTCATGTACACTATCAATATCAATAACATCAATATCCACGTATCCCATTGTAATCTGTATGACAAGGTCCTATATACTCATATATATATATTAGATATATGATGATTAATCTTTAATTTCAGACTATATTGCATGGCATGGCAGATATGCAGCATTAGACTACAGCCACTTTAAGGGATATATGCAACATGCCCTTGCCTCTATTTACAATGAAGACTGTTCTGTCCACCAATGTGACACTTGCCAGAATGAAACATCAATAGACATAGATAATATAGGTAAACATAATTAAAGACTCCCATAAGACACAGCACTAACATTTATAGACCTCTTAACTTAAAAGACAAAAGCTTTCTCTAGGATTCAATATATTGATTACTAATTAAGTGCATCATCCTGGAATCCTATCACAATTTATGTAATCTTTGCCATAGTCCAAAAACATCCAATAAATACAAGTTAACTTAACCAAGCATTTTAAACTTAAAATTATTCACAGACTTGATTAATCTATATGCCAATGAAAAGTAAAGTTATGTCTCTAAGTCTGACATGTAGCATGCTAAATGAAATCAATCTTATATTATGCTGAGTCGAAAGCAAAATGCCTATACCAAATATTATGTCAGTGTCAACTACTCAACTCCACTCCTTTTTAGAGCTTATTTAAATGTGTCCCTTGGAGTTATAGTCTTGGATTGGGACATTGGTACTTGAAATGTGGGGGACACAGTTTGTTTTAACATTGGATTATGATTTGGGATAGTTGGGGTTTGCTTTCCTATTGGCTGTTTTCTTTTTCGTCCTGTGTATCGTAACCATTTTTGGTACTTTCCTACAATACATGTTTTGGAACTTTCACATACATATCTATGACTGGAGAAATATGAAGTACATCTACTTGCATTACCACCTTTGTGCTTATTGTATCACCACAAAGATATTATAGATACATATAAATAATGACCATTATTTAGCTTCTGTTTAAAGGTCTTACACTCTGTGACTTACAAGTATGAATTCTTACACTTCGTGACTTACAAGTATGAATTCTTACACTTGGTGACTTATGAATTCTTACACTTGGTGACTTACAAGTATGAATTCTTACACTGTTGTTTACATGTATGTCACCATGTAGTGACGTTTTAAATGCCTTGTATTATAAACGACATGCATGTTCTTTACAGAGATTGGTTGTAAAACATATGATCGCACTTCCCTGTTACTACACAGTTCTGGAAATCCATCCGTGAAAGCCAAGACAGGAGGCACAATCGCAACACCTTCATTCAGCACCAATAAGAAACAAACCAAACCAGATGACACTTTGTTTACAAAATCACAACGTTCCAAAGACTCTAGGCAAGCCAAACAGGAGATTGACATTAATGTAAGACCATATTCTGCAAATGCAATGCCTGAGACTCCGACCAAGAAGAAATCTAGGAAGCCAATATCTGCAAAACGATCTAGATAAAGTCTACAGACTTCAAAAGAAATAATATTGCTCACATTGTGTGGTTTGTTAAGATATTAATGGTGGCCAGAATGTTGCCACACCACAGATTGTTATTAAGCCAGTCATAAAATTAATGCTTAGTCATAAAGTGTGCAATACCAAATAATTAATAAATTTGTGTTAAAATCATATTTTCCTTGATATATTTTTCATTGATTGAATTATGTAAAATACTATTTGAATTAAAATATTATGCGAAATAATGTAAATATCTACTGCAATTGGCATGTAAATTGAATTAATTTATTTGTTTAAATAATGCCAGTCCTAATCACAGCTGTTTTCAATGTATTGACTATACTCCTTGATTATCTTTCAATTTTGTTATTAATATTCAAGTATATTATGATTGAAAATGTTTTCAATTCATACTGATATACATGTAGTTATATTACAATGGCATTCATTGTGTGTGAACATATTTTGTATGTATACTTGTCAGTGATATCCATTGACCATAATAGATGAGTGTCTATTTGTTTATATTTTCAATCACAGACACATCGTGAAGGTTATTTTTTGTACAAATATATACAAATCACCCAAATATGTTTTATGTTTAATTTATTCATTTAAACTAAACATGTAATTTACGATGTTCCATTGATTTTATCTCGATATTAAACATACATTTAACAGAATTCAAATGAAAATACGTTAACAAAATGATTATAACAGAAGACACAAAGAAAGATATGTGTAGTTATTCTAGCAAATAGACATCATATAGTCCTATTGTCATCAATAAGCTTGCCCCTAGAATGCTCTGTATTTTTGTTTAATGTTTTCATGAATTCTAGAACTTTCTTCCAGACTCTCAAGATTTGGTTTATATTTACGGCTTGTCCAAAGATAAGTTGTTGCTCAAGTGATATTGGATGAAGAAATTTTTCTATAAATTGCATTGGGCTTATGGAGTACTGCCTGTTGAACTTTTCACGAACGAGACCAGCTTTAGTAGCTAGAAGTCCCGATATGAAATAATCGTCAACCCAGAAAAATGGTTCATATAATGAGCGTTTATACATAGCCTTCGGTGCATCTGCACTTAATACAAATGCTGCCCCTGAGCAATATGGTGGAAATACATTTGGTTCGTATTCTGCCTCAGAAATATACCATTTACTCCTCTTGTCTCGAACGACATGCATTCTGAACCAAATATGGCATAGAATCAAATTACTGGTTCCTATGTCATGTTCTAATCTGGCTTTCAAATGTTTAATGAGGATGAATATATTAACGAAAATATCGTCATCCGTTTTTAGGATAAATTTAGCAGTTTTGCAATAATTGGTTACCCATTTCAACCCCATTATTCCTTTATAAGTTAGATTCCTGTAGGAATCCACGAAGTCTTCTTGGATGATATCATGGTAATGTTCACTTTCGAATTTAATAGCGTCATTGAGTTTCCGTGTACTTGCATTTCCCAAAAGGAATATCAATTTGATGGATATATCCTTGATGTTATTTGCATTGCCCCACGTGTCTCGTATAACATTTCTATGTCTAACATGACCAGGTGCCGTATGAACATAAATCAGAAGAAATGTTTCATTGTCACACAATTTCTCTTCATTTATAATATAATCAAAATTATGCGGACTTATTATTTTTTGTGTACTTGAAATCGGAAATTCTGACTTGATAATTTTATTCTCATTCGTCTTAGTTTTAAAAGCTTGAAATTCAGCAGATCTCTTTTGTTCGACTTGTAGGTAGTGCCTATTTGATTTAACTGGTATCTCCATTTCTCTCCCCAGTCGGTCGAAAGGTCTCTTTGCGGTTCTCGAATGTCTAGATTGTGACATGTATATCATAATAATGAGAAATCCCAGTGTTGCACAAAATCCATATTTGTACACAGTTGTAATTCGGGGTAGCATGGTTTATGTACCGGTTGTGTGTCACTCCATTACATAAACGTCTTTTTCTGATGGTTTGTCGTATAGCCTCGATGGTATTTAAAGGTACGCACTTGCATCAAATAGAAGATCTGTCTGTCATACCATTTGACAGCGTTATGATGTTATACCCAATATTTGTGATATAAGACTTTGCATTTCTTCTGACTCGGTTTGTAATGGACAAAGTCTCTCTTGTACCTTCAGACTGTGTTATAACAGACAGAGCCTCATTTCATACTATCTAATTGTGATCCATTATAAACAACCCGTCTTATATACGCTGGTAATTTTGTAAGCTGTCATTACTTTCTTACACCTGTCAAAATTGATGTGATCGTTTCTTCAGTGGTGTACAAAATTAGTTTCTGGATGAGCCTGAAACAAAAGAACGTAATCGATATTATTCATGGCTTTGGACAGTTGACATCTGAGTCATTTGATGACATATCAATTGTTTAAGTGCTCCCTGTTCTATGTCTCAGCTCTTGATTAACTTGTATCATAAATATGGTTCTAATTATGCTAATCATTATGGATGTGATAATTATCGAAGCATATCGATTTTTACTTCTACAATTGGCTACCAGCTGCCCCAATATTTGAAGCAATTCCAATATTTTATTCTTATCCAGGTCCTCGAGTGCACCCATTTGGAAACAATGAATCACTTGCTAGGGGAGATATCCTGAAGGGGGGGGGGGTAGACAGGCAATACTGAACACATAAATATAACGTTAGATTTTTGTTTTTGTTAGATCATGGTTTGGGATTGATGTTGTCTTAGATCTTTTTTCCCCCTGTTTTATTTTATGTTTGGGTTATGATTATGATCTCTGCATGATGGGCTGTGTACCAGTTCTGTTAGACACTATATCTTTGTCCGATATATCATTCTTTTTCTGATCTAAAATAGCTCCAGTGTTACAATCCGTAATGATCAGTAACTTTGACTCCCTTCTGAAAAGATCAAAGCTTGAAGCTTGAGTAATTCAAAATAGAAGTTTAATATCAAAATCTCTCGAAACACATCGCTATGAATTAAAATATTTGAAAAAGCAATTTATGATCGCATTTACAGATCTTGATTCTTAAAACTAGTAAAATAACTTATATATCAGCAATTCATATTATTGACTTATGAATTGTCTAACTTACAGCCTGGCACATTTATTGCCACTATTTATAATTTTCTGTTGTTCCAATGACACCTATAAAGGATGAGCTCACATAAGAATAAACACATTTCTTCATTTATGGACGGAAGAAGATCTAGTCAGAAATCAGCGGATTTTTTCACATAATCAATACGCCAATTAATTCAATATTTGCACTTCTCAAATGCAAATTAAATGCAAATTCAATCCTCAAAGAAAATACATATCCTTTCAATATTTATATTTAGTAAATCCAAGATCCTAAAGGTAATCTCCCTCATAATTTAACCAACACGATATGCATTTAAATAAAATGTGTCAATTCAGTATTTACATTTGTGTTACCGCTTCTTAAACAACACATCAATTCATTTTGTTGTTCAATGCTAATTATTTGAGTTGGGCGTCTAAGGAAAGCTGCAATGATACCGGTTGTTATTGATCTCCCCATACATAAAATAGTGAACATAACTCATATTGTAATTCGGTATTATTGATTAATGGTAAGAAACTGATGAGTTTCCGAATACCTACTGTCACCGGAGGAGTTGGCATTGGCATGAATAATGTACAATGAGCAAAACAAGTTAAACAGAACGTAATACAGGGTAAAATAAAAATGAAATACAGACACTTGAATGGTAAAATTACACAGCTGCATGTAGAGGCAAATTATAAGATTCTTGATGAATCGGGTAATTGATATGAGCTTTCACCCCGTTTCTGTTATAATTTGCAATTACAATGGAGCATGACATATTACGTCGAGCTAGATCATTTGTAGTCAAAACGATGAGCCAAATCTTCAAAAACATTGTTACTAATAACAAAGTTTACTCTTGTTATGATAGAAAAAGCATAAAACGGAAAACAAATACAAAAACAACATATTTTAATGATACAATTATACTGAGTACGAGTCAATGTCATGGTGATATTTAAGCGTTAACGAAGGATGGGCAACATCACATAAAAGTTAACAGTCTGGAATGGAAACAAGGAAAATTATGTTAAAAGATTGAATGCTGTATTATGTATCTCTTAAAAGAATATCAAATAAGAAAGAAACGGAAGCGACACATGTTAAACAAAGTAACATAGGGTGAAACAAAAATGCAAGTCTTGCATTTCAGAATAATGTTCTAAATTGTAATGCTCCGTCCTTGATGTTTAAGTGAGAATAGTATTATGTAACGTGAACGAAGGTGTAATCGATTAAATACCGTGATGACATTTCCAAAATATTCAACAGTAACATTGCCAATCAAATTTATACGATCCATATGATTGGATATTGGGTCTATTCTATTGTTTATCTGGTTGTTCCATTTGCATCAAGTTTATATGTGTTTCATTTGGCCATATGGTTCCATATGCCTTCATTGCATGCGATAGTGAGGATCCGATAAATCTGAATGATGAACTATCCTTATGGGGGTTTTCCAATTACCATGGCGGCTCATTTTGTAATGTTTACTCTACAATTAATGAATCACATCCACATATGCATAACTCAAAGAGAAAATAGAAATGCGAGCAATCATGATCAGCCAGTGTTCATTACCAAAATATAATATCACAAATGAAGAAAATAATTCCTTTTGAATAGTATATGGATGCTGAAACACAATGTTCAAAACAACTGAAGAGACTGTTTATTTGTAGAAAAAATGACACTCAGAATGTTTACATCATTGTTGTCCTTTTGAATGAAGTATGAACACTTTGAATTATAAAGAATGGAAATAAGGAAATATGAGTTCGAATTAGTCCGATATCTTCGAAAGATCATGAAGATGTACTCGTAAATCGGTGATGAATATCCAGTTTTGTATATTAATGCATTTCATCAATATATTATGTTTCTGTGTATCTTATGTTGTCCTTTTTGCTTTATATTACATGCAAGGTAACATAATCGTAATTCTGACTTACCATGGTACAGTGTATGTACAAGCATGTCACGTCAACAAGGCTCCCAATCAGCATATTCCTCCCAAAATGATTACTTTGAAGTACACTTCTTGTACAAACTAAATCAATCCAACCCTCAGTAGATCTCAGAAAAAGCAATATCCAAATTGTCTGTATATCTCAAGTCGGCACACGGGGGAAATAACCAAGTATAACAAGACTCTTTTATCGCTCGATATATGGCAAGAATTAATACTGCTTTATTTTGGAGAGCAGTATCTCCTTCGTTGTAATTGACTGCTGAAGGTTGACTTAGTCACACTGCTGTTAAAGGCAGCTCATTATGGCCATCTTGAAAGATTGATTTGTACTAATCTTTTTATATTTATCATTGCGTAATTGTAGTACGTGCCTGCTCTCCTTATGTGATGAATTGAGACGAGACAGATGCGTTTAATAAATCTTTCTTCAAATTGATATTGGATCAAAAACAATTATATTTACAAAAGTAATTTATTTACAATATTGATTATGAATTCATATAAAGAATTTAAAGAAATAAAACGATTCTTTTTGACACCTCTTCTAATTAGTATTGTTGATTCAATGATACAATTCATCGATGCCTTTTTAGATTCCCACTGATTACTTTATTCAATCATTCAATTAACAATTAAGATACAACACCCACGATGTTGTCATTGTCCACAGCTCCTACATCAAGAGTAACACATTTTCAATGAAAACAGAAATTCGCACTTAATATGACTCGTCCTTCGATACTGGGTATTAGTAAAATACTGGTAAAATAAATATTGACTTTTGCTGTGGATATAATGTAATAAATCCAGATGTATATCTGCTGTAGATAGAGGAATCCAGGTCTTTTTTATACCTGAACATTCAAATATATTTAAGATTAATGGTATTATTTTGGTTACTATGTTACTAAGGAAATGTCTAGATCTATTGCCAGTGTCTATTGGGGTCTATGGTATATTTCTTGGTTTGTGGCAAACGGTGATGGCTCAGTGTAACCGAATCTGAATGGAGTTTGCTGTTCGCCAAAGTACTGCATTCGTTTTCTCTGGTCTTGGACAGTCCTAATAAAAAATTGAAAAAGATTGAAAATTACCGTTTATCAAAAACATATTTCATATGTGTATATGATCATATTGATTTCTTAGACAACTGGCATGAATGGATTTATGAGCATTTATCATCCACTTATTTATTCTCATATGTTTTAAGGTAATGCTATTTGGGGAGAAACGTGTAGTTTACTAAACTCCCCACATCGCAATCAAAGGAAATTCACCTGCATTGCGACAACTAGCGATTACAGAGCCCATTCCTTCCATTATTTAAACAGTACAATCTTTTGAATACATTTGGCGTACGTAGACAACAGAAATGTATTTTCATGTATAAATGGGTCAACAATATACTACCAGAATGTATAACCAATTTTTTAAACTATTCAGACGAGACACAACCATGATACTAGAAACTAGAAACATGATAAGCCTAAAGAGCGAACAAACTATGGAATTGCTATGATAAGTTTTTCGGTACCAACAATTTGGAATCAGTTGCCAAACAAGATCCAATCCTCTCTAAGTGTTCCAATCATGAAGAGATACTTGAAATACTTTGTTAGTTAAATGTAACAACACTTTCATCAATTTCTAATTTTTTCTTCAACATGTATTGTAATGACTTCAGTATGAATGAAATGTCCATTTGTGTTCTGGTCTTGATTGTGATATCGATTCTTGAATGGTGGGGAAGGGGGTATTAGACATTGTTTCTTTTCACGTTAGATCATGGTTTTGGGATATATGGGGTTTGTGTTTCTTGACTGGAATGCACTTTTGCTAAAGCCCGGTATACACCAATGGGGCAAGTTGGGACCTCCATAGACTTAACATTGCGTGGGACCTCGTGGGACCTTTTGGGATTTTGCCCCATGAAGTCCGTGGGACTCCATGGGACTTCGTGGGATTTTGCCCCATATTGCCCCATCGAGTCCCACGAGGTCCCAGGAGGTCCCATGAAGTCCCACGTGGGACTCGGTGGGACTCGATGGGGCAAAATCCCACGGAGTCCCATGGAGTCCCATCGAGAATGAACATGTTCATTCTTTCCATGGGGCATCGTGGGATTTTCGGTCATATGACGTGTTGTGCGAAGCCCGACATACACCAATGGGGCACGGTGGGATTTGATGGGACTCCATGGGGCTTGATGGGACTCCATGGGGCACGATGGGGCAAAGTCATCAAGGTCCAATGGGACTTCGTGGGATTCGATGGGGCAAATTGGGATTCGATGGGGCAAGATGGGACTCGATGGGGCAAGTGGGATTTTGCCCCATTGGTGTATACCGGGCTTAAGTTCCATTACAACTTTTGATCATTTCCCTTTGGTACTCGTGCTTAGATATTCATTTATTTGGGCATTATATGACACACCAGTTAGTGACTACCAAAAAGAAGCATTTATACACAAACGGATCCCCTCTATTCTTTTGTATATTGAACTTTTTTTTATATATGTTTAACACATCTTAAATGATATATTTATTAAATCAAAAATGTTGGCTGAGAACTGATCCACTAAATCAATTTATTTTTCAAGTTAAGTTTTTTTTGTATGTCTTCTATGTTATCCGACCCGAGAAAACCACCTGGTGGGGAAACCAATCAATTAAAACGCATGAGACAGCACAAATCTCTACAAAACCATCATAAACATTATATATATCATTATTAAACAGCCCATTATTAGAATACACTAACATTGAAACTTCAACATAATCTATGGCCCACTGGTCCTTCCCAAGTCCACTGTGTATAGGCTGCCACCATCTGAACTGGACTCCAATGCCTTTAGCATCTGATGGCAGGTCGTAGGAAACTCTTTGTGAGTTGAGATATTCTCTGGGCTCATGCCTAGCAATCAGGTGCCAAGTTATCCCCTAAAAAAAAAAATATCGTTAAACAAAATAAAATATATGTGTTAACATTTTAGCATTTTTAAAAATAAATATTTACATGCAGGTATTTTTTGTATAATTTTTAAAACATTTTTTCATTATTATCTTAACAAGTTCTTTCTTTAGCCACCCCCCTGAATAATATCGTATGTTTATTTCTGTGTTTTATGAAATATTTGTTTTTTTTGTATAAAATGTTGCTCTTATTTCCCTTTGTTGCCAGTGTTGGAAACTGCACAAATAAAAAATAACATAAGAGCCATCTATTCAGTATAACATGATTCAGGTTTTACCTTGTTTTTAGTGTATTGTAAGAGAACGCTTCTTGTGTGCGCTTCATCTAGCAGAACGTTGCATTCAGCTGTTTGTTTACGGCTACCAATTCTTATCACAAATAAGATTTTACTGGAATAAAAACAAACGTACGTTGAAAATGTCGTTTATTTAGTCTATGCAGTAATCCTGCATCATTCAATTTCACCGTACTCTGTCAAGAAACAATGGCGAAATGTATCAATGCATTCTGGTGTTGCTGTCTAGATCGTTGCTTTATTAGGTTTATTATGATTACCTGACTCTCGTTGTGTCCATCTCTACAGTTCGAGCCTCTCTATGTCCACATCCATTAAACGACAAGGTTTTCCCATGAGCGTAAGGCAGCAAAGTTCCACAACTTATACCAATACCCCCTCCCCTAACTATTTCCCAATGCTGTTTGTTGACTCCTCCTTCGAATCCATCTACCATCTTACTGATCAGCTGCGTCCGTATTGGCTGGCACGATTCACCTGTCATACGTTTATATTGTTTAGTTTATTTTGGCCTTTTAAAGACTGACAATCAATCAGAATTTAAAATACATGTCTTATATGCTGTATTCAAGAATTCCTATACGGTACATCATTTATATTGATTCTTATATTAAATCGGGTATGTGTCAATTCTTTTCAAATGTAGGATTTTGACGTAAAGAGATGACTTGTTCAGTTTTACATTGCTTGTTGACTAACTTACCAAAATATCCTTTGTCACATACACATTCACCTCGTTTACAATCTCCTCTACCGCTACAGTAATTGGGACACTTCTCTCCTATGTATATATCATCTAGAGCCCACGATGGAGCATCACCCTCACCAAGCTGTTGGATCCAACGGAACCTTGTTTGGCTATAATAGTATAGACAAGTTATGTAGCACACCTTCTACATTGTGCAAAAGAAACTCATGATAATTTGATTTGTCATTTTAAATGTGTACGTTTTGAAATTACATGGTGTGTTCCTTCTGCATTTCTACATAATTTCCCTGGATACTTAGTCTACCTAGAGTACGCCTTGGAGGTCAGCGGTATGGTAATTCTCGTCCACTTTAGGTGTAGATTAGCGTCAAACACCGTTCCCCTGTGGTAATCATATGGCTGGCATTCACTGCTACTCAGACTGGGATCTGTCAAACACTGGTGCCGCAGCAGCTCCCATTCATTCTTCATAGGGTCTTTGTTAAACGCTAAATAAATGGGTTGGTCTGTGTTACAAAAAAATGATTTATCCTTGCACCCAACGGCTATCTGGAAATGTAAAATGAAACGGTTGTCACTTCTGTATTTGATATCTACTTTGAACAATAGAGATCACATCAAATGATACAATACGCATTTTAACGATGCAAATGTATTGCTCGCATGTTCTCTTTAATTGGAACAACGGGAATTAGTTTCGTTCAGAAAGTATGCAGTCACTGAACTTTTCTCACCTTGAACTGTATCATATACCTGTCCTGTATAATCATCTGTTGGGTTGTGATCTTTCTCACCCCAACCTTGCTGCCCCACCACACTGCTTTCCCCGGTCGCCCGCAAACACTGCTTGCAATTTGAGCATGTGGTAGGAACTCCCACTTTTCAGCATCAAACTCCATGTCAAAGTCCTCTATTAACTCATGAGGATTGATTTCTGTACCACCAATGTAGATGTTGTCCAACGCCCAGATGGATTGGGTTGTGTTCTGCTTGGATAATGGTTGCCACCAGCGTATTCTCGTCGATTTGGTTCTTGCTTGCTGCGGAAGTGGTATGTAGTCTTTTTTGGGAGTTGCGTATGATGCATAGTCAAGTATGTGTAGACCATGCCATGTAATCCCTTTAACAAAAGATAAATTACTTCATGTTTATGAATATCGTTTCATATAGCTGCGATTGATTTAACTTTAATACTGAATATTCAATTACGTACCCCCATTGATTGAATATTGCAGAAGTACACTTTCGTCCCTTGACTTTGGAAAACCACAACCATCTGTGGTATCATGGCCCCCTATCTGGGCATAGTACTGAATGAATCTACAAACACGTCATTAGATTTTTAAAAATTTAAACTCTCAATTGACATATATTACAAGTCTAATATTGTTTCATTTTTAAATCATAACTCGATCGATTCAATGATCGATTCCCTTCATATGAGATGATTTGATAAAATACTGCTGATTTTGGATGATTTGATAGGTTCGATTAGTAGTTTTTGGCAACTTTGTATGTTATTTTCCAACTATTTCTCCCACGTCTTCTGATGATATTAACAATTGAATCAACCTACTTGGCATCTCTGAGGTCTAGATCTTTTGTTACTCCTTGTCTCTGACCAATGCTGCTGAATACAATACTTTTGTCTTCTATCAATACCCCACAACCGTCCCCTGATGTCCCGCCTTGTATCATATCCCAGTTATCCATTCCAGACCCTGCCTCCTCCTTCATATACGTCTGTAATGTAAATAAAACGTTCCCCAGGAGCTCCAAATACGACCACGACCCAATTCTATACAACGCACTATGACATGCTATTTCTGTCTTATAATTGATATTGCAGGATGTCAAATGTTGTTTTTTTTCTGCCAGGGTATAAACACTACCTCACTTATATCATTACCTGAGATGTTTCCGCGTATTGACACACTTCTCCAGAATATCCCCTCCTGCATTTACAGTCTGGAAAGTCACAGCGTCCATTCCCACTGCACATGTCCTTGCATCCTGGTCCAATATAGACGTCATCGATGGCCCAATGTTGACCGCCATTAGAGTGCTGGTTGTTCTCATCTACTTGTCTCCAACGGAACCTCGTGGATCTGTAAAATGCAAATATGAATGGATTGACATCTGTTGATGCTGCAGATACACTAAACCAACAATTGGACATGATACAACTATGGTATGGTCAAGTATTGTATAATTATGTATGTATTGTACGAGTATTGTGAAGAAAGTGATTCTTATTAAAACACATACAATGATATTTCATTCCCGTGTAATGGTATGGTATACGTTCTCCACCCTGTCTGAGCGTAGTATACACTTGGCATCGGAACGTCTCCATTACATTGAGGGAATGACGGGAAACATTCCGTCACAAGATAGTGCCATGTCACGCCATTATCAGTTGAGAATTCTAATCGAACAGGTGATATATAGGCATCCCAAGATGCATTGCATCCCACACTGATACTGAATTGCACGATGTAGTCGCTACGCACAGCGACATCTATTGTCTCAGCAGTTGAGTTCTCATTGGGCTGATATTGCCCAACTAGGGCAGTTTTCGAGTTGCAGTACTCGGCGATGTGGGTATTGTCTGTGCTTATCCATTTTGCATTGCTAATACCATTGTTAAAGTTATCTTTAAGTATGTTAGTGTTAGTATCTGTTCCACCGATTACAATGTTGTCGATTGCCCAGTCATCCTTGAGATATCCTGAATGTACAGGCTGCCATAGTCGAATGCGTGTACCGTTGTGTTTGGCAAGTTTTGGAATAGCAATTGTAACAAAACTGAAATAAAAATTGAACAACGTAAATAGACAATTCATGTTGTTTTGTGTACTGTAGAGAACTAAAAATGTAGAAAAACTATTGATTGTAAAGGCTATGATTTCATTAAGAACAAAACATTGTCAAAGAAAATACCTTGCTTTGTAGAACATATCGTAGAATAACTCTGTGAGTTTGAACCACCTGTTCCCTCCATTGGTAGAATAATCAACAAGGATTCCATTGTCTCTGTTTCTAGGCTTTGCAAGACAACCGAACTTAGCGTATAATTGTATGTACACCGCAGAAGAAAGGTCCAAATCTCTGGTGATTGCATGCCTACTACAACCCTGAAAGTATAAGCAAGGGTATATGCCACATAATTTCTGTATTATAATGATGAATGGAGATGGGTATAAGGAAAGATTGCAAAGACGAGTTTTACATAACATACCCCATAAAAGTGAAGTGAATGACCAGAGACTATTACTCCACATTTGACGCTAGGGTATCCTCCCGCCACACTTTGCCACTTGTCATATGATACTTTCTCACCAAATGCGTCATTCAGTTGTTGAGGAAGTTGTTCTTTTGGTAATTCACACGAATCTCCATACCAACCCTCATCACAGCTAAAACACAATTATAGCTGTACTAATAACTTCTAGATATCCTTAATTTTGTTCATAAATTGCAAAACACCATGTTTTAAACTTAATGTAGAGCTGATGACACATATTGGAAAACACGCAACAGAGAATAATTAGAGTCAGTACGAGCTCTGTCAAATGGTATCAAATTTTGCATATCTACAATATATACCTGCATTGTCCACGTGCACATCTGCCGTGTCCACTACACGTACATGGACACTCATCACCAATGTATATATTGTCAATTGCCCAGGAATCCTCAGCATCGAATCCCATTGGCTGACGCCACCTGAATCTCGTCGCTTTTGACCTGTAAACATTTTCTACATATTGTCATAATGTCTTAATTATGTTAATTAGATGCTTTATGTTATGTCATAATTGTACAAATGTGTTACGTCACAATCTATGGAATAAACGCAGTTGATAGTCAGACACGACACGAGTGAAGTTCAATTCTCATAACATGGTGACTAGATGTGGTTAAAATTGGATTAAATTGGTGTTCATGCCGGATATTACTCATATATAGTGCCCGATAATCCTATAGGACAGTAATGGCATCATTTAGACTGACACCACCGGAAAATTTGGATACAAATAACCCGAAACTATGGAGGTTCTGGAAGCAACGCTTCACAAGATTCAGGACAGCCGCAAAACTTGATTCTGAATCGGAGGAAAGCCAGATAAACAGTTTACTTTATATTATGGGTCCAAGATCAGAAGCGATCTATAACAGCTTTATATTCGCAGAAGGAGAGGATAGATCTAAATATGAAACCGTTTTGAGGAAATTCGACGAGTATTTCGTTCCTAAAGTTAATGTGATAGACGAGCAGCGGCGTTTTCATGAGATCGCACAAAACTCTTCGTCTGTTGACACGTTCCTGAGAGAACTGTACGAACAATCAGAGGTTTGCGCTTTCGAAAATAAAGAGACGGAAATACTTCATCAGTTCGTTAATGGACTATCTAACGTGGAACTTCAAAACAAGATAAAACTGATGGACTATTCTAAACTCACGTTGCATCGATGTATTGAAATGGCAAGAATCCGAGAGGCTGTGCGCGAGACTGGCCCGCCTCAACCTGTTGATGCGATTAAAGCCCGTGGAAATAGTTCAAATCACCGCAAACAGAAACCCGACCGTGAATGTGGTAACTGTCTTCGTAAGCATGCAGAGGGGCAGTGTAATGCCCATGGAAAACAATGTTCCGCCTGTAAGGGCATCGGGCATTTTAAAAGGGCATGCCGCAAGACAAAAGGTGGGACTGTTAATAAACTTCCGAGTAAAAGCTCAAACAAGAAAATTGAATCTACAGAATACGTAGAAGATCAAGATGAGGATTATGTATTCCTATCGGAAATGGTAATTCCCAATGACCCAGGCATTCCAGGATTACCAGACCGGATCTTCGGGACAGATGTCGATGTATGCTCACAAGCTTCACCCGTTCCAGGTAGCCAGAGTGACGATATTAATACATCACCGCTTGCTGATTATGTTGATATCGACAATATGACAGACGTCACAGATGTGAATGATCAAGTTCCAGCGTGGTTTAAAGAACTTAGGATAGCAGGTAACAATCCCATTCTTTTCAAAATCGATTCAGGGGCTGATGTTACCATGATCACCAGTGATACATACTCTAGTTTGCCTAATCCTCCTCCATTACGTCCGAGTAGAGTTAAGCTCAGTAGTCCAGGGGGTCCTGTCAAATGTAAAGGGGTGTTTACCGCTCAAATTCCCCATGCGTCACGCAAATACAGGGTAAACATGCACGTCGCAGATACTTTTTCTGGGGTAAATCTTTTGTCCAGGGGCTGTGCTGTAGCCATGGGTCTTTTCAAAGATTTAGGGTCTGTTCATGATACCTTTAATGACTGTTACGGTGACGTTGGTAAGATTGACTGTAAGCCAGTTCACATTGACCTAAAATCAGACGCTGTGCCTTATAGTGTACCTTGCTCCAGACGTTTACCTTTACCATTAATGGCTAGAGTGAAAGATAAGTTAGAAAAGCTTGAATCTCAAAGTGTTATTTCACGCGTTACTAGTGCCACTGATTGGTGTGCTCCCATTATCGCGGTAGAAAAGAAAAATGATGCTGATCCAAGAATTTGTGTGGATTTACGTCGTCTAAATCTCAGTGTGAAACGTGAGAAGTTTATCCTCCCTACACCAGAAGACGTTTTGCACAAGTTGGCCGGCTCCACCGTGTTTAGTATTTTGGACGCGTCGAGTTCTTTTTGGGGTCTCACATTAGATCACGAATCATCTCTATTGACTACGTTCATTACGCCTTTTGGAAGGTATAAGTTCAATCGCGTACCATTTGGTCTTAACTTCGCAAGTGAACTTTATCAGAGACATATGAGTGACATATTTTCGAAGGTTGATGGTGCCGAGGTCGTAATCGACGATATAATCGTACATGGAAAAACTCAAGCAGAACATGATAAAAATCTCAAGAACGTGATGGAACTCGTAAGAAAGGTAGGGATAAAGCTCAATCGCCGAAAGTGTAAGTTTTCATTGCCGGAAGTCACATTTGTTGGCAATCGAATTTCAAAGGACGGTGTAGCTCCTTCACAAGAACACATAAAGGCAATTCAACAGCTAAATACACCTACTGACGTCACAGAACTACGTAGATTTTTAGGTATGGTCAATTTTCTATGTCGTTTCGTGAAAAACTTAGCTGAAGTTGCAGCTCCGTTGTATGCATTGCTTAGAAAGGATGTTGTTTTTCAATGGGAAAAAGCCCAAGATAATGCTTTCAACGAAATCAAACGAATGATATGCAACGCGCCGGTACTAGCTTTTTACGACGTTTCTCGTCCTACTATTGTTAGCGCAGATAGTTCTAGCTACGGAATCGGGGCGTGTCTTCTTCAGAAAAGTAAAGATGACATTTGGAGACCGGTTGCATTCGGATCAAGAAGTTTATCTGAATCGGAAAAGAAGTATGCCCAAATTGAGAAGGAATGCCTTGCTTCGGTATGGGGGTGTGAACATTTTTCCAGATATTTAGTCGGTTTACCCGAATTTGAAATTTTTACGGACCACAAACCCCTTGTGCCGTTGATAAATTCCAAAGACATTGATAAAGCGCCGATTAGGTGCCAGAGACTTCTTATGCGATTGATGCGCTTCAACGTGCGTGCTAAATATGTCCCGGGAAAGGATATGGTAATAGCAGACACATTATCGCGCGACCCGATGAAACCGTGTAATGAAAAACAGGATGATTTCGAAGTAGATATAGAATCTTATCTGTACTCACTTGACAGAAATAGACCTATCGCTGATCAGTTATTGGAGAAAATCCGCGAAGCTACAACTTTGGATGCTGATCTTTTACAGGTAAACAAATACATTTCTCTTGGATGGCCACAATCTATTAAGAGTGTACCGCCAGCTATCAAGCCATATTTTGCAGAACAAGGTATGTTGAGTTTATATAACGGAGTTATAACACATGGCTCGCGTGTTGTCGTACCTCGGAGTTTGCAGAGGGATATGCTTGAACGCATCCATCATGGTCATTTGGGCATTACAAAATGCAGATTGCGCGCGAATCAATCTGTATGGTGGCCTGGAATGAGTTCGCAGATAAAAGATATGGTAAGTAAATGTGCTCATTGTGTTGTTTCAAGGCCAACTCAAAAGCATGAACCATTGATACCTACTATTCTACCTGATAGGCCATGGTCATTAATCGCAGCGGATCTTTGTGAGTTCCAGAATCAACACTGGTTGGTGATCGTGGATTACTTCTCTCGTTTCCCAGAGATCGCGCTCATGAATAAAAACATTACATCAAAGAATGTGATAGACAAAATGAAAGGCATATTTGCCAGATATGGTATTGCTGATGTTGTGTCGGATAACGGTCCTCAATTCGCAAGTCAAGAGTTTGCAGATTTTGCTAAGAAATACAATTTCCGTCACATAACTAGTTCGCCACATTTAAGTCAGTCAAACGGACAAGTAGAGAGAGGAGTGCAAATAATCAAACGGTTCCTATCGCAGGATGACCCATTTCTCGCGCTTCTCACTTATCGCTCTACGCCACATATGTCCACAGGTGTTTCCCCAGCACAATTGTTGATGGGAAGACAAATAAAATCGACTGTACCAACCTTACCCAACAACTTAAGTCCACATTGGCCCAACCTAAGACAAATTGCTAAGCACGATAGCAGTGCTAAGGCAAAGTACAAGACTAACTATGACAATCGCCATGGTGTGAAACCTTTGACAGAATTACCTAAAGGTGACAAAGTACTCGTTAAACTTGACAATCAAAAAGGGTGGAAAACTCCAGGTATAATCAAAGCCAAACATGACTCACCAAGATCGTACATTGTACAGACTGACCGGGGTACTGTTAGACGAAATAGACGCCATCTAATGCCAGACCCTAACTCTAAATTAAGGGATCTCAGTCCTATTCCATTTCCAATGGAATTCCCCGCCCCCACAATTACCAATCCTAGTAGTTCTGGTATTTCGCCCGACATTGAGGATCATGGTAAGCAGTCTGTGAATGTTAAAGAGGAATTACCTCAACCAAGAATGGAATTGTTGCCAAGTCCAAGAGTCATACAAACACGTTCTAAATCTGGTATAATTGCAAAAAAGCCATCCAGATTTATGTAATGGACATTGTGATGCATTGTTAGTGAATCGCAAATGATAAAGTGTTCAATTAAGACTGACATTATTATCACTATATAATGTTTATGTTTTAAAGCTGACGTTGATACGTTTTATATACAAACTACAAGCTTTCTATATGCATGAAGGACAATGCAAAATTCATTTATTTGCTTAGACATGCGATGGACATATTACATGCAATTCATTAATGTATTATCATCCTAAAAGGGGAGATGTCATAATGTCTTAATTATGTTAAGTAGATGCTTTATGTTATGTCATAATTGTACAAATGTGTTACGTCACAATCTATGGAATAAACGCAGTTGATAGTCAGACACGACACGAGTGAAGTTCAATTCTCATAACACATATTGACTCAAAAACAAATCATTCTAATTTTTAAATATTGTTTTATTTTGCAATTATTTCAATGGATGATTGACATATTCCTGTCGCTTTTATTCGTTGTTGCCGTTACCATAGTGTATAATTCGGCCCACCTACCTTGTGTAATATGGTAATGGCATAACCACTCTGTTCCAACTGGAATATGCATCTGATTTAAAATGGCTTTTTGTGTGGTAGTTTTCACAGTTGACATCAGATGGCATACAGTATTCTTTCACCAACTCCCAAGTCTGCCCAAGGTTTGTGGAGTATTCCAATTCAATACCTGTTCGCATACAAAGATGAATTTAATAACATGAATCTAAAAATCTCTAGATAGCATGTTAAATGCAAAAATGAAAAATATAGTCTAACAGACTTCAAAATTAATGTGATAATATAGAACTGATGAGTATGCCAGCGAATGCTACCTATTGTATACTTCACTTACTGTAACATTTGTCAGATTTTTTACATCCCATTGAAATATTAAATTGTATGAAACTTTGTTCATTTACAGCTACGTCAATCGTTGTTGCGTATCTCTCTTCTGTGTTTCCTGGAACGACCAATCAATACATTATTTTCTATTGTATATAAACCAGATCAAGCTAGATCTTTAATTTTGTTATATTTTAAATCATCGAACTTTAGGGACTGGAATTGAGGGAGACAAGTTGTGAATAAGTAATAAGTTGTCACAATTGTAATTTTTACTACCATCACTTCATGTCATGCATACTTTCTGAAGTTTTCCAGGACAATCCTTCCATTTGTAATACAATCTGTCAAAAATGAATAGGTTACGCCATTAATAGTAAATTCTATATTCAATCAGATATCTCAATTCTCAGAAAACAAAACTGTATTCCTGTCTTCGTGATTGTTACCTGCGAAATGGAGAGCATAATCCCTTCCACATACAGGTTCTCTTGCTCCACCCGATACCACTGGCCATAACCAATCTCTTTGTGTATAGAAGTCATCGCTTATGGACCTCAAACCATTTATATTGCCTCCAATATATACCTGCAATTAACACAATGGTATGATCGACATGAAGAGAATATGTGTGAAATCGATGTAGGCCATTGGCGTCGAGTCGTTCACCAGAACATTTGTGCAAGAGCTGATTCTAGATATATTTTACACGAAGTCTACTTAAATTACCTCATCAATTGCCCATTGGATGTCATATGTTCCATCGGGTGATGGTTGGATCCATCGTATCCTCGTGGAGTTTGTTCTTGCATCTCTTGGTATCTCCATAGCAACATACATAACCTTCTTGTCTGTTGTTTTAGGATCAAAGCGTTTGATTGTTTTCCATGATATACCCCCATTTGTAGAATACTGGACGTATATGTTATTGTTTGGTTTTGCGTTCTGTTTTGAATGGCTCAGGAAATCATCGCATCCCACTTTCAAGAAGAATTGAAGGACGCTGCCAATTGTAAAAATAGTTATAACTGCATGAAGTATAAAACATTAACAGAATTTTCGAAGTTGCCTTTCAAAATTGTCCAATTGTTACATGATTGAACTTATTCTGCCGTAAGCTACATTTGTGTCAAGACGCCATTTGCATTCACAAATGACATTGTTTTGAACATACCTGGCAACCGATAGATCTAGATCATCTATAGTGTCAAGGACTCTGACACCAGTGCCCTGGAAATGTAGGCTACTACCATCCATAAGTCGTCCACACTTCTCAGAAACTTGGCTGCCACTATTTCTTAACCCTCGTGTATAGGCAAATCCATCAACAGGATCTCCTTAAAACGAGAAAATGATAATAATGATAGATCTCATTTAGATGTGCTCAAAGCAATAGTTATTGTGTTAAGACTTCATGGGAAACATACCACTATGATGTTGTTTGACCATAATACCTTCAAAACTTTCTTTTAGATATGTAGGATGCCTCCTCTGAGCCTGACACGTGTCTCCGCTGTATCCATCGTCACATTGACACAACATTCCATTCACGCATGTACCATGTCCATTGCAGTTGTCCATACACTTCATCCCGATATACAAATTGTCTATCGCCCATTCTGGCGCAAAGTCTGTGTATTTGTAGTTCCCTTGATACCATCTGAATCTGGCGGACCTGAAGCAAAAGCGTATTACGTGTTTTTGCATTGGCATGATTCAAATGCTTGAGTGTGGAGAAAAACCCTTATACAGGGTGTATCAAAAAACGCAACAAGTAGTTATCTCGTAAAATCACAAAACTAGTGATGACTACATCAATTTCATTCAATGTAGCATAAAGCCACGTCTCTCCTCTTTGCAATGATATGTCATTCATTCACAAGTGATAATGGTTGGGTGAGAAATCCTTCCATTTGCACTGTGGGTCAAAATCGGCTCTGCGCCAAGTTTTAGATATTGAAAAAATCAGTACAAGGGCTAAGTGCCAATGGAAGTTCCTCTTACTTGAATTGTTGTGACTTTTTCTTTTGGAGCTATATCAGGAGCATCTGAGCTTACAATTTTTCCACCAGATATTACAAAACCTCGAGAAAGAATTGCCCATGGGCTGCTTTTCTCTGCTTGAACCCAAAGATGAGCGCATCTTTATGTGCAAGGAAGTGGTGGCAATTTGGAGGGGTATAGAATGTATTCTTGCAAGAGTATGAGTATGAACACTTTACTGTCTATGCCACACCTGTCACACCTTCTTCCAATAGCCCCTATGCCCCTTGTACTGACTTTTGCAATGTTTAAAACTTGGGTCAGAGCTGAATTTTGCCCCACTTTGCAAAATTAATGATTATTCAGCCAGAGATGACTCCCTGTGAATGAATGATATTCCATTGCAAAGAAGACTAATTTGGCTTTTTGGTACATTGAATGAAAAGGATGCAGTCAGCACTGGTTTTATGTTTCTTCCAATATTGCATCGGTCTCCGTACACTGACTTTTGCGATGTTTATAACTTGGCCCCAAGATAATTTCGGCCCACTTTGCAAATGGAATGATTACTCGCCCAACCATAACCAAATATCAATGAATGATATATCATTGTAAAGAGGAGACACATGGCTTTATGGTGCATTGAATGATATCAATGCTGTTATCACTGGTTTTGTGTTTTTTCGAGATAACAATCTGTTGCGTTTTTTTAATACGCACTGTATTAGTATTATTTTCATTCCTAATTGCAGTGCTTGCATTTATACATTTAATACACTTTTTTGTTATTACTTCTTCAGTGTTGGCTTTTCTTAGTAAACGTGTTGCTTTTACTTAGTAAACGATATAATATTTTTTCTCTTTCCCTATATTTAAATGATATTGTAACACAAAATCACACAGTACTATTGGAGACCATCAGAACGCTTACCCACACACATTGATGTCCTTCAGCGGTACGATGAACCGTCTCCAGTAAGGAGTGGTGCCTCTATAGTAAATGGTTGCATCATGCATTTCCCCTTTACACGAGTTGCTTGGGTCGTCATGGCTGCAGGGTTCTATCACAGGTTTCCATGTGGCTCCCTGGTCCAGGGATATCTCTAATCTCACAGGCTCCTTGTGACTTGATATGGTTGAGCAATCAACATTTATCTAGAAAAAGATTAAAAAACATAAATGTGAAAGCAAAAAAGACGAACAATTCTCAATGATATGAACCAACAATGAAACAACAATTTATGAAGAATAGAAAAAATGTATTTGTCCAGCAAACGAAGATCGTCAAAAAAGTGTCTTACGTCAAATTGAATAACTGTATTTTCATCGACATCTAGATCCACTGTTGTAATGGACCTTTCTCCAGTCCCATGACTGAATGTCATTGCTGTTGATCCGGCAAATATTGCATCGGATCTAGAAAAGACAAAACAGTCTACAAAAAATCTATAACACCTAGGACCAACACCTAGGACCAACTGTATTGATTAGTTCATTTTGGCCGTAACATTTTAAAGGTCGCGAATTCAAATCTTTTGTGGGTACTTGTGGTTCTATATATTTGCGTCTGGTTTGAATCGTATTTAAAACTTGAATATTTACCTGGTGTTGTAATCGCAAAACTTGTCTATCTTGCCCCCTGGCCAGAATAACCACATGCTTGGGTCAGGTTCTACGTCAAACATCTCGTACAACATGGTAGGATTCATCATACTGCCCCCTATGTAGAAGTTGTCAATGGCCCACACAGACTTGCTTTCGCCTAAATCATAAGAGAAAGCACAGGGGAATCGTTAGTAGATTTATGGAACAACATTCACAGTGAACATTAGAAAAAACACATAACTACATGTAGCCCACTAATGCTGTGGTCACATTTGCTACGATTTTCACTACGGCGGATGGATAGGAGCAAATGTGACCCAGACATTAGCCCACTGTATATAACATAAAAAGTCACATGTATCGTCCACAGCTATTTGGTTCTTATTGATCAATACCTCTATGATTTGGCTGCCAAAATCTAAATCTTGTCGAGTTCATTCTAGCTGGAGTTGGTAGTTGTAATGCATAGTGTTTACTAGATCCATCGTTCTGGTAATGAAGGTCATCCAAAGAGTCCCAGGATATACCCCCATTGTTGGAATACTGTACGAGTACACTCTCTCTCTTAGGCCACTCCTCGGGCTCGTCGTTGAAACAACTGTATCGGAAATCAAATTGGAGGGCAATGGCATTTGTCGTGTCCATATCTCGTGTAACACTCATTCTGAGTTTATCCTGGAATTAGCACATACAATGTTTCGATGTTGCGATATATGCAATCTTTATATACATACAGTATATTCTGATTTATCAATTTGGGTTCAGCTCCAAGCTACTTTAGCTACGTATATATCATTTGCATGCGTGTATGGTTGTACCTTGTAGAATGTGAGTGCGTTTTTGCTGAGCACCGTGTCACATATAGATGTCGCCACTCCCCCATATATCTCAGGCCACACTTTTATATCAATCCCAGAATCGAAATCGTCTCTCATCATTGATGGGAGTGGTATCTCTGGGACACAGTATTCTCCCCCGTAGCCATAATCACATCTAAATAATGATACATATTATAACAAACAATCAACAGCAAAGAACAGTCAATAAAACATGTCACGATCGGGACGACTTCCGAACACCATACAATACAAAAGGATTGGTTTGATTAATTAAGCATGTATGTTTTGTACATGTCTAGGCAATTCGAACCTGATACTTACACACATGTGCCGTCTACACAATAGCCATGACCAGAGCACATCCAGGGACAACCTTCTCCAAGATAGACATTATCCAGGGCCCATACGTTCCCCCTCAGACTTGATGCATGCTGCATCCAGCGGAACCTAGTTGTTGGCGATCTGAATGAAAGTATAAATTGCCACATCATATACTTTGTAGGTTCACACTTTCTACACCAAAACAGACCAAATGAACACATCCTTTTAATGAGATTTGATGTATCAAATGTGACCATCACTGCACTTTAAGTTTAGTGCATGTTTGTATTATTTTCACACTTACACAGCATTACGTGGCAGATACAAAGTGACCCTCGTCCAGTTCATATGATTCTCTGACTGATAGTCACTGCTGAAGTGGTACCCGCTGCAGTCTGTCCTTGGCGGGGTACACTCATCTACCGCTGGGGTCCAACTACGACCCATATCCGTGGAGTACTCTAGCATGACACTGTAAAGTGTGTCGTATATCCCACCACAACCAAGTGCGATGTCGAATTGTAGAAATGTTGATGGGGTGACGTGGAAGTCCCATGTTTCAGCATACCTCATGTTACCTATTATATTATCAAATTACCTATTATATTATCAAATTACCTATTATCTTATCAAATTATCTATTATATAAGGTATTTACAAGTTTGAGTAATGACATACAGCGTACGTCATGCTTTAAGCTTTACATACATGGTTTATTTGATCTAGTGACCTAAAATGCGACATTTGCCTTTGTACAACCTAGTATATATCAAAACCTTCAAGACTGAGCCGTCAGGCATATAAAGTGATAAGCACAAGCCTACTAAATGATAAAAAAAAGTATGTTGAAGGAGAAGTATGGGTCATACCAGTTGCTTTGCTAAACTCTAAGGCATCGTCTTTAGATTTGCATGTAATCCTGGGTATTGCATTCATGGTCATGAACCAGCCATCACCCTGTGCTGTGTTAAAGTTATCCTGGAAGCTAACAGCACTGCTCTCGTTGACAGCTATCACTACGTTGTCTATTGCCCATTCTGCACGCTTCATATCTGTGGAAATATATATATACGTATTAATCAGATGGAAAACTATTAATGTATTATGACTTTTGTTTTGCATCATTTGTTCCACATGCAACATATCAGAGAACCGTATCATATCTTAACATATATGTATGTACAAATGCTAAAGGGAAAAGACGACAACTTGTTCCAGAACACAGCGGTATATGCGTAAAATCTTTTGTACATGTGCAGTAATTGTATTATAGAATTGTATCATTCCTGGACTGTGCATTATCGTAGTAAAACTGACCTGGCTCAATGATTGGTTGCCACCACCTGAACATAGTAGAAGGTGTTTGGGCATCATCCACCAGCTCAATGTTGATTGTCTCAGGTCGTCTGTTCAAGTACAACGGATCAAGCACCTATGAAGTATGTGTATGTAAAAGATTGACCTTATAGGACAGAGTTTGGACCTGTCTGCCTATGATACAGTATTACATCAACTTAAAAGATCTATATAAGTTGATTAAAATAGTAAGATCTCCAAATATGGTAGAATTTTTTAAATGACAGTTGATTTATGTTGAGTTCCATTTTCATTTATCCTGCATGCTATTCCCCATTTTCCCATTCTTTTACAATACAAGGACACCTGTGTGCCATATTGATGCACATTAAATTTAAATCAAGATTGTCCACAAAGTTACCTTCAATGTCTTCCATGTTATTCCATTGTCAGTTGAGTAGTCCAGAATTACCCCTTCGTTCCTACTGTAAGGACGTCGACATCCTTCACTATCATCATGGCTTCCTATCTTCACCATGAACTGAATTATTCTGAAAGCAAATATCATTTACTTTTTAATAATTTATAATGGTCGTTGAGCTATTACATGATCAGTAGACAACTTAATTCGACTATATATTGTAGATGTGTTCTCTACCTCGTATTCGTTGTGTTTATTGGAATAGTCCAAGCTGCACGTGTTCCATCACCTCCAAAATATAAAGAATTCCCCAAGCCAAGTATTCCACAACCAGTTCCAAGATGGCCGCCTAACACCCCCTCCCATATCTTACCAGGCCTGTTCATATCATCAAATCTGTCCACCATCCCATTTGCATCAGACAGAGGCTTTTCTGTCTCACACGCAGGTTCTTGAATAATATATGTAATTTTGATCATTTCAGGAATATTTCATTTGAATAATATGTCGTTCAAGTCATATCGCTGTCATTTGGTGTTGGTCTTAATTGTTTGGATTTTGTTTTTTTTAGAAATAATGTTTCTTCAATCACTTAGCTAGTTGTCTAGAACCTTTAGTTATGTAACACTAAACTATGTAAAGCATATTAGCTATTAAATAAAAATGATGCCCGTTTGGTTATGATATGGGACAATGTCATACCATCATATCCAGGGTCACATTTACATTTTCCCCTCTGACAAACACCTTTTCCGTTACACATCTTGGGACAGGGGCTTCCAATGTAAACATCATCAAGTGCAAAACTACTGTGCGGACTTCCCTCTTGAAACCAACGGAAATTCACGCGTCTGAAACAATTACATTTTTGGTTGTGCGCCATATATAGCTTGCATGATATATATTCAAAATAACCAACGGTTTTTAAATATATAATTATCTATTTTCGTGGAGTGTTTGTGTGTCTTGTTTTTATAAATTCGTGATAAACATTTCTTTGTCATTTCTTTGTCACTTTGTCATTGCCTATAATGTTGTATACTTGCAAACAGGTCTTAATGAACCAAGTAATACAAATCACCCAAGTCTTCCTGTCTAAGTCAAAACACTTACCCAGAGGCGACCTCTTTTGAAACTGGAATAACTACTCTCTGCCATTCCCCATATGGGCCTGAATAGTATATGCTCCCCTCGCTGTAGTGGTCTCCACACTGTTTGTCAAGATAGCATGTCTTCTGCACCAATGCCCATGTCATACCAGAGTCGTGGGAGTACTCCAGACGGACTGGGAATTTAGATGAGAATTGTTTGTTGCATCCAACATTTATCTGCAATTTACAATGTTTCATGTATTGGTCAGTCAACATTTTGTTTGTATGTTGGCTGTGTAGGTTTTTTATTCGATATGACTGGTATTATACGTTTTGATGTTTGTTTCCATGGTGATCTTTACACAATTTTTAAATAAATTGGAATTTTGGCTTCTACAGCCGAGTACAGATTCAATGAGATGTAATGTCCGAATATGTACTGAATGCATACCTACATGTACTCCACTACGAAGATGTCTTGAACATGCATTACACGATTGGTCGTTTGTCATTTTATTTAACTTGGATTAATATTTTCACATACCTTGAATTGAATCACATCATCAGGTTTCAGATCCATGTCTTTCGTTATTGCTACTTTGTCATTCGATTGATCGGCAAACATCAGCGTTGGTGTGTCTGACTGGCAATAGGGGGCACGCATTGCTTCTGTTAAAGTCAGCCATATTGAATCTGGTTTAGTATCATTAACTGCATCGGAACTCTTAATGTATGGCTAGAAATATGATCAATTAAGTAAAATGTATATCTTATATACTGTATTTGGTATACGTTTGATTCTATAAAATTAAAAGCAACGAATAATTCTGATACATCTCTGTAATTTACCTGGAAATCATCGTTCACCATTGGAAGCTGTTCGTATCTACCCATTCTGACCTCATCAAGTGCCCATTGGTCTATTCCTTCCCCTGAATGTGCTGGCTGCCACCAACGGAAGCGTGCATGATGTGTTTGTGCATATGCCGGAAGTTCCAAATGAACAAATCTGTTGGATGTAAAAAAAGAATGAAACATTCTGAACATATACTTATTATGTATGCAAAATAAATATGACTTTTCTGCCATCAGTATCCACTCAAGTAAAACCTGCAATACTCCTTCACTCACTTTGGTTTTCGATAGTCGGCGCTATTGAACTCTTTCATAGTTTTCCACGTGGTACCTCCATCACCCGATACTTGGAAGAGAATATTTTCCTTTCTCCCATCTACACCCTTGCACTTTTTATCTCCTCCTCCCTGCCTTAGGTAGAACTGGATGTAGTCAACTGTCTGTGTGTCCAGGTCTTTAGTCACTGCTTGTCTTGGCTCATCCTTCAAGTAAAACAAACAGGTAAGTTATACGAGCAGTTGTGTTTTTGGTTTCCTAATCCTAGCTCTTGGTTTTATTGAATGCATTTTGAAGTGCACCATTGAGTCGACATTCACCTTATCAAAGTAAAGTGTTTCTCCAGAGAACAGAAGTCCACATCCTTCATCACTTCTTGCAATAGAGCCGCCGTCAACCAGGTCCCAGTTCCTGTCAATGCGACCAATCTGAGAGAAATCATCCCAAAATGTTGTTGGAAGTGTAGTATTTGGGTAGCAAATATCCCCAACATAGCCAGTATCACATCTGAAAGACAAAGACAATGAGATATTAACGCTCTAACGTAGTAAACATTGGCTGTTCCTTTACCCTTTTCTTCACATGCACTCTGGATGAGTGCGGAGAATTCAGACGAGACATCGTTTATGTAGCCCGCATATACATATGTTGACACAAGTGCAAAAAGGGAAGACCAAAAATGTTTAAAACAAAGTTGGAAAAGAAAAATCTAAAACATCATATCAGAAAATGATCCTGACAACATAAAGCGTGTACAACATATACATACTTCAAGATCTGGCATCACTGCCGCTAGCAGCTATATAGACAGAATTGGAATACCCCTGGACCAAGAATGAGCATATAACGCTTAAATGCCACCTACCTGCACTTTCCTTGGAAACAATATCCATGACCAAAGCACATGTTTGGACAAGCCTGACCAATGTAGAAGTTAGCAACAGCCCATGTATTCCCCACCTCCCAGTCATATTGAACAAGCCGGAACTTAGAATAACTGGTCCTACAATATCATAACATGTACACAAATACCCCAGTCTCCTTATTCATTATTCATGCAACATATCCGATGATGTCACTGTTTTGAAACAATATGCTACGAGTGACTCTGATGCTAAAGACACCTTTCAAGCTGCTTAACCTTATTTTGTTTCATTTGGACCTTACCATGTATTCTGAGGTAGTGGAACAGTTACACGTTTCCAGTGATCAAACTCCTTGGAATTATACACTGATGCAGTTTGATATTCCATGCATTTATCTGGAGGAAGACAATCATCGAGTACCAACTTCCATGTCATCCCTTGGTCTACGGAGTACTCCAATCTCACCTTTAACATTGACAAATACGCGTATATTGTACTTTAATTTTGTGTATATTATTTTTGTTCACTGTTGGAGGAATTACATGTGTTTTAAGTGATTAGCTTGATTGTTGACATGTTGACACTTGGAATCACCATTTGATAAGTTTGATGTTAAAATGTTATTTTATTATAATTTTTAAGAATAATTTTAGTCTCATAATAAAATTAAGGACTGTTATGCACCTCACTGGTCTTTGCCTTATCAGAGATTGTATGTCCGCATCCAATAACGAGGTCGAATTGTATGACGTATGACGGCCCTATGTGCATTGAATCTGTCACCATGTGGCGTGCTTCCTGTCTGTCGCTGTCAGTTGGTTCTGCAAACCTGGATGAACATGGTTATGTCATTACTTTAACAAGGGAACTGAATTAAGAATGGAAATCTACTAGGTTTCATAAAACTGTCCCAATTACGTGAAAAATTATTAAATGTGCCGTATAACACGTAATTGGGGGGCCAAGTAGATATCAGAAATGTTATATCTTACACCAAAGCGTGATCCTTATCACAATACGAGCCAAGAATGCCCAAATGAAAGTTGGCGGCTTTATTCGAACTTTCTAAGTCAGCGAAGTCTAAATTGATTGTGTTCAGTAACTCGCTGGTAAGAGAGAGATCGTCCAACGCCCAGACGTCTTTTCCCTGTCCAGTGTGAACGGGCTGCCACCATTTAAACCTACAGCCATCGCCCTTAGCTTCATCTGGCAGATTCAAAGATATCACTCTGAAATCACAACATGTATGTTGGAGTTTGACATAGTATCACCAGGAAATGCAAACTACCATTTCGATAAACTGGCCATATGGGACTTTTGATTTCACTTCAGATTGGTGAAGAAAGTATTTCTTACTTAGGTTCCTTATAATCAGAGTACATTAATTCCTTTAGTAACGTCCACGTGACTCCTCCATTACAAGAATAGTGCAGAAAGACGGACTGCGACATCTCACTGGGTGGAGGACAACTACTGGTATCAGACATACTGCCTATACGGATAGTAAATTGGAGATACCTGAAAATTAATGTTTAAATAGAGAAACAGATTTAAATATCAGTTCTTATGTCACCACGAAAATGTATTTTTTGTATTTAAGTTAGGCCAAGTTCTTACTTGCTATTAGTGGAGTTAATATCTGATGTTGTTATTTGCCGAAGTCCATCGTTTCCAAAGACGGCTGCTTTCCCACTGCTGATCACCCCACATTTAAAACCTAGGTCAGCTCCTTTAACAGAGAAACACTCAAATGTTATAATGAATCGTTAATAAAATCGTTCTTTTTAACGTTATCCAGCCATTTTTCAAGGATCATGTTTTAATGGAAACATTTTTTCGTTAAATGATATATGTGGAGTTTGGGGGAGGGGGGGGGGTGCAGTGGTATTCCAGACGTGTAAAAAGTGAGGCGAGAAATACTGACCTTTCGGGACTTATAAATGCATTGAATAAATGCATTACAGTGACAAATAGCCCTATTCACGGAAATAACTAAACTGATCAAATGCAAATATAGATGGCACATCATGTCAATAATCAGAAAATAAATTGGATTATATTACCAACAGGTGATACATATCTGATTATATATGGAATTGATGAACATACTAACGGAAATTAAATAGAAAATAGACCGATTAGGGTACCCTCATATCTAATTTGCTTTACAATATGTTGTCTTATAAGTACATGGCGTATCTATTGCATTGAAACGTTGTTACATTGCTTTTTTCCTAGTGAATGGATTGAGATTTGGTTTAACCATTATATTAACGGGGATATATTGAGTATTATTATATAGGCCTATCTATGTCATAGTCTATATGAAACATATGATGGGAACGTTGTTGTCTTGTCTGGTCTTGTTTGCCCTACTATTACCATGGCTTATGTTCTATTACCTTTTATGGTGATAAACTGAGTTACCGCCGGTGTCTCCGATGGTGTAGAGAGAGTCTCAATAAGGTATGTGGGAACATGTATCACAGTCTCCTGGCACGACGGTCCTTCATAGCCAAAGTCACAACTTAAGAATAAGTCAATAAATCAATAAATGCATATGGTTTAACAGTTTTACATGTGTGTCTTAACCAATCAGCTTGGAGTATATTAGTGCATTAATTCAAGGTATATGGTCAACTGAGCAGAAACATTATTTTACAGTGCACTGTGGCTAAATAATGAACTGAGCAGTATTGGTAAAAGAGTGACTTCGACGTCACCACAGTGCATTAATACCTCGTGGTCCATAAAGAACTGGACAACGTCATGGTGATCGTATATTTTAATTGACATAAAGAAACGTTTATTGTGAAGTGGATATAAAAACATTGTCACATACTAACTCATACCGACAATGTACCCATTTGTACTATTCTTACCTACATCCATTTTCAATGCACGTCCCGTGCCCGTTACACCCCAATGGACATTTTCCGATGTACACTATAAAATTACAGAATGACTGAAATAGAGCCATGTAAATACAAATATGCCTATAAAACAAGTAGGGTTCATTGATATTTATATATTAGCTTACACTGATCGAAAATATAAAGATAACATGACCAGGACATTTAAAAGGCATTTTTTAGTTTACGGCGCATGCCCTTTTAGTGTATCATGTAAAATTAGTTTTTGGGAATATGTTGATTACCAGTGTCTAAACCCCAACTGCTTGGTCCACTTCTGTAAGGTTGTGACCACCGGAACCTCACTCTGTCAGTAAGTGCAGCATAAGGTAGTGGTAGGGTCAGTCTCGTCCACCTATAACGGCATTTCTGAAGTTAACATTGTTGAAAGTATGATAACAGGTACGTGTGGCTGTTAGCTGTTATAAACCATATTTCCAAAACAAGGTACTGGTTGATTTGTATTTTTCTAATTTGACCTTTCGATGTGTCTAATTTATGTTTAATAACCAAATACTCATTTTTGCTAAATGATGATTTATAGGGATTTTCATTGTATTGTTAAACGAATTGAAATGGCAATGTTTTGGTTTGTGCCTTGTTAATTGCTTTTTTGTTTCGAAGAAAGTAAACATCCAACTCTCACCCATCTAGATCTCCCGATTCATACACAGAAGAGAGGTATTGATGTTGGCCATCGCATGTTCCCATCAGACAGGGACTGTGTAGCACACTCCAGTCGTAGCCACCATTTGGGGAGAACTCGAGCAGCACTCTGGGGAAATACAAAGGGTATTGACATGTTTGGTTTGGAATAACTTTGTTGAACTGTATTTCCATTCCAGGCTTTCTCGATCAAAATATTTTACCTTAATGATGGAGTATGGTTTGAGCATATTGTAGAAGCTATCACTTAAACATTTTGAAGAGGTTGCCGAGAACCGAACGTATTGTTCTTCACCAAACATGGCGTTGTCATTTGCTTTTATAAAAGATGCAAGCTGATGATACAATACACAGGATTTGACTAGTCCTACAAGTGCTATGGACAATCTAGCATCATCTTACACATATTTGTGCTCACAATGAGGATTGGCCCCGCGTCAAATGTTTGAACACAAATACCTCCTCCCCCTCTTCTGAGTATAGGAATACTTACTTGTTTGTTGGTCTCTCAATGCCACAGTTGAGTACAATACTAAACTGGATATACTTTGTCACGTCGGTTGGTATGTGAGGTAGGACATATATGCTGTCTAACGCCCAAACATCTTTGTTTGGACCCGAATTCTGCTTCTGCAGCCAACATATTCTGGACGCATCTTTCTTCGCTGCATTTGGTAGCACCAGGCTTACCAGCTTGGCTTCCTTTAATTAAATTAAAAGATATATATACTTCAATGTGTGTGTATGGTTTATAGGGGCTTTGGGCTTGTAATATTATCATGTGAATCTTCCTGACATTAGGGTGTGGATTGTGACATTACCGTTTCTACTTTTACTTATGTTTTGAAGCCATGTGGAGGATATAACTATGAAGTTGTAGTATCCAATTTGGATTTTTTAGTTTTTGTTTTCTACCATCGTCTTATTATGAGGCTTTATATGATCATATTTGCCTGGTAGTGTTTAGGATGCAGAGTGTGTAGAACTTCGGTATGTTCGTGTTGGTCCTCGACGTACACATATACAGCTGCCTTGTTATTTCCTGATGTATGACACTTGCCAGTACCTGAATGTATCAATGACATGTTATATGGTATTATTATCATGTCGTGTAACTTATACCTGCAGGATACTTGTACGAATATTGTACTTTACAAGATTATGTCACTATCACTTGATCTAAGATTGCCTTTAACGATGAAAGTCCTATGTGTACTTGATAAAGATTATGTCATCATCACATAATTTAAGGATGCCTTTAGCGATGAGTTACCCATTTGGGTAATTAAATCGATCATTTACTAAAAAAGGGAAATATAGACTGTGGTATAAGGCATCTTTGCAAACTTACCCATTGAGAAATAAAATCTTAGATTAGACGCAGCTGTCATATCAAAGTAAGGGGTACAGAATGATCGTTGAGATTTCAAAGCGCCATTGCTCCAGAAATACATGGATTTACCATCATCAAGAATACCACATTCCTTCCCCACTGTTCCTCCTTGAATGTTCCATCTAGAGCAAAAATGCTAAAATATATCACATTCAGTTACGTTAAGGGTCATATTGGTTTTTAATTACTTATTGGGGTTTGAGTATTTATTTTAGTTTTTCAAGTGTTGCTCTTTCTAGCCAAATCGCCGATTATATACATTATATAACATACTGGATAGTTGTTGCTATGAATACATTCTCAATGTTAATGAAATCAAATTAATTTTACTCAGCCAAATCGAAATTCATTTTCTCGAAGTCTTGTTTTAGTAAGACATCTTGTGACATGTCTCCAGCTGCCATGTTGAGGTCTTGACTCGTCACATAGCTGAAACCCGGGTCCTCGTTGTCAAACACGACAGCATGGTTGTCAGACTGGCACTGGTGCTAAAATCGTACACATTTGGCTGGCGGAAAATGGCGGACAAATATTCCCAAGTAAATCGATTGTAAATTACCCTGAGAGAATACATTTATATTTAGGTTCAGGAAATGCCAAAATAGCAAGCATATCACGCTTGTTATATTATTATGGTCATGATATAGTTTATTAGTTTCTATTTATATACCTTAATGTTACCCCCGGGAAAGAATAACCAGTTTGATACATCAACTGGATCAAATTCGTCCTGTAGGAATCGAGGAGGATCGGCATTGTTAGAGATCACAACATTATCCATTGCCCAGCAACCATTGAACCCCACATCGTCTGTGCGTCTCTTTTGAACCCACTTAAAGCACATGATCTCAGCCCGGGACCTCGTTGGTAGATGCACCAGATGGGTGGCCGTCTCTAGCATGTCAGGTGCGCTGAAATCAAATCGCCCATGTAAAATATTGATATCAGGTGTAATCTACGACTCCCGGGCTACGACTTCATGCAATATATTAGCAAGCAAGATGAACCCCGAGGCCAAAGTGTTGAGATTAAATATTTTCTGTACTGTACTGGTACTGGTTTACGCCAATGTACCGGTATGTATTTTGTTTCTCAGCTGCATTAGTTGAACATGGGGGAAATATATCAGACAAGGAGGTATAGCACCCGGATCCCATATTCATACGTCATCAAACGGTAGGATCCAAACGTAAAAAGAAAATATTATTGTATTTGTATGATATCACATCAACTTGTATATTTTCAATCGAATATAGTTGAGATCTTAGTCAAAACCTACTTAATTGTTTCTAGGATCTCCCATTCTCGACACCCGTTTACTCCATAGTATATAACTACAGGCTCGTCCCCAATTGAAGATTTACAAATTCCACCACCTGAAGAAGTTTGAAAGAAAAGTCAAATAAGTTTATTATTTGAGAAATAAATTCACCACGGGCAACATTCCCAAATGACAAATACATGACAGAACAGGACAGTATAACAACTTAAATATTTGTTGAGACCAAAATCCAAAGCATAGGCTATACACACAATACGTCTGAAGAGCACAATTCACGCACACATAAAATTCAAGCAATCGGTCTGGGAACAATGATGTAAAATGTAAAAAAGAAAAATGAAACACACCAATAGAGAACTGGAGCAAAGAGGCAGTGGTTGTGTTTAACACACTTGTCATCATAAACCTTTCTGCATCACTGTCACAGAATACGGCAGATTGTCCGTGTAAGATGGGTCCACAGTCAGAACCCTTGTGTACTCCCTCGGTTTCGTACCTGGAAATACAGAATAGTGGATGACTAGGTATGACATCACGTGACGGCATTTGCACTCTTAGAGTACCATTGCGGTGTACTTCCGCTTATCGGGGACATTTTCTGTTTTTTATAATTGATTAGATTTATTTCATCACCGGTGGTATACTTGTAAAATGTTGTTGTGTCAAGTTTCTTATGGCATGGGTTCTTTTGTTTGATTGATAATCATCTAAGTAAATGCGGCCATTTTACTATTGTTGTCATGTTTTTCATATTGCCGATTGGAATTTATATTTACCATAATCAAATGACCCTAGATTACGTGAGTCTCTGACCCAACTCATTGTCCATCCCCTTTATGCAGGTCAGAATGAACAAGCTAATACCCACCATAGATCATTAACGAACGTATCACCAGTTTCAAAATCATCTCTGAGAATGACTCCATTTGTATGAACTGCGGACAAGTCAGGTCGTTCTGATACAAGACCCTTAGCTGGAAATATGTAATATTTTACGAATATAATATTTGTTATGACATTAACCGCACACAATCAGATCGCTCTGATTGAGCCTTATATCAAAAATGATGTCCTTACGAGTTCTCACATTTCGCCCTCGCATTGTCAAGTGATATACAAACAATGTTTATAATAAAAGATATGTTTCCGTGTCCTTACCTCCCTTTTCGCATATCTGATATACAGTCGCATCTTTGAAGAGAAGCTGTTTTCCCTTGTTGGCAGTTGCTCTGAAATTGTTTAGGGAAATATAAACAGTGTTATCATTGACTTGGGACGATCGCAATTTCCTTTTTACTTCAAATATTTATGTTAAACAGAATTGTTGTATATGATTTGACATATTCCTTCACTTGTTGGACTAGTTTAGAACAATATATTCAATCTAAAACATCTTAAAGAAACATATTTAACAGATGAATCGGCTAAGAAGCATGACCTCATTTGCTCGGGTATAGTCAAAGATACGAAGTACGCCACCAACAAAAATACAACAACGTTATTTAGTAATTACAATAATATTTACAAATATGCAAGAGGATAGTTTTTTATGTTTGTCTCTTATCCAAATGTTCCACCCGATGTTTTCTTTTTTTCTAACACACTCACAAGAAACTGACGCAGCCAGTGCCCTCTGGCGGTGCCATCCACATAAAGGAGAGTTGGTGGCGGGGCTTTCTGCTCCTGTGGGTGTGAATCATTGAGCACATCAGGTTACTGCCCAATCCATTCTTCACGGAATGTGTCGTGTATTTATTGGAATCTGATTGGCTTACGGTTGTGTAAAGCCCTGTTATGAACAGACCATCAAATGTTGCACTCGATGTGATTGTGACTGGAAAGGAAATGTACATTCATAAAGGACATGCTTCATGAGAAATAAATGCATGGTTTAACGTCACAGATTACATTATATCGACTATGCATGATGATGGTTTCATGAATAAGGTCTGTTGTGTGATGATGATAGTACATCTATTGTATATCCACATTTTTGTATTTACTGTATTTTAAAACATTTAGTCGAAGATTTTTTTCATATGACGATTCATATACAATCGCGTCGCTCTGTGCTTCCAAATGTTGTGATTTAGTGTTGTATTGAATAATGAGTTCATACCTTTACTGTTAAGTTATTAATTGATATTAAGATAGTAGGGCACTATTACTATATCTGTATCCATTAATTAAACGTCACCCATTTATTTGTGAACATAGTATGTAGTAAGCTAGTATATATAATGAAAACGGTAAATATACCGTCATACATCTCCCCTGGCAGATAGAACTCTGGGCTTCCAGCAATATCCACACTGAGCGCCACCTCCCCCTGGCCAAATGCCGAATGGTCCCCTTGGTTCTCATAGTTACACATGAAGAAGAATGGCCCGACAAATGGACTAAGACCATGCGTCATTACATAGGGTACCATTACCATGGTAACTATCCATACTCTAGCATCTGTAAATGATGATATTAACAAATGTGTTTGATGATCCATTTGAAGCTGTTGTTGATGAAATCACTTAATGAGGATTTGAACGAATTTTCGTTACTGTACACATAAAAAACTACATTTTATATATAGGCGTCAAGATCCGTTTTTGTACCGATAGAGCTACCCAGAATAAATATAGTTTTCAAATCAAATCAAATCAAAATAAACATGCTGTCAAACAAGATTTCCAAAAACACCAGGACAAAGAGACATGATCACAGAAAGTGAACAGATATTGAATTTTGTCAAATGGTTTGAATGTTTTATCTTAAGCCAAATTTTTTTAATGAAATCTAGATCTTTGTCATTAACTTGAACTTTGTATACCATACTTTCAATAGTACATAAACCATATTTGTTTTAAATTAAAGAAATGTTATCAAAGAAAAGTACTTTAATGAGAACCTGTTAATTAAAAATGACGCAATTACTTACCCATTGTGTTTTAGTATGTTAGACAATCATCTTTATTCGGTTATAAAATATTCCGTCGCTGCTTGCTTTCTTGATTCAGTACAATGTAGGGTTTCAGAGAAAACAGGCAAATCTCTCAGCGTTGTATAAACAAAGACTAATGAGCATGAGATTACAGATTAATACTGCTTTTGGACGATCATTAAAAAATATGTCAGAATGTAAACAGACTCAGGACAAGTTAGAGATGTAGCATAAAGAGAAACACACTAAATACAAAACATATCCGTATTCCAAATGTGTTATAATATTTATTATTGTTGTTATTTATTTATTTATTTATTTATTTATTATTGTATAAGTTATTGTTTTTTGATCCTGTCTATAATAAATAAGTAGGCCATGAATTATTTCTAGCTTGACCTTATAAACGTGCAAATACCAACAACCGAATCAAAAATTATAACGAATGACTTCCCGGTAAAATTATCATTTAACAATATACAAAACATATATTTATAAAATGATTGCATTGTTTAGTCAAATCATGTAATTATGGGAGTTTGTTTTTATTTTGGAACAGCAGCAGCTGTATATTCATGCAAAACGAGCAAAAGTAAAAATGAACCATTAATAGAGTTAGTGTAAGTTAACAAAAGCCAAAGGACCGTTAACTTCAACAATTCAAACATTTCGCATTTGCATTGGTTCTTTTCTCAGACACTCGTGTCATTAACCTGTTCTTTGGACAACGAGACACATACTCTCTACAAATGCCGCTTCTTGTAAAATGCAAATAGCCTAAAATCCTCAATACAATTTGATGTATTTGTATTAAAATTGAATTTTCATGTTTACATATGTTTCAATCCAGTGTTGTACATACTTAAAGGAAGCTAAGTTCAAACTAATTGTTAAAATAAGTTCTTACTAATTGTAAAAGTAAACTAAGTATTTGTTAGAATCTCTCATGCAAATACTTGGGTATTGATAAAGGTGTTGAACTGACATACTTTTCTATAAAGAAAGATCAAATATCAAATAAGGAGTCTATTATTCATGTTATTTTGCGGTTTAACTATATTTGACAAAGGGTTTAAAAATAATGTTCCAATAAAATTCACTTTCCATAATGAGTTTGATTTAGGGGTTTACACTTAAACGATATTTGGCAAAATTGCATAATAGTTGTATGATAAAAAGCGAGGTGACACGTTGTGACGTAACATGCCTTGAAGTGCGCCCGACATTTCTTTTTCGTTATAGGATATTATACCGCATAGTACGTGGATTATGTACCGCACAGTGTATATTGAAATTGATTCCTACATAACCGACTTATATCATATTGTTGACAAGTGATGTGAAAGTAATTGTTGAATAAAGGAACCTTTAGTTGTTGGAACCCCGGAGATGTTTCTGAATATGAATAACGAATCCGGCGGAAGGTTGTTGATTCTAAGAATGCGATTTAGAGGGCTATCGGTGCATTTTTCAAAATATATAAATGTCGATCAGATAAATGGACTTACATAGTGATCGTCTTAAGATAATTCACAAGGTGCAGAATACAGATAAAACAGGAAATGCAAAATAAATCTTGAAAATATTTACACTGATCAATGCACTCTTCGGTATTTTGTGAGGACGACGTTTTTATAATTTTAACATCATATAGCGTGTCATCTGATACAAATGGTTACAAATGATACAAAATGAGACTAGTGTAACCTTTTACATGGACTGTTGACGGGTATAGGCCTCAATCATTGTTCATACGGTAGAAAAGGTGATGTTGACCTTAAAATCTTGTTACATGTACAGATCAACATATCATTTGAGACGAACAGATTTTAAATGATAAATTGATAAGTCACTTAAATGTTAAGCGAAGGCAAGGATTAAGTTTCTACAGAAACCATACTGACAATGATATAATTGCTCTGTTCCATGTCGCAGATGTGGCAAGTGACACCAGAGACACTGTGATAAGATGTAAGTGTATTTGCGATTGTACATTAGATAACCGACGTGCTATCTGTCAGCATAAAGATACGTATACTTAAAATGACAATATTGTTACAGGGCAAATTGTGCAATTGCTAAGGAAAGTTCAAAAAATCTTATTCGCCATCTTTTTTTCTCTAATCAAAAGCAGTGTTAATGAAGAGTAGTGGAAGATACCTTAAGTGTAGAAAAATGTAAGGCAAATGTATACCGTCGCTTAGCAAATCATTTAAGTTGAAGTTTCTGAAAAAATTCAAAAATGTTATCCTGTAAATAGCTAAGATAAAGAATGGATTGTATTAAAATATATTATATAGCTGAAATTCAGCCTGTAAATGTAATTATCCAAATTATCAATGTGTATGATGAGGTGGTGAATTCATATTTTAATTAGTATCACCAGATCACGACACTTTGATAAATCAACAACACAGGCGGAAAATCTGAGCTTGTAACAGCCGATTCTTTCATTATGAAGCGGACATAAAAATCAATTTCAATTTATGTAAATTAATTATTACATTGTGATGTTAATCCAAATCATCTATCAAATACTAGTGAGATCAAACTAACATAAATAGCCACAAGTAACTAAATGAAAACATTTTTGTCTCCCCGGAGCCTTTAAATTTTTAACACTAACCTTGCCTGAGATCCAAGAACATTGAAAATGTTTAGAATGTTTCGTAATGCAATGAGTTGTTGATATGAAATATGAATTAAATTAGCACGTGCCATTGACATAAAATATGATGGATATTACACAGGAAATGTTATTTTAAAACTTATAGGTCTCAGATGTTATACATAACCATCAATTAGAAAATACATATAATAACACCCTATTCATGTTGGCCAAGAAAAAATAAAGATACATATAGTACCCGGGATATAGTACGCATGTTATTTCAGATGTTTACCAATGTAACCAGGCCCATTTGACAAGCAACCACCCAGTATGGAATTAAAAGTTGAATTCGATCCCATCAATGCTCAATGCGAAGAAATCATTCGAGACATCGAGGGTAGGAAAAGTATGCGCGTCGTTGCTAAGAGACGAACAAGTGATTCTTCAATCGGAGATCTTGCTGATCTGCTGGGAGTGGATCCATTTGATTACGCACTTCCGGTTGGTGACACACGAACTATTTTTGATGACGTAATATCTGTGAAAAATAGTATCCCATGTGAGCAGTCTGTGAGAAGAGAAGAGGATCTTAAAGAATATGACGATATCATGCGGGAAACTAAGCAATGCACTCATATAAACGACCGCCGTTTCACGACAAAATACATTCCTAGCATCCCGTATACCCCAGCATTCCGCAAAGTTGCATTTGAAAAATATGCCTCATATAAACTGTTAAAATCACAAATTGAGTTCAAGCCAAGAGACACCATATCAATATCGAAAGAACACAAGATACATGTTGAGACAATGAGAGATCACACTAAGATAATAAATGGTAGCGAGAAAGGTGACATACACAATCCTACAATGTTGGACTCTAAAGATGCGATCAATCTCAATGGTAAAGATCAAGCAATGGATGGAAAGTCATATCGTAAGTAACTCACTCTATACATATTTAAATAACCCCCTACACACATATATATATAGACCAATACACTATATTGATATTCCTTTGATTGTTTTCTTTTTTGATATTCTAATATTTTTGCTGCAGATGTTGAATTAACATAGCAGTGGTACTAATATAATGTGCAAAGTACATTTAGTGCAGCCTTTGGTGCGCAACGTGCTTTGCGTTGAACTAAAATTTCTTAAAATAGTTGGCTTTTTTAATTTAAATGGCATTGTTGCATGTACAAGTTACTGGAGCCATTCACATTTTTACTGATTACGATATTTTATAATACAGCGTGAATTGATGACATCGCCCACCTCTGACCGAAGATCGGTGATAAACTGTTATCTCAGTGCGCAGTTTTGTTTTTGGCCATTTTCGCATGTAAACTTTTTGGATGTTAAATCAACTTAATATAATGTGGTCTGCTGATCATGATATTTTTGCACGCTTGTGTTTTGGTTAATTGGTTATATGGTAAGAATCACCCACTGGTTGGTCATTGGTTCAGTTTCAATCTGCAGCTATATTGATTGGAGCTCGTGCAGTCAAGTGAAATATAATTGTTTAAGTACAACAAGGAAAACATTAAATACATAGGCATTTTTTGGAAGGGTTTGATAATAAACATTAGGAGACATTACTTATCCAATGCTCATTTATAGGTAAACGTAACTGGCTTAGCGCACGTCTAACTTCTCGCAATCCGGTGGGCGATAATGGTAAATCGTTTTGAACCTATGCTAAGCCAAGCAAAAGGGGATAGTCTCACCGGGGTAGCTCGCAATGAAACCACCTGGTGTTCATAGATTTCATAAAGCTGATGTTGAACTGAATAGTGATCAGTTGAAATAGGAAACGCAACAATACGAGTAACTTATGGATTTAATTATTGAGCGCTAGTACGAAACAGGAAGCCAGCTAAGGTTTATGGATAGAGAACTAGTTATTTACATCGGTGTACAGTATCGTAATAACACACCAGAGTAAAGCGCGTCAAGTTAGTTTGATAGAAAAAAGACAAACATGTTCGACACATGACATAGATTGGAATATTTGCAGAAACGCCTAGTAGTATGGCGAGAGTAGCAGATGCTCAGCTCCAATCCCTCGGAGTAAAATTACTCTTAGGAAAAGGTAGGTACCATTAGCCTTACCTGCATGTCCCAAAATCTTTTAGTTTTATTGATTTATTTACTTTTTGAAGAAGGATAAAACGCGGCGTTTTCAAAGGGCAACATTTAAGAATGCTGCCAAAATTGTCTAACAAACATCCGTATTATTGTGTTGGTATGGATGGCACATTTCAAGTTAAATTTCGATGATATATGTTATTAAGTCCAAACTTGGGATGCTCACACAATTTTATTGGCAGTATTTTTGACATTGACTGAATGCATTTTTAGTTAAACACGTCGCTTTATAAATGAATTATTGGACTGAGCATGATACGTAAAATACAGTTGGTATTTTATCAAATCATATGTGAAAACAATTTAAATATTTGTTCTGCATTGTTTTATATTTATGGTCAGTTATCACGATCGATTGACGCTAATACACATCACAATCGCCACTGCACATGGGGGAGTAAGAGCTCGGACAATTTACGGATTAAGCCATTTTTATCAAATATTACGGCACGTGAAGCAATCAAGTCAACTTGGAACAATAGCAAGTCATTTGGAAGCAATGCTGAGCATTAACATATGCGCTTGATGGCGTTTAGCATTATTTTGTAAACTTGAATTCGAATGGTGACACTGGTGCTTTATCATATGGCGTGTCTAGCAATTGTCATCGAGGACATTCATTCTCTATTTTTGGCAGACTTGGTGTTCTAACACTGCTTATAATAAAATTGATTTATCTTTAACAGTTCAACTTGGAAATGTTTATTAGGCGTTTGTCCTAGTTGGCCGCGTACGTAGACTGTTCCTAATTCCCCATTGTACTTTCAACAACACACATAATTAACACACCATCAACTTGACTTCACTTCTGCGTTTCACCTTTTGTTTTGTTACTTCAAACACATAGGTCATATGTCGGGAATTGGAATCTTGTTATAACCTGTATTCACGAGAAATATTGGATTATTGTGCACAGTTATAATCCACCGGCTATAGAACTTAGTTGGGGGATAATCCAATGATTTACAAAAACATTCTTAGGTGTATGTATACCCCCAGCTTAATCGGAACGTATAAAGCAATGATCGCTGATTAGATCGTGTTTTATAATGTTTGGAACTATTTGCAAATTTTAAATTAATATTGGTGAACTGGAAAGGCCCTGTGGAAATACTGTATTGGACGCTCTTAGACTGCTCAGTTAACATAAAAAATGTTTAAGGCGGTTTGAAAGATGTCACCTGTGTCGAGTGTGAGATAATCATTATTTGAAAGTGTAAAGATGTGTAAGTTTCTTCACCAATTAAGGATTGGCTTAATTGTATAAAATATAACATATTCGATCAATTAATGTAGAAATACGATTGATGAATAATATACTCAAAGGCATATAAATTGTATACTGCTGCTGTGTAACCAATACAAATTGAACACCTTGTAAATATCATGATTCTATTTCAATGTCTTCCATATTTCAATCTTTGGAAGGAGTAAAATATATAACCAACCATCCAATCAAAACATTTCTTTAAATTATTAAAGAATCGCATTCACATTTTAGCTAAAGTAACGTATATATTATATTTTCGGTCTTTTTGATTTTCTGAAAAGTAGATTCAGCCATAAGGTCAATTAATTCGGTGATTTGCCGGTATTTTTGATCTGATAATTAAGGGCAGCGACTCTTTAGCATAAGTTTTTAATAACTTTTTTCATAAACTTTTTAAAAGGGATGACTAAGTTCACCTTGTCCCTGTGACAAGACATACAACACCCTAAAACAATCCTGTCTTTTTGTCGACTTATGAATAATATTTATTAAAGCTTAGAATATCAAATTTTTGTTAGAATAAGGCTCTGGTATACAAGCTATCTTTGTTTTATCAGACAAGCCTTGTTGTTTGGAGTTATTGATATCAAATGCGATTAAAACTGGATGTTATTTGGATGTAATCACACGAACCGAGCTGTATCATTCCGAGACAAGGCCCTTGTTGAGTTTAAAATGGAATTTACGACGACTTTAACATGGGCTAGTAGGGACCTACCTTTAACAACAGGTACGTCCATTGCTTATTGTTACAACACAACTCTTTGTGAAAATATTGAATTTCAAAAATATGTTACGTGAATTGTGGCATCGTATTTCAATTTCCAAATCGGACAAACAACTGAGCACTAAATCGAACTTTGTGAAAGTATGGCTGGAAGTCAAAGAGCTATATGCGAACTGAATTATGACAAGTCACAAGTAGAAGAATTCGAGGGATCTGATCTGTCATTTGTGTTTGCAAATCTTGTTTTTTGTGCTCTCTCGTGGTACCAAGAAATTTGTAAATATAAATGACTTTTGGATTTCAACGTAGCATCTCATACTAAAGACCATTTTAGAATAAAAAAACAGTATTTTAAAGTTACCGTCAATCTCTCTCAAAACATGGGCTGCCAACGTGTTCAACATGCAGAAGTTGATATAATTTACGAAGACATCGTGATGCTAGCTCTCAGCTACTTATGCCATGTGAACACGCTTATTGAAAAGTAAAATAAACTCATTTATTTATCGCATTAAGAAATGATACGACCGATTAATGATGAACAAAACTGTTTACTTTCTGTTGAAAACATGTTCACTGTTGAACTTCTTTCAATGTGAGGGTAAAAAGTGAATTTTTAAATCATAATAACGTCTTAACTTGAGCAAAATTCAGTTCATCTGACAGTGTCTTTTGTTGGCTTAGAAAGTGACATGTCCTCCGTCAAAACAAAAAGTAATAGTTCGGTTATTACAAATACGGCCACCATTTGGACCCCATCAAAATGTTACTGACAAGAAGTGCATGTTGGCTTCATTAATACAGTAGTGATTTTCATTTTTGTTATAGATTTTGAATGAAAATAATGTGGTTATTAAAGAGAACTAACTTTTGATGCTTTTGTATTAAGTCAGGTTTTGCCAGTGAATAAGTTTACTTATATTTTTCATTCTAAAAACTGCCGACTATGGATAAATATGGTATTATCAATATTTAGAAAATATGTGTATGAAAACATGAAAGTTACGGTTAAAAAATAGTTAATGATATATTTCCCGTTCATGCTGGGAGTTTACATTATAGCCATTGGAATTACATAAAACTTGTATTGTCCGGCTTGTATTTTCGAAAGTCGAGTTCAACAAAGATGCAAGTGCAACTTGGACACTCATGGAGGCTTAGTTATTAAGTCCGTACCTTTGGTGGCAAGCCAATGTTTTTGTGCGTTATGGTATTTTGTACACCAACACACTGTAAGGATGCTATATGGGCCGTTCAGTTGAATGTACATAAGAATGTAAAAGTAAACCCTGTATTGGTGCATGTTATAATGGTTGCATGGCGAACTATATAACCAGCCTATAAAAATGGATTACATCAGAAGATCGAAGATATTAAATAAGATAGGTATGTGGGATTCATTTTGTATTGTTACTTATAGTTAAATATGATTTGGATTGAATTCTTAAGATTGCTCAATCATATATTTAGGCTAATCCCCTTGTTTGTAGGAACCCTAACACCCACAATAGACTTACCGATGACTTAAAAGGAGCACCAAATGATGAGAGTGAATGGTGAAAATTGTCTCTTTGTCAAATATTACTTTCTCACAACATGCGCTGCCATGCCTTTTTTCGAAAAAATTACGAGTCCTGACATACATATAGTATTCACGTTGTGTCACCTCAAGGTTCTTGTAGTTTGACATGGGCAGAATATTGCAGTTTGGCACTGAAAATCCTCAAAAGGGACATGTACCAGTATATTGCTTCCAAAGCCTTCCAAAACTGTTACCAGTAACCTTTTGTGGACTTTCACCACTTTCGCAATACGAGAGTCTCATATAGTTTTTTTGCATTTTACATTTTCAGAAGCAAAATAAGATATGTTAACCACTAACTCTCTATGATATTTCTTTCATAACTCCGGATTTATAAATAATAGGATTTGTGACAAGTGACACGACATGATTCATACGTATATACGAGTTAGGGAAAGGCCATCGTACAATACATGCTGGTAGCATTTTTACCATTAAATATTCAGTAGCTATGTGAAACATGTGAAATAAATATGTAAAATAAATAGCATTTCTCTATCAGATAAGTTGAGATAACTAATGATGGTGACTTGCAGATCTGTCTAGATGATAACAAGGTGATGTGCTAAAATTCATACCTAAAGATACGAGGGGTGATCAAAAAGTAATGGACATTTTTACACTGACACTTTCAATTTAACTTAAATTTCAACCCTGATAATTTGGACACAAAATATCTGATACTTTTGTATATATCTTTATTTTTTCTCTTAAGGTACTTTCAGAAATCCACGTAGAATGAAATCAAAGTATGATGTGAAGTGTACATATTTTATATGCCAATATTGGCCATGGTGTGGCATGTATTGAAAGCACTTCATGATTTCAATTTAACGAATATGGTTACCATTTCTCCATTCAATTGAATTAATTTGTCATCCTTGGAATTAAAAACAATCATATAGCCAACTAAACAGGGTTAGGTCTGGACTGTAAGCTAATGTATGCAAATCGGCCTTGGCCAGGGTCCATCTATGTTGAAGGCTAGAGATTATTTATTCCGAATCAGTCTGGAATTTAAGAGAAAACTCTGTGAAACATTGATTGGTCGCAGAAACCATATCTAAACATAATAAAGAAGATATGTCACATTACCAAATTATTTTGACAGGAGAAGCATTTGTGCGTTTATTTCTTGATCACTCTTCGTACATCTAGATTTTTCCTTTAAATACAATAATAAACTACTTTGTATCATTGAATCACCCCATCTACTTCACGCGGCAATTTTTAATAGAACTATCGATATCCTTCAATAGCATATAATTGACTTAAGATATTTGAGGATGATAAAAGGCACATCGGTTCAAATATGGATGCTGAATCAGATTTTTCAGCACTCATATCTTTAATTTTTATGCCGAGGCTCGTAGTTATTAGCAGGATATTTTTCAATGTTTATCTATTAAGGTAATCCATCCAGTCTGTTCGATCACGATGACCAGACGGACATTTGACTCATTATCCTTCTAAACATTGTTTCAACACTACAGGAAAACGACGGGTGAATCCGTAAAGGCCGTTTGAAACCTCGATTGAATTGGCAACATATATGTTTATCTCCACAGTTACCATTACTCAAACTCAAACTCTTTTGTTATAACAACAAATAACATAAATAGGTCAGAAATATTTCTCATGATCTCATTTGTATTTTTTTATTCAAAAAACATATCAAATACAGTAACTTAAATCATCCATCAATTTTTCTTTTAAAACTTTTTGAATTCAATGTAACATAATTCTTATCTATTATTTAAAAAACTCGTGAGTCTCGACG